TATTATACAGGCACTGAGGAGAATGATAACAAGTTTTCTATTTATTACATAATATACTTATTTGTTTAACACTAAATAATATATGTTTAGATTTGATTAAGTTTAACTCAAGGCAATTGTTGTTCCATAACTTAAAACTTAATAGAACTAAAAATTATTTACTTTGTTATATAATTGAATAATATCTTTCCATTAAGAATAATAACTGGGTCATGAGCAAAGCTGACTATTATTTACACTATTCAAATTTCACAATAGAACACATTTAGTCCACCGAAGGTGGAATACATATTTAATTTGTTTTCATTCAATTCTAACACGGCCAAAACCAAAAATGAATATAGGTAAAATAATAATAACACAAATTAGCACGGGCAATACCGAGCGCGGGACAGCTAGTTTAGCTATATTAAAGAATCATATATTTTTATCATCAAATGCAATTTTAAAATTATAATATATTTCAATATAAAGATTTTTGTAAACCTCAAATTTTAATTTGTCAATAAATTATTATTATTTATTAATATAAAATAAATTAATAATTATGTATATATTTACACAAATATTGTTATAATACAGGAAGATATTAGGTCAAATATTTAAAAATAAAAATAATTATAGTTAACTTATACTATCTTTTAATATAACCCTAAGTATACCTCCTAAAGTCTCAAGGATAACATGTTATGGTATACACAATATGTATACTATGAATATGAATAAAATAATAAAAATATACAATAAATAATAATAGTTGTACAGCAATAATGGTTTAAAATAAAATATGTTGACTACACAATATGTTTGAACACCTAACAATAAAACTAAATAATTAATATTTAAATATATCCAAATAATAGATTATTTAAATATTAGACATTTTTTTATTCATTAAAAATTTAATAATAACATTAAAAGTTGTATCAATATTAATTATGAATACAACCAAATGCATAGTCTAAATAATGAACTATTTTGATCAAAAAAATAATAACAAAACTTAATTTTTTTATTGTGTAGAATAAAAAACAAACAATTTTAAACAAATAACTTTTTATAATACAAATAATAAAACTGTATACATATGAATTATAAAAAATAAAAATTATTTTTAATTGTATTTATGTAAAATAATACCATTTCTATCAGAGCTTTCTTTGTAAATTATAGATATCGATATGTCATTCTTTAATATTATGATTACTCACTGTTGAATGATTATATTTAAATAGATTTGAGGAAATTGTTACATTTATTTTATTTCTAGTACTTATATAGCTATTTAATAGGCCTTTTTTTTTCTGGTGAAAACCAAATAGTAGGCTCAAATCAAAATCCAAATAATGAAAAAATTTGATTTCAATTAAAAGAAAAATAAAATCAATATACATGATGACAGTATATAATATTATTATAAATATAATTCTTTTTCATAAAATAAATAAATGTAGGTATTAAAATTGTTTAGTAAATACAATTTTTTGTTGAAAATGTATATATTGACCTCTTTTAAAATCCATATAATATGTATCTAACAGGCCAAAACCGATTTCAGAATAAACTAGTTTATTCATAATGAACTAGTATAACTATCGATTGTAGAATAGACAGATAGCCCATGCGGCATGGGATGTTAATATTTGCCGACCACTCGTATGTACGACCGCTATGAAGCGCTAGTATAGTTGGGATGCAATTTAGTGATACCCTTGCCATAGATGGATGAGAAATGCAGGCAGGCCGTGATGCAAGGTAATGGTAACTCAATCATAGATGTTTGGGCATGATTGGGTGGTACGGAGGGATAGCTTACGCGCGGTGTCGTTCTAAGAATAGAATAATAATGATAATATTTAAAAAATTATTGATAATAATAATATTATTAATTTATTATCACGTTAATCGTTTATCGTACAACAGCTGCCCACAACCCGCATTTTCTAGTTCTTGTATTCTACAAGGGCGCCCACAGGGAACTGCCGGTGAGGGCCATGGCCCCCCCACTATTTTAGTTGATATTAAATATTAATGGTTTTATTACTTGCTTGACCTAAATATTTGGGCCATGATTACTTATAAATTGTAAAAAAAAAGTTTTATATTACTATATTAGTATTATAGTATTGAGCATAGGTGTGCGCAGGCTTCTGAGTCAGACATAACTAAATTCAATCTGTCCACTCACCCCCTCCCATGTCACGATCACACAAGAAAAAGTTATTTACATTTTCACTACAATTTCCAAAGTGATCCTTTTGTTGATGACTGAAAATGTAAACCACCATTTTACATTATTTCACGCACACAATTCATATCGCAGAACTATCCAAAGAATTGTTATCTAGAGAATTTATTACATTGTTATACCAAAATATTCTATACTCTGGATACTTATAGTATAACTTTATACTCGGGATATCTATTCTTCAGATAAAACATAGAATTGTGAAACCGGGCTAAATCGAACATTTATTCTAGATATAATTTAATCAAGTGCAAAATTAAAGCAAGAATGTGTCATTTCATTTTTTTACTTTTCTTAAAATATTGATAATCGTGGTTGTCGTCAACCTTTTTTGTTATTTTTGTACATCAGGAATGTCAATAATACTTTCATAACACATTTTTGTAGCATTGTTGTATATTTTATCATATTCTTCATCATCACACCGATATTAACTAATTGTTAAACTAATTGTTTACTTTGTAAATTTGTACTTTTAATATAACTGAACAAATAGATTCCAGCATATTCAGGGTGAATATAAAATTAAAAAATTACATTTGAAAAATTAATCCACGAGTTTTGGCGCTTAAATCAGACTAATCAGAAATTCTGGTTGAATAACAAATTTCTTGAAGCGCCATAACCAAAACTGAATAATTCGATTTAATAACGGATATAGCTTCAGATCGGCAAGCCCATCTCGTGTTAGATATTGATTTTAGCGTTACAAGTTTTACATTTATTTTTTTAGCAATTTTTTTAAGTATAACATGCCTAACGCAACTACTTTCAATGGTAACTGGTTTATAAACACACATAAAGATAATATTATTTTGATCATAGATATTAAATATGTTTAATATCCAGAAATACTTATCACATCTCGATGGGCAACCGTCAACCAGTATATCTTTAATCGTGTAAATATCTATGATTTTGATTTATTTTGTTATCAATTTATTATAACGCCTTAATACTTTCTAATTTGTATAGTCTCTTGGGTAAACACAAACGTTTAAAAACTAAAAGGACTATATCTACTTTTGGTCATAACTTCATAAAGTACAAGTAGGTACACCCACCCACATATAAAAAAAAGCTCAGGTGGGGCTCTAACTCAATTAGCCCTACTCGTGCGCAAACCTAGGGTATTGAAATATAAGACGTTTATGTAAGGCCAAAAATCATAATTTATTTTATGAATAAACATAATATGGTATCATACGGTATAATAGTAAGTTAGTAGGGTAGAAGGGCGAACTTCTATATAAATTAGGCTAAACTGATTTGAGACTGTCAATAATATTAAATCATAATAATATAGAATAATGGAAATAGGTACCAAGTACAGTTATGGCATACAATATGATGACTGATATAGCAGATATGGTGAAATAATAATATAATAGAGAATAGAAATTCCTAATAATAGTAATTATGATTAGTGTGATACAACATATTGCACTATAATAATAACTATTATAGAAGTAAGTATTATTGCAGATGTATCCATCTGTCTGTCAGTCTAATCGATTAGTTGTCATTATATAGATTATACATTTAATGATTAAGATAAAATTAAAAATTAAAATGATTAATAATTATAAATATCATATATCTTAATACAATAATATACTAATATAGACAGTCTCAATCAGTTTAGCCTAGGTTATACTAGTTCATCCTGAAATGTAGACTTTAATTTCAGGATGTACTAGGTAGTTATTTAATTTATATATGTATGCAATGATAAATCATTGCTAATTAAAAACGATTCAGAGCAAAGTTTGGTAAGTTAAATTTTTAAATGCCGTAATTTTTAAGATTTTTGTCAAAATTTGATCTTAAAATTCTTATAAAAAAAAATTGTGCATTACACTCAAATTTTTTTTGACTACAAAGTATGCTTAATGAACTTCTGTTAAATTTTTAAGTATTTCTTTTTGGTCCAATAATAAAATTGTATCCAGTTTTATTTCCACATTTAGTCTCTTAGTTTAATTATAACAAAAAAAAAAAATATATGTTTTGTGAATTTTCCAGTTTTCCTGTTTTTTTTCAATTAATATGAAAACCGTTTGGAAAATCAAAAAAGACTTCCCCAGAGTACCAGAACCCAAATTTGTTTTTTAGACCAGTAAGCACAACATAAAATGTACCTTTTGTTTAATGTTCAAGCATTTTTTTAAGTCATATAATATACCTAATAATACGTTAAAAACACAAAAATATCAAATAAATAGCCTAAATATATTTAGAATTTTTTAAAAATTTTACCAAATTTATAAAATGCCAATAGAAGTATTTTGTGAAAACACGGGTCTCTACCCGTGAAAAATCAAAATATGACCTGTATCATATAACACATTAACCAGACATTTTCTTTCAAAATAGGTACTACAATATTATATTACATTATATTATATTATGTATACACTCTATACATCAGGGCAAGATTTTTGGAAGAAAAGTTGTTCATAGACAGAAAAAAAATACATCATAGTAAAACCAATAAATCCCTTCCTGCGCTCCGAATCTAAAATAGTGTTTATTATTTATTTTAGTTGATATGTCAAGAATATTTTAAAATGTATTTAAAAGATTAAAGAAAATCTTAAATATATTATAATATACATAGACACATGTAACATTATTTATGTTGAGAAGGTTAGACAAAGGTTATGAAGGAAATGGGAAGAGTAGGAGCCAGGGAGTTACATACACGGACATTTAATTTGTCACAAATAAAACTATGTAGATTTAATCAGTAATTTAATAAGGATTGGTTTAGCAATAATATAACATACAAATAGTAATATAATTATTCCAACTTTTTATTGCAGCCTAAAAATACAAAAAAAAAAAATAAAAACTAAAATGAAAATACTTATTACAAAAAAGTGAAACTAAAAATTTGAATAAGTTATAAATAATCAAACTATAAAATATAATTTTTGGGAAATAAACTGTTATAGTAAATTAAATATATATTATAAAATATAATCTCACTATGTTTGCCTTTGTCAATAACTGTTACAATCTAATTGTACAAATAATTAATTTCTTTATTCTTTATCTAGGTTCTCATTTTATATTTAAATTTAAAATTGTTATCAAAACAGTAAGATCTTATAGGAGGTAGTGCAGAGATCTTCTGTTGCAAACCATTCTATGTCTTTTTCTTTTCTCTCTTCCTAGCAATTTTTTTTTTTGTTTATCTTTAAAATTAAATATGTTAACTGTACAAATTGTAAATTCCTTTAAAAAAAAAAACAACATGAAATAAAATTATACTACATGTTTTAAAAAAAGAATTGATACTGGGGTTAATGTGCTACTGTTGTAAGTAGATAGGAAGTTGGGTAAATAGAATACATACAATTATTTTATGTAAACAACGATCAACCATTGCTAACAAAATTTGATTCTGAGTAAAATTCAGGTAAATATATTTAGAAATACCCTAATAATTATGATTTAGCTCTAATAATATGTAACCCCTATTTCAGAAAAAACAAAAACTGGCCTCTCCAATGTACCAAATAAATTAAAAATGTAATAAAAACGATCTTTTAGCTTTTTTTTTTTTAATTAAAGCAAGATTTCTGGTAGAAAAGTTGTTTACTGATAAAAAAAAAAAACAGTAAAACCAATACATTCTTAAACTACAATGTTACAAAGTTTTTGAAGTAAACAGGTAATATACAAATCAATTGTATTATTAATTATAATTTTAAATACTTTTATTTGCATATATTTACATGGCATCAAATATATTTAGAAAATTATCAAAATTGGTTAACTTTTATATTTTAAAAAAGTAATTATAATTAATAAAGAATAAGAAGATATTAACTCAAATAAATAAAATAGGTAGGTACCTAAATAAATAAACATTGAAGTAAAAATGTTACTTACAAATTTAATGTTTTGCCTTAAAGTATATTGTTAAATCAGCTGATGATTTCCAAATAAAATGTTTTACAGTTCTTAAATCCATTGTAGGAGAAAGTATTTGATCATTACAACTTAATTCAAAATTTTTTTCTGGTGTATTCCCTTGTAAATGGTTATTAATGCAATCTGAGGTTTTGTTGTATGGACTACTTCCATCATTTTCAGATAGCTTTTCATGAATATATTCTGCTATTTTTTGTACTTGAATAAAGTCATTTGCAACTAAACGATCTCGGCTTGGTCGAAGAGTGCCACTAACAAAATATAAAATAATAGCTGTATAAAATAAAACAAAATATATTAAATCCAAACATACTTTTTAACAGGTCTAATGCAAGTATTAGATAGTGGCACAAGATAAAATGATATCTTAAGTGCTTTGGGTATACTCTTTTCAACAATCACATTCATAACCCATGAGGGAATAGTTTCATTTAAAATTGATACATCATTTTCATCCCCTGCCTGGCTAACTAACATTCTATACAGACATCGACCACCAACTTCACTAATCATAAGTGGAGTGTGTCTTGGAATTTTACAACACTGAGAATCTAGTTTTGTTTGAGCATTGAGCTCAGTAGATTGAACTCCTTCAGAAGACCCATGATCAGTTTGAATTCGATTGAGCCAATTTTCTAACAGTGAACGCAACATTCGATTACCATAGTTCACTAATAAATATACACAAATTATGCATCTGACAATATACATATATATTTTAACATAATATTATAACTACCTCTTAGGTTGTCATCTGTAGTATTAATCCCAGCTTCTTTGGTAAAAACCCAAGCTGCAAAACAATCATTTTCATCTTGCCCCAAATGAATTGTTAGCATCTATTAGTAATTATTTATTAATTAGTATATACAATTTTTTGAATTGATATATTTTTAGAAATAAATGATTAATTAATACAAAATAAAAAAATTAACTTACTCCAGTTTTTAAATCAACACTAAACCAATTTGGAATATAAACTATACGATGTCGTTTTTTAATTTCTTCTTCAAAATCTATTTGGCCTAAATCTTGAAGTTTAGAAGCCTGAAATATAGGTTTATACTAAACTATTTGCCTTATAAATAAATGTGAAATTAAATAACCTTAAGAACATCATAAACAGCAACATTTTTTTCTGTGTCCTGTGTCAGTATAGTTCGTTTATCATTCAGTACATGGTATTTTCTAATAGCAGCAGCTCCTTTAACAGTCCGGAATGGTTGTTGATTATATGGTACAGTTGGTACATCTTCAAAATCAGCAGATTCGTCACTTTTCCGTAATTTCTGAAAATTTAAAATTTTATAGTAGCATAAATATAAAGCAGTCAATAGTGTAAATATCTTTTACATTTATTATTATCATATATTATAATATAAATACACAAGTACTATACTACAATATTTCACATTTTCTGTATAGCACAACATATAAAGCTAGCATAATAAATTATTTTTTGGATAAGAAAATAGTTATATTTTATAACTTTTTTCAATTCCTTGAACTTACAATAAATCAATATAAATTATAAATATTAACCAATAATTTGCTCACCCAACAATTAATTGAGGATTCAGAAGTAGCAACCCAAATAGCACTCATATCAGGTGTGGTAACCATTTTCACAACTGGAGCAGATTCATTGCATATTAATTGAACTTTATTAGGATTTTTTAAATCAGTCATATAAATTTTTTTATCACGGCCACCAGACACAACGTGAGAAAAGTTATCAGTAGCCTACACATAAAATATAATAATTATATTTTCTATTAAAGGTTATATGAATTTTGTAAACAACTATCAACTTTTGATTTTCAAATGGTCAGTTGTATGGAATTCATCATTTGAAAATTGATAGAGAATTATTCTTAATAAATTTTGATGTTAAAATATTTGATTTCTTTTAACCCATTATCGAGATATTCCACTTTTAAGTTTGGAGAAAGTAGATGAGTATCATTTGTGTGGAGGCATGGAGTGCAGAGTTTAAATAGTGTTACACTACTTTTTCCCAACCTAAATTTAAAAGCGTATTATCTTGTTGATGGGGATACAAAAATGTATGGAACATTTAATATAAGGTACCATTCTAAAATCAAAAGTTGGTAGTCATTTCACCCCTAAATAAGGTTAATAAAAAATAACGGTGATGTAACATTTTAGATTGTTTGTTTCTTATTGTCAACAACTGTTTTTTTTTAAATTCAATACTTTGCGAAATAATGAGTCCTGAATGATAAAACAATTACCCTGTATTCTTCCAATAACATCAATAATAATTTTGAATAATAGTTATTTTTTTAGTTATTTTATATTAATTTAAATAATAATATAATATTTAACTTTTAGTAATATATATGTAAACATTTCCTTTTTAAAAATTATGTAATTGAAGAATTTTTTTATTTTAAATTAAATATTTTAATGAAATGAATAGAATCACATGAGCCCTAAATAATTCATTTTAAAATACAGTTCTGAGCAAAATTGGGCTTAAAAAATATATAATGTCTAGTATAAACTGATATTATTTTTAAAGGCACAGAAAAGTAGTACATAAATTATATATGTCAATTAAGAATTCTAAGATTTTGGGCCCATTGTCACAATTTCATTTGTTTTTTAATATATTCTGTTTGATATTATTACTATTATTATTATTATAATACATAGTTAAAATTAAAATGTTATATTTAATAATTACTGATAAAGCCCAAACGCCTTCTTTATGTATTCTTAAAGTTTGTATGCATTGCTGTTGTCCTAGAGACCATAATTTAATAGTTCCATCTGAACTACCAGATAAACATTGTGTGCCATCTCGACTTACAACCAATGCTTTTACATTATCAGTATGACCGATTAGTTTCATTATACAATCACTTGATCTTGTGTCCCATACTCTTAAAACTTTCTCTGTACTTCCACTTATTAAAATTGTTCCACTGTTGTTCATTGCTAAACTGTAAATCGAGTTTTTGCTACCTGGTAAAGAAGCCGCTAAACATATTGAATAATACGTAATTATAACAAATTTTATTATATTTTGTATAATATAACATACTTGTTACAGTATTATTAATAGTGGTTAAGGTAGTTAACATATTAACGTCCCACATGAAAATTGTTTTATCTAATCCAGCTGAAGCAACCACTTCTTTATCACGACCATATGCTAGAGCTCTAACATAATCTTTATGTGTACGTAATGTTGATAAACAAGTATTTTCTTTTCGCAATCCCCATAATTTTACAGTGGTGTCTGAACTTGCAGAAATCACTGTAAGTATTAATTAATTAATAATTGCAGAAGCGTATATATATTGATATAATTTGATTTATTTTTCCTTATACATAGATTTTTAAAAATAATCTCTTAAAAGCTATGTATTTCCATCATTAGATAAAAATAAATCAAAAAGTTTAATGGTTTTATGGATACCAGTTGAAAAACGTAATTAAGTCTGCTACACACACTATACGTGTACTTGGGATTTGTGGTGCATAGGCCACAGTTTGTTAGAATTTTTAAAAATGTGTGTAAAGGTAAGGTTTATTTGACTTTCTTAAACTGAAAACTAATCAAATGGTTTACAAATAATTTACTATCCATCACTCTAGAACAGAATTTTTTAAACTTGTTGATATTATGGAACACCAAACAATAATTTTTTTAAATTTATCCACCATTTCCTAAGATTTGTTTGTATTTTTTTTTTTAAGTTCTATACATTAAAATAATACTTCCGATTGTAACTTCGTCTTCATTGTTTGAAAACAGCTTGTGAGTTATAGTCTAAAAAATAATGAATAGTTTCTTATAGCACCATCAGCACCTCAAATTATATAAAATGTTGGTATTCTGTGAGAAACAAATTAATATTATAGACCTCTATGAATAATGAATAGAGAATTTTAAATCCACATGAATAGATTGTATTATTTTGTTTCAAACATTAAGGAAATGATGAAGTTCAACAAATTGTAAAAAACGAAGACATATATAGTGTGTAGCTAGCTGTGGTTAGGTGTACATCTGCTGGTCCAATAAATGGTAATGATAAAATTGTACCATATAAAAACATAAGAAAATTGTTTTGTTATTGTACGGTGGACTTAGTTTTACTCAATAAGCAGAAAAGTAGAGAACCAAATATATAAATGTAAGAAAATAAATCCCTTCATTCACTTTCTTGACCTTCTTAGGAGAGCAGTTTTTTCATTACTCCTGAAGAAAATCGTAAATTCAACACAGCAAAATTGTATTAAATGGATCTATTTATCTGTACTTACAATAATTTCCACCACAACATAATACAATATCATTAACCCAGTCAGTATGATGTTCTAATGACCGTATGTATGTCGCTTCAACATTATCTCGAACATCCCATTGTCGTATTATACCATCTCGACCAGCAGAGTATAATATTCCTTGTTTTGCATCCAATTGCAAAGAATTTATACCCGCTCTATGTTTACGTTCTTCTTCATCACGAATAACAAATGATATCTATTATTATTTTATGAATATAAAACAAAAATATACAAGTATTATGCTGAATGCTAATGTATACATTAAAACACTAGAATGAATAATAAAATACAACTTTTTATTACTTGAACTTTCTTACGTCCAGTCTGAGCAAGGCAATTTTTATGTAATGTACTCATATTGAATTTGATACTTATCGGATGTTTTTGAAAATGTAAAAATACATTTTTTATTAATTAGTAAAATAAGTATAAAGTTGAACCTTGGTCACAAATGTATTTACTTTAAAAGATGAATATATTATATAATTAAATATTACAAAGTAATACAAATGTTTACTAGTAAAATTAATTTTAAGAAATATTCAATTATTAGTCTTATCATTATATATAATATGATAAGTTTTGTTTACAAAACACGAGGATCAGAAGCATTTAATCACTAATCGGTTAGCATTACTCTTTTACTGCAAATAAGTAAATACTGAATAGTAATAATCATAACACCAAGTAGAAGTGACTCATGAATCATAATTTATCATGGTAGCAGTTATTTCCACGACTACTTATTTAGTTTTAATCACTATTAAAGATATCTATAAAATGGAGATGAGGTTATTCCAAAAAATGATAACACATGTTAATAAATAAATATAATGTTGGCTACAATGGTTTTAATTGTCAATATTTTTACTGCAATTATCACGATCATAAAACATAGCTACAAGGGAATCGTAGGCCATAACTCAAAAAGCAAGACTAAGTAATAACCTTATATAGATCACATACGATTTATATTAATTCAAGTAGGTAGTGTTATCAGTAAATCGAGAAGTGGTTTCATATAATCTGTGGTAATAACCAGTCATTGAAAATATCTAAATTCTGCAAAACTTAATAAATTCATATTATTTTTACTCAATCATTCTTAGTTTTGTATCTTATAATAATTTACTTGTTAATATTCATTAAGAGTATTAATTTTAATCCACGACTATGTGCCAATATAGGTACATCCAGATATAAAATACAGTATTTGAAACCTGTTATATAATATTCCCGATTGAAAGGAACTATAGGTAGTATATATTTTGACAAAAAGTTATAAGGTTAACGCCCCCCGTGGGTCCATAAATATAGAATTAGAATAACAACATTGATTATAAAATAGATTTTATTATTTCTATTTTATAATCTATTACTAGCTTTTTTTTTTTAATTTTCTCATTAAAACTTATTTGTTCAAAATCTGTAGCAATAAAAGTACATTATGTTTAATTCTGTTATAGAAATCACTGACATAATTCAATATATTGGCGATTTTAAAAGATCTTTTGTCGAATGTTCAGAAATAGTTAAAAGGAACCATATTACTGAAATAGATTTAAGAGAAAAAAGACGTCCTAGGATAATGACGAGTGCAACCCACGGCTTGCATTTAATATATGCATTTTTACCATCTATTTAGCTAGAATAATAATTATGGTCATCCATAAAATCAACAAATAAATCTAAATTTATGATTATTACAAAGAAATTCAGAAGTACTCAATATCTCAATATAATGTAATCAAACGTATGTCATCCCCCCCGTTTGAGTTCTAATAAATTTCACTAGGTAGCGACTCTTTCACTTTCAATCACAAATAGTCTGTAAGTCAGAGAAACTATAAATTTGTCTTCATAGTGTGCTAGCAGTACTGAGGTACCAGCTGATTCATATTATGGGAGTTTCATATACAACCTGTATTAATGTATAGGTTATATATACAAGACTCGAAGACTGATTTATTTTTATTACATTACTAGACAATTATCATCTGAGTAGGAGTACTTCAAGCCAGTCAAAATTATTTCCCTCTCTTCAAACATATTATATGAAAAAATGTTGTAAAATTAAGAGGTTAATGAATTTTAATTAAAAACCTCTTAATAAAATGACACCCAGTAGGAGTAAAAAAATAAATATATAATGAGGCACATTTTTATGAGACGTTTATTGAATTTAAACCATTTTTCTCAACAACTTATTAATGGTATCTTCACGGTTTCCGAAATCTCCGCCTTCAACATAATGGTTGGTCTTCTTACGCCAGCCTCCAGTTGGGGTGTTTAACTAAAAAAATAAAATATATTTTAGATGAAGTGATTATAAAAGAAGAAATGTATGCAGTTTGGTTTCTAAATTCAACTACTTAGAAATTTGTTGGATTATACTAGTATAAATTTCTCTTTAAAAGAACACTTTTATAATTTGTTTAAATCTACTTGCAACTTGAGTCAGCTTTGACGTGAGTATAATTCTCTCATTCTTTTTGTTTTCATCTTTCCCCTATTTTATATTTTTAGAAGATCTTTGTAACCTATCTATATCACAAATTAAATTAAAATATCCCCCTCCCATTTTTTTGTTGAAGAAATTCAATGAACGAGAGATGTTTTACTGACACAAATTATTTGGTCAAAACCCTGAAAGTCAGTTTCATAATATTAATGTTTTATTTAATTATATGAAAATACTGCCAAAATTATATTGATGACGATAAACTATGAAGAAAAATATTAAAAATAAAAAAGGAGTATTAAGTATCCACTACAATTTAAAAAAATCAAGTTGCGCAGTTTTGCCACAGCCTATAATAGTTTTATATATTATGATTTGTACCAAGAGATTAACCAATTTTTCGATAATATTTCAATAAGAGAATCATACTTAAATTTTAGACTTTTTTTTTTGATTTCTAAGATAACCATGCTCTACACAGAACCATATATCTGTTTCAGAATAAAAAAATTACCATATCCCTACTATGAAAAAGTATTTTAACTAATACCTAACACAGGGGTGGCTAACCTGTGCCGTTTCTAGCACATTTGACAATATATCGAATGGAACCCTTAGCGTCAGATAAAATAATATCATTTTTAAAGATTTCTAAAATTATGATTTTCAATTTTAAATAATAATATAACGCAATATTATTATTAGATATAAACTAGATTATTACTATCAAAGTGGAATTTCCAGATTAAAAATTATGTGTATCATAATAAAGTTAGTCATATTATAATCACCATACGTTAACAACTAGTTTGTGTGTGTAATCGTGAAAATGACATCTAATAAACCAAAGTAATAAAAATGAGATTCTTTGGCACATTTTTAAAACAGAATAATGGATAGAAAAATTAAATCGTAGAAGGGAAAATGTTTTATTTGGCACAATATAGAAAAAGGTTGGATACCTCTGACCTAATATAACATATTAATTAAACAAATACAACAATTTAATAATATGTATAAAGCAATTACTTTTATAAGAATATATTTTGATTGTTAAAAATGAATACATTGCTTTAATTTATTTATTTTATGACGACTTGGAAGGTGAAACAGCTAATATGATGTTGTTAAACCATGGATGCGTCAAGATAAAAAACATATAATTTAATAAACTTAAATTATAATTTTAATTAGTAAGTATAACTACTTACTTTGAAAGGCCAAAGGAAATTCATTGCATACTTAAAACGACGATCGGCCCTATATATACAATGAACCAAATCTTCTGTACAAATGATACCATATTTCCCCAATTTCTTTTCAATCATTTCATTGTTGGTGATTGGAATGCGTTGTCCGTTAATTTTGGCAAATCCTCTTTTGTAAACCAATTCTCGTACACTCTTTAAATTAGGATAACCCCAGGTCACATAGGGTTCGCAAATTCTCAACATATTTAATGTGGCCTAAAAAAAAAAAACAATACAAAAATTATATATGTAATATCTAAATTATTTCCAATTAATTATTACTTTGTTCAATTTGATGAATATTCCATTATTGATTTGACGTAATCTGAACAACTGCAATACTTTTTTTACTTTAGGTGCAACTTGGTTTACACTGGAATTATATTAAAAATTATAATTTCGAAACTTACCAGATTTTAACATTAAAATCACCAACATACCCCCGAATACGCATGATAAAAGCTAATTTTGGTTCAGGAGGAATATAAAAATCACCAGCTTTTTTAGCATTCCTTGCCAAACGTACTTCATCTCTTTCTTTCATTCTAAATTCCTTAACATAAGCTTCAGCACGTTTAAAATATTTTTTTGTTTTCTTAGCTCGTTCTTTGCGCTCCTAATAAACAAAAATAAAGGTCATGGTATAAATTTAATAAAACAAAAGAATATTAAACATATTCTACAGTTTACTAATATTTATGTTCAATACTAAAGTATATAAATATAAATATATTCACACATTAACTATTATTAAAATGTATAACATCTCTTATGTTAAAAATTTGACTTTACCAGAAGTATATTTAGTAATAATATAGGTAGTTATTAAGCTATGTATATTATATACTTGATTATCTGGGTACCGATAAAGATCTTGAACAAATTTTAAATTTCTTCAAGTTAATGTACTTAATCTAAATCCTAGTTGATAACCAGTTGCAACTGGTAATTAAACAGAAAAAAAAAAATACAAAAAAACGTGGCCTATTCGTATGGTCAGATTCAAACCAGATAACTGTGATTACAGATACATCCAAACAATTGAATGAATTTTGTATAGATTCCTATTCAAATATAGATTTGTTTAATCACCGTAGGGGAAAGGTCTATAATTGGTACATCAGTTGAGTTTATAAAATTAGTGTACAACACCAGATATATAATATCTAGGTATTTTTATTTGTATAAAACTTCCATTTTCTAACTGTATGTAAGAATAAATGACCAAAAGTGTACGGAAGTCTGGTTTTTACTAATCTTAAAAAACCCCACACACTTTGAAAATATTACTCATGTACATTAAACACAGTGTAATAATTTTAAAATATAATGCTAATTCCCGATACTGTAATACTAAATATTATTGTCATTCGCACTACTATATCCTACCAACAGGGTAACTCCATTTATTATATAAATAAATTCATAATTACTCTGTATAAATTTGCATAAATGGAAATAACCACATATTATTAGTATTTCCAACATTTAGACTTCACAACATACAACTTTTCGGTACTTACTATTAAACAAGACTATGGCTATTATTAAATCATCATTTCTAGCATTTCAATTCACAATTATCTACCGTAACCTATATTATTAATTTTTATAATAATGTTTCCTTTATATAAAAGTATACTGCTTCGCTGTAGTAATCATGTTTGTTGAAATTGTCATGTATTTAATTTTACAACTAAGTTTTTATTCATTAAATAAGAATATTATGGACATTTGGTCTCTACCTGAGACTGAAGAAAGGTTGCTTCAGGAATGTGGTATTTTACACATCCAAAGAAAATATAAGAATGATTCTGACGTAAAACTATAAACTTTGAAAAACTTATATTTTGGAAGTATAATACTAAAAATTGCCCAAAAAAGGTAAGTGTCTTAAATACCACTTGGTTTGAACACAGTCGTCTTCCATTTGTTAATATTTTAAGATATATTTTTGATTGGGCCAAAGAGGCAAAAATGGTGCAAAGAAAAATTTTATATAGTTTTAATTCGATAACATTTTTAGATATTATAGTTTACAAGTAAATAATTCTACACAACCTTTCCATATTGTTTACAGCTAAAATAAATGAATTCATAAATATCCATAATAAATTATAATATTTTTAACATACCTCAATAGATTTTTTCAATTGCTTAAGTTTGAATGTTGAACGAGCCTTACGTCTTTTGAGTACAGATTCCGGTACGGCCGGAAGCCTTTTTGGGGCACTGAAAAAGATTTGGCCACTTTAAATTTATGTTTCATCATTAAGAATTCATTTATTATAAGGTGAAATTTTAAATTACAAGGGTACCCGTTTAACGTCATAGTAATTAAATTATTAAAGTTTAGGTAATATTTGTCTAAAATTTGGTAACATATTTAGAAGTTAATAAACTGTCGAGAAGATTAATATAGATAAATTAAACTTACTTGTCTACATCAGCCATTTTTGCAGAACAATCAATAAATGACACAATCAGAAACTACAAATACGAAAACAGTAAAATGAACAATCTGGTATGTGAAAATGTTTTGTGGATTTTCAATATTTGAGGTTAGTTGTGCTGAAGAAATTGTTTGATATTATCAGTGTGGCCATAATAACGGTTGATAAATATACTAAATTATTTACTATTTTATAGATTTAAATGATAATGATATAATCAATTCTGTGATTATGTTATCTTATCATATATTCCATCATAGAAATATAGAATAATATTATATTATGATAAGTTGTGAACTAGGAAATAAGAAATATAGAAATAAAAATTATAAAGTTTTGACCGTAGATAATCGAAATAATATAGTATAATATAATTGAAGAACAAAATTTATTCCGTCAAGAAGACAAGAAATATTACAAAAACGGTAGGTATTAATAACATGTTAAATGTATTATACTAATTGAACATAAAATATGTGTTAATGTGATCACATGTCTACGAAATATATTTTTATTTGATATTTTTTATTGAATATCTATCTAAATATATGTATTATGTTTAAACTTCAAGAAAGTATTATAGTATTAACTTTTAGCCATAAATATCTGATTGTCCAAAGTGAACAGATTTTTTTTTTACATTTTTAATTTTAATATTTGAGTAGTCCAAATATGAAATTTCACTATAATTATAAATTGTAAATCTAAAATCAATGACGAATCAAATTTTTTCCAGGTGTTTAAATTCTATTTTAGGCAGTTTTCACTGTATTTAAATGAGAATCTTGGAAAATAAGATCAAGAAAAAAAAGGAACAAAAATTAACGATTCACAATTATGATTATAAATCATCAGTAACACTGACATTAAAGCTTTTAGTAGATTGACTTCAAATTTGCTTGCAACATTATTATGTTTTGTTATCACAGAAAACTCAGTGTTTAAAATACCAGACCTTAGGATTCTTGGGCAGTTTGTAGTATTGTTTGTTGAATATATCCCAGTAAAATAATTTTAAACACGGAGTATAGCAACAGATCTATTGGTTATACTATGATGTTTGTTTTCGTGTTTTTCTTTTCTTTTCAACTTTTTTACCAAAAAAATTGCTCAGAAGAACCGACAATAGCACTTTTTCTGAAAGAGAATTTTCTCTTGTTACTGCTTTCTTACTCCTCCGGTATAAACTTTAAACTGTTATTACTGATTATTAGGTAATTTAGGAATTGGAAACCCTATCACAACCTTATAAAAAAAACATGGATTATAATAGAAAATTATTATACATTACAATTTAGTACAGTGTCACCGATGATTAATAATCAAAATTGTAAATTACTAATTTAAATATTTTAAATTTTTGTAATTTTTTCTTTGGTCTTTTATTCCAACTACCCTTTCAATGAACACCTATTTATAATAAATTTTGTTTGCTTCTATATCAAAAATTTGCCAATTCTTTCTACTAGAGGGATGTAATTGACATCACAACTAATAAACGGGTAATGTTTATCACATTTGTTTTAGCCATGTTCATAAGTAGGACTTAAATGACTATGTAACCCGTGAATGAGAATCACGAACAATTTCTGATATGCCGAATTTTATTGCAATGGATGTCTGCGATTAATGTAAACATGACCAAAAAATAATAAACTATGTCTTAATGTGCCTAACGCGCGTTTTAATATAACGTATTTATCATATTAAGCTAATAGAGAGTTATTTCTAAGACCGATTTCTTTATAATTTTCAATAAATTATTAAGCTTGAGTTACTTCCTTCTATATTTGGAGGAAGTAACTCAACTTTTATTACACCATCATAGTTTGAAATAGTTATAATTAAGGTACAGATTTTAAATGCTCTAAAAAAAAAGAAAAATACCTAAAAAATACAATCTAATGCACCTATAAAAAAGTCCTAAATTTACTAAACACAATATTACATGCAAATAGTGCAATACGACTACATTACAACTAATAAATAGTGTATTGTTTTCTTTATTGCATGGTACTTATCTGGTATAATCGTACAATCAGTAAATTCATAATGTATTTTAAAAATAGAAATATGAATTTTTTTTTTCTAGGGAGAAATCAGAAAACTGTTATCAAATTTTCTGATAACGGTATGAAGTTTGTAAAACAAAGAATAAATTCAAAATAAAAGTTTCATATTTTAATTCTTTGATATATAAAACTAATTTTGTAATTGGAAAGTATTGGTTTTGAACATTCCGAAAAAAATACATTTTGCATTTTAATCTGTATCCTAGTCATGTTACAAACTATAAGCCGATTTTCAAAATGCCTTTTATTCCGAAAATGTTTGAAATTACTAAGAAACTGTCTTTGATTATGCCTCCCTTCTTATATAATAATTAGAACTCTGAAGTTATTGGAGTTAAAAATTACAAAATATGCACAAAAAAATTGGAAAATGTGCATGAAAAAATGTTAAATATGCAAAATATATTCAAATTTTATTTATTAAAAACATAAGTAATGTCATTATTATTAATATACACAAAAAATATAAAGATTAAATGTGAATTTCAACATTGTTGTTAAATTAATAATAAACCAAGACAATAAGAAATAATATTAAATAAATAATATTGAGTTTGGAAAAATAATCTTTTTTTTTTTTTACAAATATTACATATGCATAATATACGAAAAATTATGAAGTTCATAGACTTTTTCTCTAAAATTAGCGAAATATGAAAAATTTGCATTTTTAATTATCATATCCAGTTAGATACTATATTTTACTGATTTTAAAGTGTTTGATAAAATATATTACAAAATTATCTTGTTTTGGTATTCATGAATATTTTTCTAAAAGGTTAAAATCTTAATTATGTTCTTGCGTACTCAGGCAGTTAATACATTTAGTTTTTCCTAATGAATTTTTGATTAATTCTGGTATAGCTTAGGGTTCTCACTTAGGCCCTCTTTTATTTTTATTATTTATCAATGATTTTCCTTCTATTTTAAATAGCTCGGTTGATATGTTTTTTTTTTTTTTTCTGTCGACGATGCCAAATTATTATGAAACTAGAATAAATTTGTTCATTGGAGTTTAGGTAATCACCTACCATTAAACAAAGAAGTGTAGCGTTATTAATTTTTCACTCTTGGGTAATACAATCACCTACAATTATAAGATTTATAATTATTCTGTTACGCAAGTATTTACAATTAGAGACCTGGGGATTCTCTTGGGAATTTCATTTTGACATGGACTTTTCCACTCATATTGGTTCTTTTATTAAAAAAGCTTTTAAGGTGGCCGCCACACTGCCGTAATTAAACTGAAACGTATACAACCCTGTAGAGATAGTGTTGTGCGCCGTATCGCCGCCGTCGCGGCAGGCCGTAACCATGCCCACTACCTCACTGTCTCGACGACCAGTCTGCGGGGTTTCCTTTTTGTGCTGGAACGTGTTTTATTATTCTATAAGTGGTTGTGTTGCTCATATCACGACATTGCGTGAACATAAAACGAACGACTACAACGGCCATCGGTACTCGGGACACACACTGCCATATTGGGTGCACATACTCGCAAATTGATTACTAATTAAAGTTACCGTTTTTTTTGTTTTTTTTTTTTTTTTTTTTTTTTTTACATATGTATGAATAAATAGATTATAAAATATATTTTCTATCATAGAATCGTTTTAATAGCATTACTTTTGTTTTATTTTAATAACTAGCGATGAGTATAATATAGGTACTTATTTAGGAACAATTAAAACGTTACAATGTAATTTTATGGAAACGTTTCGATTGCTTCGAGTATTAATATAATGTTAAAATGAATAGATACAATTGAAGGATTAAATCTAATGCTTATTAAAATGTATATATAACAAAAGATAAAATATCACACAACAATTTAAAATAATCATTTTTTTTTCCTGTGCTTTTCTTTTTTTATGCTTCAATTATACAATTAGGATTTCTAATCAGCATATTTTTAGAATGCCTAGGATCAATGAACTCAAGTAGTAAACAGTTATAATAAAAATCTTAATCTTGGTAACATTTTTTCGTTCCAAAAGATGTCATCTTTGAAAAAATTTTCTGACTTCAATCCTATTTTTGTCCAGAATGCTATAATACAATATTTTCTTTGGGTTATATTTAATTAACTTTGTACTTGAACATAATATTTGTGGTTTTTATTTATTTCTGTACCCACGCCTTCTTTATTGTTTTTCCAAAATGTAATTTTACCATTTTTAATGCTCTCATTTGGTGATTTGATGTCAAATTTTCTGAAGACTGGCACTTAATTTCAAAAATTCCATCATTTCCAATCAAACCATCTGACGTTGCACCAAAATAAAAATGTACTGGATGAATAACTAAGCCACATTGTGGTGTAATTTCAATTGTTAATTCTTTTTCGACTTGATATTTTACTTACCGTTTCTGACAACGAATTGTACATTGTTCTGTAGGATTTCTTACACCAACTACCATCGGCCACCACGGGTATTAAAGGTACACCATCCACGTCAATGTCACCTGCCTCACTAGCTAAACATGTTTCTTTAGCTGCAGTGTATATGATTTGAGTTGCAGCCTTTTCAAACTTTTAATATACAACATTATGTTATTTATTATATGTATTGTTCTTCATTGTGGGAATCTCTAGTGTCATAATTTCTTTTATTTGTCCATATCCTCTACCTATATTGATAATGCCAATTACAGCTGCGGTGTTAATTTTAATCATATTTGATTTTTCATCTTCAGTTTCAATAACAGATTTTATATTACACATTTGACATTTGGAGATAAATGATAACATAAAACCATGTCTACGCCCATTTTCAAATAGAATATCTTTGAAAGAACATGAGAACTGTGCATGATCAATTTCTTGTATTTGTTTTATAAAAGACAATAACTTAATTATTCGTCTACCAGTTATTTCAAATGAGTGAGAGAGAGTTGGTTTTATAGGTGACTCGCTTGTGATTAAAAAGCTGTTTGCACTAGTGCCACTGACATCAAACGTTTCAAATAAGTTATAAATACTATTTTGACCATTATAAAATTGCTCAATAAATATGTCGTTCTCAGAAATAATTGGTCATTATCAATTGTCGGCGGTTTAAGTGAAGTTTCTTCCCTTATTACAATTGTATCTTGCCCGCTAAACATTTATTTTAGTTATTATAGAAACTTTAATCAAAATTTTATAAGCAATAATTATATATGCATACCTATATCTGTTATTCCAGTGCATTTCAAGATTCGTAGATAACTATATCATGGTTTATACTGATTTTAGACATAAAGCCTCTTGTATTTTTACAGTGCCCTTTACCAACCCTATTCTAATCATAGAAAATGCATACAAGAAGTATTTATTTTTATACTTTTTGACAATAATTTTAAAATAATAGATTTCTTAATACAATACTAAACTTGAGTTGTGCCAAAAAAAAACTTGTGACGCAACTTTTGAACTTTTACATTTGAATTTCAAATGCATATAAAGAAAGGTTTTAATAAAATATTTTATATACACTCAACTTTTTTTTTTTTCATTAAAAGTACACATTATAGTTAACCTCATATACAATTTTCATGCAATTATAATGGGCGAAAAAATTTGTATACAACTTATTCGAAAAAACGCAAAATACCGTAATAAAAAAGAACAGAAAAACGTTTTGACATTTTTATTGGACATATAAATTGTAAATATTAGTATTGTGTAAAAATGTTTAATTCCTACGTTTTATTATTTTGTTCGTGTTACAGCACATTAATATATACCGAAAATAATGAAATCATAATTTTCCTGTTTTTTCCCTGTTTATCCTAAGTATAATTTTGTCCACTTAGAAAATCAATTTCTTGTTCAAAAACTAGAAACAAAAATTTTTCTATAAAAGATGCTACACTTAAAAATCAGAACAATATTTCTAGTAAAATGCATAAGTTAGAAAAATTTAAAATAATGAAATCGGCATGTCGTAAATATTTTCCGTTTTTCACTCTTATTGCGTACGATTTCCACTAACTGGTGGAATTTATTAGAATTGCTCTAACACTGAAGATGTACTTTTGATTATATTATATTGAGACATTGGGTATTGACTTCTGAATTTCTTTTGTAATAATCATAAATATAGCTTTATTTGTTGATATTATGGATAACCCTAATTATTATTCTAGCTTAATGGATAATAAAAATGCATCAATCAAATACAAACTTGTATTGAACATGCATAAAATATAATATACAATAGTTATAGTGTCAAAAATGTGCCTACCTACTTTGTGAGGTTTGCTTTGAAGGTCACTGGTTTGCAAATATAGTCTTAAAATCTTAATAAATATGTCATTTTAGATTCTAAGCGGAGTGAAGAATTTATTAAATTAAGTTGAAACTTGTACTCGCATTATGTTATTTTGCTAATGGTTTCTATAATAACCTGTTTATTTACATAAATAAAGACCAAAGAATAATTATAAAATGCAATCAATATTTAAACTTTTGTCTGGATTTTTTTTTGTGATTTTAATTATGTATTTTTTTATTTTTCAGATTGAAAATGTCTACCCTAAATCCTAAATCTGGTTTAAATAGACTATTCCCATTTGCTAAGAAGAAGCCTAATATACCTTCTAAAATATTAGATAAATCTGATACAAAGACAAGTAAACAAAAATCGGTTGAAAAGAAAAATTGTCTTATTATAAAAAATCCAGAGCAAATTCAATGTGAAATTTTAACAGAAAATAATGAAAAGCTTAAAACTGTTCAAGAAAAAGCAATTAGCAATGAAAGTCCTAAAAAAGTTTTAATAGATACTTATAAATTAATTATATCTCAAAATAATGAATCAGATATAAAATCTATTTCACGGAAATTATCTAATGCATCAGAAATTAGTATGGAGGGAATAAAAAAATCTAAAGAAACCTATCAACGTTGGAATATTCCTCTATCAAACAAATTCAAAGGCAAAGATGTTGATAAAACTTTATTAACTATGCAAGATTTGATATATTATAATCCAGTTTCTAATCCTATTCTTAGAGAAACGAAAATTGAACTTAAAGAAGAGGATGATCCAGATAATGATTTATTACCTATAAAAACTGTAAGGAAAACCATTTATTTTAAACATTATTAAAGTCTAGTTTTAAAATATTTTTTGTGGAATTTAACTGAGCAAACGTTACACAAGTTTTAGCATTAAGCAGAAGCATATTTAAGAAGGTGGGAAATGGGTATTATTATTAGTACATTATTAAGATTTCATTTAAAATGTTAATATAAATATAAATAACTATTTGTGTTGTTATTTATTTATACATCGTAATTTTATTTTTTTCAGGATCAGGATCAAAAATCATCAGTTCCCAAAAATTGCATTACCCCATGTATTAAAGTAGGAGCAGATGGTAAAATAATTATTGATCAAGAAACATTAACTTTAAATGAGACTGGTCTTGAAGAAAAACGAGAAGAGTTGGCCAAGTCTAAAGTTATTGAAGAATCAACATTTCGAAGTTTTTCTTATAAACGCAAACAACAACCTTCCAAAAAATGGACCAAAGATGAAACTCTTAAATTTTATAAATGTTTAATGAACCTAGGTACTGATTTTTCAATGATTGAGCAATATTTTCCTGGTCGCACACGAGCTCAAATTAAAAGAAAATATAAGACTGAAGAAAAAAAGAATCCTCAACTTATAAATGGTGCTTTAACCAATACAACACATTATGATGGTCTTCTTATAGAAAATATGTTCCAAGAAGATGAGGATTTTAAAGAAACTGAAAAAGATAAAATAAACAAAGTCAATGAGAATTTAGAAATGAGTGTACCACCAAAAACTCGTAAGAGACTTCATAAAAATTTAATAAGATCAGATTGTAGTAGAATAAGTCCTTGTGCTTATTTAATGGAGGAAGAAATTGTATTAAAAAAAAAAAGAAAACCTGAGGGTAAAATGTCAACAGCGGATTCTCTGAAAGCAGAAGTATCTGTTTTAAAGTCCTTAAAGGACAAGAAAAAAAAATATCTACCCTCAACTACTGTAACAAATAGTAAAATAAAAGCTATACCTGAAGTCAATGAACAAAATAGTAATCCATTACCGAAAGTTCGAAGATTGCAAGATTTTCACGAAGAATATGAGGAGTATACTCTGTTAGAACAAGATTCAAATAGTGAATAATGAAACAAACTTCAAATTCATTTTTTTAAATTTTAGTTAACAAATTGCAACAGTTTATTGAACATTTTTCGTATTAATCAAGGAAATTATTATTAATAGTTCAATAATTTATTATTGTTCACATTAAACTAGATGCTTTTAAAAAAAAAATGTCATGTATCCATATATTATAATTGTCTTTACTATATAGTTTCATTAATCTTGAATTAAAATTAAAATTTTAATTAAACTTGGTGTTTATAATATAGTATGTATGCATATTTTGCAGTAGAACAGGCAGTTCCTTTCAGATAATATTTATATTGTTTTAGAAAAAAAAAGTTTACAAATAAAATTATACATATTATACATATTTATTACATTTGATTATATTGGTGGTAAAATACCATTAAATTTGTTTCATTAAAAATGTTTTAAACCTGCCTTTCTCTCCCACTACTTGTACCCTGAAAAGTATGGCAGTATTCATATTTGATATACTACTTGGTTTTTTGTGAGCAGTTGAGTAATATTTTGTACTGTTTGATTTGTGTATTGATAAAATACACCAAGTAGCCTAAGATTTTAAAATAATGTTGATACATTTTTTTCACTTGGTAGTCTATTATTGAATAACATTTAGGTTACTTTTTTTATGTTATTAACATGGAACATTAAAAAAGAAGAGATCATTTTTTATTAGGCTTCAAGAAACAATACCGCAACTAAAATCAAATCTTGTAACAACATATTCAAAAGCTCACTGACACTGAGTGGGACACCAACTTCTGAACATTGGGAACATCTTCTATCGCATTTGTGTACTTATCTACAGAGTATCAATTGCGCCCTGAATGGTTTAATAGTGCACACGAGAATTAAATACATTCTTAGCTGATCCATGGCATGCACTTAATTTCTGGAACATTGATATGTTATCGGCTGCTAGTTTTACGTAGAAAATAAACTCTCCTAATCAAGTGAAAAAAATGTACCTAGACCCTGTCTTTGCTAATCCACTCTTACTATGCTCATCTTGCAAAGCCTCAGAGGCTTAAATTAAGAAGACTCCCATGGAAGACAGTGACTGAATTAAATACATGCTTAAAAGGTAAAATAATCTCTATCAGTGGCTATTTTTGTATGCACTACTATTTTAATAATATTCCACTAATCTTTCCTTTCCTAAACTGAAAAGTGCAATACCTCGTTAACAAATTAATAGAAATTAAAATGTCAACACCAAAATTAATTTTAATTAAAAAGTTATACACTTGTATTTATGGCATTTTTTTAAATTTATTTAATTGATTGTTTCAGCATATTTATATTTTTACAATGGTAATTTCAGTAATCAAAAAAAAAAAAATTGAAATATAAATTTTATAATTTATATATAAACGTGAATAGAGGTAAAAATAAATAATGTACAGGATAATAAGTGGTTACAATGAATCAGAATCGGATTCGAATGAATTTATAGGTAACAAGACTTCCTGCGGAAGACATGGTTTTAGTCTGCAGTTTCTTGTTTGCTCCCTATTCTTATAATAAAGTGCACCTTCAGTTTATGGAATTTTTAATAAATGTTACTATTTTAAAACCAAAGTTGATAGTTTTAAAATATAATGGTAAATAAGGGCATCTTCAGACCTTGATTATAGGGGAGAGGGGGCGAAATAATTAAATTTAATATTAATGATCAGTAAGAAAATACGGACATACTTCGCATAATGGATAGATTACTGTTATAGATGAGAAATTGACAAGGTAGGATATTGAGGGAAATTTAATACCTAATCAAATTTAAGCATTGCCAACGAAAAACGATTCTGAATGGAGTTTGGTTAATAGTATTGCTTTTTGGTGTCTTCGAGCCAATTTTCACTCTTGAATACCACTGCTTTGTTCAACAAAAACTTAAAACCATTTTGTCTAATGTCATTTTAAATGATATTAGTTTTAGCTTAGATGAAGATTACAGATATATTGTACAAATGCAGTAAAGCAGTACAATTTAAAAGATAAATTAATTTTGTTCACATTAAATAAATAATAATTAAAATAAGGATAATATTAATACAAATAATAATAACAATAATTAATAAAATTTAGATGATCAAGTCCAAAATACTTTTATTATAAGCAGCGTTTTGCAAGCGGTTTTATCAACATTTTCTATATAATATAAGTTTTCTGTCGAAATTTTAAGTCTCTACGAATATATTTAATTGAATTAAAACAAAAAACAAAATTTGAAAATAATAAAAGCATTATTTTCGTAAATTTTTCCGTTTTTTACGTTTTATCCTGGATTTTCCTGGTATTATGAAAACTACCTTCCTAAAGTACCTATAGTCAATATGACAATATTTTATGACAAGGTTCTACACTTACATATTTAAGCAAGATTTTTGGCAGAAATTTTATCACAGTAAAAAAAAAAAAACATTGTAAATCCAATATGTACCTACATTCTATGCTAGATTCAGAATCTAAAATTTAAATTAAATATATCATTTTGATTCTAAAAATATATTATTTCATTATATCTTTGCGAATTGATTATTTCTACTTAGTGAACATTTGAAAAAGTTAAAGAATTATAATATCTTGGATTACTACTCGCCACAAAGAATAATTGCAAACGCAAGTTTCTTTTACACTATCCAAATTTTTCAAATCTAAAATTCTCTCTAAGCAATAAAAGTCTGTACATGGCAATATTTAGATTTAAGGTCACTTATAGATGTGAAGAATGGACAAGTAAGATTGGAACGACAGTAAGAAGACTTGAAACTTTTAAAAAAAAGATTTTTAGAATGTGTGGACCAGATCAGGACACAAGGTCGAATTAATGGTAAAAGATCAAGAAGAACTGAAATTAACACCAATTACTAGTTATATAAGAGAACAAAGAATACAGTGGTTGTATTATATCATGAGAAGAAACGGACGTCGTTCAAAACCGCATACTTACCGTTCATAAACACACTTTTTACATCGTACAATACCGCACATATTTTGCCTATTGTTAAAAATGGACATTTTGAAGGTTGATAATTCAAAACCGCACACATTTGATTAGCAGTGAAAAGCATTATAGGTGGAATTAGAGACTCAATGTGGTCACTCGGACTATTTTATTCGAAAATAAACCTCGATTTGTTGTGCCAAACCACGTAGATAATAAGGAAAATTAATAATCATTATACGTGGAATTAGAGACCACGTCCAATAAAACACAAAGTAAAATTTGTGCGGTGTAGAAAGGTAACATTTTAGGATAACTACATATACAAGTGTGCGGTTATGACGACTGCTGTATGAAACCATCAGAGCAGTTATAGAATGGAAACAAAAAGGAAAAATACTAAGAAAGGGATAGCTAGGTGTAGTGAAACAGGATTTGAAATCTTTGTTAGAACAAGAATGGAAGGATAGAAGATTGAGAGATATGGAAAGATGTACTGATGGGGCCAAAGACTACTAGTCATAAATATCGGTGAAGAAGAAAATTTGGTGCCCCTGTGCCAGTTATTTCATTTCTCAGGCTCCGACTATAAGTACATTATAAAATCAATAGTATTGCCCTAAAGATATATATACATATAATATAACCATTGGCGAACCTAGTAGGGACTAAGGGACTTTAACCCTCTCTCATTGCCCTTAGTAAATATAACAAATAATAATAGAAACTATTCAGCATTGAAAACTTAATGTTAATAATATAATAATTATTGCACATTTGCATTACTTATTCCAATAAGAACAAATAGCTTTTTTTAAGTAATGTTTATTTAGTTTAACCCCTCCCCAATTAAAATTCTGGGTACACCACCAAGTAATACAATGTATTTGTATGCTACCTCAATTTCAATAAAGCAGGTTGGATTAGGGCCTAAAATACATCAGATTTCAGAGGACACACTTTTTAATTTAATCGATAGAGTTAATAGCCAAAAAAAAAAAAACCTGTGGCAGGCCGTAAATCTTTATACACTACTGTCACTTCTTACCATACATATTTATACTATTTATATCTAATAAATGTGTACTAAAAATTATTAACACAAAATAAATATAAGTAAAAGTTTAAATTAAGTTTATTGGTCAGAGTGTTCTCATTAATTTATTGTTATCATCTTTAAACATATTTCTTAAATAAAAACTAAAGTACACAATATTAAATTTAGTACACACATTAGTAACTCAAAGAAAACACTTTCCTAAAATAATGTGTCAGGGGACACATTATTTTAGGTCCTGGGTAGGATTTAACATAGTACATAAACTATATAATTTGTATTAAATAAAACCCTGTTCTTTTTTTTTTTTTTATTTATTTATTAGAATTAAAACTTTACAATTATAGTAACAAAATCTACAAAGAATTAGATTTTAGTAAATCTAATATTAATTAATAAAACTAACGTACCTAATAATATATATATATATATATTGTCTTTACATTTAGTTATAACAATAATTTGTATAGCTTTTAAAATAAAAACTTAAACTTTTATTAAATATTTAATGCATAAATATATAAATGAACACATATTTAAATTCAATTATTTAAAAGAAACAATACAATACAATTATAAATTGAAGTACCTAAGTAAGTACATATTAAGTGTCACCAAGAAAATAAAAATAGGAGCAATTTTCAAACGTACCTAATATTAATCAATATTTAAGATAAACTTGTTATTTTGGCAAAATGGATAGTCTATTAAATTGTATGTCTAATAATAATATAATAAAGTTATTTCATCAAATATATATATATAAAATTTAGTTTTAAAATTGAATTTATAAGTTAAATGGTTTTATTTAGTACCATCTAATATTAAAAAATCATGATTTATAAAAAATAAATAATAATTAGTTTAAAAAAGCATAAATATAATTTACTTATTTGTCTCAATTAACAATAATATCATAAAATATAAAATTAAACAAAGATTAGCTTAAAATCACATTTTTTATTATTGTAACACAAATGTTACATAAGAAAAACAGAATGTCTGAGATATTATAAATGTATTTACTACAGGCATATGGCAGTGGCATATTATTTATTTAGCATTAAATAAACATATATACATGTAAAATTAATATATTCCATGAAGTTTTCTATTTCTTGTTAATTATTATTATTATTACAAGGGAAAACCAGAAAGTAAGGCTATAACGGGTGAGGAGGACAAAGAATTTTTTTTTCAAAGTTGATACCACTAATGTGTAGAAGTTCTTATGGTCAAAATAAGCAATTGAGTCAAGAACAACTTCAGTCGGTTGTCAAATGCTGTCGCAGCAGCCAAATGCGTCAACCAGTTTATCATCTATTAGCTCCATTAGCAGGTATCAAATTCACTCAGTTTTTTCTTGAGCATTATCAAAGAAATGATGAAACCTTTCTGGAATTAGTTGTTACTAGGGATGAAACTTGGGTGTTCACTATACTGAGTCAAATAGGCAGTCTCTATAGTGACACCATACCCATTACCCAGCCAAAAATATCCAAGTTCAGGTTTTAGAGAGAAAGAACATAGCATCTGTTTTATAGGACTGGAAAGTAATTTTGTTGATGTAATGTTTAAAGGGACTATCATCAATGCTGCTACAAATCCTAAATAAGGTTGAAAAAAAATCAAAGACAAAGTAGAAGAAAGCTGACTCGTGGCATGACTAAGCCAAACCCACCTGGCTTACTCAGAACCTACTCGTTTCATTAGGATGAGATACCGTGAATCATCAGTCCTAATCCTAGGACCTGAAACCATTGGTTTGCCAGCTTGCATTAAATTGAAGGAGTTTTTGGGTAGCCAGCGATTTTTTAAGAACTAATGATTTCAAGGAAGCTGTAAATAAGTAAGAGATGAAGCGGAAGTTTTATAATGAGGGTATACAAAAGTTAGTGCTCAAACTTCAAAAATGAATTGATCTTAATAACAATTATGTGGAGAAATAATGACATATTTTGAAATAAATCCTGTAATTTTTAATACAATATATGTATTTTTTTGAGTTTTAAAACGTATTTTAACCTTACTTTCTGGATATTCCTAGGAGATATTTGTTATATCATTTTATCTTGAAAATATTTAAATTAAGTAGATAATACAGTTTATAGCACAACAATTAAGACAGTTAAAAATTAATGTCTACTTATACCATAATATACCTAATGGATTAAATTGTTATTTTGGTTTTCAAAACATAACATTGTAAAGTATATCAAAGTATTTGAAGTGTATTAAAAAAAAACTGTTCAACCAAAAAACAGCTTTATCTGAGCACAAGAATTTAATACATCTATATTATAATTGTTGTTCAGCTAGTAATGTTACATATAATGTTTTAATATTTAAAAGTAAGAAGTTAAAAAAGAAAACCTATTGTTTTCTATTTTTAGTATATATATCTACATTATCACAACTCACGATTATTATTAATTTATATGTGTTTTTAGCCAAGACCAAAAACCATGAACAAAACCATAAAAACGTAACTTATTTGATGTTATGGCATTTTTTGTATTCATTAACATGGTTATATATCAGGAAACCATTGGATGACTGGTTGCTGATGCAGAGTCATCATCAAATGGAAAATCATCACTAATCCAATCTCCTTCATCAGACATTGTAATAGATGTGTATACCATATGGCGGCGTTCAGCAGCAGACATTGAAAAATGACTGATAAATATCAAAAAAAAAAAAAAAGTCAGGTAAGTGTTTGAAACACTTAACCAATGTCAGAATTATAAAAAAACAACTGTGAACATGCTTTTTTTATAATTAAATAATAATCACAATTATTATTATTTAGTAAAATTCATCAAGCATTAATTGGTATTTTGAATAAATTTACAATAGCAAAAAAGTAATTATTATTCTACTACATAAATTTAAAAAAAAAGACGACAGTAATGGGTACTATTTGCTTTGATATTGAAATTTAAATAAAAAATACATATCAAAATAAATTGGTTTATTTAATAATTTCAATTAAGTTAAATAGTATTAAATTTAAAATTAATATTCCCATGACTGCAATACAAATAGACAAGAAAAAAAAAACTATTAAGTAACAACAAAAAACGGATGTTTTGCAAAATAGAAGTTTTATTAGTAATTGTGGTTAACTTCAATGTATAATACAAATATTAAAACTTTACAAAAGCCAAATTATAAACATAATAAATGAAAGTAAATGAAATACGCAATAATAATAATAAACTAAACAACTAAATACAGTTAAATATACAAAATATATTTGTGAATATAATATATTTTTAAAATCAGAATAAAATAATATACATAAGTGTACATAATCAGTAATCAGATTACCTGATGACCGCTTGATGATGGTCACTTATTTTATCACTGCCAGTTTTCTCAAACATTTTTTCAACTTCCATTTGTGTATTTTGGAGGGTGTCGTAAATCTAATCAGAAGAAAACAAAATATTAATAACTTACAAAAAATAAAAATAAACTAAATAATGGTTAATGAATACATAAAGGGTAGTGGCATAATAGTTGTGCTAAAGGTAAATTCCACAAAAAGTAGTAACTAAAAATTCTATATATATAGATAATAAGTTTAAATACATTTTGGTATTGATATTTTTAATTTTCATTAGACCATTTACGAGATTTTAAGTTTTGGTAAAAGAAGTGCAGTAGAACATTAATATAAATGTAAGCACACAAATGATCCACTACTTTGACCCGAAACTATTAGGGTTTATTGACAGAAATTAAAAATGTCAATATTGGAATGTATTTAAATTTTAAACTAATAGTCGATATAATTATTTATTTTTTAATAGAGGTTACTATTTGAAAATCAAAAGTGGGTTGTTTCCCCCAAAACTAAAAAAAAAATTTCCAATTCATGAATGTCTTACAGTATATTAATCACACTGTATTTTATTACTTTAATTTTAAATTTGATGTCAAAAATTAAATTGTCATTGATTTTTGGTGGTATTTGTATAACTAGTAAATTATTTTTGATATAAAAACTGCAATTTGAATAATAATACTATTAATTTCAATTATTCATTTTTAAACAAGAATTGTGAGTAATTTTTCTTAAATAAAATAAAATTGAAAAAAAAAATTATTATCTACCAATACCCTTTACATATTAACTAAACTTATAATACTAATATTAACTAACCTAATAATGACTAATCTAATTAAGTGAAAATAATATTAATGAATGGATGTTAAGTCAATCAAATTTGAATTTATATGTATTATCATTGATTATACAATAGACTAATAGCCCATGCAATGTTAATATCTTTATCCTATGGGCTACTTATCTATTGTAATTTTTTTGTTTTTTATTTATAATTTATACTACTAAAATTAACTTAAAAGTAAAACAATTCATATATTTTTATTTTTTTTGGCAAAACACTAATTTCTTTGTTTTTTACAAAATTGGACAAAACCATTTTTTACTTAAAATATAATGTATATTAATTTCATTATCATAATATAACATTGAATACTACCTTAAATAATATTTTTTAATTTTTCTTGTAAAACCATGTCATTTTCATTAGAGAAAAAATAAAAAGTGGATTTATGAAGTAAAACTTATATTTGAATTCTTTTTTTGTTTTTGTTTTTAGTAAAATAAATAAAATAATCGAAACGGTATGATCACAATGAATTCATATTTATATATTATTTTAAAGATTCTGAGTGGACTAGAAAAATATTAGTTTTATTGAGTTTTTATTAGCATTTTTTATATGGTTAGTGCACAGGTCAATTTTATTTATCCATATTTTTTTTATTTTAATAATTAGAAAAAAACCGATAACAAATTCTTATACGCGAGTTTGGGATGAAATCAATGGGACACAAAAGTCTGAACTCTTAATCATAAGTTAATATATGTTTGATATAATTTTGGTCAAAAATTTAAATTTTAAATTCTACATGAATATGCATTGTTCACTTGAATTTTTAACTCAGTTTTTATTTTTGGTGAACATTTGGGCTCATTGGTGACAAATGGAAAAAATGCCCTTAACAATTAGTTAAACCAGATAAGTTAATTCACTCAGAATCGTATTTGATTTGTAATGATTTATTATTGTTTTTTGTATAAAGTTTGCCCTATGTCCTATCTTACTACCTAAATCAAAATCTAACAGTGGTGTTAGGTATTCCCAACTTTTTTCTTGTTACCGAATGTATAATTTTATTTACAATTCTGAAGTAGTTCAAAGGAGTTATATTAATTAAACATATTATTTTTTTTTTTTTTTAGGAAATATATAACTAAAAATGTTCAAATTTTCACATTGTCTCTTAAATTATGCAGTTTTTCTGCCTGGTGGTACACTTTAATTGAAATATTTTTTTAGATTTTCTAGATTTTTCAAATTTCATCCTCTCTATACTAGAATTTTTGACTTCAAATAAAAATATTTAATTTTTCTTTATAGACTTCTGGTTCTCTTGATTAAAGAGTTTACAAAAAGTATACAAATTAAATAGTTGTAACAGATCAGTTAGTTTGAAAATATAATAAAATCTTAGTATCTTAAATTGATGAAGTAACAAGCTTTGTCAGCCCATTATAGAGGTTACACAATATGTTAAAGAAATAAAACAATGTTTAATTGAACTCAACTTTGAATTATTTATTGTTTGGTATAAGATATATCGTTATTTACATTAATATAAACTAAATCATCCATATCTAACTTCCTAAGAAAATCATTGATACCCATGGTACAAAGCAGTGGTGTATATCCCGAGGTGTTGCTCTAAATTGTGTATAGGATCAGCCCACTCCAAATTCCATTAAACAGCTAATTATAAACTTTAACATTTACAGCACTTGTTCAAAGTATGTCTTAACTTTTTTAGTTTTCACTGTTTTAAAATGTTAGCATTTACCAAAAATTTTTCTATAATATAATATATTGACTAAACCCTTATGGCTAATGTCAAAAATTTTTAATTCAGTTTATATTATTAATAAATATGTTTTTCAAAACTTGTGACCTTCTAGTTATAATAAGTTATGAGAAATGATTTACAGGTTTACCGCGCACAATCAAAATGTCATCAAAGCTTATCTAATATATCATTTGTTTCAATAATATCATAGTCAGTTTTTTATTCTTCCTGAAAATTTGGATTTATAGAACATATTTGAATATTTATAGAAAGTACATTCACATTTAATCCTTATACACACATCTCATTTAAATATTTATTTTGTCCAATTTTATCTTTATGGACAACAGTATAAAATACTGATGAAAATAAAAATAAATAATCTATAACTTAAATCAATCCATTAATAAACAATCAATTCAATTTACAAAACTTTAAAACTTTAATTACAGCATTTGAACATTTTAGTTTATCTAAATTTAATATAATATGTATATAAAATACTGAGTAAGTTTAATTTAATTATATCTACTAACGGCCTGTAATAAATTAATTGTAATTAGTTAATTCTACAGGGCACAACCAACAATTTAAATAGTAATAACTTATTTTACCTAATTTAAAACTAATGTCACACAATTTAATATAATATGATTTACCAATTGTTGCAAACTCTAAAAATAATATTACTGTCTGTATTTTGAATAAAATAATAATAATAATTAAGTAATTTTTTACTACAGAATTTTTATTTTCAAAGTAGATAATTTTGTTGAAAATATATTATGAGAAAAATCATAAGTTATATTAAGCCATTATATCAATGCAAAATATTTATTTATAGATGTTAATTAAATAAATTTAAATACTTATAATTTAATAAAAATTGTTTCAACATAAAGTAATATGTAATAAATGTTTATTTAACTAAAAAAATTTAAATGTTTTTTTTTTTTTATTCATTATGATTACTGTAACTTAAAAATCAAAAAGTTAACCCATATCAAATAATAACACGTGAATAATTGTATAGAAAAAAATTATTTCATATAAAATAACCTAATATAAAATGAAACAGTAACCATTTTCTAAATTATATTTTAAGGCTATACTAGTTTCATAATTACTTCATGGTGATTAAAACACTCCAACTCACATGCTAAGAAAACTCCATATAAAAAATACCACCCACTTACAACATTTAACATTTTTATAGGCGAAATATGCATTTCTGAAGCACCACATAATTGGCTCCTTAATCATTAGTAAAAGCATAAAGAATTAATTAATTGAATAATTAACTTGATTACAAAAACAAAATATGTATAATAAATAAAAATCATCAAAATTGTTAAAGTATTAATTAAACAATATTCAATAATTAAAGTTATAATTAGAAGTATAAATATATTTTAAAAATCTTAAGATAATTATATAATTATTTCAAACCTATCAATTTTGTAGTAAACTACACAATATATAACATAATAAAAAATATTTAATATAAGTAATTTAAATTAAAAATTGTTTCCATATAAAAAAATTCCAAAATTCTCAAATATAATAAATCAGTATTTTTATTATTATTTTATATTTTTTGCGAGTTTCAAATAAAATTATTTTTTTAAAACCACAATTTATTAAAACTTATAATCTCAAATACAATAAACCTGTTTAAAAGTAAATGATCAATTCATATTTCAATATTTATGCATTTGTAAAAATCAAATATAGTTAGATTAAGTACCAAGTGCCATATAAATAAAATTGCCTAACATTATGCTGATTAATTTTAATCAGATATTAAATCAATAGAAATCATACTTTTCAAACTAAAGTTTGTAAACAAGTACCAAACTAATTGTGAATATTTCAACTGAACAAGTGTACTTCTTTCCAAAAATAATAATAATATGTTACCAAATTTATGACACATAAAATTTATATTTTTGTTTTTTTAAAAATACTTATAAATTATTTTTTAGTTAATTAAAATATTACTTTTGATTGCTCTTCGTCGTTATCTGGCACTTCTAAGTGAACTTTTGATTGACATAACATATCTAGCATAGCAATACCTTGAAAATAATATATATACATACTATAATACCTAGTTATATAATGGGATAATTATGTAAAACAATAAATATGCTGATATATATATTATTATTTTTATTTAAAGATGGTCCTTTAATATGGGTGATAAGAAAAATGTTTTCATGAAATATTATTAAATTTGATAATATTCTTATTTAAGCTGAGTGTTTGGTAAACGTTTATTATTTATAATTAGCAAGAAAAAACATTTTTAATTTTATTAAAATTCAATTTTTTTTAAAAAATAATTTATAAAATAATCTGGAATGGTAAAAAAATAAAAATAATAATACAAAATCTAAATTTTATATATTTGATAGAAAAAGTTACATTAATTATTAAATAGTTCTGTTACACCTGTTTATAAATATACATATATAAATACAAAATTATATTTCCACCCTTCCTAATTTAGAACATTTATAGATTCTCTAGATCAAATTAATTTAAACTTTAAAATATTGATTTGTCATGCATTACTTTTATTGATTTTCCTAGTTGAAAATACTTGCTCACAAATATATGTTAAACCAAATTATACTAGATATCTTGGCTACAAATTGCTAAACTCGTGGAAAATGTTCTTTAAATAGATTTGAATAAAATTCAAAATACGGTTTTTAGAGATTAAATTGCAATTACATATGTTTATAAGATTATAATTTGATAATTTTTAATTGCAAAGAAGAAATTGAAAAATAGTCTGAATATATGGTAAAAGGATTTTAAAAGAAATTTGTTATTCATTTGCATGAATGTATTTTATTTTGAATCACAAGTCTTTTTTGGAAATACACCACAATCTTTTTTAAAAAAAAAAAAAAAGCATAACATTCAAAATAAGAAAGTAAGTTTTTTTAACCTAGTATAGAAATGAAATAATTTATTTTGAAAAGCTTTTATTATACCAAACAAAGTATTGATGAGTTTTTCATCTCCTGGTAGTTTTAGATTTAACAAATTCATATGGTGTGTTATACAGTGGTTTTCACTTAATGTGGCCAACCGCCTAATATGGACACACTTGTTTGATTCAAATTCTAATGTATAACCATACTCATTTTGATTAAAACGGGGCAACTAAAAAACTCTAATAAAATAAATCTTACTTCGATGTATCAAGTGTAAGACCTAATTCTGAAAGGAAATTTTATCAATTTGATGTACAAGAATGGTCATTTTTTGATTTTCTATAGGCAGGGCTGGAAGTGGTTAAAGTTCCAAAGGAAAGTAATTTAGTGACCAAATTTAATCATAAAAGTAATCAAAAAGTGACCTATACAAGTATGTTTTCTAACAACTTACTGTTATTAAACATTTTTCTTTGAATCTTTTTATAATATAATTTAAATGATTCTTACTTACTTATTTCTATAAAAATTTCAAACACAATAAACACAAATTTCAATAACTCATAATTAAATCATAAAACTTTAAATTAATAATATAGAATGGAATAAATACCTATATTCATGATCAGTGTTAGGGACTTCCTTTATTTTTATTTTATAACAATACCATGTTTTTACACTTATCTTTGTGTAGATAATAGATTTAAAAAAATAAATTAACAAAAATAATAATGAAAATTATAACATATGTATCTAATACATAGTTTTTGAAAGCCAATCTTCACTGAAAAAGCATTTACCCATTATAGTTTTCTATTCTTATATTAACTTGTTAAATTAAACAATGGACTAAAACCACAAATTCTCATAGCATATTTTATAATTTTATGGCTTTATGATAGTAAAAATAAATCAGAACAATACACACTAGTGAAAAATATTATTAATAGGCATGTTTTGCCATTGTAACCATGAGCAATACATGTGCTAACTGTTTACTCATAATTAGAGCTGTGAATTTAATGCAGTGAAAAACCTTAAAAATTCACAAAACATGTAATAAAATAATGCATTTAAAATATCAAAAAATGCACGCAAAATGGTTTTTAATTTAATTTTGATTTTACTGATATTTTGCAAGCCTACAAATAATTAATCTAAGCAATATTGTCTTTTTTTATTGAATCCTTATTTTTACCTAACCAGAATACAGCTTATGGAAAATATTATTTTATAAAATATAAATTTTACGTAAATACAGCCTGTGTAAAACAAATGTGTGTAAAGATGTGAATTGACGGAATTTGATTAAAAATACTGGAAAATGAACTAAAAAGAAAAATATGACTTAAAAAATTCAAAAAATTACCTTATAAATTTAAAAAAAAAATGCAAAATAAAAATTTCATAAATGAATTTGTTGTTACATAATTTTTAAATTATATACTTGTTTTTTGATAGAAAGCTACATTTTACAATCAGCTAGAAAAAATGGTCTTTCGAACAAATTGACAGCCTTACTGATAACGTTTTAACGAGATGGCAAGAGCAATACTATCTACCATAAAGTTACTCTATGAAAAGTATATTCTTATTCAATATTTGGTCATGATAATAATCATTAATTCTGTAGATATTATTAAAATACTAAAATTTTTTTTTATTTTATATAGAAAAAAATTACAAACGCACTTATTTATAAACATGTAAGGAGTAATAACAAATAGGTAACAAATATTTCATATTTAGGCAAATATGGATATAAAGAGACTTAATTTCAAAATAAGTGACTAAAAGTGACTTACTTCCACCCTGCAAAGGGGTTTCAAAATAATAAAGAAGAACCAGAAATAAAATTATAGTTAAAATGGTAAATATTAATGGCGAGCAATAGCATTACCGATTTCATTGCTTTTAATTTTTACCAACTATATTTTTAACCAGAAATATGCCCCAACAGAAAAACAACTAGAAACCCTTTTTATTGCATTTTAGAATAAGATACTCATGAAGAAATTAGTTTTTTGAATTTCCAAGTAGTTGTCATAATAATTGGGAAAACCGAAAAAAGGAGAAAAATAAAAAATGAACAATGCGTGTACAATTTCATTATTTTAAATGTTTAAGTATTTTGTCTCTTATAAAAAACATTGTTCCAATAAATGACATGGGATCTCTTTTGTTGCAATTTTAATCTAGTTGGTGAGTAAGAATATATTTTTAATTTTGTTCGTAAGTTTTTTAAGAACTAAGAAAACTGAAAGATTAGAAAAATAACAATGCTTTTTTTATTTTTTTTTTTTTTTTGGAATTCAATTAAAAATATTTGTAGATTTGACATTTTGATCAAAACTTATATTTGCTTGAATTTTTCTTATAATAATTTTAGTATAAAATTGTAAATATTATGGCTTTTCAAAAAAAAATTTCACTTTGAATTGTTTTTCAATGCTTACAGATTCAAATTAAATAACTTTGTATCCTACCTACACAAATTTCCACCTATAAAAGTGGCACACCCATCCCTAGTATCAGGTTTTTTTTTTTTATATTTGCCCATGTACAAAAGCCACAAAATAATATTAAAAATTAAATAGGTATATTTACAATACAAATAAATTAATTAATAAATATAAAAAGAAAAATAACAAAACGAAGCCTGGAGTATTAAAAAACAACGGTTCTTCACTTGGGGGTGAGACGAAATTTCAGGTAAGAAGTGACAATTTGTGTTACTCACAGAATACATTACATACAGGATGATTCACTAAAAGTGCTCAACCAATTTTTTTGGTTAAATTGTAATTTTCGGAATTTTTAAATGTAGTTAAAGCTGATTATTTTTAAATACTTAGATTTTTCACAACATTTAAAGAATATCATGTAAAATTTTTGATTTCCATCAACCTATTAATAAGGAGATTAATATTTTACTTTTAAGTTTAGACAAGGGGAGAGTAGTGGAGCACTAATAAAACGCCACGAGCTGTGCTGCTACATAAATGATACTCCACTACTCTCCCCTTACCTATACTTAAAAGAGGATATCTCGATAACGGGTTGACGGAAATCAAAAATGTTCACACCAAAATGTATTATTGTAATATATGAACTATTAATAATATTTTTAATAGTCTCATTTGAAAAACCAAAGTTGGTATTGCCACAGGGTATTCTTCAAATGTCATGAAGTATTCGAAAATATAGGCTTTAACTACACTTAAAAATTCCAATTCAGAATTTGAAATGCAAAATTCAACCAAAAAAATGTATATAAAAATATATTATGTACTCACATCTTATAGTGGTGATGTAAAAGAATGCGTAATCTTATGTAATAGTTTAAAAGGAGACTTGAATTATAATAGATTGAAAACCTTCTTAATAATGATTATAAGTAAATACTGAAGATCTGCAAGGGTCAGTTTTTTTTTTAAATTTATTATATGTCAGGCTAGGCTTTTTTTACAAAAACACATATGGATCATTCTAAATTTTTTTTTAACTCAATATTACTAGTTCTGAAACTCCCAATATTCCAGTGTTAAATAAATAGGTGACCTTGAACTAAAACTATTAATATTGATAATATGTATTGTATCACAAACTGAATAGTAAACTAGCAGACTTTTAAAGGGAAGAGGGCTTTTAATCCAGCATTAAATCCAGACAGTTTTGAAAAATATTTTAACTGGACTTACCAGGGTTGGACTTTTATATACACAAAAAATCTGGTCACACCAAATTATACTACAATCTAGCCATGCCAAGAATTATAGACCTATCAAAGAGATTGGTCTGTTATAAAAAAAAAAAAAATCAGGAAAGGAAAAAAACTAAATGGAATTCATTGAAATTGATGTATATGCATGTTAAGTGCCCAATATTATCAATTTTGAAAGTACTTAATCGAAGTATAATGCATAAAACCTTAATAATACGGAGTTTTATCAATTTGTAACATACACCAATCTCCTTAGGAAATACGAAGGATTTCTATTTAAAAATCATATTTAGATAATGGAACAGGCAAAGTCTAATTCTAATTTTCTATTTAAGAAAATAGTAATAATGGTAATTTTTATATAAATAATGACTGAAGAGATTTTTAATAGGAAAGACAATGTTTACATTTATTATGCATTAGATGAATTGCATATTTATAAAGTTAAGGAAAATAAGTTTAAAACATCTTCAATGTACCAATAGAATTTAAAATATTCTTTAAATCTCATATAATAAATAATGCATACTTAAATATATGTTACCGTATCGCATTTTACAATCTCTTCTAAGAAAATTGGTTAAATCTGCTAAAAAATAGTGATTTTTTCCATGTATTCCTCCTATTTTATATTCAGGTGCAAATTATATTTTTGTCTTAGATGATCTATTGCCTGATGGTTTTTTTAAATCAAAAACAGTCTTTATTTACTAGAAGCCTTAAGTCAACAATTCTTGACCCAGCAAGGTCCTAATGTAATCCAACCTTGCCCAGCCTGATTTTTTATTAACATTTAAGTTGTTTCTTTTAAATTTGGTACACTATTAATTTATTATATTATTTTCAAAAATCAAATGGATGGTACACATTAATTTTTCACAGAAATATAAAATATAAACAGATATGTAAATAAGAATATAAAAAACTTCCGAGACAAATCTAGTGGTACTTGTCCCCCCCTGTCGTAAACAATTCACCTTTTGATAAAACCAACTATATTAATATTTAAATGTTGACATTGAGAACAAAAATTTTAATTCTTACCTTCTTCTCTTTTGTTACTATATTTACATTCCCAAGCATCAAAAAGCATATTGTAATACCTTGGGCCATCAAAGTATTGATGATATTTAAAAGATGAAGTAGTAGGAAATACTTTTTGAAATCTAAAAATTAAAAATAGTATAATAAGTTTTTCATACATACTATTTATTATAATATTATATATAAAGCGGTGTATTGATATGTTTCTGGAATATACACAATTATCATAGTGACTATAAAGGGACCAACAATTATTTAATTACTTTTACTTTACTAAATTATTGATTTTTATTTAAGCAGCAAATAACAATGTTATAAAAAATATAGTTCGATATTATTAACTATAACTGTTTTAAATTAATATAAAAGTATTTTAATGTTTGAAAGAAATAATATAATGGCCTAACTCAAAGCAGCGTATTTAATGCTTTTTAATATATATACAAATGATCAATTGAGAGAATCTGCAACGAGGCATTTTTTATATGCTGATGACCTAGCAATAGCTGCATAAAGAAATAATTTCAAAATCTTTAGTGAAATTAATCCGAATTCTATGAATGAAACTATTTAAAACCAAATCTAAACAAGACACAACTATGTGTATATCATCTTAAATATTTAGAGAAAAATAAATATTGATTAACAAGGGGTAAAAATAGATCTGGATAACACTAAAACTTAAAATTAAAACTAGATTCTGCTCCAACATATAAACTACATTTCAAGGATACCGGTAAAAAAATCGCAACAAGAAATAATATACTCCAAAAGTTAAAAAGGACAAAATGGGGCGTTTACTCAAAGGCACATTAAATGTCTAGTCTAGCCTTTTGTTATTCAGACAGAGTATGCCAGTTTAGTATGATAATAGTTTACACATGACAAATGAGTAGACATGGCCCTGCACAATACAAATAGAATAATTATTAACTGTCAAATACTTACACCAATAGAAAAAGAAAAAAAAATAGATTTTGAGTTTGATTGCTCCCCCAGATATAAGAGAAGTACTCACCAAGTTTGAAGAAGTTCAAACTATTAACAGACTAAAATCTAAAAAACTATTTATCATAACGGTACTTTTTAAATATTTCGCCTACCTATGTATGATAAATAACCAATAGGTATCACAATTCAGTTATCTCGACTACCTTAAATGACTATTATTTATAGTCCTCTATTACATTCTAATATGGTTTTACTAACTATTCGGGGGCTTATTTTTTATTGAAATCCTACATTAGCTTGCACTCGAGTAACAATATTTATGGCTGATGGATGTGTTGCGTGTTCAAAGTACAACTCATGACTTTTAATTGAAAATAACCCAGATTTGTTAAAATAGCTTCTCCTGTTAATATCTGACTTTTAATGAAAAAACCTCCAGATTTGGATACTTAACCAGGTAGTCGAATTGTGATTATAATCACATAACTGCTAATAGTAACAAGATTAGAAAGTGACAGAAACAAGCAATACACTGAATCACTCCCATAAAGATATGGTTTAACTTTGATACATGTAAAATTATTAACTGAATACAATCGGAAAGGAAGGACTACAGAGAATGTTGATTAACTACAGAAAACTGTGAATGCACAAATGTGCTAACATCAAGCCATTTGTAAGTTATCAAAAAAGAAAAACTTCAAGACGCTAGATATGTATGGCTTAGCGGAAACTTATTTCTGTAGGTAGCAGGTAGCAAAAAATACCAAGAATGAAATAAGACGAATTGAGCAACAGAAAACTGAAGAATTTCAATTGTGTGAATCAGTGCTTGCTTTTTTTTTTTTTTTTTATTTTGGTATCAACAATACACCAGACACCTGAAACTATCGTAAATGAAGAAAAATCTCAGATGTGGTATGAGGTCCTAAAGGTCACATAAACCAAAGATTAATAAAATATGTCAATCAAAGACTTCTACTATACGCAAACATCCATTAACAAAATAAAACGATTGCTAAAAAAACTTGGTGCTTATTACTTATTCACTCATTTACACCCACACCAACAGTACCAATAATGAGAGTAAGAGTGAATAGAACTGAGGTTTATTTATAAACAAGTAGCTACTCTCTCCAATGACTTAACTCTATTCGCAGTTACACCCCAACGTACAACCAGATAGTATCAATGCTTAGTAAAAAATACACTATACGTTACAGTATTTAACACTAATATGTTGTGTTTTACCTAGGGAAAGTGCCTATTGCAAATAACAAGAACTAATGTGTGTGACAAGTTTCTAACTGTTATAAATAAAAAATTGAATATGATATAGTCCCTTTATTATTATAATACATCACTAATTATTTATAAACACAAATACATACGATCCTACTTGTGTAAGTTCATCTTCATATGCAATAAGATGTCGAACATCATCTGGTAATAGATCATCTAATATGCTATTAATATACTATGAAAATCAAAAATATTTGTCATTAATTAATAATTTGTATGCAAATAATTGAATCATAACTAAATGTATTACTTCCTCTCTAGATTCAACATTTGTATAATATTCTTGTTTATCACGTTCTTTAGCTGATAAATTGAATGTATACAACCTTTTATCATAACATAATGGAGAGTGAACTCCTAACGTTTTCATTAAAGTATTCTATACAACAAATATTTTAATTTAATTAATAATTAATTAAAACGTAATGTATTAAATATTTGTATGAGCTTATAACTTACTTGGGTACTAGGAGACATTTTGTTTGGTATATGATAACCAACCATATTCATTAGATCTTTAACTAATGGGCCTTTCACAGCCAAGTCAAGTGGAGATGATGAATGAAGCGAAGGAGATATGTTTACCTATCAACATAATGTATAAAATTATTATATTTTCCAAAAAGTTGAATTTGCAAATTTGAAAAAATTACTTCTAGTATCCAAGGTTTTAAATATTCATCAAATAAAACATCAATTCCAAATAACTCATAAGCATTATATCTATTACTTAAATTTGAACGACACATTTGACTCATTGGTGATTCACCACTGATAACTGTTTTGACAACTAAATCTGCTAAACTTTCCCATAGTTTTTTAACTTCAATTTTTCTTTCTTTCTCCATGTATGACCATAATGATTTCAATGTCCTAAATCATAATTACAATAGTATTAGATAAAAATAATAGAATGGTATCACTAAAATAAATCTATTTAGTATAAAACATGTACCATTTATGACCTTGACAAGCATCAGCATCTTCATTTTGAGTATATTGACTACTAAGTCTGTTAATACTGTAGTTTGTTAAATGCATATAACGGTCAGATATAGTATTAAGATCAGATGAATACTTAACTAAAATTAAAAATAAATAAGTAAAACATTTAAGTTATATAATAATAAAAAATATTGAACCTGAAGCAAATCGTACAAGCCCATTGTCATACAAATATAATCGAAGTGGATTAATCGAAGTAATGAGAATATATAATCTTAAATCAAATTTAGTATCATTGATTAAATATGGATTGTCAATGTACCTTTGAACAACCAAAGGAACTTTCTTAGGTATTTGATTCCATTTTGATATCACACGAATTCCAGTTCCTCTAGCTGATGCTGGCTAAAAAGAAAATTATTATTGATAATTAATGTTCAAAAACTATAGGGGTTAAATTAAAAATAATACCGGTTTTACAATCCACTTATCCCCATCATTTCCACATTCATCCCACACTTTTCGTAATAATGTAGCTTCTTGTGGTAGTATGTACGATGTGGGTATAAAACCAAATTGATTTTTACCATACTTTAACATAAGTCTATGTAAGTTTATCCACAACCTATCTTTGCGTCCAATTTGAAAAGTGCCAGGAAAATGGTTAAATTTTTGCTGTTCACGAAGTGTTTTGAAACATAATGATTTCATATGTTTACCCCAAGTACCAAACCAATCATTAGATTCTAAATAATAATAATGAACTCAAATAAAATAATACATATATTTAACAAACATAAAACCAAACAGAAATTAAGGAAAAATATAAGAAATAAACTCACGGGAACGGGGAATCAGCATTAATTTATTAGATAAAGAATAGGAACCACTAAATGCATCAACAATAGGAGCTGCAACACCACAATAATTTTGTAAGGAAATTATATTTTGATTGGATTGGTTTGTTATGACAGAAGCATCGTTTTCATTAAGAACTACGCTATACTCACTTCTAACTAGTTTAAAACCACTGTTTTGAATAGTACGGCGTACAACAATAGGAGTAATGGAACTTAGTTTCCACTTTAGTAACCTTTGCAAAGGTAATGGAAAAGATTCTCCTAAAATATTTAAAAAACACAATAATAATATTTGATAAAATATAAACTTATAAATATTAATAAATTAATTACCTTTTACATCATGGGAAGTAAATCTAATGTAAGGTGGCACATTTGAAAATAAACTAGATCTTAATGCTGAATGCTGTTCAGAATTACTTTTTCGGTTTTGAGGATCTGTAATTTGATTTGATTGTATTGAAGATTATCAAATAAATCATTTATCATTAATAAAAATCAGTTACTAAATATTTTTTTTTATTTGAATACCTGAAAACATATGATCGAAACCTAAGTTATTTTGTTCAATGGGGATATGATCTAGTTCTAAATTCTGGTTAGGGATTTGTACTATCGTAGATTTTAAATTTGTTTGTGTATCTATTATTAAAAACAATAAACCATCAAAATAAACAAATAATTCATAGTATAGAGTTTAATATATTATTTACTTTCAGATGTCAGTTCCACGGATGAATTTAATAAATGATTATTCAAAGAACTGAAATAAAATAATTAGATATAAAATAAAATATTTTATAGTTTAATTTATTTTATTCTTACTTAACAGGAAACACAGTAGTATTATTTAAAATTTCAACTCTCTTTCTTGTCTTTAGAGTTAATTTTTTATTATTTCTATCAGATAAATTTACTTGTTCTTTTTTGAAGTTGTCATTATTTTTAAGTATTGATTCTGTTTTGGGGCTTATAGGGTCACTTATATTAATCCCATTGTCATCATTAGTAGCCATTAATGATTCCTTTGTTTCTTCAGGCATTGTAGACATTCCTACATGATTTAAAAGACATTTTTGATTTGGAATGTTCATGAGATCTTTATTAATTGAATTTTGACTATTCAAATGACCATTTGTGATTCCAGATGAGCCACCTGTCTTTACTACAGAATTTGTACAGTTAAGAGGTTTAGGAGGAACTGTTGGTAATAGCTAAACAAAATAATAACACATAAATAAATTTAAAATAAATAATAATTATTATCTACTGAGACTCACTTTACGCTGACGATGAACAGGAGGTTGTCTCATGAGCTTATCATATTTCTTAATTGGTGTGTAGTTGAACTGATCAATATTTTTAAATTTTTCTTGATCAATATTGTTTTTATTTTCTTCCCACCGTCTTGAATTATTGTGATATGGGAAAACCTCATTATGTCTATCAGTTGGTTCTATATCATACATAGATTGTGTTGCATAATCTATAATTTTGTTTCCTTATTTACAAATATTAATTATTAGAACTTATTTACCTATTATGTATTAATTAATGTTTAAAATATAATTACTAAATAATATATTTAATAAAATAGTAACCACCAAGATGTATATTTCTTGTTTTAATCAGAATTTATAGAAATTCAAATAAAAACGTATTACATAAACACGTTCTTACCTAATGAGTGAGTTTTTGGCAATGTGGTTGAAAAATTTAAATTGTCCAAAGTAGGATCAGTATCTAAAATTGGATATGGAGGTAATTTAAGTAGTCTTTCTAAACTATGATCCATCGTTTGATGTAAATTGGTACGAAGAGATTGTAAACGATCTATAGGACATCTTCGTTCTTTAATTCCATGCCTCATGAGCTTGTCATATTTTTTAATTGGTGTGTAGTTAAACTGATCAATATTTTTAAATTCTTCTTGATCAACATTGTTTTCATTTTCTTCCCACCGTTTTGAATTATTTTGATATTGGAAAACTTCACTATGTCTATCAGTTGGTTCTATATCATAAATTGATTGTGTTGTATAATCTACAATTTTGTTTCCTTATATAAAAATATTAACTATTAGTATTTATTTATCTATTATGTATTAATTAATGTTTAAAATATAATTACTAACAAATACATTTAGTAAAATTGTAACCACCAATATGTATATTTCGTTTTAATCAGAATTTATAGAAATTAAATTTAAATAGCTTATATAAACACATTCTTACCTAATGAGTGAGTTTTTGGCAATGTGGTTGAAAAATTTAAATTGTCCAAGGTAGGATCAGTATTTAAAATTGGATATGGAGGTAATTTTAATAGTCTTTCTGAACTATGATCCATTGTTTGATGTAAATTGGTACGAATAGTTTGTAAACGATCTATAGGACATCTTCGTTCTTTAATCCCATCTATTGAAAAAGCATTATTTTCTTGATGTGTATCTAGTGGCCGCGACTTCTTTATTCTATTCATATGTAAATCACATAAAGGACAAAAACAATTTTCTGGTACACATCCATTATGCTCATTATTTATCTCATCTTTAGTCAATATTGAGTATGATTTATTATTCATTTTCAATTAACTTGTTTTTATTTTGGTTTTTATAGATATTGATAATATAAATATCAGGGTAGATTTGTCTGCAAAAATAGTAATAATATAAATATCAAAAAATATTTGTATTTAAAAGTATACTTTTAAGTAAAAGTAACTAAGAAATAAAATTAATTTTAACACCTATAAAACCTATCTTAAAATGAACCAATGTGATTATTAAATACATTTATTTAAAAATATATTATTGAGCAAGAGAGGAAAGTAAAGTAAGGTAAGATTTATTTTAAATGAGGTCAGTAGTTAGATAGGCATGCGTAAATACATATACATATATATATTTGGCACAACATTTTGATACTTTGACATATACACAATACTCTACCATTTATAGAATGGCATTAAACAGAAGCTACAGTTCAAATTATTTAAAATGTTATTTAAAAAAAAAAAAAAAATGTTTAAATGTTTATGTAAAATTATTATGCATTTTTTTTTTTTTTTAATATCAATTAAAATAAAATAATCATTGTTTTGAACATAACAATAAATAACTTCTGTTTCATTCATATAAACAAAAGGCCTTACATATTTAAAAATCCTACAAGCACTTTTATATAATTTTAAATGCTTATTTAAAAAATTTAATTATTTATTACCTATTGAATTAAGATGAAATTAAGAGAAAACAATTTTGACAAATATTTAATAAGTTGAGATAACTATAGCCAATGCACCTATTGCATGTTAATAACTTTATTCATTTATGCTAATTGAGAAAGTACTGATCAACTACGCAAGATTTAAATTCATTTTTTTTCTTTAATTGAAAAATGTACGAAAGACAAATGTTCAAAATTATTTTACATTATTCATCACACATGAGTGATCATGGTATTAGAACCTTACACAACATACCCAGATAAACAAACATGGTGATAATCAATTTGTTTTAAATATTAAGTATATATATATATATATAAATATATCTTATACTTTAAATTTACTTATCAATGCAAAATAATAAATTTAGGACTGTCAAGTTATATAGGAACAAAATAAACCAGAAATTACATATACTTTAAGTGGAATAGACATTATAGTAAATTAGCTGTATGCCAATCATACATGAAAGGTTATAATAGTAATTGAAATGTTTAAAATGACCAATGTTAAATTCTAATGCTGAAAATCTTTATGGGGAAAACACATGCATTTTAATCAAAGTTTTATTTTGTTGTTAATTAGTTTAATGAGTTTAGAAGAAGATGAGATATTGATAGGATAAAATTAATAATGACATTAAATAAAGTTTTAAGTACTTACCTAAGACCTATCGGACAAAAGAATTATGGCTTTTAATGGGATATGAAATATAGAATTAACTATGATTGAATCAAGTGAATAAAATTGCAAGGTATTTTAAGCGACTAGAGAATTTCAACGAGAATTAGAAGGTAAATTCCCTGTAAATTCTACATGAGTATAGTGAGAATAACTACGTTATATGATTTGGAATGTTAGGCAGTAGACAAACAAATAGAACAGAAAATGAGTGTGGCAGAGATAAAAAATTTAAGGTGGATAAGTGAAGTAACTAGAGTTTAGGATAAGGACAGAGTATAACAGAGGTAGAATAATTGTGGCTTTGATAGTAGATATAATGGGAGAAAATAAATTGATTTAGCCTATGTAAAATGAAAATTAATGTAAGCAGAAAGAGGAGAATAGGAAGACTGAAAAAGAGTTATTAAGATATAATTGAGAATGATAATTGATACGAGGCCCAGTATAAGAAAAAGAGAATAAAAATTGTGGCATTTAGATTGAAATTATAGTTTTTATCACAAATATAAATAATTAAAGAATTAAATCTATTTAAAAATTCAAAAACAAATATGGCTTTAAGTTTTAATTTTTATATAATTTTTTTGAAAAGAAGCTAGGTACAGCCCTCGAAAATATGGTTTAAATTTTGTTATTTGCATATAAACTCAAATTTAAATGTAAAGCCACAATTTATATTTATATATCTGACTTTTTTATATATTATAAGATTAAAAAATATAAATGTTTTCGTTTGAAAGATATTTTATGTAACCAGTTATCCATACAAATATTCAGCTATCCTAGAACGGCACCCTAAAAACCATTTAAAAAAAATTATATTTCTAAGTCTACCTACCCAGAAAGATATTACCTAATGAAAAATATACTAAATTAATATTCAATTAGATATCATCAAAGTAACTTATTTTAAAACATTTTTAATAAAAGTAATATCTAAAAACTTATTATTTTATTTTCTATAACAATGTGTGGTAAATCATAATGCGATTGACTGTACTTAATTACCTATTTATAAAATATGGTCAAATTTAACATTTGTTATAGACAAGATAACTGCTACAATATCATGGCAAGCTTAATAATTAAATATTATTTACTTCAGCAAAATTTAGAATACAACATAAATATTTATAATACTGATATAATACAGTTGATGAAATAACCAACATCCAAGTAAAAATTGTTTTACAAATCTACACATTTTCCTTTTAGCAAAGAAAAATGCAATGAATTTAATAAAAAAAAGTGTACTCACCATGGATATAAACAACTATAACAAAGACGAAATATCAACAAGAACAGTTACTTATGAACACACAGATTACGAACGACTGCAACACATACACCCGCTAAATGAGTTATACAAACAGCATATTATAAAAAAAATTATCGAAAAATAATAATTCAAATGGGTACCTACCTAGTGAAAAACATCGTTATCCGTTTGCGTATAAAAAACAAAAATGAAACTAAGCATTTAAAATGAGCAAGTAAACCAACGAACGGCGAAATATTGAGCGCGCCAATAATGAAGTTAATAAGTTTCAGATTATATACTTGAAAACCACGATTCTACGGCAAAGTGGGAAACAAGTCCTCAGCATCGAGTTCCAACGAAAATGTGTCCGTCCATAATAGTTACAATAGACCATAGAAGTCTAGTGGAAATAAACAAGTCCTACTAAAACGACTGCGCGCAAAAACATAGTATATAAAATTCGTATTACTCATAATGTCATAACATCGTAAGGTTATCGATATGAACATAGGCACGACTAGAGGCATTAGCGCACGCCACCATAGATATAATAAGATTTTTAAAACCATGCATGCCGACACTACACTCTGCGATTGCCCAACCCGAAACAGCAAAACAGCCGTTTACAATATAGGTAACAAGGTACTAGGTGGATTCATAAATTCCCACCTCATAGCTAATAAAAAAATATAACAGATAGGTATGATCACAATGGGTCATGTTTTCGTTTAGTATGCGCATTTATTCTATACCCGACCCATAGATAATAATCTCATATCTTAAATTCCCTTAATTTTTTTTTTTGCTTATCAGCCCTTTTGTTTCAGGCCTTAAAATTTTTAAATCAGGCTCTGGCAGCCTGGCCTACTATTTACTCACTTTATGATAAAAGCACCAAAGATATAAAAATAAATATTATTTTCACCTAATTAATATTTTACAGATATAATTTAAAAGCTCTAATCTAGCAGAACATTTACTTTTTTAAATGACACACTACGACTGACCATTTCTCATCATCATTCATCATCATTTTATGTCATTTGATCAAAGATATTAAACACCACAGTTGTTTTAAATATTATCCGTGCTTTTGACACTTATTTTAAATTCGTAGCGTAGCGAGGAATGTATTGGTTTTATAATGATGTGAATTTTTTTCATATTTTGTACAAAATTAATACCAGAAATCTTGATCAGATGTAACAAGTGAAGCACTTTTTCTAAAAGGAAATTTTATTTAGATCATTTTTGAAATTTCCAATGGTTTTCAAAATAATTTGGAATAAACAGAAGAAAAATTTTAGGCAAAGCGACAAATATTTACGGCACGCTGCCGTGTTACCAATTTTATTGTTTTTAATTTTTGCAAATTATTTTCTATCAGAAAAATTGTTCCAATCGAAAAATACTCAGAGATCGATTTTGTGTCAATTATTACAAATCCATTAACAAAAAGACGTTCTAGGATAGTGAGGACGGGTGTAACCACTGTTATAAGTAATTTAATATGTACCTGTAAGCAACGATAAACCATTGCTTACGAAAAAACAATCTGAGCGGAGTTCGGTTGATATTGATGCTTTGTCAACGATATATATACCATATTATAGAAAAATAATTAAATAGACGTTATATATTTGTTTAATGTTGAACTGATTTTCCCCGTTTTCTCGTATTTTTTCCCAGTTTTTCACATTTTCTGTGAAGTCCTGTGAAAATCGAAAAATGACCTCTCTAAAGTACCTACCCAGTCGGATTTCCTTTTAGAAATATTGGTTTCATTATAAATTGGAGTAAAATTGCTGGTAGCTATCCACAGAAAAAAAAAAGGCCTTAATATTCTTAACTGTTACCTACGTTTCTTACACTTTCCGTTTTTCCTCAGTTTTCTTTTCGGTTATTCATATTTGTTGCGAAAATTCCGGAGAAAATCGAAAAACGACCTCTTTAAAGTACCTTCGCACTGAAATTTCCTTTTAGAAAAATTCCTATCATTAAATGTTGGATCAAAATTCAAAAGAAACGTTGTCCACAGAAAAAAAAAATCGTAATGTTATACAAATATATTTCGTGCATTTTCCCGATTTTCCTCAGTCTTTTCTGTTTTTCGCATTTGATGAGAAAACTCTTATGAAAATCGAAAAATAACACCGATTTCCTTTTGAAGAAAACCTTTAGTGCTATACGTAATAACTGGAACAAGTCTTTTAGTAGAAAAGTTGTCCACAGAAAAAAAAAATCATCTTTATAAAACTATAAGCATCTTCACTCCACTCAGAATCTAAAATTATTATTTGATATTCAATGATTTTATTTTTAAAATGTTTAAGATTATACTTTTCTAACAAAAATATTTTTGTTTAAATTTCATGAATAGCTTATTTTTTGAAATAAAATTTTTAATTATTTTTAATTATTTTTAATTAAGAAAGCCACCGTTCAAGGTACGGTTTCCAAGGCGTGACCGATCGCCGCGACAGTCGCCGTCCGACTGTTAGTATGTAATTCCTATTGACTGGTTTTCAACGCGCGACTGAACTTTATCGTGGCGACCGGCGACACTACCGGTCCGAGAGCAGTGTATTGCGACTGTCGCGCGCGACCGTTGATTTATTTCATTCACATAACCAGCTCTTGGGTAGTGTATTTCGACTGTCCTGTACAGCAATATGGCTAAATTGCATTTTTCGGGAGAAGAAAAAGAACAACTGATCGAAATGGTTCGAAGAAATGTTGAGTTGTTTGATCTGCCGCACAACAAATATAAAAATGCAGAACATAAAGAAAGTCTATTTATTAAAATTTCAAAGTATCCTTCACTTTTTTTAAGAAAAAGCGCATCAACTTTTTCTCTCTGATCGCATTGTGTTGTAATTAATAAATCATCATCCTCTTGCTCTTCTTCAAGAAGAAGTAACATTATTTTATTATTGTTATTAATAATTGTATTCATACTCATAGTAGTAAATATTCCATTTAACTTTAAAACATTAGCCCTCACTGCACGGCGACCAGTCGCGCCTAGGAAACCAGCACGCACCACCGACCGGTCGCGCCTTGGAAACCGTACCTTTAGGTTTCCGAATATTTTTTCTAACAATTACAATAAACCGGAAAAAAACGTAGGAAATACGGCATTTCGATTTTTTGTTGTTATTTGGTTAAAAATTGTTGTATATAGATACCTGTAGTTTTTATAATATGCTTATATTGAATTTTTGTAAACGTGGTCAATTTTTAAAACATTCTAACTACTTTTAGGCTGTTAATAGGCATTTAATATTTTCGTGTTTTATATGTATTTTTACTTGGTAGGTATCTGATGCAGGGCCGGTTTTTTAATTAGAATTAGAGCAATGTTACCCTATACCATTCTTCAGATAATTATCAATGTAGGTTTCCACTGGACCACTAATTATTATATGATCAATAAATTTGCTATTTCGAGTGAGTAGCCAAGTGGTTGGATCCGATATATTCGGGACAACTGTACTGACGTCACCTAGAATTTGTATTTGTTGTACATCATTAATGGAGTCATCCTGAGCAGCATCTATAATTGTAGCGCAACTTGTCTCCTCACTTCGGGAAACTTCGTCCACAATATCTTCAACAGCAATCTGATCTGACTTGTCAGATGGAGGCTCCACTGCCGATACATTTATTTGTATTCTTGATGTAGATGCCACATTCTGATCTTAATTTTTCGTTGTGATATATTTATCTATACTCATATTCGGAATAGCGTAATACACGGTACATAATAAGTTGTAATTAGTGGTTTAAAAAAAAATTTTGAACTTAATGTAATAGATTTTTTATTTTATAATCATTTTAAGATCAAATTTTAATGACAATCACAAAAATTACGAAATTTCAAAATGAATCCCAGGAAAAAAAGAACATAGACAAATTATTATTTTTAAGAAAATTTGTATTACATAAAAAGAAAAATTATATAGTTTGTGATGCTATCTCTATCTATGTGGCTGACACGCCACAATCATCTAGTTTTTGCTAAGTGATTTGCAATGAGATGCTCATAAAAATCTTACTGTAACCAGCGTCTTATGTGTTAAAAATATAATTTATATTTTATAGTTTATGATAATTAAAATACAATTGTCTATCGTTTTTAAAACAAACATACATAATATCCTCATCCATGTGTTTTTTATTTAATTTTTCCATGAAATTTAATATCATTTTATCATCATTATTTTATCGATTACCATTGTGAATTAAAATAATATATATATATATATATATTACAAACCACTGCCAGTTTTATCTGTAAATCACTATGTTCATGAAGTTTGTCATTTAATAAAATAAGCTAACAAACATTTAACAGATTTTGGGTATCCAATAATATTAGTGATTAACACGTAATGTTTTATGAACATATTTTAAAAGTAGTTACATTTTGTCGTCGCAACGTGAATTAATTTAATTTTTCCTAAAAGAAAAGTTGTTCAATTTGTTTGATTCCAAGATGGAACCTCAATACAACAATAAAAGTACAGGTAAGTAACTTATTTGAAATTTCAATGTATTAAACAAATAACTAAATAAAATATTAGGTACATACAAACACTACTTGTTTTATATAAGTATATAATTGAATTACATTACAAAGCCTAATATGTCCCAATACTTAATATGGCTACTATAGTTAACTGACAAATGATGTTGAGGTACAATTAAACATTTACATATTTTATGTCACATTATGTTGTTTTTTAGTAAATTACAGGAACTTTTTTTAATGGTTTATTTATATGGAACAAATCTAGTTTACAACCCAAGCTCGTTTTTCAAATTTTTCTTTATCAAAATGTGTATTTTTTGATACTTAATCCATTGGTATAATTAAAACTTACCTATCGTACTTACTTTTATAATTATTAACTATACATATATCTTGAAAAAAGCATTTTTGGAATTAATCTAAAATGTGGTCAAAAATAGATATTTATCATTATTAATATTTGTAGTTAAGTCAGAATAAGACTATCCGGCTTAGTTTTACAGTTGCAAACGTTCAAACACACTGTTTTTCTGCACTCACTCGGATAATTTCAATCGAAAATAACCCTGGATTTGTTGTGAAAAACCACGTCAGGTAGGCGACAGAGTAAAGTGAAAAAGCATTATAGGTGGGTAGGTTTATGTAAAATAACCATAAAAGTAAGTGTGATGGGTACGTTTTAATTACACCAATGGATTAAGCATTAAAAAAGATAAATTTTGGAGAAAAAAAAAATTTGAAAATAATAAATTATTACTAAGAAATCTCGAAACGGAAAACATCAATTTCATAAAGTTTACAAAGTTCATCAGACTATTTTTTTTTTAAGTTTATATAAAGTACAACTAAAAAATTAAATTTTGAAAAAAAAAAAAATTGAAAAACGAGCTCGGGTCGTAAACTAGATTTATACTATTTAAATTTATAAACCTAATAATTTAAATTTGGGTTTTTTTTCAAGTTGAAAACTTAATTTACATTTTTACAGCTGTCAAACGTTTAATGAGAGAAGCTAAAGAATTATCACAGCCAACAGATGAATACAGTGCACATCCATTAGAAGATAATCTATTTGAGTGGCATTTTACATTGCGTGGTCCTCAATCATCTGATTATGAAGGCGGTATTTATCATGGTCGAATATTATTGCCAACAGATTACCCCATGAAACCGCCTAATATAATTCTGCTAACTGTATGTTGTAATTAAATTAGTAATTTTTACATGAATGTAAACAATATTAATTATTATGTAGCCAAATGGCCGATGGGAGACAAACAAAAAAATATGCTTAAGTATTTCCAGCCATCATCCAGAGACTTGGCAACCATCATGGTCTATTAGAACAGCTCTATTAGCATTAATAGCATTCATGCCAACTAATAGCCGAGGTTCATTAGGAGCTCTTGACTATACACCTGAAGAACGAATCAATCTGGCAAAAAAGTAAATAATTGCTCATTAAATACATGTTGTGTTATTAAAAATTGAATTATATAAATTGGTTTCACTTCAGATCCAAAAATTGGGTATGTGATCAGTGCGGTGAAATATCTCACTTATTAGCTGAAAATAAAGCCAAACCATTGACAAGAGAAGAAACTGAACTTATCAACAGTGTTACATTTAAAGTAAAATTAATATTTAAATATAGCAATAAAATATTACACTTAATATAAATTAATAAATTAATTGATCAGGATGAAGATACAGAGAAAATTTCCAAACCATCTGACCTAGATAATCAGGACAAGGAGACAAAAAGCGAAGAACCAGTTGTAAATAATCTTTCACCCAACTTTTTAAAAGATGCATTATGTTCAGACATTGGAATGTATCTTATATATTTAATTATTGCACTTATAAGTATTTTAGTAGCGCGGCGTTTCTATAGTGCCTAATAAGTAATGCTTGAATTCCAACAATTTTAAACTATTATTATTTATTATGTAAAACTATATTTTACCAAGAAAATATTGTACTCTAATAAAATATTTGTAGATTAGTTAAAAAGTCACTATTTACACTCTACTGCACAATATTTTTTTTTTTTTTGATATCATCATAAAAAAACATCTATAAAAATGAAAACTATGAATTAAATAAATTTTATTCAAATTTTTCTTTCTCTTTATTTTTTTCATTTCCTAACAATTTCTCTTCAAATTTTTCAAACTCTGCTTTTGTTCGTATTTCAATTTCATCTTCAACTTGTTCAACAGCTATTATCTGGAACAGAAAATAAACACATTACAATTCCAAATATTAAATAGTTTTTGTAAAAACTAAAATGTTGGATAAACAGTAAAATCTCACTTTTTTTTTTATACAACACTAAATTTATTTATTCATTTTAATAGAATCATTAAATAATATTTTCATATTTTCATACAATAAAGCGTATCTAAAGACAAATTTCAATATAAACTATAGCAAACATGTTACAGTTTTTCACTTCTGTCAAATATGATAATATTTCCTGCATAACCAATAATTAAGCAATATATAGGTAGTTACAAAAAAAACTAATTTCTTGCTGTTTTCTAAAACCAAGTTTTCGGGAATTACATTATTTTTCATTTAAAAATTCACACAGTAATTTTAATTATTTTAGTGTTAAACATGTATTTTACCAATTACATTTATACTATGTTTCAAAAAATACTTCTAAAATCTCTAAGAATCACTTTTGTGAATAACGGCTGATACTCGGTAGCAGCTCGAAAGCCAATTTTTCCCACTCTCACGATGGTGATTGACTTACAAGTTCTATGTCACATTTCAGTGAATGGGAAAAAATCTGTCGTTATGCACAAAGGTTGTATGTTTTTTTTTTTTGAAAGGTTGTATAGTCAAAATTAGAAAAATGCATTATTTGTAATTAATAAATAATATATATATATATAATAAATAATATAAATTATTATTAGGTTGTTACTTGTTTCAAGTGTTTTTATTTAGTTTTGTTTCTTCCTAGAGTGGTTCCAATTTGTATATAAATAATAAATAGTTAATTTTATTTCATAAACACAACTTTAGCCTAATTTTATCAAAATATAATCATTAATGCAATACAAATTTTAACTTTTTAAAAAGTTGATATTTTATTCTAAATTTACGCTTTACAAATTGGAACTAAATAATAAGTATTAAGTAACAAAAGAAACATTAGAAAAACGTTTTATAGGTTAAGTCCCAAGACCATAGTAATATATACTTATTTGCATGTTTTTATTTATATTTTATAATATAATACATGAATTTAAAAAAAAAATCTTAATTGTTTGTTTAAATCTTTTACTAATCGTATTTTTTTTTCTTAATTATATCTTAAGCTTTGAAATATTAAGTTTTCTAGAAAAATACATGTATTTTACTTTATTACCTCGGGTATATAAAATTGAAGCATATTTTTAACTCCATTTTTCAAAGTAACGACTGAACTTGGGCAACTAGTACAAGATCCTTGTAATTTCAATTTCACGATACCAGAGTCATATCCCTAAATATATTTTGACATAAAATATAAAATCAGAACAAAATATGTTTTTATAGTGTACAATAAGAATTTATTAATTGCTGGATGATACAAATTTAATTATTTTTCTCTGTAATTTAATTTAAAATGTTGGCTATCAGATAATTAACTGGCCAAAATATAGGCAATTGTTAGGGCCTATTCACAGGTAACCAGTCAGCAGCGCTTCTTCTTTTTTTTTTAACACCATGTTCTGTGGCCTCCGAAAATACTGTCATCATCTGTAGTGCTTCCAATCTGTTTCTATGGTTATGTGTGAAATCATCCATTTATCCTTGTGTTTTTCAATCGACAGCGCTGCTAAGTGGCTACGTATGAAGGGCTCTTAAATAAATTAAAAGCAAAATGTACTTTAGATTCATTTTACAAATGTTATACCTTAAGAGCCCTTGCAAACTACAGACTTTTTAATAGTTTAATCGGATTAAGCTGCTAAAGCGTACACAGGGCCAACTTAACAGTCTGGTTGATGGTGAGTATGCAAACCAGCCAACAGTTAGTTGATTGCTTTTGAAAAATTTGGTAGTTAATAAGCTGCTGTTGACGAAAGCAGTCATGTAAAATTAAAATGTCCAGAAATGTTATCATTGCTTTTATATAATAAAGGAGAAACTAAGAGTATTGGGTGCATCCCATCTACATTAATAGATTATTGTCAGGTAAGTTTTATACGATGCAACACAAATTAAAAAATTTCCTTCCGAATCCCCATCAGTTTTCTTTTAATTATTTATTATATAAATTTATAATAAATGTTGTGATAAGAGACATCATTGGAAATACGCACTACATTCCCGCTCAAAAGCTCAAAACAAATTGAAGCTATTGGCCAACTCAGTAATCTATAAGAGTATCATACTGATTAAAGAATCGACTGATAGTTTACTGACACTTTAGTTTGAAGGCAATCGTGTAGTCCATCAAATGTATTTATCGACCGATACCAAATTGTTATAATATGTGCACCCACATACATCTTCATACTAATTAAGAACCTGACATAAATCATGGGCCGTTAAAAAGTATGTAGTTTACGAGCCTTAATTAATAAATTATGACGCCAATTGGATAATAAGAATTTGACCGGTTAAAATCCAAACCCTAATAGTAATTAAAAACATTAAATTATTTTTTAAATTGTTCAATATTAGTTATTACTAAAAATACCAATAAACATAAAAACTTAAGTTGTTTACACATACACAAATCAGAGTACAAAAGATTCTAAAATAGAATAGTGATAACTGTCACAACAAATTATGAACACTAAATAGATATTTAAAATATCAAATATTAAATTACAATTTATATAGTACAATTATACTATTTATCATATTATATGATTTATTAGGCTCAGATAGTAACTAAGTAAAATACTTATTAAGTTATAAACCAGATTGTAAATCAGAATTCTATTGATTATTTATTTAAAGTTCATAACATGTAAAGGTAATCAAAGAAAACAATTTTACTATAAAAAGAATATCACCACCATCTTCTTGTACAGTTGGTCTAATTCTACTATCCAGAAGTTCTTTTATCATTTTTACTGTTTCATCGTCATCATCATGGATTTCTTAAAAATATATAATATTAATAAGACATTAGTACATTTACAGTTGTGTTATTTTTAAAATTTTAAATCATAAAAAACTCACGTGTATCACTTGTTGGTTTAACATCAGTTATTATAGGTAACCCACTAGCAAAAAAATCCATAATAGTAGCATATATTTCAGGTTTAAGAACCATCCATTCTATATCACTATCTATTTTTGTTAGTGTAATATAGTCGGAACCAAAGAAAACACTCTTTACTCCTTCAATACGAAATAAAACTTTAGCTAAAGGACTACAGTATGCTGCTGCAGAATTTGGAAAATCCATAGTATGACCTTTTTCCAATACCTGTATTTAAATAAAATTTCCTGGCTAAAATAACAAACCAGTGGATATCCACTGTGGTACAAAAAATAAATACTAACTTGAACACCTGGCAAAAATTTTACACTATTTGGATTCGGAGTGTCTTGAGTTTGTATGAACATATTCCGAATTGACATGAAAAGACATTTCTGTTTAATCATAGGAATTATTTTACAACTAGTTGCAATTGGTTTTTGGGATCTATAAATAGTGTAATATTCGATAAAATTAGAAATTTAATTTCATATAGATAAACTAGAATTATTCATTATAATAATTTTGATTTAATTTAAGTGCATAATTATTTATTTATTTAGATAAATAAAATGAGTTTAGACTTATTTTATTAGAGTAAAAATTTAAATTATTTGTTCATTTTAAGTATACACTGGATAAAAAGGTAAAGAAAACATTTTTTTTTTAAATTAACATAAATAATAATCAATGATGTAGAGGAGGTAGTCTATTGATTATACTAACAAATGTATACCTATTCAGTAGAAAATCTTGAAATTAATTATTTCAAATGTAGAATAAATAAAAAAATAATAAATATTAAACACTAACAATAATAATTCTTGTTTGTTCGACCCTGATATTTTTTTCTTGAGTATGCCTCTTTGCTTATTATATTTTATTGCTTTTAGATTCCGAGAAGACCTAGGAATGTATTGGTTTCATAAGATTTTTTTTTTCCTGTGAATAACTTTTCTACCAGAAATTTTACTCAGATAATCAAATATAGTATTTTTTCTAAATGGAAATTACTCTGGGGTAATACTTTAAAGGGGTCATTTTTTGATTTTCTCAGGGGTTTTCCTAATAAAATGGAAAAAACGGGAAAACTTACGAAATGCATTATTTTCAAATAGTAATTTTAAAATATGTGTAATGGAACTCTGCAGGAAATCGTTTTTTGCTAGCAATACTTAATCTTTGCATAGATATACATTCAATTTTTCCTATACCTTCCCAACTTCTTATTGACAACAGTGGCCTACCCATAGAAAGTATGTCTATTTGTCCAAAAATATATAATTATGTACATACATAATAAAGATATTTAAATTTAATAGATACCTAGATAAACAAAATAATATTTTTTTTTAATATTTAATTGTGAAGTTTTGTACTGTGGTTTTAAAATATAGTAAAGTAATTTATAAAACAATTTATTACATAATACAATGCCTATAGGTTAATTTCTTTCATATTATTAACTACTTAGATACTTACTTTAATAACATTGGTACAATGTTAATTAAATGTTTAAATCGCTTCATTTTCTTAAAAATTATGCACCTAAATTGTAAAAATGGGGAATTTTAGTTAAAGTAAATACACAATTTTTTTTTTAAATAGTTATATGTTTTGCTTTAATTTGCTGACATTGTACAAGAGCCAATCGATTTCATTATATACACAAGATTTAAGATACATCTTTAATCGTAAGAATAGGTCTAATGGCCGTGATTATGATTACTGAGAAGTGATAACTGATAAGCTTATTTATCAAACTTCAAAGCAAAGTGAAACAGCTGTTAGTTGATTTCAAAGAACGATTTAAAATTCTCTGAAATCGTGTCTAAATTCAAAGTCATGGTATGTTAATCCACCTTGTTCAAAGCACAGATATAGATATCATCTATAATTGTGGTTCAAAGTGATTGAAAAATAGATAATAACCACGAACCAAGATAATATAGAGTATGGACTGCATAGACCTTATACTAATAGCCTTTTGTACACGTAGAACGATCATATAGATAGAGGGCGTTCTTCACATGTGACTTGTGACTAAGAGCCGGTACACACGACCGATATTTCATTGTATGATTTATTTATCGTATTAAAATATTATCGTACGATATTATAAATAACATGGTTATAAATTAATCTGTTCACACGATTACGATAAAATGTCGTACAATAAAATAATCGTACGACGCTTCGAAAACTCTTGGAGAAGTTTTGAACTTCTGTCCAATAAAAATATCGTACAACCAAAATATTTCAATCAAAATGTACATAAATAAACTGATTAGAACACACGAACGATAATATTTATCGGCTCAAAACATAGAAATTATTCAGTATCCATCATGTCTTCGGAGGACGAATGTGATTTTTCTAGTGGAGCCAACTCGCCTTTTTAATTGAATTTGTGGAAGACGATTTAAATATTGATATCGAGATTCTTATCAGCGAAGTCCAAACAAGGCCTTTACTTTGGGACAAGAGTTTAAATAATTATTCTGATAGGTATTTAAAAAGAGCTGCTTGGAAAGAAATTTTTATTTTATTATACCCAGATTACGAAAAATTATCAAGTCAACATCAAAAATTAATAGGCAAGTATTAATCAAACATAATATAAATAATATAATAATGTGTGATATAAAATAATATATTGTAAAATATAAATTTATTTAGTATTTAAGTAGGTAAGTAATAGGTACCTAAAGTAGGTACATAATAATAATGACGAATAAATGACAAATATATTTTTTTGGATAATAAACTAGGAATTAAAATGTGCTTTTAGTGCATTTGAATGCACTAAAAGTGAGAACTGTAAAATGCACAACATTCAAAAAACACTGCACAGTTCATATTAAATACGTAACTTTGATGATATATTATAATGTATAATATATGATATAGATCGTACGATAAAATGTCGGTCGTGTGTACCTACACAACACCTTATCGTACGATATTTTAATACGATAAATACACGGTATAATATACCGGCTCTTATACGAGGTTTTATTGTACATTGCACTACTTATTCAATGACAATTAATAATACTGATGTGATTATACTGCACACCACTGTAGTATGTCTGACCGGTTACTACTTCAGCTACTCTATAGGCAAGGCCAGTGTATTAGTATAAGGTCTATGATGGACTGGCAACCCCAAAATGGATTAATTGTATTATATTGTATATTATTAATCCACCTTGGGTAACTCTATGTGGTAAAGATAATATGATAAAATCATTTATTTTATCATGGATAGTATCTTAAATCGTGCTAGCGACAGAATAAGACAGTAAAAAAAAAAAAAAACCGGGTCTTTACTCATTAAAAATCACGGTCCGATTCTTCTAAGATCGTGATTAGTAGTATTGGTTAATATTGTTTAGCTTAAGGTAATCTCATAGCCTAAAATACATCTGATTTCAGGGGACACACTTCTTAATTCAATTGTAACTTTTGACAGGTTTCCATAGCCATAAAAAAAAAACCCGCGGGAGTTGTAACACCCAAAATTATCTCCCCTTTTATATACTGCTTACTTTACACAATTATACTATTCATATGACGTTTAGATTAAAAATATACAAAATAAATATAAATAAAAGTTCAAAATATTGGACTAATAGTTACATAAACACAATAATGGCGGTTTTGATAAAACATCAAGAGGGGGGGATTTTAAATTTGTTGGGCCCCATTCTATTTTGACATACATCAAATTAAGGGTAAAATTTATTCATGGTCCTATCATAAATTACACTTAACTTTCATTTTAGATTTTGAGTGAAGCAAAGAAGCTTATGGTTTTACAACTGTTTTTTCTGTGAATAACTTTTCTACCAGCAATTTTGCTCCAATTTACAATTATAGCACTTTTTCTGAAAGGAAATCTGACTGGGAAAATACTTTAGGGAGGTCATTTTTCGATTTTCCCAACAAATGTGAAAAACCGGGAAAAAACATGGGAAAATCGGGAAATACGTAGGAAAACGGGAAAATTAGGAACATTTTAAACAAATATTAATAAAGAAAATATGTAATGCTTATTTAATTATTTTACCATATTATAACATATTCATTACTGAAAAGGTAACACTATTAACAAACTCCGCTTAGAATTGTTTTTGTTAGCTATGGTTAATCATTTTGTACAGACTATAAATATATATTAAATTCCTTCTCTACCTTCCAATTTCTCACCTACACTAGTGGTCCACCCACTTGCGTAGTATGTCTATCTTTTTTGATTGTTGTACTAATTTTACCATAATATGACATATATATTGTTGACAAAGCATCACTATCGACTGAATTTCCCTCAGAATCGTTTTTTTCGTTAGCAATAGTTTATTATTGATTACGTACAGAACATAACTAAGAGTTAACAAAAAAAGTTGTTATCAATTCACATTGAGAATTGAGATAAACAAGATTCACTTGTGTTGAAATTTCAAATTGTTTGTTATTTCTACATTTAAAACATGTTATAAACTTATGACACACGTTTATAATTCAGGAGATTCATTATGATTTTCAGGGGACATAGTATTTTAGGCCTTGGGTGGATCGCATAATAGCGAATGTAGAATCAAATCAAGATTGTAAATGAGTAGGTACAGGGATGTAATTAAGAAGGGTATTAGAGGAATATAACCCCCAGAACTTTTTTTTATTTTGATTTATAAATAATTATTGCCGAAGTCAGAATTTATACACTTATTTAATAAAATACAGTTTATTTAAACTATATTAATTACCAAACAATTAGTTATCTTAACGGATACCACTAAATATAATGATCATTTAAATAGCAGACGTTTCTTGGGAACGGGGATATTTTAACTATTTATCTACATTATAGCCTCTAAATATAAATATGGGACACTAAATAATGGACCCTTTCTTCATCTGAATAGCAGATACCTCAGAATAGCGGACAAAATTTCAGTGGCCGAGAGTGTCCAGTATTTATTTTAAACTGTTTCATTTTATATTTTTTGTAACAAATGTTTATTTATTTTTATTTGATAAAGTAAATTACAATCTATACAAGAATATGTTAATTTAGTAATTGAGATGTAAGAATATAATAAGTAAGAACAATGCATATTTTGAATATGAGAAATTATCCCAGGAACATTTTCAGATCTTGACTATATGAAGGCGGAGGCGAAATAATTAAATTTAATATTAATGATTGATAAGAAAAAAAAACGGACATACTTCTCACGATGGCTGGAACACTGTTATAGATGAGAAATTGGGAAGGTAGGATTATAGAGAGAAATTTAATGTATATTAGTACCTAAGTAAATTTAAACATTATATATTATACTAATAATGAATAAAAATTAGATGACCAAGTCCAAAATACTTTTATTTTAAGCTGTGTGTTGGCAAGCGTTTTGATCAACAATATTTTCTATATTAATGTTTCGATGAATACCTATTTAAAAGTGATAAGCTAGTCAGCGTCTACTCAAAATTATTTTGTTTGCTACAAAATACGACCTTTAATGTAACCTCATTCAATTCTCATTCAACCATATTCAATTCTAAAGCATTTTTGTTTAGTCTAACAATTTTATCCACAGAGTACCTATAGAATAAAAGTTACGTACAAAACTCGCAAAATTAAAATGTATTCAAATTACTCAAACATTTGTCCACGTCATGAAAAGGTGTATATAAGTTTTCTATCCAAATTTTAATATCTACGAATATTTTTAAATGAATTACAACAAAAAATAAAATTGAAAATAATAAAAGCATTATATATATATAATATATAAATATATTTCGTACAATTTGATAGGTGGTTTATTATAAGTCATACTTAATGGTAAAAAAAAATAAATTGTTTAATGTAGTATTTTTTTTTTCTTTATATAAGTTTCAAATTAAGTATTGACAAAAATCATAAATATTACGGCCTTTCAAAACATTTATAACCGAACTTACTTCCGAATCTTTTTTATTTCGTTAACGATAATTTTTACACTGAGCATTATTTAAACTATAAATTCGTCTATTTATAGGATTTTTAATACAGTTTGCTATTTGAAAACGAAAAGCGTATAGTGATTACACCTTCAAATATAAATAACCGATTATAAAATCATGTTACCTAGTTGTAAGTGATAATTATTATTTAACTATTCATATACAGTGTAATCATTATAACGTAAAACACTTGCTATCTATTTACAAATAAATTACTTTCTGGCTTTCATCACATATATGAACCTATAAATTATTTATCTGAAAAAATAATATCACCTAACAACTAACAAGTATAAAATAATTTACAGTCGTAAAACTATTGAATTTGATATTTTAAATACATTTCATTTGTTCTAGAATATATTTTTTGTACTAGTACTCAGATAATGAATTCAGTTGAAAACGTGAGTAAACACAGTGGGTTGCAGCAGGTGATTCATTTTATCATGATCTACCGATTTTCTCGAAGAATTTTAAGTATATTTGAATTTTGGTTTTTATTTTTAATCATTGTGAAATTGTTTCAGTTTTATTTTGAAACTGTTTTCAATTTTTACCTCTATTTTGTGCTCCTATTTTAAACACAGATTAAAATAGAAAATATTTTCATAATATTGAAAACATTAAATCATATTTACTGACAATGTATAATCAAAGCTCGTAACTTGTAGTATTTGGATATATTCTAAGTTAATATATCTTACACCTTAGTCAGCTATAAATTTATTTCAGATCACCAAGAAGTACAACCCAAAATTTTGGTAATATTTTTCTACTTTAGTGTTTTTAGCGCTATTTTATGCTCAATTTATAAAATAAAATTATTTAGAAAATCTTTATATATTTTCGAAAACTTGAGTATATACTTCATTATCAGTGTAGTTTTAATAGTAAAATATCAAAAATATTTTTGAAATATTTAAATGTATAATACATATTTAAATCATTGTAAAATTGTATAATTGAATCATTAATACAAATATTTTCATTTTTCGTTTCTACATGCAAACTTTGACGATTTATTGATTTATAAATATTGCTTTTACTTATTAATCGTTCAACGTCAGCTCTGTGAAGTTTTGCAGCTATTACACGAGCTACTATAATAGTAATCTTTTTAAACTCGTTGGACCCAGATTATTGCACTAATTTAGGTAATGACATTTGTTGTATCTCTGCTTATCTATTATGTTCCATTAAATCTGTATACCCCATATTTAAAATCAGCTAAATTTAATTCATTACCCAAAACGTCAATTGCATTTCTAATGTTAGTATTACAATCAAGGTTAGCAACAGGTTTAATAGTACCAGCACGGCAGCACAACAAAATATTCTTCAATATCTATGCGGTCTTGAAAAAAAAAAAATGTTTATTTTATATAACTTTTTACTATTTCATGGTATATGGTATTTATAGATCTATTTTCAGTAATATACAAATTATTTTTATGTTTTCATTTTGCTTGAAAATCAATTAATTGTTTATCTTGTAGAACTTTTCCATCAGTATCCTCATTAGTTCCAACAGTTCATCTTCGAGTACATCTAACCAACCACTAACTAAATTAATTGAACGTTATTTTATTTTATTTATAACTGACTTAGTATGTTTAACAAGATCCAAAACCATTATTTTATCACTTTGATTAGTTTGTTGATCACGACTGAAAATGGCCGACGCCAGGGACGTACGCAGAAATAAGTTTTGAGGGGTGTTTTTGAAAATTAAAACAATAATATATAACATTGAAATGGAATAAGTAAATGGCCAAACAAAAACCAAATAAATAGTGTTCTTATTAGTTAGTAATAATAAAAAACCGCTATTCTTCCTCTTTGGAACTTTGCATATATATAACCAGAACTTTCCATGAAATTAATATTGCATTAACTAGACTAAAAGAAAGGTTGGTTAGGTTATGTTCAAAAAAATGGTATTCTTATTAGTTATAAACTATTTTCCTTAAAACAGTCTTTGTAATTCTCTAGTTCAAAGTTCTATTTTTAAAAATATATTCGGTAACATTATATTTATACAAACTGTTTAAATAGCATACAAAATTCCCTAAGCACCTCTTTGTTCAACGTGTCTTGCACCAAAAAAATACTGCTCTTCGACTCTGTTTAATGACAATGTTTGATGTATTATATACATTTTATCTATCTGTGAACGATCCACTGATCCATCGCAATGCAATGACGTGAATATTATTTCCGATAATGTCTTTTTAATGTTTTTTAATAAACATAGTTTAATAGTTTACATTTTTAAATTATAATTATTAATGTAAACTATTAGTTATTAGTTATAAGTAGATATACAAAATGATTTTCTTATTGCAAAAAAAAAAAAAAAACGCATAACACATCAATACCTATAGGACCCACTATTTGCTATATTATCTTATACAATAAATTATGAAAAATTGATCAAGTGCGCATCTAGCTTTTCCAAATACGCAAAATAATAAGTCCAACTGTGCTTTACAATAAGCCATGTATAAAATTGTAAGAATATTATTTTTTTTGGAAATAATAACATAATACAAATGTAATTCAAAATAAAACCACCGGCGGCACTAAAACCCGTTAGCCTACAGTGTCGTTGATATAAAAGAAGAAACTTTTGTAGCCCGTCCTTTGTCAGCCGCCAACTATGTCGTGACCAGTCCATTATATCTTAGTCCGTGCTATAGACCTTAAACTAAGTAAAAGTCAAAAGGTCTATTAAGTTTGTAGTTTGTATTAATATTTTAGTTAATAAAATGCCCAAAATTTGAAAATTTGAATTAATGAAATCAAATTCACTTAACTCCTTCGATAAAATCAATTAATAGTAAATCACCTTATAGTTTATACTATTCTCTATATTTAAATCCAGAAACACTCGATTAACATTATTTGTTTATAACTACCTATTTAGAATTGTTCCAAAGAAACTACACAAGATTTAAAATATTTAATATGCTGCCAAAAAACACAAATAGAAGAATTAAAGAGAAAATTAGAAGTATATAAAGAAGTGATAACTGACAGAGATAACTTACGAGAATTAGTCAAGGAACTTGAACAACGGAAGGAAATTAATTATGTCAGTCATAAGGTGTTCACTAATATAATGACTTTGTTTGAAAACCAAGCAGACAAATTTCGAAAAGTTGCAACAGTAGAATGTAATTGGCAAACACAATACAACGAGCTACAAAATGTTAACGATTGTATCATTAATCAGTTAAACGATTTAAATTTTAATGAAAGCATAATTAAATCCAATTTCGAGAACTCGGAAAAAAAATTAAAATATATTCAAAAAGAAATGGATCATATTAAAGTAAATATTCCCTTCGATGTACAATTATTTTGAGACGATTTCACACAAGAACTAATGGCGAATATGCAATTTAGAAATGTTTTATTAGTTATTAAATATTTCAATGTGTATTCTATAAACCAAAGGAAAACTGAATAGTTTTTACATAAAAAAATAATTGTATCTGAAGTTCACTGACTAAAAGCTATAAAGATAGGCACATTTTTATACCTTTTAAAATAATTAATTATTTAAATTATTTAACATCATTAAAGTAATAATTTACCTACTTTTGTACTCTAGTTATGTTGTAGGTAATGTTATAGGTAACCGTGATTCATTTTTTTTGAAGAGGTAGGGTTACGAATTTTAAAATGTTGCGATTGCTCACTGGTAGATCACTGTTGTCTGTGGGTAATTGGTTAGGTATGACATTGATGGCGTATGGGTATATGATACCCCTAGGGTATTATAGTTTACTTACCATGGTATACTTATACTATACTTGCTATACTACATACTACTGTATGGAACAACTCATTGCAAAAAAAAAACTATTCTCATTGGAGTAATGTATGTAGTATACCAGGTGATCCATTTAAGTGTGTACACTCAGTATCTCGGAAAAAAATAATTTTTTCCGGAATTTGTTTTATAGAATATTTAAGAAACAAATTGCTCTACAATTTTATATTTATGTTATTTTTTGTCTCCTTTATTTTTAGATGTAAAATCACTACCTACTTTTGATTTTCAAATGGCAACTAAATTAAAAATTCCATAAATAGGAGAGTAGTGGAGTGTCATGTGTGGTGGAACGCGCGCGACTTGTTAATAATGCACCAATACTCTCCTCAAACTCAAACTTAAAAGTGAAGAATCTCGTAAACGAATTGACGGAAATCAAAAATTTGAACACTAAAATTTATTTTAACTAATACTCCACCTATTTATGGAATTTTCAATAAAGTTGCCAATTGAAAATCAAAAGTAGGTAGTAATTTTATCCTCAAAAATAACATAAATATAAAATTGTAGAGCAGTTTGTTTCTTAAATATTCCATAAAACAAAGTCCGTTAAAAATTAATACTTTCCGAGATAATGAGAGTACCCACTTAAATGGATCACTTGCTAATAATGATGTTTTACCATTTATTTCCAAGGTAACTTAGAAATTACTCATAATCAAACAATTAAAATGTTAATACATTTTTCAAATGTAGTAAGTACTACAGCAAGAATGGAAAACATTTTTAATTTTTTCGTCTTCGTTTTTTAGTATCAATATAAAAAGCTGTTCTAGGATAATAGAGATGGGTGCAGCCATTTTCAAAGATTAGAAGTTGATATGATAGTAACTAGTAAATAGGAAATTTAATGTTTATCTGTAAGCAATAATAAACCATAACGAAAAAACGATTGTGAGCGGAGTTCGGTTAATAGTGATTCTTTGTCAAAAACATATGTATATATATGTTATAATATGGTAAAATAATTACATAGGAATTATAATATATTTTCTTTACTAATACTTATTTAATATTGTACTTATTTTCCGTTTTACATATTTATTGGGAAATCTTTTGGGAAAATCAAAAAGTTGCCTCCCTAATGTACTTCCTCAGTCAGTCAGATTTCCTTTTAGAAAGTGTTATCATTGTAAATCAGAGCAAAATTATTGGTAGTAAAATATAATATTTTAAATATAGTATAAGTATTTAAAATATTATATTATACTTAATATTTTTAAATTTATAATTGTATATAATAAAATTTAATAATATTGATATATTCTTAATATATAATACATTTTGGAAACATTAACAATGAACAAGTTACTTGTGAATAATAACATGTTGGTTTATAATACATAAATTTGGGTAAGCAAAACTATAGCACTATATATATATATATCGACTATACGTCGATTTTTGATATTAGCATATTTGACTATCTTTATGGGGTAGGGGGTGACACTAAAATCTATACAAATTAATTAATGGGGGGGGGCGATCACCTTCCCCTTAAATACGCCACTGTGTCGCTCAACAATGATAATTACTACAGTCCACAGCTAATTACCTATTAACAATTAGAAATCACAATATTACATTTTCATAATTATTATTACTATAGAGTAATAAAATTATTTGTATTACCCACATGATTTATTTTCGTTTTCGTTATTTTTTAATTTAATGTCATAAATTCTGTTTTTTATATTGAGATACTGCATGCACAAATTGAAGTACTTGCCTAATGTGGAAACATGTTAAATTTGTTTATCGTAAACGTATGATAAATTACATACAATTTGCTTTGATAACAATTTAAGCATATATAATATACAATTATGGTTGTATGAATTATTTACAACATTCGGTGTATACTATATTGTGTATAAACCAAATTTTGGATTTCCTTTGCTTGTATTTTTGTTTTCCTATTTTTAAGCAATAAACAATTATTTGTACAGGCATATAAATTTCAATTTGTATCATCAAAATATTGTTAAATTATATTAATGATTATAGTTTATATTTTAATGCACTAAAAATGAATAAAACCGTTCGATTTATGCATATTTTATATATTACATTTATTTGTTTGTGCATAAACGCATACATATTTAAGCCATTTTGTTTTTTTTTTTTAGAAAAATTAACAATAGCATACGTACATAATAAAAAAAATAGGATGACAGATAAGAATTTATATTAATTACAGAATATGAGATGTCCATGAGAATATGGGATATCACCCAGTGTTAGAACCCAATGTGATACTATATTTTGGATTTAAGTCTGCACTATTGACGTTTTAATTGGCGCATTGGATTTCCAGAGAGATTTACTGGAGAGTGCGGAAATTATAGGGTTTGAGTTTGTTTTTAATTTTGAATGGAATCTGGAGTAGTATGTGGAGGGTAAATTTCGTACTGTTTCGATTTTTAAATCATTGAGTGTTTCGTTTAAAATGTACAAGGGAGCAGTGGTAATTACAAGCTATATTAATTGCACATAAACATCCGAACACTAGTTATATAATATAACATATATTTATTAGGGTGGTCCTTGGTTGTAGGAAATTAACAATAAACATAATATCTTTGATACAAGGCCCCCTATTTTCTTCATTGCCAAGTAAAAGTAATCAGTGTAAAATTTGGTCATGATGACTCACCTCTTCCTATAACACAAGAGGATTGAAAAATTATAAAAGGGTAGTTTAGTGGTTTTTTATACTTAATTTAACAACAGTATCATTGATCATAAAATAATATTAGATTTATTGGTAGTTCATTTTAATGTCTATATAATATTTATTATTCCATAATTTACTCTAAAATCAAACAAATTTATAAAATACAAAATATTGCAATACAAATTTGGTAATCAGTTGAAAATATGAACATAAATGTTTAATATAAAAATGATTTAGAATTTAATTTCCTAAAAAAAAAAAAAAATTGGTAATATTTAACAACTATATAGAACGACCAATTTAATATTACACTATGAATTATGTTAAAAAGTTATTTTATTTCACTTAAAATTGTTTTACAATAAAAATGGAATCTTCAATGATTGTTTTGAGTGTCCTAAATAAGTATTTCTGTATGCCACAAATTAGACAGTGATCAAAATATATTATATTATTGGGTCAATTGAAAATGATGTTTATGGTCATTTTCATAATGAGCATATATATTTATCGTTTAATTTTTTTTTTTTAAAAACAAAAAAATATTAGCTAAATATTTTGTTAATATTGCTTCCAATATGGCTATACTATTATATAACAACTTGGAACACTGTAGACTTTAGTAGTTACATTAAAACTGTTAGTTATATTATTGATTTAAATGTAAGTAAACGAACAATACACAAACTATAATTGACTGTTAATACACAAATGACATAGAAATGAATTTTTATATGATAACTGTACATATTTAACAATACCATCGAAACTTATTTACAAAAAAAAAAAAATTACCTAGTTTGGAAGCAAAAGTTTAAGGTGATTATAAATTATAGACATTTTTACAAATTAAATTATTGCAAAATAAAAAATGTCATGAAGGTAAATCATCAATATTAAGAAAGTAATAAGCTGTAACTACGAAAGTAAAATTAACAAAAAATTTTTAAGGCAATCTTTTGCAAACAAGAATTTTTTATTTAGTTTGTAAATAAGATTGAATGGTATTGTTACACCAATATAAATCGCAAATAATAATAAAAAATATTAAGACAAACCTATGAAAAAAAAAAATAGTTTTTGGTCCATTGTAATATAATGTATAGCACCATTATATACTATAAAAACAATATAAATTACATAAATATTTATTTTATTTTTTTTAGACAGAGTTGGCAGAAGCAAATTCTATGATCAGAAAATTGAAGACAAATATGAAATCTAATGAAGAAGAACTTTGTAAAAAACGTAGACAACTTGATGAATGTACAAACAAATATAATATACTAAATGAAACGAATATGATATTAAGGAAGGACATTAAATGTACACAATTAAAACTCGATGATACAAGATCATGTGCAACACATGCTGAAGAAAAATGGAAATTTGAGATTGAATCATTGTCAAATGAGTTAAAAATGAAATGCATTAAATTGAAAGATTTAGAGTTACAATATAATCAAGTTAATTGTATGATAAATGACGATAAATACAAAGTTAAAACATTAGTCACTACTTTGAAAGATTTAAAAGAAGCCAGTTTACAAAAATACAGTGAAATGAAAAACGAAGTTCAAAAATTAAAACAAGAGAACGATAGAAAGGAAACTGATATATTTTGCTTAAAAAACAATATTAAGCAATTGCAACGTGAAAATGAATTTAATAATATGGAAATAAATACACTGAAAAATAAACAATACAGGAAAAATTGTCAGTTAAAAGAATTTAAATTATTATCTCAAAATATAATAAAATTGGAAACTTCTACTTGTTTAGAACAACTAAAAACCACTAGTTTTATTTGCACTGTTCCACCGACAAACGCATGTAGCAATTCATCCATAAATATATAATCAATTATTGAAAAGTACAAAAAAAACTCAATATAATAGATATTAAAATAAAATTTAAAAATTGCAATGTGAACGAGAAAACATAATGCAGATATTTTTAAAAATATACAAATTTTAATCTGAGCAGAATAAAATTTATTAGTTTTACAATGGTGCATTATTTGTTTTATTAATTTCTCTGATAGTAAATGTTTTGTTAAAAAGAGGGTACTAACTACAATTTCATAAAAAGCATTTACATATTAATATTTAATACAATGATACCTGGACTTTTTTTAAATTTTCTTAAAAACATGAACAACACAATCAAAAAACATTGTAATATTGCTATTTGTTAGTTTCATAAATAATTATATTTAAATTTTTAAACAGTTTTTTTTTATATAAATATATATATATATATAATTATATTAATAAAAACTACAAATTGTTTAAAATATTGTGTGGTGTATAATAAGTAGTACTTAGTACAATATGTATGTGATCTTAAATTCTAATTTTTAAACTTTTAAAATAATAATATTATTATTATACTCTTTACATTAGAATTTAAATATAATACAATTTGTATAAATTCATTATGTTTGGATTTACAATAAATTAATGGGTACAAATGTACAATTATTAACTGGTAAGTGACAAATAATTCCAGGTTATTCGTATTATAAGTTAGAATAGATGAAGATTAATTTAGGATCAACTTCTACAGATTATTATAACTAATTAGTGTCCCTATATTGTAAATTAAGATGATTGCGTACTTGCATTATACTTTGGTATTTGTTTATACACCAGTCAATTTGATAGTTTAATTAAAAAACGACCAATGGTCTTTTATACCCACATTTATGCATTAAATTCATTCAAGACGACAATTTGATGCTATTAAACTATAAACAGAAAATATACTTCAAAATAAAGCAGTAATTATAAAGAAATGTTAATAAATGTAATCAATTATTATGGTTCAATCATATATGATGCTATTTTTTAACAAAAATAAAAAATAGTATTCAAAAAAAAAAATTGTATCCGCATTTTTGGTCCCAGTACTAATGAACAACAAAATTACATAATTAAGAATTTAAATTATTGCAGCAATGAGCATATTTTTAAGAACATAAAATTACTTTGTTCTTAAAATAAAAGTTGTACTATGGATATTTGACAAATACAATACATTCTGTTCTGTTTAATATTTTTAAGTGTTTAACTGCAACAAAAAAAATGTAATAAAATTAAATTGTTTGCAAAATTAAAGAGCCATTGTATAAAATTGTTTTTAAACAAAATTTTAGTGTTGCATATTATGTTTAATAATGATAAATCATTTTCTAAAATTTGTTGCAGTAAATAATTATATGATAATATTCATTATTAAAATAGTTTGTATAAATTATATTTTTAATATTATATAGAAATGGTAATAAAAAAATTAAAACTTTTTGTGAACTTTAAAAATCTGTAGAAAATGAATGCCTCATCATCAAATAATATTTGTAACACCAAAACTTTATTTTAATATAAAACATTTATTTAATTTTTAGTTTTGAACAAATATACAAGTTTCAACACAAGAATGTAGTAATGATTACTTAAAAGAAAAATCTTAATTTAACTTAAAATATTAAACAGAATAAAAGTTAATACATTTATCAGATCTTCATTATTTACCTTAAATTGCAAAATAGAATAGTTATGGTCATATTAGTTTTTGCTTTTATAAAACAGCTGTAACTTAGTTAGATAGTTTAACAAAAATAAATATGTAGTGCCATTGAAAATATTCTCCTCTTTAAATTGTTAAAACTTAAATTTCAACCTAAACAGTTAACACTATAGTTTAAATTCTAAAGAATGTAATTGTTTTTATTGCCCATTAGTTAGACTGAGACAGTAAATGAAATTATAGCGTGCTATTAATACATCAAATTGACATAATATACTTTTGATTAGTTAGGTCTTCAAACTTTAAAAACAAATGTATTTATTTTGAACTATACTTTCTGTTTTATTTGAGCAATAGTTAATAAGAATTCAACATTAATTATTATAATAAAATCATTATTTTAATAATAACATTAGATTTAAATTGGTAGCAAAAAGAATACAAGTCAGTTATTTTATATCATTTATCACCAACTGGCAACTAACATGAACATATTACAATATATACTTTCAAAAAAATTACAATTCTATGTTAATATTACTTACATAGACATGTTTTTAGTTTGAAAAGTGTTACCAATACATCCAATAAATAGATCAAAAGTCTTATGTATTATAACCATAAATGTGACTTTTTTACCTTATCAATTATATATATATATATATTTATATATATGCAAAAAATATAATGAACAAAGAATTACGATAATAAAACAAATCATAGTTTAATGATTGTATAGAAATTATATGTTCACGTTTTATGCATTAAAATATAACAACAAAACATACAATATCAAATTGTTCTTGTGTTGTACTATTATTCAATTTATAGAGTTAAATGATTTTGAAAAATAATAATACTGGTAAATAAAAGTAAAAACCATGGCAACAATCCTATTAAACATGAAATAGTAGGCTATTACTTTTACAGAATAGTTTATATTCTAATTAATAATATATAAATAAATATTATAACATAAAAAAATTAATAATAATAATAATAATAATAATAATAATAATAATAAAAAAAAACATTGTTCCTAAGTCCATTTTATTTTATTCAATGGCAACATTGGAAGACTTAAAAAAAAAAGACATATAAATAAAAATTAACAGATGAACACGAAAATAAAAAATACATTTTTAATAAAGTTATCAGAATTAAAACTTTATTTTCTTTGTACTATAAAAATAATAAAATAGGCGAATATATGCCTAAATATGGAGGACTTATAAAATCCAGACTATAATAATTGTAAGAATAATTGTTATAATCTATGTTTTTTAACATAGAAAAAAAAAACATTTACTTGCTATTAAATTATATACGTATACATACACACACACACATATATATATATATACACACATACACACACACATATATATATATATATATATATATATATATATATACATATGTATACAAATACAATATACATACATACAAAAATACGTTTGTGTTGTTCGTCCTCTGTTTGTGGCATTCCCGATATCTTACAGATACGTTGACTCGCCTAGAACCACCGGAAACACAATCACATTTGCATCTACGCCATCAGGTGTATTGTGCTCAAGCGACAGGTTTACGAAAGCCTAAGGGAGACAATAAAGCGGCCTTCACCAATCATTATTCTAAAAAAATACTACACAAGAAGAATTAGGGATGATAGCATTTTACTAAAATGTTCAAACAAGAATATTAATTTCATTAAACTTGCATTTTATATAAAGAAAATGATAATTTTAAAAATTTGAGTATATACAAGAGAAAACAAGTTGTTTTTACAAAATGATACACACAAGCAACGATTTGTTCATGTGTATATACTGTTTTTTTTCCACGTGCCTAATTAGACAGGGAGTTAAAGCGATAGCCTACATGAGAAATATTTCATCAGATTAATTATTTTTACATTAATCCTGACTTTATTATTATGTGTTTGTGTAAATCACTGACCAGATTCCCATCCATCTCCTTCGCATCCAGTGTCATCTTCTTCAGCTGTTGTACAGCTACTTGATTCACTTTCTGATAATGTTTCACCAACGACAGGTTCAGAAACATCTGCACGTTCAAATAATAAACGGACGTTGAAGTCTGCACTAAATAGTTTATTTTGTTTATCCTTATGTCCATCCAAGTCCCATTTGTTCATAGTTAATGTCAATAGGCGATTATCACTTCCATTCGCATGACCAATAGAATTTGCACTATTACATAAAAATTACAGTTATTATAAAAAAAATATGTATTCATTTTTATAAATTTAATATTTAATAATAGAACATGGATAAAAGTCTGAAATATAAAGGTACATATTATTAATATTATTTATCCACTATTCAATTATTTCTAAGGTTTTAAGAGCTTATAAATCCGAGCACTAGTTATTACTTTTACCTATAATATTCTTGGATAGTAAAAATAAAATGCAGAGTATATCAATCAATAAATAACTATTTGCTATTGGATATTTTTCAGGTATGCTAGCTTCCATAACCCCAGAAAAAAAAAATATAAAACACAATTCATGAATTAATACAACTGATCGCTATACTCAAATGTTATTTAAATACAATGATTTATATTATTGTGTGCAATATTTAAAAAACTTATGGCAAAATTGATAATCTATATTAAAAAAATTATGTATTTATCTATGATGCAACGAACATCAGCTGCTTTAGTTAATTACAATGTTAACCAAGTAGTAGTTGTGTGACTTTTGTAAGTGAAATGTAAGATATATTAATTAATTTGATCGATCTGTATGCAACAATAAATTATTACTAACAAATAACAATTAGAGCAAAATTTAATTAACTTAGTAGTTTTACCTCCAATGGTGCAACTATTAGGATCTCTGTTTTCTAACCGAACTACAGTAAACAAAAAAAAAAAAAAATCTGTGTTTTTCTCAATTATTAAGAAAATTACAATAAAAATCAATGACCTCCTCAATGCAATTAGACAATATTTATTTTTAGAAAAGATATTATGCTTCTGATGATTGAAATAATAGTCTCTGGTAGAAATAGTCTCACATCACTCAGAATCTAGAAAAAAAAAAAGAAAAGACATACTAGAATACCGGGGACGGGTGCAGCCACTGTTATAGGTAATTTAATGTATACCTGTAAGCAATGATAAACCATTGCTAATGAAAAAACAATTCTGGGTGGAATTCAGTTGATAGTGATGTTTTATCAACAATATATATGTCATATTATGATAAAATAATTAAATAAGCATTATATATTATTTTTAATAATATTTGTTTAATGTACCAATTTTCCCATGTTCTTTCACATTTGCTGGGAAAAATCCTAAGAAAATCAAAAAATGACCCCTCAAAAAAAGTGCTTCCCATTGGAATTTCTTTTTGAAACATTGCTAGTATTATAAATTAAAGCAAAATTACTTGCAGAAAAGTTGTCCACAGGAAAAAAGGTCATAATAATTTTACCTAATACCTAAATTTCTTACATTTTCTGGTTTATCATATTTGTTAGGAAAACTATTGAGAAAATCAAAAAATACCTCTCTAAAGTATCTCCATACACAAATTTCTTTTCAGAACAAGTGCTACATGTAAAAATCAGAGCATGTTCTCTGGTAGAAAAATTGTCCAAAGAAAAACAAAAACTCAGGATCTAAAATAGCTAATACTGCTAACGAGTGTGCACCTATTGTGGATGGAAGTTGGTAAAGAAGAATAAAGACTTATTTATTGTACAACAGTACTCAAAAAAAAAAAAAATTAGATTGCTAATTCTATGTATTCATACATACAGGTTCTGTACCTCTCATACCGCTAATAAAAAGAATCTGTGCAAAGTTCAGTTATATATGTTTTGAAAAAAAGTAATTTTTATAATTTTCATCATAATAAGAACTAATTTAAAAAAGGAAAACTTTTATAATATTATACTACACTTTTTATTTTACCACTAAGTACAACTTATAATAAACCCAATATTAAATATTTCATTATTTAGTCTACATAATATATTATCTAACATTAGATCAAAAACGACTGAAATATAACAAAAACACAAAATCAATAATAAAGAAACTATTAATGCCATACACTTTCCTATATTTAGTATGGTTTTTTCTAATGAAAAATGATTGGAAAATGAAAAAACACGACTTTCTTACTAACCAACTCATTCTTAAATGAAACAAAAAAAGATCTTTTTAAAATTAAAATAACACAAGATTTCTAGTTAAAAACATAATTTGTAAACATTTAAACCAATGAAATTGTCGCCATAAATCTGTCAGTTTTCATCTTTTTCATGGTTTTTTATTATTATGAAAATTAGTTGAAAAACCAAAAAATGACTTATGTACTCACCAACAAGATATCAAACACAATAAAAGGGGTAACTTGTCATTTTTTGACTAAAGCAAGATTTCTGGTTGAAAAGATAAACAATACGTACAAATTTAAAATAATTGCAGTATCCTAATGGCTTGAAGTAAATAAACATTAACAAGTTTGTTTTTCCCATAAGTTTTATCCTCCTATAAACCATCTAAATTCAATATGCAAAAGCAAGGTGGCTTGCTATTTTTTAATAGGAGAAATTTTTAAGATGTTAAGAAAAAAAAAATCATACATCATAGTAAAATAGATCCCTTGCTATACTAGTACGCTCAGAATCAAATAAGAAATGTAAAAATCATAATACTTATAGTTATGGCTTTAGTAATTTAAAAAATAAAAAACTTATTTCGTTCTAAATAATGATCAGAAATATAAATAATCTGCATCTCACATACATAACAGTACTACTAAACCTATGTTAATTCAAACTTAAAGCAAAAATGTAAGGTTAATTTATAGTTATATCAAACACCAAATTTTATTAAATTAAATATTAATAGTTAGTTAACAATTAAAATAAATAATAACAACTTAATAACTAAGTATTTATAATTAAATTTATGATTTTCAAAATACTTTTAAGTACTTAACAATCAATGTTACTAAAAAGTATCCTACTTTAAAGAATTAATGTCTAATCAATAATTATTTTATGTAAAACACGTAGTTAAATAAAAATGAATAAACATACCGGATTTTGTTATTTGGAAATCGAAGGTTAGTTGAATCATCCATACTATTTGTACGAACTGTTTTTTCATGCTGGCCATTATACTTATTTCTATTACCATTTTCTATTCCAGCTGCTTCACTAACAAAATAGGTATTAAACCAAAAATGAAATAATTTTTCCTGAAAAAAAAAAAAAAAAAAACTAATTAATATCTAATTTTTAATTTTTAATAAATGAGAATTAAATATCATTAGTTAATTTTAATTTTAAACCTTTTTCTTCATTTTATGTTTATTATAACATTCTACTTTCACATCACCAAGGACTTGAGTAATCTGTGTTAAACGAATAGTCACATCAGAAGCATTACGCCGAAAATCCTGAACATCGGATGAGTAAACTTTTCTCAGTTTTGAACTATTACCATCTATCCATTCTGATATTACTACACGGATACCTTTTTTTTTTTTTTTTTGTTAAAAAAACAATTTATTATTTGTTTAAAAAACAAAATGTTAACTATAAATTACTTACATGTTTGCCCAGAGTTAAAAATGTTAGGGACAGGATCTAATTTTATTTCCTTTATAGTCAATACAACTGGTTTGTAATTTAAATTGTATTTCACTAACAATGCATAATAGTCAACATATCGGCGTTGACTGGGAATAGTAACACCCTGAAAAAGTTAGTAAACTGAATTAGTAATGTTGTATTTATGTTATATTTAAAATTATTATTTATTTAAGTTTGAAAAATACATATAGGTATTTATTTAAATCTAAATACCTTTTCATCTAATGTTCTCTGTTGACCATAATAATTGAGAGCTTCTTCTGCTGATGAATACTGTTTAGTATGTATTAAATAACAAGAAATCATTACACCAGTTCGGCCCTTAATAAAATGTACATACAAATAAATATATTGATAAATTTGTTTTAATAAAAATAAAAATTGTATAAACATAACAATTAGCTAATAACTTGTACATGCCATATTCTATTATGCAAAATAACTTTTTTTACCTTTCCAGCTTTGCAATGTACAGCAGCTACATTTCTGTCGTCCCTACTAAGCCAATTTTCAACATCTTCACAAAAAGGTCGTATCACCTCAATACTTGGTGGGTTATGATCTTGAAATGGATAGGTTGCTACACGTTGGTGAAATTTTGAACCATCATAAGACTTTTCTGAACAACTAAAAACATGAAAATGAAATAAAATTATTACAAAATCAATATTTGTATTTAACAATACTTACAGATTATATATTTTATAATGATTAGGATGTTTCTTATCAAGAAGCCTGCTCACATCATCTATATGATTTCGATACACTACACCTTCTAAATTTTCAGCTGGAAATCCCATTGCTATCACATTGTTAACAATGTCTTAAAATACTAATTAAGGAAAAATATATATGGTAAAAAAATTATATTAAATATACAATATTTATATTATAAATTCAATAGATAAATAATTGAAATAAAAACAAATTGTCAATAATATTTATTTTCTAGTAGTATAATTGTATGCAATGTAACAAAGCTAGAGAAGGGCCAAATAAAAACGAATGTTATAAAATATATTATAACATTATTCTTAAAAAAAATAGTAACTCAATAACAAAAAATAATTAACGTTTACATAAGAAAGACTAACTAAAAATTTAAAGACCACAGCGAAAAATGAAATAATTAGAAATTGTAAAATAAAAAAGTAATTCTGAATTTAAAAAATATGTGTACACGGTGTACGAAATATTCACTAATGAATATAATCTTTCAAATACTAAAAATTGTGTTACTATAATTTTACAATAAGAATATAATGCCTGATTATATATTGACTGAACTGTGGACTAATTGATGGTTAGATGATTAGTTTTTACAGCAGTGGTAGTGAAAGCTATCAAAGCATTTATAGACACAAATATTTTTCACCTAAATAATTAAAATTATCATACAATTTTAATTATATTACCTACTGTATATTAAATCAAAAAAAACTTATTTATCAATTTAGTTTAAAAATAATTATTTTCTTTTATTATAGATACTATGTTATGTGTAACTACTTAATTATTTAAATGTTACATTAAAAATATGTAAATTAAAAAAAAATAGGTACCTAGATAAAAGTATTAGAAAAATCACTTAATATTTTAAAAAAATAGATCTTCTTAAAATAAATTATTAAGTTTCATAAATACATAAATCCTTAATCCTCAAAATATACTAGATAAATGCAAATGTTTCAAATTTGCAAAATAATTAATTTAATAAAGATGAAAAGGATACAAGTCAAATCAAGGTTGAATCCGTCTTCAGTATAACGTTTTCTTTGTTTACTGACCAGTTTCTTAATTGGATTAGTCATTTTGATGTTAGGAATGGCCATTCTGGTGCGGATTGCCGAGCTATGCACCAGACCAGTTGATTGTTCGTCCATGGCTCTGCTGTTTACCATCAGTTATGTGCATTGTACGTACTAGACTGCAATTGAAGAGTGTTATATTATGATTGAATTTTCGATAAAAACAGGCAATGCATTCCAAACTTTAAACCATTTATGTATAACAGCCTTACCTTATAGTATATTCCAAAGTAAGAATGCAATGTAGTTATTAACAATACGTTTTGTATGTGACTGATAAGTTGGTCATAATGTCTAGTTACTTTAATGGTAAAGGTAATTTACGGCTGGACGCTCCAAAGATGAAAAGGGACAACGCAACAGAAGAGGAGAAAAAGAAAATGAAATGAAAAATAAAAACTTACAACATTTTTTCCATTAAAAAGAAAAGAAACAAAGAACGGGAAAGCTTACACCGTAACAGGCAGTACAATTGTGTAATATAAATACCGCACAATGTGACCAACAGAAATCATGGATAAAAGAAATTTTAATCACAAACTACAATCAAGCATGATAAAACTTATCTATTAGTCAAGAACCTAAGCAAGAGTTGGCCAGTGCAACTCACATGAAAATACATACTAACAAAAACAATTTTATTACGGAGCAAAACCAGAACAGGCGCTCTGCTGCGCTCTAGCGGATTAAGTAAACCAAATAATATTTGGCAATTTGATATCAACACAACATTTAAGATTTTTAAATTTTTATTTGTTTACAATTTATGTTCATTTGTTAATAAAAATATTAGAATATTGTATACAATGTGTTATAATGTAAATAAATATAAATTATTAAATAATAGAAAGCACATTGATTGCGATTGTTTGATAATTATTCCTAATAATGTTGTTACAAATTACGATGTAGGTAGTGCTCGAATTGAAGGGGGACACAGGGTGAAAGAGTACCTCGATTAATTTTTCAAAAATTTAAGCGTACCTTTACCATTTGTTTGAAGTTAAACGCATGGATGTAATAGACGATACAACGTACTTAATCTGAAAAAAGCTGAATATAAAAGTATTCAATAGAATTTCTGATCTCTAAGATTATTTTTCATTGAATAAAAGAAATAGAATTAAACAGAAGCATTAAATGTGACAATTACAAATTTTCTGACATTTTTCTAGGGGTTCTATGATCGTGTCGATTATTGAGCCGTGTGTATAAGGCCAGTCAAAACGAAGTGTTGATTTTAGCCGACTCTAGCGAACGTTCATCTAAAATTAAACAGGAGCGATTTCTTGCGATTGTTCGCGACTTTTATCTGGGTGATTATTTTCGTGTGAATATGTTGACTATTATAGCTATTTAATTTTGTGAGAATGTTGGCGGCGATTTTAAAATATATCATTGGAATAACCCATGTATAATTGTAGAAGGTTATCCGCTGATTATAAAAACCGCAACCGTGCCCAACTAAACCGCTCCGTGTGTAACCACCTTTCGAGTTTAGACCACGAATTAAGATATACAGAATACCGAACGAACGTGTGATAAATGAAGTTCGAACCAGGATTATAGATTTACCTATAATATAGATAATATCTATACCTATATATATAATCGTGGTTCGAACTTTTGGCGAGGTCACTAACACCATCTAGTGAACTCTTTACAAACTATGTTAATATTTATTATAGAAGGTCCAAGGCCGTGATAGATTAGATATGCATTTTTTTACATACCCTACTCCTCCAGTCTAAACTTTAAATTGGTTTTAGTTGATTTTTATACCTATTATGTCTTAAAAGCGCTAGCTGTCTTGCCAAACAGTAAGAACCGGGCGGACTCAGAAAAACATTGATAAGACCTTTCCGTTCAGTATTCTGTTTTTATCTTAATTCGTGGTTTAGATTAGACTATAAGTAGGTATCTACAATATTACGATATAAGCAATAACATTAAATGATACCGATAGTAATATAATATGAAGAATTCATTCCCCAAAAAGCATCCACTCACCTATTTTGATGTAAATTAATCAATTAATTAAGCAGCTGCTTCAAAAATAAACCCTCCCGCCGCCACTGCTGGCATATAAAACAAAACATGTAAAGTTTACTCTGCTGTAAATTCTGAGGTTTAGTTATAGAATTAATAAAATACTATAACAATCAGTCGTAGAAGCACTAGTTTTTTTTTTTATCTAAATATTATAAAATAATGAAATTCGTGAATGTCAAAATACATTTGAATACTTTTATTAAATTTATTAAGATAAAAATTATTGACCCAAATTTCAGTCCGGTCGGAAAACGAAGAGCCCGGGTCGGGGCAGTTTAACCTGGTCAGTAAATTAGTCTTCCCTTGCAAAATCAAAACTACGTGGCTTTGCTAATAAACCTCGCTACGATCTTTTCACCGCCGGTAAATAATGATTCACCTACCACTTTGGAGCAAAATTCTTTTTTCCGATCGATACTAAATTTTGTTAGAGTACTCTAGAGGTAATTTAGGTGTTATATCCAAAGTTTGGTAGTGATCGGACAAATTCCAAACTAGTTCTTTTGAAAGGGATTTTATGGTATCAAACTACGAAGGAGATCTGTATGGTTCCAAGCCAAATTTGTTAAAAAAATCATTTTCTTATTACCAAATCCCACTGAGACAGTGGCGTATTTATGGGGATGGATCTACCCTAGATCCGCTCTCACGGCTTTTTGAATACATGTGTGTTTCATTATATAATTATACTATAATATATATGGCTCTGTACGCTAAAATTCTTGTCATCCACCCTCTAAAAAAAATCTTAAATACACCACTGCACTGAAGTATACTTTATCCAAAAATCAGAAGGGGGTGGGTTTATTTAATATAAAATGTCCCTAATAGATCTATGCATAATAGCGAAGATCCCACCAACGTATATTGAAAAGCGACACTAGTTTTCAAATGAAAATAATGTCTCGCAGCAAATAGTTGGCGTGAAACGTTAGCGGCAAAATGATCGGCGGCAAAAAGATATAGACCCCTTATTTATAAATAAACTATTGCATATATACAATGGTGACTGATTGAACAGGAATTCGAGCTTTTCTCAAAAAATATTGTACTCACGAACAGTTAACAACGCACTTTCTCCCCATGAACCTAGAATTTGGGTTGCAGTCGACCCAATTAAAAATATTTGATCATCAGATCGTAATTTTCTTGACATATTTTCCGATTAAAATATACACACCACACACACCAGACAATGAATTCACGAATTGACGATGTACGCAACTAACTGTAGGTATATTATTAATAAAAATCGTCTAAACTTGTGTCTTGAGTCATAATCTATAGGAATTCACCTACTTTTTGAATATTTGTCATTAAGAAATGGTTAGATAATATCCAACTGTTGATTAAGTAATGTCGTTAATTGTTAGGTATTCTCAGATAAGTACTGTAGCTGTATATAAATATGTTGTATTTATAAACATTGATATTATTGAGAAAACAATATTCATTGTATACATACAAATTAATATATCTTTTAAATAGTTAGAAATATGAAAAAAGTTTTTGATATATAACGATTTATAGGAAATTCAATTTTATTTCAAATATATACTGTTATAGTTTTCAATTTTCAAATTAATTTACAAGATATTTATAAAAATATTAATGTATAAATAAATTATGATCAAATTAATGTCCTCAAATTAAAAAAATCAAGTCGGCACGGGTTAATATAATAATATATTGACCCAACATTTTTTGTAGCTCATTTTTTTATGTAAATACATAAATCTAGGGGGCGAGACTAAAAAAAATATTTAAGTACCTACTTTCAATTTATGGGACAATCTAATGTGTTTACATACATATTTCCATTTTTCTTTTCATAATCGATTATTAAACACATAGTGTAAATATCAAAATTTTAATTTTATGAGTACTAAACAATATCGTAAGGGACGTTCATTTTTTCCGGATCCGGTAAACCATTCGCTCGACTGTCGATTGTCAGTCGTCACGTGTATGCGTGTTAATGACTACCCAATTAATATGCCCACTTATCAACGATATTTTTTCTTGCAGGACATGAAAAAAATATTAAAAAAAGACGTCTTAGATTAATGGAGACGGGTGCTGCCACTGTTAAAGGTAATTTAATGTATACCTATAAGCAACGAAAAACCATTGTTTAAGAAAAAATGATTCTGAGCGGAGTTCAGTTGATAGTGATGCTTTGTCAACAATATATATATTTCATATTATTGTAAAATAATTAAACAGGCATTATATATTATTTTTAATAATATTTGTTTTGTGTTGTCCCGGTTTTCCCATTTTTCTTCCGTTTTTTTTTCAGTTTTTCAAATTTGATGATAAAACTTCTGAGAAAATCGAAAAATGACCTTTCCAAAGTACCCTCCCCCCCCCCGGTCGTATTTGGAACAACTTTGCTGGTAGAAAAGTTAACCACAGAAAAAAAAATCGTAATAGGTATTTTACAAATATATTTTGTATATTTTCCCGTTTTATCTGTTTTTTTTTTCGGTTTTTCGTATTTGATGAGAAAACTTTTGAGAAAATCGTTAAATTATGATTTTTAAAAATTGGAAATCATTTATTTATAATCAATTTTTATGTATATATTGTATGTCAATTTTAGTGTATTTTTAAAATAAACAAAAGATCAATTAAATCTAATATTTTAAATAAGTAGGTAGTTGGGTACCTATCTATAAATAATTAGATAGGTATACATAGATCACAAATATAACAAAAATATAATTAAATACAAATTATGTTTGAAAGGGACTGTAGTGTTAGATAACTAAAATTATTCCTTCAAATAATTTATAATATAGATTTTAATTTTACCAACTTAATAGATTTCAATTTAAACTCCATAAACCACCAAGTTGTTATCTATAGATTAACTATAACTGGTTTTTACTCGTCATATATTTTTCAACATAATATTCTGGACGTCCCAGTTGTTTCACTTAAATAGACAGTGACCACTGACCATTGAGTAATGTCAGTAAGCCATTAAGTCCCAAGTTAGTGTACGATGACAAGCAGTACAGTGAACAACAGCATGGTTGTGATGTCGTCCGCCGCCAGCTCGGATACAATGTCCGAAGTATCAGATTCAGGTACAGGAACATCTGGTAGGAGTTATAGCGACAGCCGAGAGGAAATGCATCAATTGGCAATTTCTTTAGGATTAGAATCAGCGGATGATTTGGCCAAAGAGCGATTTAAAGTAGATAGAAAAAAACTCGAGGCTATGTTACACTGTAAGTGTTTTTTGAAACCAAAAAATATTGTATTAAGCACCTATATTTGACGTTCTATAATAATAATATTTATAATTTTATGTTTTCTATAATTTTAATAAAAACCTAAAATTTAATTTTTAATCCATCGAAGTTGTATTTTGCTTTTAAAACTTTGAGGGAATTCTTGCTTAAATTTATGTTACCTATCTATGTTATATTTATAATATTGTATTAAGTACTTTTATATGATTATGGAGAAACCCACAATTTATTTTCCTATCATTGGAATGAGATTAAAATAAAATAAATTTATTTTTCTAAATTAGGTTCTAACAATTACTAAATAAAAAAATAATATTGAACTATAATATAATTTAAAGCCTTTAACTAAAAAATTTTATAGCGTAGACAACTACCTATTTAATCGTAATAATGTAGAAATATTACAATTTACAAAATACTTTAGGGAAATATTTTGTATTTTAAATAGGTAAATTAATTTATTAATAGTACTATTTGAGCTTTTTGAATTTTAAATTATTTTATACTTATTATAAAACCCTAGGTTAATATCGTCTAAAGAGGTTTGTAATTAAAAATAAAAAGTTTATTTGAGTAAATTTTAATAATTTATGAATTAAAAAAAGTATTATTTCAATTTTACTTTTTGTTTTTAATTTAGTATTAGTATGATCTGTGAAGAATTATTAGAATTATATACAAATTAGGTTTGTTTAAAATTATATATAATATAATTTAGTTAAATTGGCTAGATTTTAAAGACGGAGGGTGGGGGGACTTGGGTGAAGGAACCATCCATTAACAGAACTTCATGTATTTCTAATTTAAAGACTATAATATGCATAATTATTGATTCGTATAGGTGTAATGAAATTACATATAATTAAGGTTTTAATTTTAAAACACTATTTGGTGGTGGGGAATCGTGAAGGTAGAATATAATATAAAGTAATTAAATGTAGGTTTGTATGTACGCAATAATAAATCATTGAAAACAAAAAACGATTTGCGGAATTATCTTTTTAACATGATTTAAGTGTCTTGATTTTTAAGGTTATCATTAAAATTTGAACTCATTAACAGTTATAAAAGAAGCCTATTACATTATGCTAAACTTTTTGTTTTCAAAATTTACAACTTATGATAAACTTGTTTTAAATTTTTGATAATTTTTTTAAATATTTTTTCATATAAAACCAAAAAAAAAAAAAAAAAAATGGTGTGGTTATAAATAACTAAAGTCAATTGCCAAAATATTTTGAAAACCACTTTCAAAAAGTACTAATAGAATTAGTATTTGCTGATTATTTTAGATTCATTTGATTATTTTTAACTGTATTACAACAAAAATAAAATCATAAGAAGGAAACTGGTATTTCCATAAATTTTCCCGTTTTTTTCAAATTATTAATTATTAAAGTAAATTACAATTTAAATCAAAAAATGCTATCCTTAGTGCACCAAATAAACCAACTGCTACCAGAAATTATCCCTAAACTTAACCAATATAAACAATTTAAATACTTTTCTTTAATTATAAATATTAATTGGGAATCTGGGTTTATATAGGTGATGGCGAAGACGGATTAACGGCAGTCAATTTTTTTCAAAAAGTATGTTTTTAATCAAATCAATAAATTGTATAATAATAACTTTTATTTATATAATGTTAAAATATTTTAATTAGGAATTTAAATCTTTAATTAATCTTTAGGTGATGACAGATACAAGAACTTTAATTTTGTGGCCAACTCGATTGAAAATAGGAGCTAAATCTAAAAAAGGTAAGTAATTTTGAAATAATAATAATAATTCATTATAGTAACTTTTATAATAATATTTAATGTATAAAAAAGTATAGGAAATTGTATATATGTTTAAGTTTAATATAAATGATGTACTTAAGTTCTTTCCTGGTCCTTGAATAGGATAAGATAAAATAAATTATGCCATTGAAACAATTTTAACAAAAAGTAAATATCGACAATTAATTCATATTCTTTTTTAATATGTAACAATGACACCTCCCCAAAAAGCAAGGCTTGTTCTTAAGATGAACGAATTAAAAAAAATAGATATACATTATAACTTATTAAATATTATAGACTAGATATAGAAATTGAAACTAGGTACAAATATTTTGTCTAATATATTCATAACTTAAATAATAACAAAAATAATAATTAATTAAAAATAACAATTATTAAATCTAATGTAAATTCTAAGGATCATTTTTATCAACTTAATGTATATTTATGTCTGTATGTTTTATATCAAATGAAAATAATATTATATTGTAATAATTGTGTTCTTTAATTTCAAATAAAAAAGTTCTTTTATAGTATTATCAATCTTCCGTAAACACTTATTATCTTGGAAAATATTAACTTTTTTCACACATTTTTTGTATAGAAAATTTAACTTTCAAAATAATAAATTTCCTTTATATTTGATAGTGAAACCACTACTAAAATTTAACTTTTACTTGTAATACAGTAAACGTTTGTATAATTGTATAGATCCACATGTTCGCATCGCAGGACTCCCAGAGGATGTTAAAGCAGCCAAAATGCAAGTGATGTGTGTCTTAGATGACCGAGTAAGAATATTTTTAACTTTCTATTATTTAATAAATTTGTAAACAATAATATAATATAATAATTTTTGTAGAGTAATCGTGTAACAATGAAACTAGATCTAAGTTATACAGACCATTCACATATTATTGGTCGGGGCGGACTAACAATTAAGCAAGTAATGGAAAACACTGGTTGTCATATACACTTTCCAGATTCAAACAGAACAAGTTTATTGGAGAAAAGTAATCAAGTTTCTATTGCTGGGAATTGTAATGCTGTTGAACGAGCTAGAGCTCGTGTACGAGTAAGTTACAGTATTATCCATTAAACAATATATTTTGAATAATCTATAAATAATATAAATTGATTTTAAGCTGAAATCAAATAATTATTTGTATTCATTACCACAAAAGAACATGAATTGTATTTTAATTGTAAATAATAAAACACAAATAAAGAACTGATACTGCTAATGAATGTGCCATTGTTGTTGGTGAAAAGTTGGGAAGGTAGCATACATAAAGTTATTTAATTTATATCTGTGAATAACGAAAAAGTTTTTATTTCTAAGTGAAGTTTCTTTATACATAATTTGAAAGGCCGCCATCATATTTATGAGTTTTAATCAAAATTTAACCATTATAATACAGAAATGATACTATACTTTTTTTTTGACCACTAAGCTCAATTTATAATGAACTTTGTGTTAAATTGTCAAGCCTCTCTGTTTGTTCAAACAATTAAATCTACATAGTACCTACCAAATAAAAACTATGTAAAAAAAACTTACGTAAAGTTTCTATAAATAGCTCAATCATTTACCAAGTATAGAAAAAGCCAATATAAATTTTCTATCAAAATGCTACAAATATTTTTAACTGAATTACAACAAAAAAACATAATTGAAAATAATGATTATTATTGTTATCATTATTTCCATAAACTTACCTATTTCTTTCTACATATTTAGATTTTACTCAATTAAGAAAACTACCCGGAAAATCAAAAAACGACTCACTCACCAATTAGATCTTAAATTCATCAAAAAAGTATCTTATTTTTTTTTCGATTGTAGCAATTTCTAGTTGAAAACATAACCAGTTAAAATTATAAATAATGATGTTGTAAATTTGTCAGTTTTCCTATTTATTATGAAAACTGCTTAGAAAATAAAATAAAAAAACAAAACTAATATACTTATTTTTTACAAATAATGAAAACGGTATCGCAGCCCTACTTTACCCATTTTTCTGGTATTCACTGATTATTTTGAAAAACCATTGAAAAATCAAAAAATGACTTCTCTCATGCACCAAATTAATCCAAAATACAACAAAAAGGTCTCTTGTCATTTTTTAGTTTGACCAAGTTTTTTAGTCTAAAAGATGTTTACCATCTGAAAAAAAAAAAAGTAAAAACTATAGTAAAATCTATAGATTTTTGGAACTCTGAACCTATAAAATAATAAGGCAACTACTTTTTTATTTTATTCTTAGGAATTAACTCCATTGATATTTTGTTTTGACTGGCCAAATATTGGTACTGTTCAAAATTATCAAGATCCATCGAGTCAATTCCCTTACATTGGTTCTATTCAAGAAAATTATAATGTTCACGTTATGTTTCGTACTAGACCAAAGCTTCATTCAACTATGGTAATGGTCAAGGGACATGAATGGGATGTTGTGAGAGTCAAAGAAGCTACTATGCAACTTATGACACATATGTGTGGAAATCTTGCTGTAAGTAATCAGATTTGTAATTTTGTATTCACTTTGTAGCATAATAAATACCTATGTCAACTTTAATATTATAACTATGAATTATATCCCTCTAGGCTCTTTTAAATTTATAATAAGTAATTTGTGTATGGGTTTTCTAAACATATATTTCAGTGAGAAAATTAAATGTAACAAGAATTTTCCAATGAGACATAAGTTAAATTCTTCGAAAATGTGGTTAGATGGTTGTATGGTTGTATGGTTTGGTACATTGGGCTGTAGACAGAAAAAAAGAATGGATAATGTGTGTAACAGGGATAAGAATGCTTAGGTGATGAGTGGAATGACGAAAGAAGATAAGATAAGGGATGAGTACACAAGAGATTGTTTAAGTATGACTTTGATAGTAGATAAAATGAGAGGAAATAGACTGATACAGTCTGGGCATGTCATAGGAAGAAAGGAATCTGAAGCATTAAGAATTATAATGAAAAAAAATTTAAGACAAAGAGGTGAGGAGGAAGACAAAAAAAATGGTAGTTGAATACTATTTAAACCGTTATGAAGACAACCGGTGTATACGAAGTGGAAGATTTGGTCAAGTGCAAGTTTAGAACACTGTTGGCTGACCTCAAATAGTTGGGATGTGGGCAACAGAGAAAAAGAAGTGAGAAAATTAAAAAGTTATGAAGACTGCACAGAGTAATAACTCTTCAGTACCTTAGGCCACACACAAATTTCAGTTTTTTATAATTCTATTCACGTCTATCAAAATTATATATTTCCATTGTATAAAAATATTGTAATTTGTGTCATTTTTGGAAATGCTCTCTTGGCTTGAGTCAGTATTGCTAGCATCAATACTGAAATATACATATTTTGGAATACTAATTAGTAATTATTATTGGTTTCCAATAATACAAATTAATCTGTAAACATTTTTTTCATTAATATAATCCATAAGTCTACCTGTCTGTCAGCCCTAATGAGAATATGATTGTTTTTTGTTTGGATGGATTTTACACTCTCAATTAGGAAATGATTTAAACATATTGAAAAATCTGTTATGTATTTTCAATTTTAGGTTTCTAGTCATATGTTTAGACACTTTGTATCACCACTATATTTATCCATCTGTAATTACCAGTACATAGTTACGGTTGTTGATTTGGCTGATAAGGAAGTATATTATATTATTTGTAACATTATTATCATTAAATATAAATTTGTTTATTGTTTAAAATAAGTGAATATAGAGAAACCAGAGAGAATATAGAGAATAAATAAGAGAAACCAGGAACTCAGCTTGAGCTTCCTAATTTATTCTATAATTTTTTTGACTATTATAAAATCATTGACATCTACAGCCAAATCCACTTAATCAAATTATATTATTGGTTATATATTTGCATCTAGTTTAGCTTAAACAAATAATAGTTATAGATTTATTATTTGATTGTGGATTCATTTTAGCTTTCATAGTTATAAAATAACATTTAACTAATTGTATTAGGCTTTACATGAATTTGTAAGTTTAGAAATATTGTATTTACAATTTACTTATTAAGAATATCTGGGAGTGTATCTGAGTTCTTAATATAAGTACTTATTATGTAATAATTAAAAATAATTTAAAGTTTTCAAATTCAGAGAATCTCAATAATCTCAATCTGAGTCAGTGAAATTAATAAAAAAAAATGTATTTATTTTTAAGAATCAAGTACTAATACTTATGGTTATGGAAATATCTCCTCAACACCATAAAATTGTAATGGGGCCTGGTAATGAAACACTCAGAGCTATCACTCATCGAACAGGAGCCCAAATACTATTTCCTGATGCTAAAGACCCAAATATACCATCCATTAAAAAAAGCAGTGTTACTATTACTGGACATATACATAATGTCTATGCAGCTCGTCAGATGCTCATTGTAATATATTTATTTTTCACTTTACTCAAATATTAATAAATTAAATATTTTATGTTTAGGGTTCATTACCATTGCTTCTCATGTTTGACATTCCGCAAGACGAAATGGTTTTAACCCATGAACAAATCGACAGTGTAATGCAACGTTTAGACATATATATATCGCTTAGACATAAAGCTAGTCAAAATATATATACAGTTTCAATAAAAGGTTTTGAAAGATCTGTAGGTGAGTATTAATTAAATAAATATCATTAAATTTCTTAAAATTGTTATTATAAAGTACTTTTATGTGGAAAAAAAATTTAAATCGGAATTAATCTAAAATATTAAGTATTACTAGTTTCTCCTATTTTTTATTTCTTAAATTGTTTACATTAAATAATGTCTATTTACAATATCATTATGTTACAATATTTTTTTTTTTTGAAGTTATTCAAATTTAACAACTGATTATTATTATTAACAAATGTGCAGTAAACAATTTGCTGATAAAATCAAATAATACTATTTTAACATAGATAATATTATGTATGTATTAAATTACACATTATATCATTAAAATAACATTTGATTCCAAATGTTACTTATAATGAAGAAAATAGATCCCTTTTAAATTTTAAATCAATCCATCTATATTATTTTTAGTTTAAATAATTTTAAATTAATAAAATATGGGTTTTTATATTCATAGGCAATATTTATGAAGGTCGAAGAAGTTTATTAGGTGGTACTGGAGAAAGAATATCACCGAATATACCAAATACATACAATGTACCAAATGAAAGTCCATCATTTTTAATTTCAAATGGAGAATTTTATAGTGGAAATCGATATTCTAATAAATCATTTAATAATTTAGGCGGGTTTAATAATTTTACAAATTTCCCTGGATCAATTTCTACGTCGTGTCATAATAGTGTAGTTAATTTACCATTAGTAAGCAACCATGGAAATATTTCTCAAATTGGGAATGTATTAGGCCCGAGAATTCAGCAGTTGGCCAACGATTTAAAAATGGACAATTTATCAACAAATAATAATCATATTGGAAAATCAAGTAAAGCAATCATGTATATTTTATTATTTTTTGTATAAAATAATATTACTGTTTATTTATTTCTTTTTTTTAGCATTTAATTATATTGAAACAAATACTTCCCCAAATCAAAGTTTGTTGTCATCAGGCAACGAATTAGGTATTTTTGTATAAATTATTATCTTTTATTCATAAAAAAATTCTCAGATTTAAATACATTGTAATTTTTAAGATGTATAAACATTAAATAAATTGATTTATTTTTATAGATATAGAAATGTTTGAAAATCGTGCGCCTGGTTTTCGAAGACAACCAATTACTTATGATTATCATAATTTGCGCATTGCTGCAACTCAAGGTAAAATTAATAAAAAATTTAAACAATTATTATTTAATTTACAAATTATGTATTTTTCAGTGTCTCAGACAAAACCTAATCGATCAGAAATAAGAGTTCCAACATCTGTGTGGTCTGGATATGGTTTCAGTCAATCTAGTCCTTCTTCTATTTTAAAAGAACAACGAGATGTAATTTTAATTTCAATAGTTTAAAATCATTATTATTTATTCATATATTATAATGTTTGTAGAATGAGCAAAATATATGGAGTAATACTTCACCTGAAACAAATAATGAGATGTCTGAATTATCATCAATGGAAATGAGTAACCATCTTGACTCTACTCCTACTACAACTGTTTCTAAAATAACATCTTCTACATTTGCTGATTTACCCTCTCATTTAGCAATTCTCGGCTTAGATAAATACATAAGTAAGTTTTAAATATTCAATACTATCATAATATTTTTTAAATTCCTAATATAACTTTATTTTAGATTTATTTAAATCTCATGAAATTGATTGGACTACTTTCAAAACATTGACAGAAAGTGACTTACGTGAAATTGGTGTCACAGCTTTAGGCGCACGGAGAAAAATATTGTTATCTATAGCTGGTACATAAATTTTGTTATACACTTTTATATTTTTATTATACTTGTTCAAATATGTTTTAATTTTGACAGAATTAAATAAACGGTGTCCAGTTGGTGGATTATTTGGAATCAGTCCAGCTCCAGGAGCTGAAAGAAAGAGCCCTGCATCAAATAATAGTCCATCAGACACCTGGTAAATGAACAATGTTAACTGTATACTACAAAGTATCATATAATTTTTTCCAGAAATTATAAATAATTTAGAAACTCTAGAAGGGTTTTAAACAATTTTGTTCAATATATATATATATATGTGCTATAAATTATTATAATAACATAACTAACTTCATATTTATTTAAAACATAACAAAATTTATAGTATTTTAGTAACAATTACCCTTATTTTGTCTTTAATCGATACTAGTATATTATGTTGTAACCAAACTTTTCTTATAGCTTTTATATTACTACCCACCTTTTGTTTACATTTAATGTTTAAATAGCCAGTCTTTTTTTTTTTTTAATTATTCTATAGTGTATTTATTTATCTCTAACTATATTTTGTTATTTTATTTCTCAAAAACCGAATCAATGTTGAATGTTTTTTACGCCATTATCAATGTGGTTGTATATGAATATGTGTTACTTACTTTTAAAAATCATCAATTGTTGGTAAAATATGTAATGCGATAAATTAAAAACATTTATTATAACTTATAACAACTTTCAGAGAAATTTTGATTTATTTTCAATACTAATTATTGTTTCTATTCATGATATTAAATTGAGTTCTATATATTATATTATCATTATTTTTTGTTGTTATTCAATTGAACTTAAGTATTATTATTTTTTTAAACTAAAAATTGTGTAGGTATTTAATTATAAGCCTTTATTAAGTATAAAGATAAATATGTTTTTGTATATTATTATAAAAACCTATGTAATAAATTAATAAAAAAATGTAATTTGTGTATGGATTATAATTCAATAGAATAATAGATGTAGATAATTGTTATAAAATACATTATCAATTAATAATATATAACAATTAATTTCAATATTTACTCTTTTATTTTACAATAAAATTTCTTCCAGTAACTTAACATTGTGTTGCGAGTTACATAGGTAATAGGTATTAGTTACCCATATGCTGTAATTCGATGATGTAAGTTGTTAAATCAGCTGTGAAGCTAATAAAACAAAAATTTCAAAAATATCTTTCATAGGTACCTAAGTAGGTTGTTATTCAAGATAGATAACACAAGTTATGTTATTACAAGTTAATTATTATTCAGTTGGTGTGTTTATGTGAATATTTTTATGAAATTGTGTTATTTATTAGAATATATTTTGGCAATGTAATAAATGAAACTGTAGAAAAGAAAAATGTTTGTTAACAAACATAGGTATGGCTAGACTTTGAGATCAGATGTTGAAATCCTTTACCCTTACTTTGATAAGCAAAGAACTGATATTACTATGGGTGAGCCACGGTGGTAAATGGTAAGGTAGGATATTTAAAGTTATTCAATTTGCATCTGTAAGTTACGCTAAACCATAGTTAATGAAATACAATTCTGAGTGAAGTTAAGTTATAAATGTTTTGAAATGCAGTAATATTTATGATTTTCATCAATATTTGATCTTAAAACAATTAGACAAAAGAAAATACTAAACAACTTCTCCATCAGCATTTTTGTTCCTATTTACAATGTTAGCACTTTTTCTAAAAGAAAAATCTGACTGGGGAGGTATTTGCGGGAGATCATATTTATATTTTCCCAGGAGTTTTCCCAATAAATAGAAAACCTGGAAAAATATGGAAAACCGCTAAAAACATAGGAAAAACGGATAATTAAGTACTACAATATTAAACAAATATTAAAGAAAATTTATAATAACTATATAAAATAGTTTACCCTAATGAGACATATATATTAACAAAGTAACACTATCAACTGAACTTCTCTCAAAATCTTTTTTTTGTTGAGGATGGTTTATCGTTGCTTACAGATATACATTAAATGTACTTTCTACTACCTTTCCAACTTCTCATCTACAACAGTGGCCCATTCACATGCATTGTATGTCTGTCTTTTTTTGAACTACTAAATACAACTTATAACGAATCTCATGTTAAATTTGTCAATCGTTTCTGTTTGGTCAAACAATTTTATCTATGTGGTACTTATGAAAGAAAAACATGTGAAAAAATAGAAAATAAAAAGACTTTAAATAGCTCAACAATTTGTTCAGAATATTTTTAAAATTTTACTTATCTATTTTAGAAAAGACTAATAGAATTATTTTAAATCTTTTTTCTAGATTGTCCCAATTATAAAAACTGCTTTCTTGAACAAGACATGATTGGGATTATCAAAACCTTTAAGACTTCATAAAAAATATACAAAATATTAAATCCAAATGTATTCTATCCTAGCCATAGATCTATATAGTTGTAGATTATCCACAAGGATTATTATTAAACCCTTTAAGAAGTTTAATTTCGGATTCTAGATGATCTAGGTATATTAATTATAAAAATATTAGTATCTAGTTTAATATTATTAATAATAGTAATAAGTTACAAAACATCAAGGTTTAAAGATAATAATCCTTGACAAAATATTACCAAAAGAATATATAAATACTCATGGTTTCATAGATAAATCTATCATTCAATTTACTTATCATATTATTCAATGCTACATTAAAACAGTTAATCATTATTTCAGTTTCGTAATTTAATAAAATATTTGTTAAAAACTTTCCTTAATTTCTAATAGGCAGGAGGCTTTTCTTTTTTAGACTTCCAGAATACTTATTTCTGCAATGTATTGTTGAATAGTTCATTAAAGTCAATGGCATGAATTGATCCTAATTTCTGGTAGTGTCGCAAAATACTTATTTAATTATCTAATCCACCAATATACCAACCTTCTTGGTAAACTGCTGCTTAATTTATTAATTTCCTTCTATAACAATTTGTTTTTCATAAAAATTAATATTTTGTCATTTGAACAGTAAAAACTTTAATAAGTAATAAATATTAAATTTAATATGTGAGATGAGCATAGCAGTAGACAAATATAGCCTGTGGATTTAATTCAAGTGATTTAGCTTGACATACTTAATCCTTTGTACATTGTCAGCCAGGGGTTTTTTTCTATTTTTTACACAGTGGTGTCAAAAAAACCATTTCTTTGAGGCTTGGACATTTAAGGGAACAAATCTAATTAATGACTCAAACTCGTTTTTCTAAATACATGTATTTGCCTGTACAAAATAAATCTACTAAAAAAATTCAAACGAACTTCGTTTGGAAGTTATGAGAGAAGACTTTATGAAGTTCGAGTTTTCTGTTTTTAGTATTTCTTAGTGATAATTTAACATTTTCAAATTGTTTATTTTTCAAAATTGTGTAATTTTTAATGCTTAATCCATTATTATAATCAAAACTTACCTATCATAATTACTTTTATAGTAATCGTATATAAACCTCGAAAAATGGCATTTTTGGAATTAATCCAAAGGGTAGTCGTAAATAGACATTTATTATTATTATTATTATTATTATTATGATTTGTAGTTATTTATTGATATTTTAATAACAATGATAACAAAGTTTTTTTTTTTTGAAGTCCGAATAAGTCATACTGGATTAGACTTAGATTTATAAAAAAAGTTCAAACACACCGTGTTTCACTGCGCTCACTCAGACAATTTTAATTGAAAATAACCCTCGATTTGTTATTAAAAACCACGTCGGGTACTTAACAGGGTTATGTGAAAAAGCATTTTGGGTGCACTTAGAGACCTGACGTGGTGACTAGGGTTTGGACGTTTGTAATTCTAAATCTAAGCTAAATAGATTTATTCTGATTTCAATAAAAATACTTTTGTTATCAAAATATCAATAACTACAAATCATAATAAAAATACCACATTTTGGATTAAATCCAAAAATACTATTTTTCAAGATTTATGTACAATAACTATAAAATGAGTATCATAGATAAGTTTTGATTATATCAATGAATCAAGCATTAAAAATCAAACATTTACGAAAAAAAAAAAAATTTTAAATGTTAAATGTTCACTATGAAATACGCGAAACAGAAAACCCTAACTTCATGAAGTTTTCCCTTGTAACTTCTATACGAAGTTTGTCCGATTTTTTTTTAGATTTTTAATGTATAGCAAAAACACGCATTTTGAAAAAAAAAAATTGAAAAAGAGCTTAAATCGTAAACTGGATTTATACCAAATATTTTTATAGTTTCAAGATTAAATAAACTGGTTTTCCGGTAGGCTTACTCACCCCATGTTCATACCGTCGCATAGTAGGGTATTTGAGCAATCTAGGCGGACAAAAATATTTTACCACTTGAGTCTATTCCAAATCTATGTTTAGGTTAATCTACGGTATTTTGTATGCTACCATAGTAGCATACAGAATGTATGGAAATTTATATATCTCCCACCTCACTTTCCTCTCTTCAATATTTATAATAATATATTATAGTCTCAACGGGAAAGAAAATCCAAATTTTATTTTGTGTTTAGATGATATATTAAATTAAATAACTTATGTTTGTTATGTTAACAGCTATGACAGAATAAAAAGCTGTCCTAGGATAATGGGGAAAGATGCATTATAGGTAATTTAATATATACCTGTAAGCAACGATAAACTATTGTTAACGAAAAAAGATTCTGAACCAAGTTCAGTTGACAGTGATGCTTTGTCAACAATGTATATTATGTCATATAGTAAAATAATTAAATAGAGATCATATATTTTCTTTAATAATATTTGTGTAATGTACCTACCGATTTTCCAGTTTTTTCCGGTTTCCCAATGTTTTTTCCCCGGTTGTTCACAGTTGCTGGGAAAACTCTTGAGAAAATCGAAAAATGTCCTGCTTAAAGTACCTTCCCTTTCAGAAAAAGTGCTACCATTGTAAATTGGTGTATAATTAATAGTAGAATAGTTGTCTACAGATAAAAAAAGTAATATTTTACTAATATATTTTGTACATTTTCTCGTTTTCAGTCCGTCTTTTTTCGGTTTTGCACATTCGATGAGAAAACTGTTGATAAAATCTAAAATCGAAAACTGGCCTCACTAAAGTACCTCCTCAAACCAATTTCCTTTCAGAAAATGTACTACACTAAAAAATCGGAACAAGAACTCAGGTCCACAAAAAAAAGAAAATAATAAATGGAAACGATATCTTAAACCCGTGGTGAATATGTGAGAATATGGAGGATAGATCCCCCAGATCCTGATTTTTTTTCATGTAAAATATTTGATTTGCGCTTGAATTCCTGTGGTAAAAAGTAATAGTGCAATATTGTTGAAAACAAAAGAAAGACGTCCTTGGATATAATGGAGACAGGTGTAACCGCTGTTATAGATAATTAAATGTATACCTGCTACAATAAACCATTGCTTACGAAAAAACAATTCTGAGCGGAGTTCAGTTGATAGTGATGCTTTGTCAACAATATATATATTTCATATTATGATAAAATAATTACATAGGAATTATAATATATTTTCTTTACTAATATTTGTTTAATGTTGTACCGATTTTTCCAGTATTCCTACGTTTTTCCGTGTTTTATAACGGCTTTTCACATTTTCTTTCAATAAAATAGCGATTATTAAAAGTTGGAGCAAAATTCCTGGTAGAAAAGTTGTTCACAGAAAAAAAATCGTAAGATTATATTTATTATATTTCGTAAATTTTCCACACTTTTTTTTGGTTTTTCGCATTTGATGAGAAAACTCTTGAGAAAATTCAAAAATTACTTGCTTATAAAGTACCTCCCCACGCTGATTTCCTTTCAGAAAAAGTTAGAAAAGTTGCGCACAGATAAAAAGAAAAAAACATATTTGTAAAACTATACTAAAGCTCTTTCGCTCTACATGGAATCTAAACTAGTGGTTCCCAATTAGTATTAAGCCATGGACTCCTATCTAAAACTTAAATCGGTCCGGGGACCCCTTATTTGTAAATAATTACTTTTTAATTTTCTTTAATTATGAAAATGAAAAAAAAATTTTTTTTGATATATTTTAATTTTACGTAAGTACCTTTTTGTAATAATATAAACATTGGTTTTCTCAAAAAATACAAATAAAGAGATTTATTTCATTTAACACTAGATTTTTTACTTTAAATTACCTTTTACAACTTTACAACCTAATTATGGGTTACTTAAATTATTTATTGCATTGATTTTCAAACTTTTTGAGAAACCGTTTTTTTTTTGTTCATAATCTCGTCCAATTTCGGCTGCATGCTTGATATTATTACTCTTAAATCAGCGTTAATATTAAATCTATTAACATATTTTTTTTTCATGTAGCAGTAGGTAGAAAAAGCTTGTTCACATATACATGTATATGTTGTGCAAAAAGGGATTAAATATCTTAAAGCTTTTTCGGCTAGTTACTTTTAATCAATTAGTTTTTTATCGTTGAAAATAGTTTTCATCGTTCCGTTATTTACCAGATTAATCAATTCATCTTGCTCTTGTTCAGAAAAATTGTATTAAAAAATTGTATTCATAAAGCACGACTTTTAATGAACCTCCTGTTAAATTATCAAACATTTCTGTTCAGTCTAACAATTTTATTTATAAAGTACCTGCCAAGGACTATATTTTAGATTAATTCCAAAAACGCTATTTTTCAAGGTTAATGTACAAAAACTTTAAAAGTTAGCATGATAGATAAGTTTTGATTGTACCAATGGACTAAGCATTAAAAAATACACATAAAGGAAAAAAAAATTTGAAGATGTTAAATTCTAACTAAGAAATTCGTGAAACGGAAAACCTGAACATTATGAAGTTTTTCCCCTTAACTTCCAAATGAAGTTCGTCCGATTTTTTTTTTACATTCTAAATGTACACGCAAAAGCACATATTTTGAAACAAAAAAAAAACCAAAAATCGTGTGGGAGCTAAACTAGCTAAACTGTGTCAATATTTAATTTGCTTACTAGAATATTTTGAATTTAAAGATTAACAGCTCCTCAGCTTTATACAATGTGAATTGTAGAATAGTTTGTAGAAGTAAGACATACAGAAAATCTTAGATTATAAAACATTAATTTTAAATTTAAAAAAAAATTAAATTGTGTTCACCATAACATGGAATAATATTAAGGTTCATGGAAGAAGTCCTAATTACCTTGTGTTGGCAGCCCTGGAACATAGATGGGTCATCTGTGTTTGTCGGTCAGTCGGTGATGAATTGTTGCTGAGAAATTTTCTATTTTTTTGTTAAAAAGTAAAAACCAAAAGTCTGAGTGTTCACGGGAAATATTTTTTTTATATGCAAAATTGGAGTAAAATTATTTTTGTAGTATTGAATGTATTTATGATTCCTTTATTATTACCTCTCGTGAAAAATTTTTATGTAGTATTCTTATCAGTAATCATCACCATTCATAGGATTTTAGATATTCTGGATTAATCAAAATTTAAGGTATTTATATATATATATATATATATATATTTATATTATTTATTCTGGTATTGGTTTTTTTACTTATGAATAATAGTGCAATAAAATATTTTTCAATTATGAATATTTTTTTTTTGTAAACATTCTACCTAGTGATGTGTAGCATAATATTAATGATTTTGTCCAGGGTTTTGCTTAAATTGTAATTTACCAATTTATTAAATACCACCTTATATTTATTTACTTATTAGCATTAGAACTTTTAAGTGTCAAAAGCTACTTATCTATTTGAAATTGATTATACTTTTTTGAATACTTATAATCAAAACTTGATGAATGGCTCATTGCTGATAAAGCACAATAAATTATTCAGCATGTTTGCATGTTACTATTAAGTTTTTCATAAAGCCTATAAGTAATGATTTCAGTAAACTGTAAATCATTGTTTAAATGTATTCATTAATATGGTTGGGTTTTAAGTATTGTTTTAAATTGACCTAAATAAAGTTAATTAAACCTGGAAGTTGTGTTGTAATTTAAAATAATAATAAAAAAAAAAAAATTAAAATGCATTGTTATCTGTGGTTTGATTAATAATTAAATTTTTTTTAAACAATACATTTTGAAAAATTTATTTTATTGGCTGCATTAAAATTATGTGTTGGGTTTTTTTATATGTCTGACTTGTGCTCATGAATGGGAGCAATTGGTCAAGTTGTGTAAAACAATTAGTGAACAAAAAATTATTGTTATTGTATTTTTATTTGTTTGTTGTGATAGTAAGTGTTATAGTAAATAATTGGTAACTAAGAACAATATTTTAGGATTTTTATCTAGACTGACCTGATTTGAAACTAAAAATAATATATCTTGAGTTAATTCAGAAATTGGCATATAAGTACCTACAAATTTATTAAGTTTTGAGGTATAAAAAAAACTAGCAATTAAAAATCATTCTTCAATATAATATCCAATATATTATATCTGTCTAATGAAAACAAAATTACATTACCCGGCTAATATTAGTTTAACTTAGTTTCTCTATTACTTTTTTACGCTATTAGAATATAAATACTAATTTCAAATAATACATTTATTTTAAATTTTACATAAATGACAGTCCTAACTGTGCATAAGTGGAAAGGAAAAAATATAATCTTTAAATATTTTCAAGGACGCAACTCGGACTTCTCATGATAAAATTGAAAATATAATTTTGATAAAATATGATTTTTGTGCATTGTTCAAATACCCCGATTAATTAAGTAGGTAGACCTTAGTTAAGTTTTAAATTAACTGTATTTTAAAATCTGAAAATAGTTTCAGTGAATAGAGTTCTTAAAGTGTTCATTGACACCATTTATATTTATTTACAATTAATTTTTCAGAGTACAGTTAAATAAACATTCATTTATCATACTTTCATATAGATAGATATATACTGTGTGTTCCCACTAAAAAATTCACTAACCTTCCAGTAGGGTTTGTCATAAGTTATAAAAATATTGTACCAAACATCCTTAATAAAATCTTGGTTTAACAACCTTAAACTACTCAGGTCCACTATTATACGTTTTAATCGCTTATTTACAGGTCCCACATTATTTCCTGCTCACAACTTTAAATTAGGGCTGAATGATTTTTCACTATATACTGCATCTCACCGAAAGTGCTTGCGATCTCTCATACTTTATTTGAAAGTTCTTCCTTGTATACAAAGCAAATTTCTTTTTTTTATTTTTTTTAAACCCCTCATCTCCACTCTCTTCTTAATATCAACTCCCAACATGTTATTAATATTATTTTTTCTTTTATCTTGGAGGCTGGTTTTACAATATTTATAAATTGTACTTGTATTATTTAAGTATTATATGTGTTAATTGTTAATCTATCATATTTTTTTACCAAACCTTTTAACAGCTAATAAATAAATTAAAAACTAATATTAAATTAAAGTAAACTTCATATTTAATATCTAGAATATTCCTATGTTATGTATAATATATACTATGTTAGTTCACAATATTTGTAACTCACAAGTGGGTATTTTATTGTTATTTTTTTTTAAACAAAAAACAATAAGACATGAAATCAAAAAACAAAAAAAACAATTTTAAAACGTTATAATTAAAATAATATTTCAATATTGCACTTATTTTAAATGAAAAAAAAAAAAAAAATTGAAATGGATTTGTGATATATTTTTTTATGTATCTGTAATACAATTTCCAATTTTTAATTTAACAATCTAAAAAATGAGTTGTATTCATAAATAATAAATATGTTTTTTTAAATTTAATTACCAAAATATAATTAAAATATTGGCCTGGAATTTTAATAAACATTTTTGTTTAAAATGTGCAAGATTCACATTAAAAATTAATTCATTTTAAATATTCATATTCAAGTTTGACTGTGAGTATATCTACACAAGTATTTTTAAAACATTTTTTTTTTTTAAATGTTCAAAATGCAATGCAAACATGTTCATAGATAAAAATATAAAAGGCTCACCAAATATTTGATTAACCTACAAATTTTAGGTAATGTTTAATTAACATAAAATAAAACAAGGGTTATGGAATGTGAATGTTATTGAAGTGATCAAAAATTAATGTTAATTCTTACAGTAGGACATGTCTAACTGTTTTTTTTTTTTTATGAATAAGCCAGTTATTTCTAAGATTAATGTCCCTAGGTATTAAAAAATCATAAAAAAACTAATTCATTATATTAATATATAACTGAAAAATTATGAATCATTTTCAAAAATAATATAATGATAAAAATAAAATGAGGTTTTTATATTCAGTAAAGTGATGGGAGGAGCCTTGTTCTGACTTTGTATTGATCCTTTCTGTTGTGTGTGTATGCCAATGTGTACAGTAGTCACACCCTAGCCATACTCCCACGCAATATTTTCCCTCATTCATTTATTGTATTTATGTGACTATATATATTTAAAAAAAAAAAAAAATGTAGAAGTGTCTTAAATTTTGGGAGTTATTTACAAATCCATGTAAAATAATGAATTACTGCATTTTTAAAATTGTATATATTTATTTTTATTTAATTATTTAAGTGCTAAAACATTTCTTGAATTAACCTTATTAATCTTTATTTTGAGCGATATAAGAAATGTATTGTTTTTATTATAATGCATGCTTTTTTTTTCTGCCAGTGGACATTTTTCAATCAAAAATTGTATAGGTTCTATTTTATATAATTTTGAATCAATTAGTGCATTAAGGAAGTTATTTTTTGAAAAATCCTTATAGTTTTCTTAACAATGAGGAAAAGCTTTAGATAAACGAGAATATTTAGGTAACTCCAGTTTAAGTCATAATTGATTATGTATTTTTTGTTTTTATTCAGTAAGTAATGATTGTAGACCTGTAATATTTGTCATAACTTTTTAAGTATTTTCAATCTTTTTCTAGAAGTGATATAAATTTAAAAATATTTTGGCTCTTTTTGAGTTATTTTATTTTTAATTTTTCGAGTTTTTTCTTTTGTCGTGTATTAACTATAAAACTGAAAAATATGACACAAGTTCATTTTAAGTAATCTATTCTAAAAATATAGATTTAAGGGTAATATCACATATTTTTCTTAGTGTTTGAAATTCAAATGTGTATTAAGCTCATATAAATCAAAAACAAATAGTAAATTGCAGTGGAACCTCTCTATTTCGAACACCAGTATCTCAAAGTTTCTGTATGTCAAAGTTTTCTTCAGTCCTGATCATTCAGTATTAGATGTAATTTCCCCGGTAACTTGAAGTTTCGATATATGTCGTTTTTGTTTTTTGTTCCTTTAGACTTTGAGATACCAATGTTCTGCTGTATCGACTTGCCTTGGAGTTGCTCTTTGTTCACAGTGATTTATCATTGCATTCAGTATTCAAACAAAATTATCTCAAATTTATTACCTAACATGCTCACAGTACAAAGTATGTTAGATTATTCATCAAATTAAAAAATTAATTTTCTTATAGTTATGTTGATATCATTATCTACAAATTTACCAGTCATATTTTTTTTTCTATCTAATATTGATGGAAATACAAATTCCATTGATAACTCGACAGGTTTTTGTTTTGATTCATTGAATGCTTCATCAATACCTTGCTTAAATTTCTCAGTGTATTAAATCGAACATTTAGGTGTTTAGTTACTTTTTCTATGGAAATGTTATGTTTTAGTAAAATGACTAAAACTTTATAAATATAAACTCTATAAATTTCCATTAATATTTTATTTCATAATAACGTTAACATACATGCAAAATTAAAATTGTTTTTCCCTTTTAACAACTATTTAATTCAACACTTGCTATTTCCCACAAATAACTATGTTTGAGTGCCTACATTACAAATATGAATTTAAGCTTAGGCTATCTGAAAATATAATGATTTAACAGTGTATTGCTTTGCAGACCATCTAGTCATACTGTAATCTTTTATTGAACATTTAAGACGTTCTTTATATCTGAGTAGAGCTAGAGTAAAAATTGAACAATTTTTTAATTATGTCAAAGAATACTTCTAATGCTGGTAAACTTTTTACAGCAATAAACTTACTAAACTGTACAATTATAGAATAAATTTAGCTTAGTTTATTACATTGCTAGTTTGAAATCCTTCCATTTTCTAACCATATTAACTCCATTGTCATATGACTGACAGTGATAGTGGGATAAATCAATATTGTCTTTAAATAAACTTCTCAAAATATCATCTGTTATATTTTGTATAAGACCAAGAAAACTTTCCATGATTTTACATCCATTTTCATTTACAACAATTCAACAAATAACTTGAGATTTTAGTCTTCATGTGAGATATCTGGTGTACCGGGTGATCCATTTAAGTGGGTACACTGATGATTTCAGAAAGTTGTTAACTTTTTTCAGAATTTGTTTTCTAGAACATTTAAGAAACAAACAGCTCTACAATTTTAAATTTATGTTATTTTGTATCACCCTTATTTACTTACTCACTACCTACTTTTGATTTTTAAATGGCAACCTGTATTAAAAAGTCCATAAAAAGATGGAGTAGTAGTTAAAATAAATTTTATTACTGAAAGTTTTGAAAAATTTGAACACAAACATTTATTTTAACTAATACCCCACCTATTTATGGAATTTTTAATATAGTTGCCATTTGAAAATTAAAATTAGGTAGTAATTTTACACCCAAAAAATAACATAAATATAAAATTATAAAGCAGCTGGTTTCTTAAATGTTCTAGAAAACAAATTACTGAAAAAATAAATACTTTCAGAGATAACGACAGTATCCATTTAATAAATGGATCAATTTTTACATAGAATAATAATATGTAGCAATTATATTAGTTACAATTGCAGCTATTAGGAATTGTATTAATATATCAAATATTGCCATTTTTATGATGTTCAAGATGATCAAAAAAAGTTCATCAATTTTACAAAAAACACTTCTCTATTGGTAGATACATAATTATGTGCATTATTCTTTTAAAACTTATATCCAAAGATTTTCTTCAAATTGTATTGCATTTTATAACTCTTTGTCAATTCTACCTTTACTATCACACCATTACATTCATTTTAACAGTGAAGTAAACGATGAACATTGATAATACTTTAATACCGATGTTATATAATAAATATTACTGTTAATCAACAAAAATTCATATTAGATAGTTGCTTTTTAATCAATTTCTTATGGCCGGTCTAATATCGGTTTATTTAAATTGTAAAGTGTCGTGGTCTTGTTTTGGAAATTTTTAACAATAAATGTATTAATAATCGGACTATGATACATTTATTTTGAAAACGAATAAAAATTTAGTAATTACCCGTTGAATTTTTAATTGGTTGGTAATTTATTTATTTCATATCATTAGAAATGTATGCCCTCTAATAATAAAACCCAGGACGCGATCCTCGGATTGCTGCTTCCCCTTATATATTTTGATTAGTACTGGGTGATGGTTAATTCACACTGTAGAGTAATAGAGTATTACTCTATGATTTACACTGGTACGTTAGCCACACTATTTTATACCCATATTAGTTTTTTAATTGGTATTAGTTTAATTACATTTTTTTTTTTTTTTATCAAAAAAACAAAAAGACTTGTATTTTAAAGATGGAATTTTTGCACTGTAACTTTTAAAACACGTTTTATATGGATTTACATTTAAAATAAAATAAAAATTGATTGAGAACATGTAACTTTGTATACAATTTAGTTAGCCCAAGAAGAAAATATTTTCGAATGTCAAAGTAGGTAACTACTTATAAAAATATATATGTTTCAATTTAATTAAACCGACAAAAATTCTCTGTTCTGATATTCTGTTTGGTTGTGTAGTGCTACATGAAGCTGATAAGATGAGTATGTATTACTGTATCTAGTTTTATATTGATAAAATATTTTTTCGTGTTGTATGATACCACCATACCAGTGTGAATTTGATTTTGGTAAAAGGTGGGTAAAAGGAATTGTTAAAGTAGGTGTCTAATTTATACTTGTTAGTGGATAGAGGGTTACCATAGACATTTAATTTGGAATAGTGTCAATGCGGGATGTTGGTTATTTGTGATAAGGGTGGGGTGAACAATATTAAAATAATGAAATAAAAACAAAAAAAAAAACATTTATTATTAGAAGGACACGAGAAAAAACTATTTTAGTTTTGTATATTTTCTTTTAATGGGAATAGGCAAAGTTATTTGGAATAATAGCTAATATATTGATATACCGAGAAAAAATTAGTATTGAACCAACTTTGTGCTGCCTGCTATGTAAAATATATATTTTTTTTAAAATAATTAAAATAATTTTATATCAATATTCTTAAATCTAACATTAAGAAAAACATAAAATATAATGGAATACCACAACCACACTACCATTTATCTCAGTGTAACTAATGGGCAACATATCAAGATTCCATTACTTCGCATGTAAATTGTGGAGTTTTAGTTGTAGTTAAAACACAACAAATAACAAAATTTAAAAATGAAAATATTTTCGAAAGCTATACATTAATTTTAGTTAAAAATTTGTACTAAGAAAATTTACAGCTATGTTGGGTTTTATTATTTTTAAATAGCTGCAAGTTTTTAACGCCTTTGTCTTCCTGGTTTTATTGTTGCTTATATATTGTATTTATGTTTTTTTTTTTTTCATATAAAATATAAGTGTTCATTTAATAAAGGATTACATTTTTGATATTTTTTGGTTGGTTATTGTCAATTAAATAAAAAAAAAATTAAAAATAGTCACTTTTTATGTTAATTTTTGAGATGTAAGCCTGAATTATTTGATAAACAATTGACTCAACATGTTCTAGACCTATACTTAGCTTACAAATTTACGAAATTTTAAAATCTATCTCGTTTTTTAGTTAATAGGTACTTTAGTACTTTTAATTTACTATTTTATAATATAAATATTTTTGAAAAATTACATTCTAAAGTAAAGCACTTTTTAGTAATCAAATTCGCTAATTGATTATTATTATTATGTTTTATTGGCTGTACACTTATTTCTCTCTGAACTTTAAAATATTATTAAATATCACAAATTTAATGAAAATAAAAAGTTGATACATCAAAATTGTCAGAATAAAACTCTATAAAATAGCTATTTTTAAATTTTTCAAAATATAAAATAAAAGTAATTTTTTTAAGTTTATTACCAAAATATAAAAATTAGTTGAAGTATAAATATTTGTGGTACTTATTCTTGTTCTTATACTTATTCTTAAAAAAAAAAAAATAGAATTTGATTATGTTAATTATTTCCAGAGATAGTGCAATTGGTATATATTTGTGGGACACCTGTATATATACATAATACAATAACTAGTATATAAATATTATTGGATTTTAATATTAGTTTAAAAGTTTGTTATTTATTTAAGTAAAGCTATAGGTATATATTAACCAATTTATTTAATTTTAATTTGTAGTATTCATTAGTTAGTAGATTAGTTCTGCTTATAAATGGTAATATTACATACAAACTAATTAATTGGTTTATTATCATTTATAATATTATTAAAGCTATTTGACCAAAAACAATTTTTCATTAATTTAATTAATAATTTGTTTTGATTTCAGGTTTTAAACTTAGTCAGTTACCTAATTAAGTGGTCAACTTTTAAAGTTATTACAAGTAATACTGTTAGTTACATATTTTATATTTCTGATCATTTTGGCGTCCCAGAATAAAACATCGGTCGTATGCCTCATATTAATCCTAGGATGACATCTAGAGTGTCCTCCTCCATTTTTTTCACAGTGGAGGTGGGCGATACCAAGTTCACTATTTTAAAAAGATATCAGAATTTAAAGCCTATCGGATCTGGTGCACAAGGCATTGTTTGGTAAGCATATTCTACTGAATCTATGCATTTATTTTGTGTTCAAATAGGTAAGCATGTTTATATTTATTTGTAGTTCATTTTATAAGTAAAATTGATTACAGGATAATCTAAGGAACGTTCTTTTATATTAAATTGTATATCTTATACTGACATATACTAATCATATATAATAGACCAAAACTATAATTACCTATACTTAAAATTAAAATTTATAAAATATTGAATCTAAAATTATCAATTGTAGAAGATTAAGATATATAATATAAGATAATAATAATATATATATTCACTTTCAATGTTTTAAATATATTACCTATACATTGTTTAATAACATTAAAAAAAACAATGAATTCTAAAATATAGAATTATACAATATATAATAGTATAAATAATTTTATAAAACAATCATAAATTTAAATAAAAACTACTTGGAAAATCAAAAAATGAATTACTCACTCATTAACTAGATAAAAATATTACAAAAAAGTTGTCTTGGTTCTCTCTCTCTTGATTGGATCGTTTTCTGTTTGAAAAATTATTAACAGGCAGAAAATACAAATACATATAGTAAAACCAATAGATTCCCTACTCTGTTCTGAGTAAAAGATTACCTGAATATTCAAGTGCCCTACCATATTCTACTTATTTTTATCTTTGTTAATATTTAATTTTTTTAAAAAAAAAAAAAAAGAGCGATATTGGAGATGGGAGCGGCTACTGTTGTAGGTAAGAAGTTGGGCAAATAAAATACATAAGGTTTTTTTATTTATATTTGTAAGGAACTATAAACCATTGCTTGATGAAAAACGATTCGAGCGTAGTTCGCAAATTTTTTTTGTGAATTTGTTTAAATTTGATTTCAAAACGCTTATTAAAAAAAATTTGTCTGATGATTTTGGAACTTCAACCACATCTATATAAGTCCAATATAAGTATCATTATCTATTTTCAAATCTCTATGTGTATTTATAACACAATTACAGCAAAAGCTTCCAAAAATTAAAATTCCTTAAAAGCTCAACAATTTTATCGATGATATCTTAAGAAAGTAAATCAAAAAGACATTAAAAAAGGTATCTTGTGATTTTTTCGATTAAATCATTTGTTTTTATAAAATAATAAAATCGTGAAATTGTACGTTTTCCTACGTTTTTTCTCACTTAAGTGCTTTTATTTAAAAACTAGTGTTGAAAATCAAAAAACGACCTTTCTAAAGTAGAATTGAGACAACTTGAGTTTTCATAAAAGTTGCTACTTGTAAAAATTGGAGCTATAAGATAGTGATTCCCTATCTTGTAATGTGATAGTTTTTGAATATCAATCTTTCACACTCCTTCTCTAGAAAGTAAAACAACTTTTTCTATGACACTATTCATCGTATTATTTGTATGTATCTTAGATTAAAATTTTGAAAATAATATTTTTTATAAATCTGATACTTTGATAATAAACATTTAATTTGTCTCTAAGTACATGTATTCCTTAAAGAAAATCCGATTTGAAATTAAAAAAAAATTGTTTTTTTAAATTTAATGTTAACAGATATACACATTTGTAGAACATGATGGGATATTCATTAAAAAAAGAACTAAATCAAACAATATAGCAATTATTAACCTATACTAAATAAAATTAATTAGATTAACAATATACATTTTTTAAAATTTATTTGGTCTATTATGAAACAAGACATTAACTAGAGAAAGTTTTGAACAGACTGAATATGCATTTATGTCATTCTTTTTTATTATTATTTTTAAATTTATTTAGTTAAAAAATACTTTTAGTTCTTGAAATAACATTGTATTATGTAATTATTTTTGCTCATTAAAAATGGTAAAACTTATATGAAGAATAAAAATCAATAATGGACCAATTGCTAAAAAGTTGGTTTTAAATTATTCCTGCTATAACCTCAGGCTCCGGCACATAGCTCTCGCCTCATTTTATCAGGCCTTATCTCACTACTATTAAGATCGTGGCACATAGCAATATGTATAGGTTGTTGATGATGGCACATAGTTTAATTTTTAAAACCTAACTCAATATTATATTTATTTTTTTGGCTCAGCCCGTTAATGATTTCTAGTCTTCATATTTTATTAGTAATATTAGATTTATTAATCATTTAAATCTTGTTATTTTAGTTATTAAATACAAATTATATTGAACAATTTTACACGTCCTTACAAAATATTAGTATTAAATTATAATGCCACTTAGCCATAAACTTTCACAGTTTCATATAGTAAAAGGAACTCTCGTCATATGCTATCTATAACCAAAAATGTATTTACCACAGTTGAAATCTACTCCATCCTGTTCTGAGTTTTTTTTTACATCTAAAAACGACTTAATTCTTATTATTGTGAAAACAAAATTTTGCAAAAAATAAAAAAAAAAAATCCCTAAATGAGTAGCTTTAATGTTCTGTATCTGCATACTGTATAACACAATATATACATGTATATAGGTATTTTAAAGACTAAACACATCTGGTGTAAAGTAAAAAAAACTAGTTTATCCCGAAATTAAATATATATAACTATACTTCTGATATAGACATATATGCACACTGTCAACATCCGACTCACATTTATCGCCTGAGACGTAGATAACATAAAATGCAATCAGCGTTCTTGTAGATGACATATGATGCGAGTTTCTTGTAAAATAGTTGTAAAACATTGGTTTTTTCATATATTTATCTGAAATATTACATACATTTTAAACTGTATATAAATATGATTAAAAGCACAAATTGTGCTGTAGTTAGTTCTTAGTATTTGTTAAAAATTATAATTTTTGCCATTTTTCATAAAGCACGATCGCATGAACATATATTGTTATAAGTATGTGTTAAAGTTACATTTTTTGTTTCTGTAGTTGCACTATTTTTGTTTTTTTATTTTTGTGTTTCGTAAAGTTGATTTTGAGTTTATCCACAAAATGCTTGGAACACAATCAAGGTTTGTCCAAAGACCTCAAAATACACCAGACACCATGACTAAAGTAGCTGATATGTTCTATACTTTGGTATTTGGTGATACTGAATTTTCAGTTCCCAGACGATATGTTGATCTTGTACCAAAAGGTTTAGGTGCTCAGGGCATGGTGGTGTAAGTACTAAAATATTTTTTATAGTACTAGGTAAAACAAATTTTTAATTTCTTTTAGTGCGGCCATGGATACTATAACACAACAAAGTGTTGCTATTAAAAAGCTTTCCAGGCCATTTCAAAATGTTACACATGCAAAACGAGCATATAGAGAGTTCAAACTTATGAAACTAGTTAATCATAAAAATGTAAGCATTATAAATTACAATTAACTAATATCCAAGTATTTAATTAATATATATAATTTGTTTTACTATTTTGTGTAAATAAATATTAATTTGTTTCCAATTATTAGATAATTGGTTTACTAAACGCATTTACTCCACAAAGGACATTAGATGATTTTCAAGATGTATATTTGGTAATGGAACTAATGGATGCTAATCTATGTCAGGTGATTCAAATGGATCTTGATCATGAACGAATGTCTTATCTTTTATATCAAATGTTATGTGGTATTAAGCATTTACATTCAGCAGGAATTATTCATAGGGTTTGTATTATAAATATTTAATTATATTTTAAGTTAATTACTTACATTTTAGTATAACACATGATATTTTAGGACCTGAAACCTAGTAATATTGTTGTAAAGTCTGACTGCACATTAAAGATTTTGGATTTTGGATTAGCTAGAACAGCTGGAACTACATTTATGATGACACCGTATGTTGTTACTAGATACTATCGTGCTCCTGAAGTAATATTGTATTATAATTTATCATAAATAAAGTTACCTAATAAAATTATATTTATTTTTAGGTAATTCTAGGCATGGGTTATAAAGAAAATGTAGATATTTGGTCAGTTGGCTGTATTATGGGTGAAATGATTAGAGGAGGTGTACTTTTTCCTGGAACAGACCATATAGATCAATGGAATAAAATTATAGGTTAGTTAAAATATTTTTTAAATGATAACGAATTTAGACCTATAGATAATATTTATTATTAAAATAACAATTATTACTATAGAACAATTGGGTACGCCATCACAAGAATTTATGAGACGCTTGCAACCGACTGTAAGAAATTATGTCGAAAATAGACCTCGTTATCCAGGTTATTCATTTGATCGTTTATTCCCTGATGTACTGTTTCCATCAGATTCTTCTGAACATAATAAACTAAAAGGTATATATTTATTTTTATATTAAAATATATTATATGTATTTAAAAGTACACAAACAAAGTAAAATGAAATTACTAAATTAATATTAATTATTAATAAAAAAAAGTACTGAATTTTACATTTTGACTCTATTTTTTTAGAAAATAATTAATATAATATGATAAATTTGCGTTATATGTAAACATTGTACTTCTACAAGTTGCTCAAATCTATAGTTACCTATACAATTTATTAGGGCATTGTTTATTTATGAACGATAACAATGAAATATTATTATTTTTATTTTTACAAACTGTTCAACAGCATCTGCGAATATCATCTTGAAAATGGTTTTTTTTTTTATTATTTAAGCAATTCATATGGATTGGGAGTTTACCTTGATTCATTTTGAATTTTGTTCATCTAAGTTATGAAGATCTTATTATTGTATATAGTTGAATAATGTATCTATTAAATTTAAATTAGTTGATATACAATTTTCATTCCTACTACCAAATATAAATTAAGCATACTTAATTGTTGGATTTAATGCTATTAATTTCTAAAGTTTAAAGGGCGGCAATGAATAAGTGTTAATAACTTTTTTTTATTATGGACATTAACAATTAGTTATTATTTTTTAAAATATTAAAGGTATTGCAATTAATATTAATGACAAAAATAAATAAATATTTAATTTGTATTCTATATTAAATTAACTGAATTTACATTATTACATTATAGCAAGTCAAGCACGTGATCTTTTGTCACGAATGTTAGTAATTGATCCAGAAAAACGTATATCTGTTGACGAGGCATTGCTACATCCATATATCAATGTTTGGTACGATGAAAGTGAAGTAAATGCACCAGCACCAGGACCATGGGATCATTCAGTTGATGAACGTGAACATACTGTTGATCAATGGAAAGAGCTGATTTATCAAGAAGTTATGGAGTATGATCCAACTACTGCAGCAGCAGCATCTGCTAATGAACCGCAACCAAGCCGATAGACTTCACTGATACAGTTTACCTCCGTCCAATGTCTGACAACTGTGTCATAAGTTTAGTATTAATAAAGTTGTAGGCATAGTCTTCCATAATTCGAAGGTAATTTAAATTTATTAATTCTTTTGAAAAGGACGAAATTTCTATAAAAATGAAATCATTAAATAATTATAGTTGTACTTTATAAGTAAATTTTTGAGAAAAAACTGTCCAAATTTTGGATTTTTTTAAAAAGAAATTTTCTTATGAGAAAAATTATCGAAATAAAACCTAACAAATTAGAAATTAACGGTTGTGAGTTTTTTTTTCTTTTTTTTTTAATTAGCATGTTTAAATAACATATAAGCTCGCTGTAAATAAATATACATATTTATAAGGGCAATATATAATCTGTAAATTAAGATTTATAAATAAGTAAATTATAAAATAATTATACATAGTATGAATAATGTAAAATCTTGACTGTTTCTACCCTTGCAGACTATTATAAGTGCAGAATGTAACTTACTGATGTGCGATATTATATTTATATTATTATTATTATTATTATTATTATTACTTTTTTTTGCCTTAACTTATGATTGGTAAAAATATTGATCTCAATATAACTAATTATTACCCATTGTTTTACTAAATCTATTCTAAGTATAATGATTCTATACTTAATAGAACTAAGTACTTATTACTTATTCACAGCATATATTTTACTTTTAGTCAATTGTTTTCCACCATCTTATTTAATTAGTTTATTTGAGTTGTTCTCAAACTAAATTTTACATGTACATTTACATACTGTGTATTTATAGGTCTGTAAGGGTAGATATAAATTGTTGAGATGTTAAGCCTTTTTTTTTTTAGAACTTCTAGGCTAATTAAATTCTGTAAAACTATAAATATCTTTGTATATTATTGCTCATATTAAATTGAGCTATGATATTTTCTATGAATATCAAAAATAATACATTTATTTATAATGAAAAAATATAAAAATCTCCCCAAAAAAATAAATAGATTAAACAGTGGTTTTTTATTTTTTTTTTTTTACTTATTATTTTGGAAAAAGGTAGGTATACTTAAATAATCTTTTACTATTGATTAGTTTTATATTAGTATGATAAATAGAAATTAATTTATTACAATTGTTTTTTTAAAATTTCAATTATAATCGTAGAATAATTGTGCATACCCAAGTTTATCTGATAAATATCAATAACTGTGTGAAACTACTATGACCTTAACAGGTGAATAATTTGTTAATGGTTTAGATACCATTTTTACATATTTTAATTTAGCATTCTTTTAATTTCATATTCACTTATTAGCTCATTTTCTTTGGACTAAATATATGCTTCTTGTCTTAATTTGTAGTGGCCGCATTTCACATGGATATAAAACTAAAACTTTTTACAATTTTATTTTTAACTTAAATAAATAACTTAAAACTTTTATGAAATTCAAAATATTATCTATTTTCAGCCTTTATTAGTATATTTTGTAATCATATTTTCTCATAATAATCATTATGTCTGTTAAGCTATACCCCCAGGTATTTAAAACTATTAACCTATTCAAAACTATAATTTTAGATTTTTAATGGAGTAGGAAATCTATTAGATTTGTAACAGGCACTGTCTCTCGCCTTTGATAATATTTAATTTTAATACAATATAATAGGAAGGAAAGATATATTGTGAGTAGAAGCAATCCTAAGTGAACTGTACCTTAAGGTAAATTTTCCTCACAGTGGCCACCTGAGTATCAAGTTTACATTCACTGGTCAAGAACAGGTTATCAAATCCGCCCTCAGCCTGGACAAAATCTCAGATTTAATTTATAGAGTTGCCCACGTATAGATCGACAAAGAAACTGTGCCTATTATATTGATTTAATACATATACACTGGTATAATTTATAGATAATAATCATGATACCCATGGTGGTATCTCTAAAACCAATTATAAGAATTCAAGGATCAAAATACATAAGCTCTATCGTGGGAATATTATCGCCTAGTTGCACGACAACATGTCATTGTCTAAAAATGCGTAACAGATCTAATTGTGATGTAAAGAGTATATATACAGGATAGATTTAATTTATTCTGTGGTGTAATTACCGGCTGCCGACACCTTTTCAGACGAGTACCATCTTCAAAAATTATTATAAAGTGTTTTAATATTTTAAATAAATAACAAATACTTTTAAAATGTATGTTTAGCATTTCTAACTTTGGTTATCTCCAGAACCTAAATGTAAAACAGTCGCTCTTCAACAGATTTACTATAATGTGTGTTTATTTTTTTATTTTTTCTGTATATGAACAACTTTTCTTCCAGAAATCTCTCTGATCAAAAGAGACAGCTTCATTCATAAAGGTGTTGATTTATTTGTTTTATATTGAGAATGTCTATTTTTTAATGTCCTGTGTAACTAATATTACATGTTCTTTCTCATTGATAATATTATCATTTGTTGTATCTTGAATCTTTTCTCTGACTATTTATTCCAGAACAATATTAAAGTCTATTTTTAGCATAGTAACCTCTTGTTTTTGTCATATTTACCTTAAATTTTTCTGAATATTGATTTGTTTAAATTAGATTTTTCCTGTTGATTTATCTACAAATGTTAGACTAATGGTTAGAACCATTCTAAATAATTTTGATGGTATACTAAAACTTTCAACGCTTTTCCACAGTAGTTTTTTTTTTGTGGAATCTTCTTCTGATTGAAATATATATGGAAGAGTTTATTGTATTTGTAATAATTTATTTTGAATTGTCTTAACATGAACATAGTTGATAATAGATTTCCTTGATTTTAAGCCATACTGGTATTCATATTTCAGTCATAGATATGTTAATTATTTATTAATTGGTTACTATGTCTATGATTTCAGTCACATTTGATCTATTTAAGACGACATTATGTTGTATTGAGTAGTGATAACGGCTATAAATCTACAGCTATAGTAGCAATATATTTATTTATATAGGACATATTTCTGCTATCATCCACTCTTCCTATATTTGTTTATGTTGTCATATCTTTTTGATCAGTTTCTATTTATCTTGAACTATTAGTTCTCCTGCTGTTTTTATAATTCAGATCCTATCATATCCTCTTACGGAGTTTTATTGTTTTTAAAAATGTCTTTATATTCATTTTTTTCAGTGATAGATATCCACAAAATATTTCATCTATTCTGTGGTATATCCATCAATACCAGTGATGTCCCATGATATTTTACATTGGGCAAGTGTTCAAATAAAATTTCAAGCTAAATCTTAAAAAGAGGTATTTTATTGATAAAAATTAAAATATAAAATGATATTAATCCTTTAAAGCTAATATACATGTGTAATATAATGATAATAATCTGATATTCAACTACAAATGTTTAAACATACCACTTCCTATCATCATATATGGATATCTCCTATTAAAACCCGTAATTTCTGTAATAACGATAAGGACTGGAAAATGTAAAATATAAGCGCTTCTGAAAAGAAATTGCTTATACAAAAATAAAATTAATTTTTTTCATAGAAATTTAATGAATTGTATTTTACTCGAAAAAAAGGATTTTGAGTTCATGCATATGACTATGCCAGAATATATTGTCCCATATAGAATGACAAAATTATAACAAAGCAAAGTGTTAAAAGGGAGAAATTAAATTTAGTTTTGAAAAATATACTTAATAAATGTTTAACTGTTGATTTTTGGATATCTATGGCAAACAATAGTTACTTAAGTTTATAACATGCCATATTTTGGATAGTTGGAAATTACTAAATAAAATTTTGGAAACGACTGTGGTACCTACAAATTACTCTCACCGATTGGAAACTTAGCTTTCTTAGCAATCTATAAATCTATTCATTATTAGCTCACAAGGTGACAAGCAAAAGTGTGGAATAGTTGTACATCTATATTTAAGCAATATGTCTAAAACATCTTTTTTCAAAGTTTGCTTTCTTTCTTATTTAACATTTGTTTAGCAGTAAGTACTGCTCTTTCTGCCATCCCATTTAACTAAAAATACCTTGGACTAGATGTTTCATATTATTTATATTACCAAAAACTATTGAATTCACTTTAACTAAATGGTTAATTGTCAGAGTAAATAATTTTTGGATAACCATGTGTGCTGAAAATGCTTTTAAAGTGCAAAATAATATCCTTAGCCGTCTTCTTATTGAGTCAAATTGGTTCTAATCACTTAGAGTAATGGTCAAATACTACAATATAGTTCCATCTTCCATAAGTTAATATATCTGTACTTATAACTTTAAAGCATAATTAAGACAAAACTTAGAAAACTTGAAAAAAACAGAGAATTTCAAATTGAAAATTTAAAATGGAAATTCAAGGAAATAGAAAAAAAATTATGGACAAATATTTATTTTATCAAATCATGGTTATAAATATATTAATTAACCTTGTTAATAAATAGAAAAATTTGCATATTAAGAGGTTTAAATGTTTATTAATTTATCTTCTTGTCCCATATTATATGGATTTGATGACAGGTAGAGCTACAGGGAGTGGTTGAATGCCATATAATCAATATTCTATTAGGTTCTTTAACTTACAATTAATTAAATGTAATATTACTTTGTTTATTACCATGTGCTTTGTATTATACAATTTTTTCACTATTAATATTTCTAACTAATTAAAGGGATAGATAACATCTAACAAGGTTATTTATTTACTACCAACACAATATATAGATAAGTCGTAAAAAAATAAATGGTTTTTTAATATAAATATATGTAGTATCTCCTGAAAAATTACATATCTTCAGTACTATTATGGGTGTCTAACAACTTATTATAGAATCCTCAAAGTGACTTGCAAATCAACTGGATTCTAGACTGCTAGCGTTTGTGTTATGATAAGAGATAATGTAGAGTTAAAAAATCCTAAATATTTTGATTTTACATGTCAAGTAACTTGACAATGTAGGCTCCTCAAGGATTTATATTTTACTAATATGATACCAAATGTGCAGCATTTCTTAACTCAATATTCTCTCACACATCACTTGCAGTCTAGAATCCAATTGATTCATGGAATTGTGGGAATGGGAATCAGTAAAATAGACATTTTGACACTCATTAAATTCATGTTTTTTTTTTAATTCCTGATCCTTAGATCAGGCGTTTGATTACCATAGTATCTGTATTGTAGTGATATGATTTTAGATTAGTATACCCACCTGTCTAAAGTTAATAAAAATGCACACAGTACATAATACAACTATATAAAAAACACTTAACTTATTCAATATTAAATTCAAAACTGTTAGTTTAGCCTTTTTAAAATAATTTAGAATATCATTGACCTTTGGGATTATTGATCCATTTTTTTTTATATGTATAAAATTATTTGTTTTTTTTTTTTTTTTATGTAGGTATAATTGTGTAGATTAAATAAAATAATATATTACCTACCTTCAATCATTTCTTCAATGACTGTCTTCTGATATTAATTACAGTTCATTTTAGTATGTTTCTGTGCAATACTTTTTTACAAATGTTGAAATTTAGATATTAATTGATTTATAATTTGTCCTAATAATTTTTTATAATTTATGTCATTTTTCTCCCCAGAAATTCATTCCTTTTTATAATAACAATTTGTTTTACGTTTAGGTGTTGTGATGTGGCTAGTGATTAATAACAAAATTTACTTCAATGAATTCATGGTACTACTCATGTAATTTTAAGCTTTTTTGGAATGAAAATAAATATGGTACTTCATTTGTAATATTAATATTCTTTTCTTTAAGGTAATTTCAACAAATTCATTAAATCTTGAAGTGCATTTTTAAGCCGACAATAAATAATTAACTAAGTTTAATAGCACAAAAAATTGATTTCTTAACAATAGACATTAATGATTGACACTATTTACATAATATTTAATTTTTTTTTAATGGATGTACACTGAAAAATGTAGTTTATGTTCATAATAAAATTTACTTCATTTTTACCTGATTACTTCTATTTGGAACCTAAAATAATATGTTTGCTAAGTTTATGACAATTATAAAATATATGTTAAAATGTATATCTTTTTTTACCTGTTATTTGACAGTAAAATCTTTCTAAAATAATACAATCTGTATTTACATAATACCATTAATTAACCCTGTAATACAATTGTCAGCTACTATTAAAATTGTATAAATATATTTATAAAAAAAAAACCAAAATATATATAAACGCATGCATAAATTCTTTCAATCAAATATGTTAGTCTTAATGTTTTTTAAACAAATTTAAAAATAAAAAATAAATATGTAATTTTTTTATAAAATTATTTTATTTATTTACTGTGTATTTACTCTGTTACTGATAATACAATTTTAAACTAAGTCAGTTAATTAATTATAATCCCAAATCCTTGGTGGCTTTAAGTTTTTCAATTTCTTTTTCTACATATTCATCTAAATCATCAAGTGGCTTATATCTATTATGTACAAGTTGTGATCCAAACATCATAGAGGTTAAAGCTATAAGTGAAAACTTCACATATGCCACCTTAGATATATTTCCAGGCATTAGTTTTTTTCTTCTTTTATTCTTTTGGCAGCTATTTTTTCTGCTTCTTTACGTTTATATACTTCGTAGAAATTAATACCAAATGGACGCCATGTTATCATTAAATATTCTAATCCGGCCCCAGCAATAAAAAATATTGGGATAGCCCTACAATATATTATTTTTAAATATAATTAATTATTAATGATTACTTATAAATATAATTTATTGATATAATAAAATATCTACAAACCTATAATATCCAAATTTTTTTCCAGGTAAGTAGTATACAAATCGTCGAATTTTATTAATAATGCTCATAATAATTAATCAGATTGTTTGATATAAAATGCTCACATAAATTTTTCAAGAACAAAGCCGAGTATCTTATCCATGGACTGTAAGAACTTTACTCACTAAAAAGCACATCACAAATGTAATAATCTTAGATCATATGGTATTATGATCTAAGGTGATAATAAATTATGATAATTGATAAAATTACAGAATAGGGTACGGCATCAGTCTTTTAAAGTCAATTGGTCCCCACGAAATGTATGAGGATAATCGTCCTCAATCATAATTTTATACACGGAAAATTACTTCAGGGAAAATTTTTTTCCTGTGACTTTAAAAATGTTTGTATTATGTTATTACGTTCAATAAATGTATAATATTAATATAATTTAATTTATAATCAGAAAAAAAATATAATTTATATAATAATACAGGAAAAATAATTAATGTTTAATATTGAAACTTAGACTACATAAATATTTTAAAAGTTCATCGTTTGAAAAATTAATATTAAGTGTTACAAATCAATAAACAATTTTTTCTTTTTCACTTATAAATTTAATAAAATTGTTTTAGAATATATTTTTATTGTTTTTAGTCAAAGATATTATTGTTGTTGAATTAATTAGGATTTAGGAGCAATCTATATACTACAGGCACACTTTGAAATACCACAAAAGTTGTATCAGATCAATTAAATGCAAAAAAACAAGTAGTTGATGTTTTTTAGATCTAAAAAAGTCGTTTGATTCTTTTGACCATGATATCTTAATCAAAAAATTAAAATACTGCGGAATTAAAGGTGTCGAACTAAGCTTTTCAAGTCATATCTTACAAACAGGTATCAAATGGTTAAAATTACAGTATATTTGTAATGAGCAGGGCTAGGATTTGTATGCAATAAAACATTGTAAAATATGCATTTAAATTTTTATAAGATAAACACAAAAATATAGTTACAAAAAAAATATTTATTTATTAAAATACATTAGTGATTGGCTGTTTGTCTTAATATAATATTATTGAGAAATAAAATAAAATAAAATAATTTGGAAATAAATTTTATAATTCACATTCAATAGTGNATGTCCAATTACGAATAGACTTGAAAGTCTTAAATATATATACATTGGTAATAAATTTTTACGATTCGCCATTTAATATTTTATTTATTGATTGTAGAGTTTTAAATCCTTTATTTTTTTGTAAAACCAGAGATATTTTGTTTTTAACTTTATCTGCGACTTTTCCGTTGTACTCAAGAAGTCGATTCCTAGCATTTTTTATAATCTGTAGACTTTCATGAAGTCTTTCTCCGTCAAACTATCAATCTTTTATCGTATACCTATTATACCATAGAATTGTATTTATAAAAATAAAATTTATGTTTGACAAAAATCAAGTTTTATACTTTAATCATCAGTGCTAGAATTAAATACGAAATATTAATATTTTGTTTTTTTTATTAATATTATATTTTTAAAAATAGTTTGAGTAATAAACTTAAAATTATAGTATACAAAGTATTAGTTCAATTCATAGTAGGTATTGTATGGCATAGCTATCCGAGGTTCAGCTTATAAAACCCATACTATTAAATTAGAGACCACATTAAACTCATGAAGTTCTTATTCAATAAGCTATGGTTTAACTCTACTATTCTACTATATAAAGAATTAAAAACTTTCAAGTCTTACCAATCTTCATTTATTATTTGTTTGTATACTAATATTTAAGTATAAAAATACTATTATTTTAACAAATACGCATAGTCATAATACAAGATTTAGAAAAAATATTAATATTAATATTAAAATGTAATATTAATTAAAAACAGCTTTTGCCCAGTTGGGACCATTATGTTTTTGTAAATTTCTGTGTTAAATTTAAAATTAATCCTCAAGACTTTTATAATGCCATTCGTTTTAAGCAATTTGTTGTTGATACTATAGTAAATAAATTGTAAACATAGTGCTTAATATAAATAATAGGATTTAATTGATATTATTGTTTTATTTTGTTACATTTTATTAATTTGCTTTACTATAAAAACAATGTATAAAGTACTTTGGCTATTGCATTGAACGCATGTGAGGCATGGTACTCAACAAAAACTGTTGAGAATAAGTTAGAAATATTTAAAAGGGAAGTGCTAAGATAAATATTTGGCCTAAAAAGAATGAGGAAACCAATGAATACGAACGTAGAACTAATGACGACTTGAATAGACTAAACAAACAATCGGACATAATAACAGTAATGATGAGCAAAAAAATCAGACGAACAGGACATGTCTGACGCGACTAATGAAATTTATTAAATAAAATAACCTCATGGAAACCAAACAAAAAGAGACCCCTGAGTAGACAGAGACAAAGATTGTGTGACCATGTACATCATATACCTAATAATAAAAAAAATTATCAAAATTAATTTGTAATTACAGATTTGTTCAAATATGTATGCATTTTTTAAACTTACAATGTAAATCAACTAAATTAGTGGACCTAATAAATATTTAGTTACATTTTTTTAAATTGTATAGCCTATTCATTCAACTGACTTTACTATATTTTATTAATTTATAATTATAATAAATAATAATTATTATAACTCAGAAGAGTAAAAGAAGGAACATATTATCACAGAAGACAGAACAATATAATTAATGGTAGCCGGTAGGTATTACTTTCTTAGTTCAAATTTATGCCGATTACCTTCTAAAACGCTAGGTGTCTTGCTGCACACGGTGAGACTCAAGAAAATCAATGAAAAGGTACTTTGATCCGCATCTTATAATTTTAATTTGTGGCATCATTTGATTTGTGACATTACATTGGGCTGCTTAACAACCACTCCGAAATAGTTTTATCAAAATTCATCATTAACCCAACATAAAATTAAAGTAGATAACATGATAGATAGCTATTGAATAAGTATTGTATTTAAATATAAAGAATCTAATTTTTATAATAAAATAATAAAGTAAAAACATAATTATTAAAATGGTTAATATTCAAAAATAATTAAAGTAAATAAATATACAAATAAAAAATGTATATATATATATATACAAATAAAATAAATAAATGAATCAATGCGTCGCCTGGAGTATTATACAACCAATTTCAGTCCAATTTGCAGTTTGTAATAGTCAACTATTTAAAATGGGTTATTATTAGATACAGATATGTTAAAAAATATAAATTATTTGATTATTTATTATCTAAAATGCATTGATATAAGATATTATTTTTCTTTATTTCATTGTTTATGTGTAATTATTCAAAATCCGAATTAATATAAATGATATTTTGGGTATTTAATATTTCTAAGTCTGTATTAATATCAAAACTTATCTTATTTTTATTTCTTAATATATATTTAGAAAAATTTGAATTAAGAGCAGTCTTTTTTAATTTTATTTCAAAAATTTGTTCTTTATATCTTATTTTAAAATGTATATGTCTTACCTATATAGAATTTATTTCAGTTATATTTAAGTTTATATATACCAGCATTTTCTAAAGAAGGGGGATTTTTTGTGAAGTTTTTAGTTATATTGTTTATATGTTTGATTAAAATCATTAGTAGTCTTAAAAGCGATTTTTACATTATTTGTATAATTTTTCAGAATTTTAACAAATTCGTTAGTTATATTATTTTTATAACTAAAAGATGTAACATGAGAATGACAAAATTCTGAGTTTTTTTTAAATTCTGTCTTATTAATAGAGCCTTCACAGAAAAATTGTATACAAGCTCTCAAGAATCTAAATCCGCCACTGTCTTGTATTAATACATTTTAAATAATAAATAATAACCAAACAATTTATTTTTTAACATATCTATGTTTAATAATAACTAATTTTAAATAATCTCTCCTATTAAAATAAATTATTTCTATATTCTATGTAAAACGAACAATTTGTATAATTAAATTTTTCTATGTATTCCATCATTCAATTTTTTATATTCATTCACGTTGTACATTTTGACTGTGGTATACCCGATGATGAATTTACAATTCGAAACTGGTCATATAATACACTTACTATAATACTCTAGGCAATACATTGATTCATTTATTTATTTACTTTATCTAATTCTTATTTTGAAAATAAATGAGAACTATTCTTAATTTTCTTTTGATTAGTGTACCTAAACTTATAAACAATAATTTATTAGTTATTATGGCATGACAATAAAATTCAAATAAAAAAAAAAATCATAAATGTTTTGTTACTTGAAATAATTATTATATTAATCAATTAATGATTTATACTTAACATAAAAATCAAAATAAATAAAACAAAATATAATACAAAAGTATATCGGCTCAGTAAAACTTAAATCTGTCAAAATAAAAACCGGTATAATTTGAGTACTTTATAAAAAATTTAATTAAAAAAATCTCGTTACTTATGAATTTATGTTTCATCATGTTCTTCTTTTAATCCATCAGAATACTTTGTTCGCCCAGCCATTTCCAAAAGCTTCACATCCCAATCATCTCGATTTGATTTAGTTTGTATTCTTTCTTCCTCTACATCATCATTAATTGGTTTTTCTTTTACACACCATACTTCCAATGCATCAATCTTAAAATCTTTCACTGCTGATAACATTGAATAATCACTGTATGTTGAACACGAAACATTACTCAGCCCAATTCCGTATTCTGCATCCAACCATAAACCCCAATAATCTAACTGCCCGCCCATTCCAATGCCATTAGGTAAAGTGTATTGACCATTATTCATATACATATAGTGATCATTATGTCCAGATGCATTACAAATATTTAAATTGGGATGCAAAGAGAACAAAAAACTGCTAGAATCCCCATAAAATTTGGGTTTTAGTAACCATGGCTGTGAAGCATATCCACCAAAGACATTACCAATATGATCTCTTAGGATTAAAATTGTATCCCCTTGGTCAATAATAGCAGAGCTCAATGATTGAAAGCTCTCACCGTGAGAAGATGATGAAAATAATAAACGCCAATTTTCTTGGCATTCAACAGGCAAACTGTTTTTTATGAACATTATCCATCCAACATCCAAAATGGTCTTGAATGACTGTTTATATTTTTGATTTATATCAATAGATGGAAGTAAATTTAATTTATGTGGAACAAAGTATAGTGTTGTGATTAATGCTTTATGCAACAATGCAAGAAGAGTGTTACCCTGTAACCATGCATTGATATCCCCAGACAAACCTTTTTTAGATAATTGTGAAGCAAGTTGATGAGTGGTATGGGATTTAGCTCCAATTTGGATCCAGTAGGCATATTCATTAGTATCTTTCAAACAAAGAATTATGGTTTCTAATAAATCAGTTGTATATAACTGAACATTTGATTTAGAGAGTACCATTGTCATTAATTTTAGATAAGATGCATGATATAATTCACATATTGTTAAACACCTATAAACATGTACAACACGCTGTCTGCACGGTTTGGTTGTAGCTATCATTTGTTTCAAATGACCATTCATGTTAGGTGTCAAATAGGAAGTCCATTTATGTATCAAATCATCAAATGTTGTAATTTCTTTGTAGCTCATCAATCTGTCAATAGCATCATTTTCATCCTGCGTTAATGGATCTATATGATCATGTTTTGATCCTTTGCCACCCATTTTATTATTTTAATGATAACCACTCACTTTTTATAGTTTAATTATTTATAATGAATCAAATTGAACAATTCTGACATGTACATAATTCGTAGGTTTAATTAATTGAGTTAATTTTAAAACTTATGTACTATTAAAATTGACTAATTGAAAATTTGTTAAATTTATAAAACCATGTAATACTTGACCAGAAATTGATTCACTTTTCTTATGACTTATTTACCAAAACTATCTATTAATTTAGTATCAATTTAATATTTACGGAAACACGGATGCAGAATGCCGATCAATGATAACTGGGGAGGGGGACGAAGCACGATAAATAACTTCCCAACGTAAAACCACACGATAATTATCCACGGACCAAAATTCGACAAAACGCCTCCCGAAAAAAACCACCATACAATACTGCCAACTTCTACATTTATACATTTTAGGAATTTAAATTGTTATGGATCCCTGTAAAAATATGAAATCTGCATGGTCTTAGACTAATATTATAAGTTGTAAGTAGCTAAATGGTTGTAAATAATACCCATTCCACAATCGACTGCACACAGTCTATTCTTCGTCTGATAAGAATAGTAATCTTCATACAACCGAACAAATTTTAACCTCTCCCTACGGATTTTTTTTAAAATTACGAATTGAATGACATCAACAAGATTTGTTGATTAGTAACAAAACGGATGGCAAACCAGAAAACTACCCAATCAGTACACCATAAACCAATGTTCAGCGGTAAACAGATGACGTGAGATAACAGTGTTATCACCTTTATAGGCATTTTCTACTAAAATACTATTCTAAAAAAATATATGTACCGAATATTATTCTGATAATATACTTTCGACCAAAATATTTTACTTTACAAATACGGTTTGACGTAAATATTTGTCGGATTGTTTATTTTTTTGATAAAATATTCTAACAAAATATTTTCGTACTTTATACGTGTCCCCCTTTAAATTATTTAGTCATTAACCTGCTCTATCCATAGTATATGATCTAAGCTACAGATATATATTATAATCAATGTTAGTCAAGCTGCTAAACTTAGGCGTCGTAAAATATTAAAACAAATTTCCTTATCAATAGCATCTAACACATGAGTTATTTGTTTGGTCAAACTGATGTTTATCTGCCCACGTCGGCATCTTATCGTTCCTTCCAACTCCACAATATGCCAATTGCCAACACGAGTACGCGACACTACTATTATAGATTATAGAACACTTGTACATTACAGTGCCACTTTTAATCATTACGCACTAAGTCACACGTATTTGATATTTCAACCGTTCTGTTTAAACCTTGCATCTTGCATTCACTTAACTGCTCACTAGTATAACAGTAGTACTAGACATACCACGCTCATCAACTATACATTCCTTCAAGACTGTTTACATTGCCACGTAATCATAAATAAATAGCTAAATATTTGGCGAAATGGCTCCTAAACAAAGAATGAGGATTGCTAACGAAAAGGCCAGTAAAAATATCACTCAACGAGGGAATGTTCCTAAATCAACAGTAAGGAAACACAAACATTATGCTAAAAAATATTTGTATTTTTGTACCCAACTAATTTTCCAAATCATGTTTTAGAAATCCGAAAAAAATAAGACACCTGTTAGCCCTTGGCTACTGGCATTATTTTTGTTTGTTGTTTGTGGTTCAGGTATGTATTATGTTTGCCTAATATCAACTATTTTTATTTTTAGTTTTTTGCTTGAATAATGTTTACTAAGAAATTATTCTCAAGCATTTTATAACACTAAAATGTAATACAATTCATTATATATTTAAATTGTTCAAAATTATAATTATTTTGAAACTATTAAACTAGGTAATTGAAACTAATTAGGAATAAGGAATTGTATTACATTTTAGTGTTGTAAAATGCTTGAGAATAATTGTTTAGTAAACATTATTCAAGCAAGAATATTAAGATGTGTTTCTTATGTATATATTTATATAAAAATGTAAAAATTGCAATATGTAAAAATATTATTTTAATGTAATTTTTATGTGATTATACTATATAGGCAGATGATTATAATTTATTGATATTAATATTATTTTCATAATATGCCGATAAACTGTGCTTTATAAAATAATAATAATAGTAACATACATTTATTAGAAAACAGTTATCTCCTGGTGAATGTGGAACAGGATGTGGATGTTACCACCTATCTACATTATAACAATGTACACCAGGGGGTAGCTAAATACTTTCGTAGGGATCTACTAAAAATATATTTTTTCTTTTGAGGATTAACTTCCTAACAAAAATGCATAATTATAAATTACATAATAGGTATTAAAAATACACATTCATGTACAAAATAATAAAACTAAAATATGTATAGTTAAATAACGTTATTCATCACACTATTATTAAGACTATTAAGGCTAATATAATATTATTGCAAATATAATTGCTAGGATAAAATCTGTTGAATTGTGTAACTTGATAAGTTTACAACAAAATAAAAATAATGTACTAAATTAGAAATGATCAGTAATTGCTATTTATCTACTAATCACATACAAATAAATTCTAGCAAAATGGAGATCCACATTTAAATCATCTGTGATTTTTGGGTCGATCGTGATTGACCATTTGGCCATCCGTGATGTACACCATTGTCAGCCAAAAAAATCCTATAGTTTGGCTTATTTGTTTATTATAAAACCAATGGTATTATTATGAATACTAATACTTTATATTATATATCAAATTATTATTGATATTGTTAATTTTTTAAAAGAATTTTTATGCTTAAACACATTTTTTTATTTTAGGTTGAGAATTTTCTCAAAGCAATTTTAAAAAATAAATTATTTTGTTGATTATTCAGATTAAATTTTAACTAAGATTACTGATCTCATTAAATTTGTATTTATTTAATATTATTAAAGTGAGTTAAACAACCCTATTTACATAATGTTTATGAGAAAGAAAAAAATATTATAGTTTATAGTGATACAAATAGTATAGATTTGACAATGCACAATGTGTAAAAAACCATACAAAAGATAGAACAAGTTAAAAATTTAACTTCTCAAGAATAATACATTTTTGTTCAATGAAAGGATTAATCTTAGTGTAAAAGTGTAGGATCTAACATCAATTATTACCTATAGAACAAAGAATATTATTTAAATTTTGTTCAAAGCTAGATAACAAATGAATAGAGAAGGAGTATACATTATATTTATTTTCTAATTTGCATAATGCAGTAAATCAGACAATTTATCACCTAATTAGTTCATTAATTGAGAACATAGAATGTAATATTATATCTGATGATACATTTGGAGTTAATAAGGACAAATGACTGAGGAACTCGGGACAATCAATATTATTATTAAAAACGTTATATAAAAAGTATAAAACAAGTTTTATTCTATGTAATTCAAGTGAGTTAAGAAAAAGGATATTCATAATAGGAGTGTAAGGTTTTCTCAGGAACACTGGTATATTGCAACTGTAATAAAGAAAACCTACAATTTTATTTTGAACAACTTCCAAAGACATTTTATGTTTGAGAAGGTGTAGAAGTCATATAGTAGACCATTAATCAAGAATAGATATAATGAAATATATATATATATATATAATTATATAAGACGTAATACTTGTACATTATTAAAATATCCATATGAAAACCACGCTTATTTAGGATTTATTTTTTTGTTTGTCTAGTTACTACTATTTACAAAAAAAATAATATAGTGTGATCTTATAAAATATTTGTTTCATTTATTGCGAGTAATTAAAAATTATGTATCTGTAATACATTTTTTTTTTCAGTGATATTTCAACTAATACAAAGCATAAGAAGTGCATGATTGTCCATTACCCTGTTTGGGAGAATACCATTCATATTTTCATTAACATTATTGTATCTCAAAATTTAATTTCCTTCCATGTTTTTTTTTTTGTTAGTTGTGTTTTTTTCTGGTTTAATACTTATTCTATCATACCATTTATTTATTATTTTAATTACTTTATAATTTTACTGTTTTAAAGTTAAATAAGTGTAATTTAATACTTATTTTTCCTGGTTTACCTCAAAATCATAAAATTTGTAATTAATAAATATATTCTTAAATAATTTCTGTTATTACAGATAAAAATAAACCTAATACATTTCTTTATAATTTATTAACTATATTTTTATCAATGTTCATTAAATCTATTGTATATATAAAGGATTGAAATAAAATGGATATATTATTTTAATTACTATTTTACTATATATATATAAAAAATATTTGCTATTCATTTTATTAAGGGAAAAGGAAGATTTAATATTTGTATTTGTCAAGAATCCATAACCAACAGACATTGATTATAAATATTGTTGCCTTAACTTTGAAAATGATTGTAATCAGTTTGTTATTAAAAAACTATTTAAAATCATATTAAACATAGGATGTTATTAATGTAAAAACATTTTCAATTTGCTATTATCCAAAATAAAAAAAAAATAATTTATGTAACAATTTATTTTGCCAAGTCAAAAATCAACATTTAATAACATTTATCTATATTATAACCTTAGTCTTGACAAATTATAATACATTTTAAGAAATTATGGTCTATGATTAGGGTTGCTATACATCCCGGAAAACTAGGACTGTCCCTGGTTTTTGATTTGGTGGATCGGTGTCCTCAAAATAAATGTTCGTACACCAATATGTCCCGGTTTGAGAACAAATTTATATTTTTAAATGAATACAGGTTTAAATAACGATGACAAAACCTTATATAGCATACTTATAAGTATTACTTGTAGGTTTTATAACAATCTTTTTGATGATATATGTGTTCTTTTTATAATAAATTTATAAGCTGTAAAAAATAAATAAAAATTTTGTTGTATTGTTTTAGTTTAAAAAATAAAGTCGGGTTTTATAGTACATATAGGTACTTAATTAATAGGATTCAATCATATTTTCAGTCTTATTTTATTTGCTTTTTTGTCTATTCTGGTACAAACAGGTTGCACCCGATAAAACAGAATACAGAATAGATTAATGAATAATAGAAGAAAATAATATTATATTTTAGAGATTACAATGTAGATAAATCTCTTGGATCATAATACATTATATATTATTTTTTTATATTGATACTTATCTCCATCGTAATGTAAACCATAGATAGGGTTGCCATAATTCCACAAAGTAACTGGGTTAGGTTAGGTTTATGGGTCAATTTTAGAATTATTTTATAGAATAAGGACAAAAATTCTGAAAACCATAAGTATTAATTACTATTAATATCAATAAAATTATATGTAATAAATACTGCAATAACAAATTAGAATTCTAAATGTTCACTTTGTCTTTATTGTATAATTGAGTATTTAATGTACTTGTATTTATTTTACAAATTAGTTATATGAAATGAAAATCTAACCAATGGGTGTTTGGTAACTAGCCATATATCAAGGGGTAAAGACAATATTTTTGTTTTTAGGAAATTACACTATCATCCTAATTGACCATTTATTAATGAAGTGCGAGTGCTTAGAATCACACTTGTAAATAAATGTGTACAAAACTCTGCTTGTTCATTTTCTGCCCGGAATTTGTACATGAAAACTATTTTTAGGTACATATCAGAAAACTTAATATTGAAATATTTCAATTAAATTCAGAGAAAAAAGTTTAAATTACAGTCGCCCAGAAGGAACAAAAAATGATATATATTTACAACCTGCCAAACGAATACGCCAAATTTGTAGATTGGTATTTCCCCCTACGCCAACAAACTCGCATCATTTAAACGAACTGTTGCAGTTGAAAAATAACAAGCACTTTACTATGAAATTTCAAGTTCCACCAAGTTTGTAAACATTTTAAAATCATAAAATTATGTTTTCAACCTTGACATCATTTTTACAATTATCAAGTATAAATATTACAACATTAAATTTGTCAAAAAAAAATTTGTTTATTTATGTATTATCAACTAAAATATAAAGGGCCTCGAGCTCATGCGATTACATAGATTAAAAAGACTATAATTTTTATAATCTTTGTGCGTTCAGAAATGTTATCTACGATTTCTGAGGAATTTACCAGAGAACGATTTTAGAACCCCTTATTTAAATGAATCAACAAGTTACGAAAGGTATTTTTTTAGTTTTATTAGAAATAGATTGTTTTGGCGTTCACAAAGTAATAGTTAAGGATACTAATAATCATTAATTGTTATAATAAGTTTTATAATAAACAATAATACCGAATTGTAGCCATGTTTGTAATTCAATTTGAAAAGTACATAGAAAATGTTGTTATACATTATTCTAATAATGTTTTAAAGCTTAAGTAACTTAAGTTAAAATTAGTAATATTTTTTAATTAGTGCAATTTATTAGTTTTTGTAATTAGTAATGGTATATTTCATACACTTACAAATACAACTTGAGGAAACCTTTTAAATTAAATTAAATCAAACGTTAACAATAAACAGTTATGAACCTTATTCTTTAATAAGTGTTATAGTAGGTCAAAATGGTATCAAATAAATTAGCGCAAAGTAAGAAGTAGTTTGAACCATACATAATACTGTCGTTTCACAGCTTACAGGAGTGTGTTAAAGGAGACGAACTAACCTATTTTTTTAATTCACCGACACACCCCAAATACATTCTGAACGAATCTAGCAATAGCCGGCTACTCAGGAAGACGTTTCTGAACGCACTCCCGCACTCGAGGCAAGAAACTAGTTGAGTGAGCACATGTGAAACAAAAACTTTTACTAAATATGCCCAAATATTCCAAATGAAACGTAAAAATGTACTAGTGCAGTCTGGTGGAATTGATTAACATAATGGGTGCGTTTGTGTAGCACGCATAGCCGTTTACAGTGCTTATACCAACGCTCACGTTCATGAACGGATCGTTTAGACATAGAGCTCAATAGCACTACTAGGTGGATCTCTAGACGAACGTAAATAAAAGCATATTGATTGTACGATCATCGCAGTTATCAACTCTTAATTGTTATCACTAGGTACTATAATTGTAACGACTAATGATGTTATTTTAAAAATTGTTAAAATGTTTAGTACTTCAAACATTTTTATTTCTATAAATTTATATAAATCGTAGTTTAAAAAGTGTGGTCATATTCTACAAAGAATAATAATTTATTATTAGGTGAAATTACAGTCAAAGAGTTATCACTTATTTCGGCGTATCTATTATCATTTGATTAGCTTGTGAGCGTTTGCTGCCCTACATTGATGGGATAAGCGTTTGTGAGCGGGGATCGATGACGTAGCGCTCAGATTCAGTGACGTCATGGTTGTAGTCTGAGCACTATTAAACAAACCCCAAACCGAACGGTGCGGTGGCGCTTAGAAGTGAGCTACATCAACATGCACAATATGTCTTGTGTAGTCACGTATGCTGCCATCTATATGAGTTTTAGATAACTCTTTTTTCCAACTATTGTCATAGATAATAAAGTAATTTTTTGTATTCTGTTACTGATAAAGATAATAAAACGTAAAAGTAGGGAACATGCAAATTAAAAAACGGATAGGGCATGGGTCAAAACTCAAAGATCACTTTTATTTTTTGCAGTTGCTTTTATATAATTATCTATGGTTGCTACTTTGTTAGTTACTAGATACTAGTTTGCTTCTGTTGACGTGTGTTAAGGTCTTATGTTTCAGTCAATATTATAACTTTTCGAATACAAATTTTATTTATATATAAATATATACAAATTTGTTTGAAGAATTTAAAATAATTATTATTACGTTTACTTAATTGTTTTTCAATACAACTGTCGTTCTGAATAATATTGTATTATAATTGCCGTGTCTATATAATACTATGGCAGTGTCTAGTAAATTAATCTTAAAGACAATTGATACATCTTGTCATGAATTTATGCATCCATGGGTTGCTTCGTGTTCTGATGCTAGTGCTGGTTTACTTATTCATTCAATTCAAGCTTCATTTCGAATTTATGTTACTACATACATGGTACTATTTTATACATATCTCAATTATATTTAAGTAATACAAATTGAAATCTATATTTTATTATATAGTTAACTCTATTAATGAAAGGTCGGAAGCCAACAAAGAAGGAGCTGAAACGAATATTGTTAAGCATTTTACAATCAACTGCTTTCCTTTCATTTCATGCTTTTGGTTTTTCTTCTGCAGTTTGCATATTGAGGTATTATGTTGAATAGTAATATATTTGTGTTTATAAATTATACAATTTGTAGCTATTTTAGGGCAACTCGCTGAGACATGTTTTAATATGTCTCTAATAATAATTAAAAATTGAAAAGGCAACTGAATATTGTTTGTATACTGTAATGGCTCATGTGAAGTCATCACATTCTCATGGAATAGGTAGTAAACAAATATTTTTAGTACATTTGATATTTATTGAACAAATAAAATTAATGTAATTCTAAATATAAAAATGTTTTTGTTTAGAGCAGTTTATTTTTTTTTTGTTATTTGTAAAATACATATTTTCAATATTTGGCAAAGCATGGATCATATTTTTCAACAGAATTCTGATAATGCAGTGGCGGTGTGAAGTTTTTTGTTTGTTGAAATAGTTTCAGTAAATGCAAAATTGCAAAAAACCTTACACAACCAAAGTCCAGATGATTCAGGAGCTGTAACTAAGCTTATTAGACTTGTAGTTCATATTTTTCATTAGAATATCTAATGATGAAGTGCCACACATACCACTACTCACCCAATTAAATTATGAAGAATATGTTTAACTAACTTACATATTAATTATTTAATTTAAAAAAAATATAGTTATCTTCTTAGCTGGTTCATTCAACAAAATTATATAAATGTTGGAATATTTATTTTTAATAAGTAATTAATACCTTAAATTTTTAACTGTGTTATATTATTTTAGGAAATTATGTGGAAAATTCAATGTGCTAAGTGTTGCATTCCTTCCGTGTTTTTTATGTAGTTTAGTTGCTATATCGATTGAAAGACCATCCAGGAGGGGATTACTGAGTCTTTATGTAACAAATGTTGTAAGTCACTTTATTAATTTAATAGTTATTCATAATTTAGTGTACCGTTAAGAGTGAGATATACTGAATTAGTCAGTTATATGTAATCAATGTATTGAATATCATAATATGCAGCACAACATAACATTGAGTTATGAATATTGGAAATCCCCTTATTAATTTAATCATATATTTATAATTTATTTAAGATAAATTAAAATTATAAATCAGAATAATAAAGTTGACGTTTAATTTAAAATATATTCTATTTAAGGCTTCAGAAACATTTTATAATATGATGGTTAGCAGAGGTATTATAAAACCAATACCTTACGGTGATTTGTTTATATTTGGGTCCTCCATTACACTGCTATTATATTCCTTTAGAGGACAGCATAATAAATCAGATTCAATTTACTCCCTGTTAAGGTAAATGCTATTTTTTTTATAAATTATTATTTATAATAATATTTAAAATTTACTTAATGATTTTGTGTATAATATATAAAATGTAACATGAAAATGTCTTTAAATTTATGCAACAGTTTAAATAATTTATATTCAAGTTTTAAAAAAATTAAGAAGTTTATACATATTAATTGTTACTAAACTTTTAAAAACACTGAATATATATATTTTATTATAAAGACTTGAATATATAATTACAAATGTAGGAACATTGTGACCAGGGGTGGTTAAATGGAGGGAAAGATATTCTCCTTTCTCCACTTCAATATTTGTATATAATAGAATATTATAGATTATTAGTGTTTTAGAAGACTATAACTGTATGTTAAAGAAATAGGAAAATAACAAGAAAGTTTTTCAACTGACCAAAATACTTGTTATCAGACAAATAACAAAAAAAATCACAAATTCAGCATTCATGTGTACTTTTTTTTATATGACTTAATAGTAAAAAGTATGCTGTGGAGCAAAACTATCAGAACTTGGAATACCAGTAAAATTCACTAGGTTGATGAAAGCTTATATGCAAAATTAGACTCAACTTGGGAATATTGGAAGAGTTACAGTGACTACAGAAGTAATCCCCTTCAGGGTGATGGACTGTCTCTGACCTTATTTAATAGTGTTAAAATTGTTAAAAATACTGAAAACTAAGCCAAAGGGATTGAATAAAGGATAGAAGAATAGATCATTTTGGCCCCAGCAAATGATATAGTTGTGATAAAAAGGACAGAGGATACTCCTAAAAGAAGAACTGAAAACTTAATTGGTGCAGTGAAAAAGATAGGTCTTATCATCAATGAAAATAAAACCAAATATATGTTTGTATTTAGAAGAAAGCACCCTAAAATGCAATAACAATAAGATCGGTTGTGTTTTATGCTAGTGGAGCTTAATCCTTTAACAAGTCTGATGAAAACAAACTAATGATATTTGAAAGGAAAATCTTGAATAATGAAGGAGTCATAAGGTAAAACAGAGAACTTTTAACTCTATACTATATATTTTTAATAATTGTTAATTAATAAGCTTCATGCTCATGACAAAATTATTTGCCCACATCTAATTGCTATGAATAACAATTAATATATAATATTAAACATATGTAGTAATACCTGAAAAAAGAGGTAATGTAAGTTACATGATCACTTAAAAATGTAATCATGTATTGATAACCTACTAGGTGTGTATAATTGTAAATATCTCAAAAGTTGCATAGTGACATTATATAAAAATACAATTTTTATAAATTTGGTGATAGAAGTAGAAAAATTCATATTTCCGCCATTGATCTATTAAATAGTTTTATTATAAGTTAAAATTATACAGCACTATACTAAATACCATTAATAATCATCAGTTGTTTTATCATATAGTAATTATTTATTATAATTTATTTATGAATATTTAAAAATACGAATAATTTAAATTATTACTTGTTTGTATTTTAGTATGTTTGATGTTATGCATTGTTAAATATGTGCCATTAAAAAAAAATGTATAAGGACTTATACAGAGTTTCCTACTGTGTGTGTACACACATATGTATATTTAATACAATTATAAATTATCAATTTATATTTTATACACCTATAATTATAATTTATTGTGTTATATATTTAGAACAATAATATAAAATAAATAAATAATGAATTGTACTTAATTATTGTTTTATAAAAGGTTTGTTGTTGGTTCATCTGAAGAACATGATTATTCAAAGCCATTATTATCTTCTCAACCACTCCCATTAAACACTGTCTCAAATCAAGATATTATTCGGCAAACTGTTTTTAATATTCGTCAAGCTTACTATACTCTAGACAGTGAATTAAAAAAGATTTGGGTTAATGATGTATGTCCACATGCGTATGGATGTTTTCATTATGTCATTAATGTAAGTAAATAAATTATTTAAAATCTGTATAGGTCAATGAAAATATATAAATATATTTATTATTTTTTTTAGTCTGGAACAAGATTATTTTTAGTTGGTTATACACTGCAATTATGTTTAAAGTCGTTATTACAAGCTAATAAAATTATACGAAAACCAACTTATATTTTAAAACTAATGATATCACCAAGTACATTTAGTTTAGGAGCATTTCTTGGAGGATTCTCTACTATTTATAAAGTATTTTTATTATAATAAATATATTTTATTACTCTGTATTGATATTCTTTATGATTTAGTTAGTATCATGTTTAATGAGAAGATTTTTGGGTAAAGATTCAAAGTACATATGTATTCCAGCAGGATCTTTAGCTAGTCTAACATTTTGCTTGTATCGAAATAATACAATTGCTTTGTATGTTATGCTAAAAACTTTACAGGTATCATTTATTTATACTATAATTATAATTTTTTTTCATAAAGATTAATCTTAAATATATAATTATTCAAATTGTTTTCAGATTATGTATACGAAAGGTTCTAGTGATGGAATTTTTCCAGATTTACCTCAAGCAAACATATTTTTTTATTGTTTTTCTACAGCTATTTTATTTCATGCAGCTATACTTGAACCACATAATCTGAGACCATCATATTGGAAATTCCTGCAGTCTGTATCTGGAGGAACTATAGGATTGATGGATAGACAGTGTTTGGAAGTATTTGGCCTTAAATCTAGTGAATCGCTTGAAAGAGTATTAAAAAAGTATAAAACTGTTCCATTACAGGTGATGAAATTTTAAATTATTTATTTATGAATTCAAGGGTATAAACTATAAATGGTTGGTGATGTAATATAATAAATAATATGACGTAGAATGTAGATATTTATTATTTTTTGTCAATGTACTCATTTTTAGGGAAATTGATTAAAATTTGATATAATTTTATTTTTGTATACTTATCTGTAAAAAAGAAACAATTTGTTTTTAAAATGAAATATACAGATCAGATATTTTTAATTAAACAATATTTTGATTGAATACTGTATCCTTTGTACCTATGTACAATTAATTTTATTAATTTAATATAAATTGCTTATGTATTATAAAATAATTAATTTAATTATGAAAATGACTATTTATTTATCAATATCATCTTTAAGTTTCCCTTTATTTAAAAATTGAACACTTTTGTGCAATGTACTATTTTCAATTTCAAGAATTTCAACTATTTTCATATAAATTTCTGAATGTATCCGAGTAGATGAAATCAAATTTTGTTGATTGGTGTTCATTGACTGCTGTTTTTCATTTTGATCAATAAATATATGAATTTGACCTTGAACATATATAATATACAGTGGCATCAAAGCCAATTTTAAAATATATTGCATGTATATACAAATCGATTAAAAAATGTATAACAATCATTATACTATTATAAACATGAATATTGATTTTTTTTTTTTTTTAATTGTGCCACCCAACCAACAAATAAGTATTACGCTCACAATACCGGAACATATAGATGCGAGCCATTGATTATATAAATTGGTTACATGTTCAAATAATGTTTGTATATTATAATTATATGTATTTAAATTACTTTTAATACTTGCTACTTCTTTTATTAAATTTTGAATATGATCAGATTGTATTTTATTTGATTTTCTAGTGTATTCAAGGGCACTTAAAATTTTTCGGGCTAAATTCTTGCTGACACACAATAAGTTTATTAATGTGTCTGAATCTTTTTTTTGTTTATTAATTTGCCTATATTTAAGAATATTTAATTACTATAATATTTAATATAAATTATAAAAATCAAATATTTACAATTGGAGAGAATTTAGTATGGGAGTTACTAAATTTATTTTTTCAGTACATTCATGTTGTTTTTCTGTTAACGATTGAATTTGGTTGTTTGATTTTGTTAGTGCTTGTTTTAATTCTATATTTTCTATCTGAAAATAATATTACTAACATATGAATTGAAATCTTAATCAACACTGATAAACCATAAACATAACCATTGATTGCTTTTTAATATATTGCATGTATATAATACTTTAAGTACTTTAAGTTGGTATATTTTGTTTGTCAAATGTTCACGCTCATGCATTAATACTTTTACATTGAGTTCACTATTGTTTTTATAATTGCATTTCCGTAACATTGTAGTTAAAGTTTCCAACTCCATTTTTATCATTGATTTTTTAAGACGTTCTGTTTCTACTTCATGTTTTAATAAAAGATTTTGTTTTAAACAATTATTTAAATTTTCTTGAGTAGTTTTTATAATGAACTGAAAATTTAACATAATATTATTATTAATAAATAATAGTCAATTACCTCACTATGTCTTTTAGTCTAATATTAATTTTAAATATTTCTAATTTCATGTATTTTGTATAATAACCAAAATTTGAACTAGTGTTTGCAATAATGGAGAATAGTGTGCCTAGTCTACAACCATGGTAACACCTCAAGAAAAAAACTAAAAAAAAAAAACAATTCATAAATAAAAAAGCCAATACTGGGGACAGGTGTGCCACCGTTAAAGTTGGGAAGGTTAGGTACATTAAGTTATTTAATTTATATCTGTAAGCAATGATAAACCATTGTTACTGAAAAAAAATTTGTTGTTTGATTATGTATATTTTAAAATGTGATTATATTTATGATTTTTCTCAAAAATTAATATTAAAATTTGTATAAAAAAAAACTACATTACTCATTTTTTTTATTTAACCACTAAGTTAAACTTGTAATGAATTTCCTAATAAATTTTCAAGAATTCTTGTTTAATTTTAGAATTTTACTTACAGAGTACCTATTAAATAAAAATTATGTAAAAACATCATAAAATTATAAAACTGAAGTCTTATAATTAGCTCGTTTTAAAAGTTTCACTATGTTTAGAAAAGGCAAATATAAGTTTTGCGTTAAAATGCCAAGTTTATAAACATATTTAAATGAATTACAACCAAAAAAACAATTGCAAATAATATAAGCATTATTTTCATAACATTTTTTTGTTCTGTATATGTTTTTTTCAGTTATGCTTTATTAAAAGAATTACAGAGAAAATTAAAAAACAACTTTCTTACTCACATATTGGATTGAAAATGTAACAAACCAGGTCTTTTGTTGTTTTCTATTGTAGTAGTGTTTTTGGTAGAAAACATAGTTTGTAAAAATTAAAAACAAATTGGTAACGTAATGGAGCACTGTAAATATTTGTCATTTTTTCAATAATGTTTTTTTAGTTTTTCTTAATTAAGAAAACCTATTGGAAAATTGAAAAAATGACCTTGCCAAATGAATAAAATTTCCATTCTAGAAAAGGTGCTACACTTAATACATCAGAGCAAGATTTCTGGTAGAAAAGTTGTTTAAATACAAAAAAAAAATCCAGTAAAACTAATAGACCCCTCAATACCCTCCAAATCTAAAAATCTGTAAAATATATATTGTAATATAACCATTACAGATTATAGAATAACATTTATTTTATGACGGCAGTATCAATATATATTTTGGGCTAACTGTTAACTGTACTTATAGACTAACATGCTATAGGAAAATTGACAAATTTTTATTTGTCTTATCCTTATAATAGTGAAGTAGACACTTACTTAAAATTATTAGTAATGTGCTTCTACAAATCGTACCGATAAATATTTTGAATAAGTATCTAAATAATTTTAAAGGTTAAAAATATTGGTGCTCAAGCAAGTATATAAATAACAAAAATGTACCTAATAATGGAAATATTCGAGTTGGGTCTGTGGTAATAATATTAATATTAATATATTAAATTTGTAATAATAATTTCAATATTTGTATAATTTTATAAGAGTAAAGTAACACGAAACAAAATTGTTGGGAGACTTGACTTCCAAGTGGTGTTTACTATGCAACTCTTAATAAGCTGGACTAACATTATTAATATAAAAGATAAAATATGCCAAAATGAATAGGGCCCAACTTGTATTCTTGTTAGAATATGCTAGAATTCAATTCAAGGTCAGCCCTAATAATAGGTTAGGTTAGAAGAGTACAAGACACCTGTCGTCTATATCAGGTAATATTTACTGTCCTTTACATTTTACAAGGGGTGAGATTGTAATAATAAAACTTCATTATACTTCAACCCTTCAAATCAATATGATGCAAAATAATATTTTTGTTTGAAGTACTGACACTTAAAACTATTCTGATACATGCATAGAGATAGTATGAACATACATAGCCTCATGGGCGTCTATTGAGGGATGAGCAGAATGGAGACACAGTCCCCCTAGGAAAATATAAAAAGTTCAACCTAGATAATTATTAATTCACCATTTTATAATAGATCAATTATAACTCTATAACATAATCAAACTTTTTATACAGGTATTGAATTATTATATTCATATATCTAACTATAAAGTGTTTTTTAAATCACGAACCAGCAATTATCTCAGAGGATTTTAAGTGAATCTGAATTTGAAGCTTAAACAATTTAATGATGATTAGAAAAAACAGAAATCAAACTCACTTAAAATCCTCAGAGATAATTGCTGGTTCATGATTAAAAAATCACCCTGTATATTAGTGTTTATACAAGTGCTTGGAAATCTGGTTCCACTTTGTACCTCCCTTGAAAATTATGTTATGGATGTTTATGTGCATCAGTCCATATAATTATGGGCTCAGTTGTTGGGCAGATTTCCACTTCATAATATATTTATAATGTTGTTCAACATTAAAAACTTTACATTTGTAACATGTACTTATTCTTATGAATTGCCTATTAAATATAAGGATAAGAATATTGGAGACAATGCATTTGCACATAATAATATATTAATAACTAAAAGCCTTAAGTTTCCAGGAAGGTTGACTATAGAGAATCCCTTGATTAAGTTGACTCTATATTAAAGATCAAAAACTTACCTATTTAGCACCTTATATAATAGTATTGAGAAATACATATATTTTAAGGGGCATATAGGCAACTACTCGTGAAATCATCAGCAGCTGTTTATCTACGATTAAAGAGCCTCTATGCATAATTTGTTTTTTGTTTCGCGCATGATAAATACATTCCGTACTTCAACGTTGATACTCTGATTAAGTTTAAAGCAAGTAACCTGTCATACTTTTAATAAAGAATTGTATTTAGAAGGTTTAGGTGAAATGATTTCATTTTTGTTATGAAAAATGGGAGTTTTAATTTAAATTGATTTTTATCATAATTTATTAGGAAATTTAATTTTTGAAAAATTATTAAGCTAAGACATAGTAAATTCTTTTCTTCATAAAATGTATAATAGTGCATTTTACCCTAATAAACTCAACAAGAGTCAAAATCATGGAAGAACGGATTGTATTTCTTAGTATATTACACCCAAGATAGATAGAGCAAACTAAATAAATTATGTATATATATGTAAATTATGAGATCCTTATACACATAGAATCACAGATAAAAGGCTTAACTCTTAAGAAATTTATGACATACTATATTTGTGAAATTAGATATATTTATGTCAATGAATCATGATTTGGTATGTTACGATATGCTTTGACATGGGTTTTCTTCAAATAATACCTATTATTTGAAATAGAATTTTAACATTTTACATACCTATATTATATGTTTAACAAAATCAGAGCTTTATAATAAATGTAATTTAATTACCAAATCTTTAATTATTATTATTGTATAGGTATGTACATACTTCATTCGATTTAGATTCCAATAGCAACTGATGAAATTGTTGTTCAAAATTAATTAATATATTATTTATGTTTGTATCTTTCTCATGATGTAAATTTGAATTTTTATCAGGATTAAAATTTGAATTCTTGTCAGTGTCGTTAGTTAACATTGTAACATATAAATAGATAGGAAGGAACACAAGATGTGTAGAACGATATTATGTATAACTATATAACACAAGTTGAAATTAAAATATGAAATATTTTATTTAAATTACGAAATCTATAAAAGTTGTTAAAATTAATAGTATTATTCTTTAAAAGAATTACTTGTTTTGCCGTGCTTGGAAAAATAACGACTGAGCCACTGAGGACTGGAATGAGCTTACAACAATTACTCTCCACGCTTACCGGTGATTATTATCTAGCGACGATTCATTCGGAGAGATGGAGCTACTACCGGTGATTATAATACATAAGTTTCGGGTGAAGAGGGGGGCACTAGCGTAGACATGGCGAACTATTTTCCGCAATCCGCACTCGTTTTTGATAATTCATTGTGAAAAAACGCAGACATAAATTCGCTAGTAACCCCCTCGAAAAATAACCGTATACACGCACGTCAAGCTACAACTGGCACTTCGCGCATTGTAAACTGTCCTGACTTTTTGTGGCCAATAAAAATAATTATCGCACTGATACTCGGGATGGACCATTGATATCGCGGTCGCGCACGGGTCATTGCTGTGCAAGTGGTAGTTGTGTGCGATATAGTGCGCCGTTTACGGGATTACGTAGCTTTGTACAATCGCACGCAAAAATCGGTAAATTAAAGAAAAAAGGCGACCGTCGGCCTTCCAACAGGAGCCGAATAAACGTCGTCATGGAACAAATACCCATTACATCGAGCGGTGGAAACGCCACGGCTACACCGTCGTCAGCCGGCCCCTCGTTCACGCCCCCGACACCCGTCCAGTCCTCGGATATAAATTGCATTGACAAAAGATTGCAAGCTGTCTTTGAGTCTGAATCCCAGGACGAGGAGTACGACGAACCCGACCAAATGTACTTGTCTGGGTCGTCCGGTTCCGAGGAAGAAATATCAGAAGTACGCATTTAAAAATTTAATACAAAATAGATACCTACTTATCAATCTTTTATACGTAGGCCAACGTACGAGAAAAACAAAACTTATTTATTGCACGATTTATTTTAATTGTATTTATTTTGATTGTCACTTGTTCGGAGTGTTGTGTGTAATTTAGTTTACCGTGACCTGACGTCATTGTGACCTTTTGAGGGTTTCAGGAAAATTCTACCCCTCCAACATTCCATAGTAGTGAGGGGGCACCCTTTGTCCCAACTGGTTTCCGCCCAGTCTGGACTGGGCGAGGGGAGACGTATGCATGACAACCTAACCTAAAAAATAAATAAAATAAAGAGTAATTTCAAAAATATTTTCTCGTCAATTAAAATATGCGGTGAGAGGAGACTATTCTATTCACTCATGTACTACGGAATTATTACTACACATGCCTTTAGTTTGTTGGTTTTCTTCTATCTCCTGTTGATAACAATGGCGCTGTACGTATATAATATGTATGTATGTGTGTTTGTGTGTGTGTAATATGTGTGTGTCTGTGCGTTTTTTTTTTTGTTTTCCTCCAGTCCGGGGTCAATCGCATTGAGATTTTCTAATGTACACGGCACATACCGCTTCCACTCCCGCGCCGTATTGTACTTTGTGTACGTACGTCACCACGTTTATTCTGTGTGGCAAAATATCGCACCAGTAACATGTTTGTTAATATAACCCTGTTAATTAGTCGAATAATATAGCAATGTCGTCATATTATTTTGTGTTATTGATATGTGTTTAGCTCATACGTTTTCAAGCGTTCCTATAAAAGCATAACATAGGTAAATATATATTATTATTTTAATTTATTATTTAGGTATTTATACCTATTTATTCGATAAATTATAGAAGATAACATTAAATATTGGTTAGAATATTAAATCATATTAAATCAAGTAAATTTTTATCTGGATTCGTACTACACAAGGGATGCAACAAAAATTAATTTTTTTTTGCTTATAAGTTTTTTATATTTTAATTTTTGTAGTTTCCCAGTATTAAAGTATACATTTTTAATCCTTTTTCATATCTTGCAAACATGTATATTTAGTCAAATAGGTATCTACTTTTGTATTATATTTATTACTAAACTAAAATTAAATTAACTTATAGTAGATAATATGCTGTATACTTGCATATGTTACATGTAATTTAATTAATTAATAAATACATAATTTATTTGTTATAATATTGTGAATTATGCAAGTAGGTATTTTTATTTATTCTTGTACATTTATTTACATTTACATTTACATTTACATTTATTTATTTACATTTATTCTTTTACATTGGGTAAAATTATTTTCTTAGAAATTAGTTAAATTTTAATCCAAATTATTATTATAAATTAAATACATATAAAGTAACTACCTGTGAATCTATCATTTCATATTCATTCTTAGTGATAATTGTGTTCATTAAAAGAAGTTTTGATGTTAATGTGAACAAATAAATACAAATGTAGTAATTAATAATAACAAATTAATTAGGTAGTTATTTAATTTAAATTTGTAATTTACCTATTATGTTGTAACAGTATTTTGTTTTGTCTTTTCTAACTGTTTCAGAATAATTCTAAAGTTTTTATAGTGGCCAATTTTATACACAATATTAGTGTTAGTTTTTTGTTTCATTAGGTTTAACCTCTGGAAATAAAATACATTTTTGATCTTAATAAAAGTTTAATTTCTGATACTCTACCTGTTATAAGAGGCGATAAATAGAATTGTATCAGGTTGACTAGTGGTGATAATAAAAAGGTTGTTAAATAGTTTGAGGATTCCTAAACAAGTAAATTTGAGTGAATTTTTCTATTTTTAATGTATACAAGAACATAAAAAAAAAAAGAAGAGAATGTGTAACATAGAATTAAGCAGAGGGTAAATCACTAACTTAAATCAATGTACAAATGTGTATCATGAAAATCTTAAGTAATCTTGCAGTAAATTTTATAGAAAATCTCCGTAATCATTAGTAAAATCATGGTATTCTGAAACTGGTGTACACAATATTAGCCTGTAATTTACCCTCAGGGATTAAGTGTGGTGTTCGGAAAAAATGTCTGTTTTTTTTTGTAGAATGAATGGAGAGACAAGAGAAGATAAAATAAACAATGAGTACATAAGATGTAATGTAGGCGTGGCTTCGATATTGAAAAAATGAGAGAAATAGATTTAGATAGTCTGGTCTTGTTATTATGAGAGAGGTAAGATACACAAATACTAAGATTAGTAATGAAAATAAATATAGGACGAAAAAGAAAAAAAAGGAAAACCTATTGTTGGTATTTTAAGAGGTGGTTGAATGTGATTAAGAATGATATGTTCTATGTACAATCTCAAAGAAAGCCAGTGTATGCAAGATGGGAAATTGGGCCAAACGGAAGTTTAAGACAAGGGTGGCTGACTCCAAAAAATTGTGATAAAGGTAAAGGGGAAGATCTAAATAAAATTGGTTTGGTACTATTTATAATTTTGGTTTTTCTAAATAATGAGTAGTTAAAACTGTTCATAATATAATATTGATTATTTATTTTACTTAATTAAGCAATATTTTTTTTTATAAATTTCACAATTTACAAAAACTTTAACTAGAAGAAGTATCAAGCTATTTATTTAAAAACTTAATTCTAATTGATTTAATATACACTTTTGTATTCACTTTATATGTATTTTCACATTTATCACTATGTATTTAGCTATTTATAATATTATTAAATGATGTTACCTGAGTTATGCAATAAAACAGTCCTCCAGCTCAAAGTTCCTACAACAAATATCTATAATATTTTAAACATTTTTATTAAATAATAGGAATTAATAACTAAACAGTGAAAATGTATACTTCAGAGTTCAGTTGTAAAGAATACTGTAAAAGACTACAAGATTAAAGATTACTAAAAGATATTTTTATATACCTATTTAAAGATAACAATATATTTTTTTTTTGTTAAATAATTTAATTAAAATACTGTGTATCTATCATTCTCTTTTGAATCTTAAATTCTATCATTATATCAATCTTCATTTAAATACTTCTAATATTATAAACAATAATAATACTAATAAATGAATTACCCTTTCTGCTTTTTTTTATATAAATCATAAGTTCTTAATTAAATATTTTGTTTACAATAGAAGTTAAAATAATAGACACTTAAATATATGTTTATACTTCTCACTTAATGAAATTTCTACTTAAAAGAGATTGGTTGCCTTTTTAAGAAAAATAATCATTTTTATAAAAAGTTTTAAAATCATGACTCACCTGCATTTGCAAATTAGTAGAATAGAAAAACCATTCCGTAATACACAAATCATCAATCATGAACCAATAAACTTTTTTCTGTTTATTTGGCAGCTGATTGTTTCAATATTACTGGAAACATTTATTTAGAGCTGCAGATTTCATGCTACAGGTTGTGTTATTGACCTCTGATTTATAGATTATAATCATTTGGTGTTTAACATATATGTATGATTAAACTTTTGTAAACATTTTTTGCTCATATCTAACTGAAAGGTAGGTTATTATTTTGGGAAATTTATATTATTTTAGGAATCTAAACATTTAGAATGTACAGTATATCTTGTACTTTTCCTGGTTTTTAAATCAAAATTGTGTAGTTGTAGGTACTATACTTTTTTTAAAACTCTTGATTGATATTTCAGGTAGGATCATTTGGTTTAGAACAAGACGACCTTTGTGATCCTAATTCCCGATTGAATTCAACTTTCCTAATAGCCGATGATACTGATACTGAACAAAGTATCGAAGGTGACCCTGACACCAATCGTCAATTAGAAGCACTTCTCCAAGCAGCAGGATCTATGCTTAGGCCAAGTAGTAAGTAGTGTTGAAATAAAAATAATATTATAAGCCTCCTAAAAAAAAAAAAAACCAAAAGAAAAAAGAAAAAAGAAAAAAAAATCAATGAATTATTTTTTCATTGAAATACTAGGTGGAACCGTATGCGGTTTAGGTCTGAATAAACTCGGGTTGCCAGTTGAGTCCACCACTGACCCTGAAGTGCTGCGAAAACTAACCAATAGTGTTTCTTGTGCTTTAGACGAAGCTGCAGCTGCACTAACACGGATGAGAGCAGAACCCAAAAATGATAACAAGTATGTCGGCATTAAGCTCATCATTGTACAAGACAAAAAATTATCAAATCCAATTTCAGGACCCTAGTCGAAGCATGCCATGATGGTGATGTAAATGTTGTTCGTAAATTGTTAGGAGAAGGCCGATCAGTTCATGAAACATCTGAAGAAGGGGAAAGTTTGTTATCACTTGCCTGCTCAGCAGGTTATTATGAATTAGCTCAGGTTAGTGTTATAGTCATTTTTATTGTTATTTTATTATGATTTTGAGTGTGTATCAAAGAAGCTGTTAGTTTACTAAGATATGTATTTTTTCTTCAGAAAATACTTTTAGTTTGTTTATGCCATACATTAAAATATGCAGATATCATCAAATGGTACTTTTTTGGAAACATTTATCTAGATTCCAGTTGTTTATCTAAAAATTTAAAAACTTAGAACAAATAATAGTATACCAGTTTAACTTTTTGATCTCTGGGTTACTTTAATTCAATGATAAAAACACAAATTCTAATAGTATAATCTTTTCAGTTTGCCAAGCTCCACTCAGAATTGTTTTTTTGATTGCAATGATTTATTATTGTTATCAATATATAAACAAAATTGTCTTATATCCTATACTTTCCTAACTTTCCACCTACAACAGTGGCCTACCCATAGTGCGAAGTATGTTTGGATTTTATATTTTAATTACAATTTAAAAAATGTATTAATAATTAATGGCGTAGTATAATTGAATTATTAATTATTTTACTTAAAAAATGTTCATTAATAAGATTAAAATTTATTTCTTTCAATCCTTTTAATAATAATTGATCAAAGTCATTTGTTAGGTTTTATTAGCAATGCAAGCCAATGTTGAAGATCGAGGTATTAAAGGAGATTGTACACCACTTATGGAAGCCGCATCCTCTGGCTTTGTAGAGATTGTTAAGTTATTAATACAGCATGGTGCTGTTGTAAATGCTTTATCTTCTACTGGTGAGTTTATTCATCTAATGTAAATTAAGTGTACTTTCATATGATCTTATGTTTTTTCATTTATATAATGCAGGAAATACACCATTAATGTATGCATGTGCTGGAGGCCATGTTGAAACTGTAAAATTACTTTTAGAAAATGGTGCCAATGTAGAAGATCACAATGAAAATGGGCATACACCTCTTATGGAAGCAGCGAGTGCTGGGCATGTTATGGTGGCAAAAGTATAGCTAACGATTATAATATACCCAGTTTTGTTCAATATATTTATATAATTTATACTTCATTGATTAGATTCTACTAGAACATGGTGCTGGTATTAATACTCATTCCAATGAATTCAAAGAAAGCGCATTAACATTAGCATGCTATAAAGGTCATCTAGAAATGGTTCGGTTTTTATTAGCTGCTGGAGCTGATCAAGTAAGTTGACTTTAATATAAAACAAATTATTTTTTTCTTATAATATAGAGTGTTAATTGGTTATTATTTAATATAATATATTACATTATTGAACCTACAATCAATCTTATCAGCTATGTAGGGTCTACACCAGTTGTATTTGAGTTGTCTTGATCCATGAGTCTTTAAAGCTAGTTATGAGATAAGGTGATTTGTGTTTATTTGAAGTCTGTTGTGAAATCTCTTGTAAAAGATGATAGTCATTTCTTAAATTGCTTTGATTTTCATGTCATAAAAAAGTTTTATTACAAATCAAAGGATGCTAGTGTGCAGGCAAATAGGTTGAAAGGTTTGAATTGTCTGAGCATTGGTTTTTATAACTGAGTTCTAAAGTATGATGTCCTAAGTGAGAGTAGAGAAATGTTTTTAGCAAATTAAAACGATTTTGACTAAGGAATATGTTGTATGTTGTTTCAGAAACTGCTAATATTGGTAAAAATAATGGGGAGGGTTAGAGGTCCACCCAAAATTACCTCCCTAAAGTACTTCCAATCTTACTTCCAATTTTACATCCAATTTACTTCAGAAAAAGTGCTACTTTTAAAAATTGGAGCAAGATTTCTGGTAAAAAAGTTTGCTCAAAAAATCTAGGGGTATTTTTCAGTTAAAATAGTCAGATCAAGCGATAACTGCGTCTTAAGGTATACCTAAAATGCATTTGTTTTTTTCCTGTTTAGATAAATAGAAAAAACAGATGCAAACAATTTTTTTTTGAAACCCGGGATTTGTACTCTTGATCCCTAAGATGACAATAGGTATCTGTAACCATTAGACATTATAACAAACATACTTCGAAGAAGTCAGTATAATGTTATTTAACATACCATATAATATTCGCATAATATCAAAACTTTAAAAAGCTATAATTTTGAAATTTAGCCAGTTCACTTAATTCTGACCTCACCACCGTTCTTAAATCGACAATATATTATCTATATGTTCAAACAAAAAATTTAAAAATTATGTTTATTCCACATAATTTTTTACTCTTAAAGATTTCCCTCAAAATTTGAGGAAAATTAAAATTTTTCCATAAAAAAAATACTTTTTTATAAAAATGTTTAGTATTTTAAAAAAATACTACATTAAATTCTATTTTTTTATTTTTTTTGAAAGTTCAGAAAGTATAAGACTTATTGAACCTTCTGTTAAATGTTCAAGCATTTCTATTAAATCTAACAATTTTACGACAGAGGAGTGCCTATTGAATAAAAATTACGTACAAAACTCGCAAAATAAAAATATCTATAAATAGTTTAAAAATTGCTTAAATACGTCTGGAGTTGAGCCCGGAGCATATTTGAAATATGATATGTCTGATTTAGTTATTTTTCTTCACAGTCTTGAATAGTATGAATTTTGTCCTTCCATAAGTTTTGAAATTTTTTTAGTCCATGATATTTATCAAAAACTTAAAAATTCAGAAACAAAATTGCATAGTCTCGGTAATTTGGAAGTTTTCGTCATTTTGAAATAGTTAGGTATAACTTTATATAATATATAAACTCACTTTTGATGAAAACGAAATTAACAGAACGTGGAATACAACTGCAATATTAACATATTATATTGCGACAATTAAATGTCTAAATATGATGCATGATTATACGGAAAACCATAAATCATCATAAGTGATTTTAACGCAAAAATAGGGAGGGAAGCAATTTATAGACCAAAAATAGGAAAGGATAGTTTACATAACGATACAAATGATAATGGGATTAAACTAATAGCTTTTTTTGCAATTGCAATAGTACAATGTTTCCGCACAAAAACATTCACAGACACTTGGATATCATCATGTGGGAATGTGAGAAACATGATATATCATGCAATGATAGATTTCCGAATTAGATTAAGCATAGATGACATAAGAAGCATGAGGGGGAGTAGTGCAATATCTGATTATTTTATAGTCAAATTTAGAATATTTGTAGATAGAGCCAAAAAAATTAAGAGAATTAAGAAATATTAAAAATGAATTGGGCCAAAAATTACAAGGAAAAGATAAACAAGTACTTGGATGGTTTAGCCCATGATACAAATATATATTACTCGGGGGGGGAATAGAAACGACAATCAAAAGAGTAGCTGACAAAGTTTTAGGCCATGAACCAAGAATAAAAAAAAAACTATAGTGAAAATATAGGATTAATGATAAATGAGAGAAAAATAAAATGTATGGTAGTCACGAGACACAATAGTGAAACAAAACATCTGGAAGTGAATAACTATAATTTTGAAAGGGGTGACAAACTAAAATGAAAATGCTGACAGCCACAAAGAAATAAGACTAAGATTAGTAACAGGAAATGAATGCTACTTTGGATTTGTACCCCTATTTAAGTCAATAATGTTACTTAGAGAACAAAAATAACACTACAAAGTTTTGGTGAGACCAGTAGTGCTATACACTTGTGACTCATGGGCAACAACAAAATAAGATAAAAATAGACTAGGTACCTTCGAACGAAAGGACTTAAGAAGGATATTTGGGCCAAAAAGAAATGCTCTAGAAAATTTTGAAGATCAAACCGAGAAATAGAAGAGGAGTTATATAACGAAACAAATATAATTGGAGTCCTGAAGAGGAGTAGGCTGGGATGGGCTGAACATGTGTGGAGATCTGAAGACCCGATTGGGTTATCCACAAGTTGGAAGCCAGAAACAAAAATACCGAGAGGACGGCCCAAACAACAGTTGAAAGATAGGATTAAAAAAGATGCATTGGGGCTGGGAGTAAACAACTGAGAAGAACTAGCTCAAGATTGAGATGGGTGGAGGTAGGTGGTTGTTGCGGTAATGGACCTTACCTGGCTAAAAAGACAAAATAAAATAAATAAAAATTGAGAGGTACTATCACAGGATTTTCCAGTTTTGGTAAAATTAATCTTACATTAATTTTACTGATTATTAGACATAATATATTATGAAAAATCTCAAATATGTAATAAAAGCATAATGAATATAAAAATATGATCAAACAAGTCAAATTTTAACAAATGCAAAATTAATTTGGTTGGTAATTTGAATTTTTTGAGTGATGAAACAAATTTCTATCTTACTCCGCATTAATTTATTTTTATGTACATATGTAATTTCCATTGGTTCAATTTTAGCAGGAGATGCTAGTGAATAGAAGCTAATGGTTGTCAGAGTTCAATATATTTGAGTCTTCTTTTTTCTAACACTATCAGTGAGTAAGTTAATTGGGGCTTTTTGAGTGTTCAACAACTGATTGTTATTGAGAAGATCAGACAACAGTGGTCGCCAGTCAACAAATGAGAAGTAATTAAAGGATGTAATTGTTTTCTTTAGTTTCTTTTTATTCATGGTTGGTGAATAGGTGATAATAGGTGTAACAGGGGTTGAGTGTTTACAGAAGTGGGTGACTTTGAGATCGATAGTCCTGGCACAGTGGAGTTGATAATGGCTAATACGCGAACAAGAGTTGGATGATCTGGAAATAAAACAATAATTGAAATCTAAGAATATTTAATATTAATTGTTATGTTCAATATTTTAAAATAAATCTTAAAAGTATAACAATAAATATGAATTATTGAGTAGGACAAAGCAACAGCAGTTGAAATTTTTCCAAGTTTAGACAGAAGTGTGTTATTATTTTAGCTTATATGACATGATTGAAGTTATATTTCAATGTTATGATTTTCTTTAACTCTGTAATTTTATAATTACATTTATATTTAATTTATTTTTTGTCAAAGGAACATAAAACAGATGAAATGCATACTGCTTTAATGGAAGCTTCAATGGATGGTCATGTAGAAGTTGCTAGACTTTTATTAGACTCTGGTGCTCAAGTTAACATGCCAACTGACAGTTTTGAGTCTCCACTTACCCTTGCAGCATGTGGTGGTCATGTTGAACTTGCATTATTATTAATTGAACGTGGTGCCAATATTGAGGAAGTTAATGATGAAGGCTATACTCCCCTTATGGAAGCTGCACGGGAAGGTCATGAAGATATGGTGTCTGTTTTATTGAATAAAGGTAATTTTATCTACTTGAATTAAACCTAGTTCTACAATTATATTTACAATTATTGGCGTTAGTATTAAAAGAAATAATTAGAAAATTATATTTTCTTTTATAATGGAAATTATTTGCTACATGTTTTAATTAATGTATAAAATTTCTTCTAGCTAAAAAAATCATAAAATAAGATGATGTATAACTTATGATCTCATTAGAGGGAGACGGGGTTACTATAATAAAAGAAATTTTCTATTTTTTTCCTTTTATAAAATATTAATTGAGAATATAATCTAGGAGCAAATATAAATGCCCAGACAGAAGAAACTCAAGAGACTGCTTTAACTTTGGCATGCTGTGGTGGATTTATGGATGTAGCTGATTTTCTTATAAAGAATGGTGCAATTTTGGAGCTTGGTGCATCAACACCACTTATGGAAGCAGCTCAAGAAGGCCATTTAGAATTAGTTAGATACCTTTTGGAATGTGGTGCAGATGTACATGCTCAAACTACATCAGCTGATACAGCATTAACTTATGCTTGTGAAAATGGTCATACTGATGTTGCAGATATGTTACTTCAGTTTTGTGCTAATCTTGTAAGTCAATTTTATTAACTTTTTTAGTTTTTTAAGATCATACAATTTAAATTGAGATGTCTATTATACAGGCTATCCCACAAAGATGTACCTCCTGAATATCTCTGGAGATAATAAAGATAAACAAATTCTGATTTTTATATTACTCACAAGAATGAAGATTAGTGGACTACAAATATTTATTTTTGAATTATTTTTTTTTATTATTAAAAAAATCAACTTATTTTATTATTTTGTGAAAATTTTAGGATATTCATTCTATAGAGTTTATTTTTCTGAAAATGTTAATGTATCACAAATTTATATCCAATAGTTTCTAAGTAACAGCCATTTTAAATTTTACTAATCCGTTTGAAAACCAATGTTATTTAGAGAATAACATAGTCGAATTAAGTATAACATTGGTTTTCATATGGATTAGTAAAATTTAGAAAATTATAAAAATAAATTTAATTTTTAAGTTTTTTAATAATAAAAAAAAATTGATTTAAAAATAAATATTTGTAGTTCTCATTCCCTGTGAGTAATATAAAAAAAATCAAAATTTGATTATCTTTATTATCTCTGGAGATATTCAAGAAGATATCTTTATGGGACAGCCTGTATATATATACACATACTGTGTTTTTGGAAAGACTATGAATATGGCTGAGTAGAAATAACATAGTCATACCTAGATAATTCCTGAAAATTTTTGACAATACTGGGGTTACCTACATTTAAACAATTTAGAATTTAAAAAATATTTTTTCTCCCAACATTTGAATACAGCTAAGTGTTTTTTGCATTACATATTTTTACTGTCTTTATAATTAAAAAATGAATCCAAACTGGTAATTAGTTTCTGTAATTGTGACATTTTGAAATAATGTGTATTATATTTGTATATTTTATACGAGAACACTCAGTGAAACTAGTATTTTCTTTTGAGAAATAAATTAATAATAATAATATATTATTTGTGTTTTTAATAATAATTGCAGAATTATGCACTGTTTCTGCATTAAGTACTTTTTGAAAATCTCCTATCTTGTCATTTGTGTGACAGCACAATATTTTATTAGTGCTCCCCTATTCTCTATCCATCAAAAATTAAAAATGGAATATCCCATTAATAGGTTGACAGAAATAAAAAATGTGAACACCAAAATTTATTGAAGTAATACTCCGTCTATGAATTTTTAATGTACATTCTCATTTGAAAAAAAAAAAATTGGTGTCCCTACAGGACACTTTAAATATTATGAAAAATCACAAGTTAGGTAATTATTATTGTACATTTTAACATTCTATCTACGTTTTTAGATTCCGAACATAGTAAGAAAGCTATTGGTTTTACAATGCTGTTTATTTGTTTTTTTTTTTCTAGTTTGTGGACACGTTTTTTCCTAGTAAACTTGCTCCGGTATATAAGTCTAGCACCTTTTCTGTAATCTCAAGTTTTCTAGATTGTACTTCAGAAATGTAATTTTTTTCATGTTTGGTGCCATTTTTTTAAATAAAAACACGGACGACAATGTTTTCTACTTTTAGATCATCAGGCAACTTCTTTTTTTTGAAATCACAAAAAAAAAAAATACTGCACTTCAAATTATATATTACCGAATTGCGCTCGAAATTGTTTTTCGTCAAGTAATGGTTTATTGTTGCTTACAGATATAAACCTTATACCTTATGTATCCTATTTTCCTAACTTCTCACCTATAACAGTGACTGCTCCCATCCCATCCATTTTTTTCATTTTGGCCCAATTTGTTAAAAATATCAGACACTTTTCTTTGATTTTTCAAATATATCACCTATTCTAAAGGAAATTTTTTCAATGTGGTACATTAGGGAGATTATTTTATGATTCTCCAAGTACTTCAAAATAACTGGGAAAGAATTAGAAAATGTATGAAATTCTTTTTTATTATTTTCAATAATAATTTGTTTTTTTGTTGTAATTCAGTTTATAATGTCTATAGAGATTTTAAATTTAGACAGATAACCTTATATTTGCCTTTTGTAGATATGATACAATTTTTAAAACTTGAGCTATTTATAAACACATTTTAATTTTGTGAGTTTTACATAATATTTATTTGGTAGGTCTCTCTATGGGTACAATTGTTAGATGATACAGAAATGCTAGAAAATTCAACTGTAGATTCATTATAAGTGGTACTTGATGATCAACAAGGAAGATTTAAGTTTAATAGTTTAATAGTTTAATATATATATATATATATATGTATACAATAATAATTTATATATCAAATTTTAAGAAAATCGTTAATATTATTTGCCTTTTAAAACATGTTAAACCGAACTCTTCTCAGAATCGTTTTTTCTTTAACATCTGTTAATAGTTTCGTACAAAAATATATTCAATTCCTTTCTATATAGTACGTTCCTAACTTCTCACCTACAACAGTGGCCCACCTATTGTGTAAAGTATGTCTATCTTATTTTATTTTCGTTAATTATAGCCTGGGCCCCAAAACATGAGTGATGTATACATTAAATTTATGATACATCTTAAAAGAATAAATCATAATAATAAAAAACCCAATTGAATATTTTATAGATAGTTAAAGGTATTAAGCAGTACGCATAGAATAATAAGAGCAATAGATAATTGGATGAGGAATATGAAATAAAAAAAGAAGTGTTTCTAAGAAAATTAATAGGGACAAATAGACATGGCCATTTGAACATTAAGACACTTTAGCATCAAAAAAAAAAAAAAAATATAATTAAAAAGTTATATACAACATATAATATAAGTGACATTTTTTTGTGAACAAAAAACGAAAATGTAAAGTTCTGATTTATTTATAAATTATAAAACCAATGATGAGTACTTATATATGACTAATTATAATATTCTCCTCGTTTTAAAAAAATAATAATTAACAGATAGCAATATTTTTTTTTGAAAAAAAACCTTTTATAAACAACGCCCCCCCCCCCCCTCTATTTTTTTTTTGTCATTTAAGACTACCTCTTCAAAAATCGTTTAATAGAACTTGAATAATACAATGTAGGGTATACACAATATTTATGTTTTTGGTGAACTCCTAACCATCACTATCAACCCCAGGTTGTAAACCACTGGTCTAAATGGCCATATCCATTTTTTTTTATCCTAGATCGCTATGAAAAAGAGGTAGAACTTCCAAAATTTATTTGTTGAACAAAAAGTTAAACAGTCAAAAAAGTTAGATAAAAGCTCTTCTATAAAATATATACATTCAACATGTTTATACGATCAGCTAGACTGGTTAATTTAAAACATTTTTTGATTGGCTCATAATCATGTAATGAACAAGGGACCTTTAGAAAAAAATAGAACTTGTTAAACCATTTTAACTGCAAGAGAATCTATACATATTCGAGGGTTTCAAAGAACAGATATGTACCCTAGAATAGAATAGGTTGGACTAAAAAAGCTGTATAGAATCTTTAAGAAACATTTAAGTTTGGATTAAGCAGTGATGGAGCATCTGAGTATTTTAAAAGCTTTACAATAGGTCTTCTGAATAATTAGTTTAGGAATAAGTGAAAACTTAGGTTTAGAACAGAAATAGAAAAAGTAATTAGGATATTGTGGATTATGGAATCAACATTAAAAGGATTGTCCTTACAAAACTAAGATTTTACACATTTAGAAATATTATGTGCTGATCTTAGAAATTCACTTCAGTGTACCAATTGATCAATGTCTGATGGAGATTGCAAGCATTTTTTGAATTATAAAAAAAATAATTAAAAGACCTTATATCATCAGCAAATATGAGGAAATTAGCGTATCATAACAGAGATTGGACTAGTAAACAATAAAACAAATACAGAGAAAGATTTCACCAGAGGTTGAATGGGTAATGTTTGTGAAAGTACTAACATGTACTTTTGCATAGTTTTTTTTTTCGATTTATCAAGTAGGATGAAAACCAAGACAGAACTGGGTTGCATTCATGGTACAAACTTTAATATGAAAATAACTTATATCAACACACTAAAATAAAATATCGATGTAAGTTAATAGTGAATGTATTGATTAATTATAAAAGAATGTTATATATTTGCACTATTTTGTGAACCAATATAAATAAAATATTAATTAAAACATTTTCTATATTTTTGGACATGAAGATTGAAATCTTTTTTTTTAAATTTGTTTTCTCTTTTTTTTTGTATAAAACCATGCTGATATCATTTATCTTGTATGTTCTACATAATAGACTGTAAGGTTATATCTAGAGTAGTGAGTAGTATAATTGTTTTAGAACAGTGAAAGGATTAAGTTCTATGTACGTATTGAATAATTGACAAATATGAAAAATTTGCAGAATTCTGGGATTTAGAGTCTTGTGCTGTCCCGGGATAAAAACGAGTTGGACAGAAGTAATATATGTATGCACAAACTATTCATTCTTTTGAGAAATACAGTTTAGGTGTATTATGAAATGTGATATACATTATATTTCAAATACAAATTAAAAATAATGTATATAAATATTTTTTTTTAGGAACACGAATCTGAAGGTGGCCGTACACCTTTAATGAAAGCGTGCAGAGCTGGTCACTTATGTACTGTTCAGTTTCTTATATCTAAAAATGCTGATATTAACAGAGTCACTGCTAATAATGACCATACACCTTTGTCTCTTGCTTGTGCTGGAGGACACTTAGCAGTTGTTGAACTTCTTCTTACTAATTCAGCAGACCCTTATCATAAACTAAAAGACAACTCTACTATGGTTATAGAAGCAGCCAAAGGTGGACATACCAATGTTGTTAAATTATTATTAGATTTCCCACATTCAGTACCAACAGCGTCAACACCACCAAATATACCTCCTGTAACTGATTCTCAAGAAGTGCCTGTTATTGATGATTCTACATTATCTGAAGTGCAGGTCATGTCTAAAGCACATGCAATTGCTGGCAGAATAGTAGAAAGTTATGGACCTAATGCAAAACATAATGCCAATTCTTGTATTCAAAAGGCTTTGGTTCGGAAAGCACAACATAACACTCCTAATAATCCATCTAGTGATATTCAGGTAAATACTTACTTGATTTATTTAAATTTTGAAGTCCATGTCAAAAACTGTAAAATTTTGGCTTTAGTTTAAAATAGAAACAACTAAAGAAATAAATGCTATCAAAGTTCATACCCCTACATCTAAACCCCTTATTAATACAGCTGCAATTGAACAGCAGTTATTTAAAAGACAACAAATTGCAGAAGATCTTAAAGTAAGTAAACCAAAAGTCTGTAGATATAAATATTATCCTTGAAATATACTTGATATTTACTTATAGAGGGTTGAACAAGAGTTAAAAGAAAATGGAAGTCTTTCAATGGTTACATTGATGACAACACCTCCTCCATTATCTGCATCATCCACTGGTGTTTTAGATTCCAGTACTTCATCCACTGGTTCAAACTCTGGTAATTTATGATAACAAATTTTAAACAAGTGGGATTTGACTATGTAACATATTAATTAAAAATATCTAATAGTAATCAATAATCTATTATGTTTATTATTTTAAAAATAATTAAACAGAATCATCAATATGTAACACTTCCGGATGTGGTCACAAAGTTGGAGATGCTGTATATTGTTCACATAGACATGTGTCTGCTAGTTCAGATGTAGTTCAAACTACTGCTATTAGTGATAGACCTAAAATTAAAGCCAAATTTAAAAAGAAACCGGCTCAGACAACTGCAGGAAGTTCCAATATTGATCCTACTCAAGCAACATTAGATGCCAATTATGCTAGAGGAGTAATGGCTGGAGTTGCAGCAATGAAACCACAATTTAAGGCAGAAGTATGTATTGTTGTTTTGTTGTAATTCATGTAAAAAAAAAAAAAATGACAGTTTTTTGTTTGGTATTTATTAACATTTTGAGTGTTGATGTTGATACGTTGTAAACAAAACGTGTTCTTTCTCTACAGCGAGCACTAATATGTCTTCAACTTTTTTTCATTATTTTCTTACCTTTTCCAGTAATACTAGGCTATAACAAATCATTTATTCTTACGCCCCTACCTCTTATATTGTTAAATTTGCCATCTTTTGAAATTCTGGCTATTTTTGTAGTATTATTAACCATTCTCTGCACAGGATGGGTCTTGCCCATATCAACCCATGCCATCTTAAATGTGTTAATGACTCAACATTTAAATTTATTTTACCATATTTTAAATGACTAATACATGTTTATTTTCATTTTTTGCTAAAATTAATAATTACATATTATATTAGTAAATTTGATTATTGTCATTTTTCCTTTTATAAATTTAAAAAAAAAAATTAGTTGGTTTGAATTATAGTACAATTCAGAATACATTTTTAGATATGAAAACACCACTTGAATACAAAAAGTAGTATTGAATCCTACATTTTTAAACCTATTTAAAGTTATTATATACTTTGCTGTTATTTTTAGTTTTCATGTATGAACACATTTTGGCCTATATTTTTTTTTTAATCAAATTTTTCATAACTAAACTAAACTAACTTACATAAATTATTTTACTTAATATAAATATGTAATTATTCATTATTCTAAAATAATATTTCATTTACTTAAATAATAATTTTAATTTTCTAACAAATTTATTAAAAAACAAAGAAAATATAATGTTAATTGGTTATGTAATGCAAATCCATAATTTTTACATTGCAAAATAATATGTAAAACCCAACTAAATATGTTTATCACATTTATATAAATTCAACTCTAAACTAACCAAATAGATTTTATTTTGAATAACTAATTTATTAGAAAAATAATAAATGTTAAATTATTTATTCTCTCAACTTTTTAGATTTAGTATTATAATATTAATTAAGTAGACATTATTAGGTTGAAATTCACAATTTTATTAAAACTTTAAAATAATTATATCTGCCAAAATTGTATTATTATTTTAAAGAAAACAATTTTATATTGAACTAGAATAACTTGTTAGTTGTTAAATATAAAGGACGAAAAAACTCCTTTCAACAATATTTATATCTTCTTTGTTAATAAAGTAATAATCTTTAATTAAAATAGTTATTGTAATTATTATTTTTTCATTTTAGTTTATTGAAAGACATTCTGGTGATGGTTGTGATAAAGAATTGGCAGCTCGAATGATAAAATTTTGTGAAGAACAAACTGCTAAACGTGATGATGGTCATGCAAATCTTAAAGAATTAATGATTAGTTCCCTTATGAGTGAACATCTATTAAAAGTCCGCAAAGACTTGCAAATTCCAGACAATATGGTAAAAAATTTATTACCACTGTCTGGAGCTTTACATGACAGCCTACCACATAGTTCAACTGGATTATTGCCAATACCTGGTGAATTAAATACACAAATTGACTTAAAAGGTTTAAATTGTATAGATGCTGATCTTCTTGAAAATTTGGTTAGTGAGACCCTTACTCTTGAAGAACTGTCTAACCGTAAGTACTGCATTATTAATCGATTTTAATGTTACATTATTTTTGTATATAAATAAAATATTAAAATTTTTAGTACCAAATATAGACGAAAGACTTCAAAAAGAAATTCAAAAACACCGTTGCAATATTAATTGTTCAGAATCTGGAATAAGTAGTACTTTTTCTTCCCAATCCTTCAAAGTAAGTTTCTATAGTTAAATATATTTTGATAATATTTTTAAGAGATGTATTTCTTTTTATAGAACTATGTCCAGAACCAAACCTCTATTGATTTTAGAATTAAAAACTTATCATCAATGGACATAGCTAATTTTGCAGGAGCTGTATCACAGCTTACTCTAGGTGAGTGTATAATTTTTATCAGAAACTACTGTTTTTCATATAAATGTATACAAATTTTATTATATATTTAAAGTGCGTTCGCCTTTTAAAGTACATTAAATGTTTTGGCTGGATAATCTTGGATTTATTTTTGTTTTTTGGGAGGTAATAAATGCTAAAGAAATGCATCGTCGGCTTCTTTTCAAAACTCGGTAACAGCAAAATAGTAATTGTTCAGAAAACGACTTTCAGCAGTGTTTTGTCGTTAATAAAATTACCAGTTTTATCAGTTTTTATCAGTTAATTCTGTGATTTTACATTTTTATTTTTACTGATAGTGAATTTTGGCTCTTAATATATCATTTATCTTGTTTGTGTCAAAACTTACAATTATATTAATGGCTATTAGCTCTTTATATTTATATCCTTATCTGTTTGTAAACATAAAAATAATATGTGGAGGTTAGAGTAAAAATTAAATTAAGACATTTCCTACAAATTGTTAAAAATAATGTTTTACACGAAATAGCATTATTATTATTATCAGAAAATAGTATAATTTGCTGTTACCAGGATTTGGCAAGAAACTGATGACATACAGATTGTCCAACTAGGATTCGACAAATGCAGTAACTTTTATTCTATTCAAATATTTTTGATATATACATTTTTTCAATAATTAGTATGCTTCTGCGCTACAGTTTATAAATGAACATTTTTTTGAAGGGGGAAGGGCATAAAATATAAAAAATTTCAATTTTTTATAATTTTATTAAACAAAATTAAAATAGCCATTTTGTAAAATAGACTTTTAGATAATTTTGGTGGATGAAACGTTTATTAAAATATAGACATCCTGTGTATTAAAATTATTTTTTAATACTAGATTCCAATAGACCTATTTTTTTTGCAAATAAATTTTGTTATATCAAAAAATAACCTGAGATGTAGTGTAAAGTAAATTTAAAAATATGATTTTTTTATTTTTTTAAAAAAAATTCATAACACATGGCTTTGTTTTCTTTGGAAACTAATTGAGTGAAAAAAAAATTATTTATTTAGATAATCACATAAAATTATATCTATTTAAAATTTTTGAAATTCAGTGAATAAAATGAAAAAATTTATTTTTTCATCAGCTATTAATAGTATAATTTTTGAGATTGTGAGAAATTGATCTGCATTGATTGATAGATTAGTAGTAAAAGTATGCTACAAGAAAGTTTTATTGGAGCAAGTTTTCTGTAATAAAAGTTATTTTCGATACTATAATAACAAATATATTTATCATTTTGCTATAAATTTAAAATATGCAAATATTTAGTAATTTTTTTAACGTGCTTAGTCATGTCTTAAGTTAAACTTCATGCCAAAAAAGAAGCTAAATGTAGTGTATTTTTGTTTTTCATTCATTTAAAGTGTCTTGATAACAATTTTACAACATGATTGAAATTTGCTCAGTATCGTACTTTATTAAGTATAAAGTATTAATTTATATAAATTAATTAACTTTGTATATATTTCCTATTATTAGTAATAGATTATTTTTTTATTTGATCACTGACATTTGTTTGAAATTGGAAATAAATAAATTGTCCTCTTATTTTTATAATGATTGGTCTAAGTTAAGAAGGAGTACCTTTTTTCAATTCTTAAAAAAAAAGAATAAAAACTAAAATAATAAAGTAAAAACAAAATTACTAAAATTTGTATTGGTTAATACTCGTAAATAAATATATAAATAAAAGTGTATGTATAGAAATAATAAATAAATGAGTGTATTGCCTGGAGTATTATATGACCGGTTTTCAAATTAAAAATTCATTAGGTTATTATTAGACATAAATATGTTAAGATATTATTTATAAAATCGGTTTATACATTTAAAATATTCTTAAAATAATTGATCTCTATTTCATTGTATATAAGTAATTCTTTGTAAACTGAATTACAAATTAAATGAAGAATTATAGAGAAAAAAAAATTTTACATTTTCTATATAAAACAACCAATTTGTATAATTTATTTTCTTCTATGTATTTCTTCATTTAGTTTTTTATATTCAGTCGTGTTTCATATTTTGTATGACTGTGATATACCTGATAAAGAATTTTTAATTTAAAACCGGTCGTATAATACACTTCATAATACTTCAGGTGCATCCATTTATTTATTTATTTATTTTTTATTTATATATTAATTTTCTAAATTTTTCTAAATTTTTCTAAAAAGAACATGACTTAAAATACTTTTTAAATTCAATTTCCTATACAATTTAAAAAATTAAAAATGATCTTAATTCTTGTTTTTGTAACTTTGTGGATCAAAATAAAAGTACAAATACAAATTATTTCATGTAATTTTCATAGACTAAAAACCATTTTTCGGAAATATAACCTCTGAGAAACTCTTTTGAGGTAGCCAAATCAAAAATTATTTTAATGTATATAAATATAATAAATTATACCAATTTTTTTTCTGTATAATTTTGAATTTTTCTATTATTGTATTTATTAAATATTATTATTATTATTTTATTTTGAACTTTATTAGTTATTTACAAAAAGTAAATCTTTAATTAATATTAGATGAAACAACAGTGCAGCAAACTACTACTACTGCAACAGTATCATCTACATTAAATAATTGTATACCTACCCAAGTAGCTGCTGCTACCCAAACATCATCAGAGTCAGTGACATCAAATAAACGTTCAGCAACAACTACAACTACGACTACTGCTATGACAACTACTACAAATAAAGGTAAAAAGGCACGCTATCAAGTTCGGCCCCAGCCACCACCAAGTTCAGCCCCCCAAACCGGATCAAATAACATCCCAACATCCAACTCTGTTGCCCAATCAGATGTCACTAGCTCCAGTAAGAGAACAATTTAAATTTTGTTTTTTTTTCAATATTGGGAATAAAAACTGAAAAATATATTCTAAAAATATAATTTTTAAATTTACAGAACAATTAATAAAATTGTATATTTTCAGGATTCTCTACTACTACAGGAGAATCATATGGCAGTGATGCAGACATCTCATATGGCATTAATGTAGATTCTCAAACAGAAAGCAATCATGATACAGCTTTAACGGTTGCTTGTGCTGGTGGCCATGAAGAACTAGTAAAACTTTTGTTAGTTCGAGGTGCAAATATTGAACATAGGGACAAAAAAGGATTTACACCATTGATATTAGCTGCTACGGGTGGTTTTGATAAAATTGTTGAAATACTCCTGAATAATGCAGCAAATATGGAAGCACAGTCTGAACGAACTAAAGATACACCTCTATCTTTGGCATGTTCTGGAGGACGTTATGAAGTAAGATAACATATTTCCAAACTAATTTATTTTAAAATTTGATATAAATTTACAATTTATTTACAGGTTTGTGAACTATTGCTTCAAAGAGGAGCAAATAAAGAGCATCGAAATGTTTCAGATTATACGCCTTTAAGTTTAGCTGCATCTGGTGGTTATGTTAATATTATTAAACTATTATTAAATAATGGAGCTGAAATTAATTCCCGAACTGGTTCCAAGTTGGGAATCTCTCCTTTGATGTTAGCTGCTATGAATGGGCATACAGGTTAGTAGGTTTCATGTTTTATGTTCTTATATTTTATATTTAACATCATTTAACCATTTTTTAGCTGCTGTCAAGTTATTATTAGACATGGGAAGTGATATAAATGCTCAAATTGAAACAAATCGTAATACGGCACTTACATTAGCTTGTTTCCAAGGTAGACATGAAGTTGTTTCTCTACTATTAGACAGAAAAGCAAACGTAGAACACCGAGCTAAAGTATGAATATTAGTTTTTTCCCTTTTTTATTTTTAAAATAAAATAATATATATAGATATATTATTCATTATTATTTAGACTGGATTAACACCTTTGATGGAAGCTGCTAGTGGTGGCTATGTTGAAGTTGGTAGAGTATTAATTGATAAAGGAGCTGATGTTAATGCCAATCCAGTTCCATCTTCTCGTGATACTGCTCTAACTATAGCTGCTGACAAAGGTCACGTACGATTTGTTGAATTATTATTAGAAAAGTATGTGTATCATAATAATTATTGATTTAATTTAATATTAGTGATAAACAGATGTCATATTTTTTAATATTTTAATTAGAAATGCATTTGTGGAAGTTAAAAATAAAAAAGGAAACTCTCCATTATGGTTAGCTGCAAATGGTGGTCATTTAGGTGTAATTGAATTACTTTATAAAGTTGGTGCCAATATAGATTCCCAAGATAATAGAAAAGTTACCTGCTTAATGGCTGCATTTCGTAAAGGTCATGTTAAAGTGGTGAGATGGATGGTAAACCATGTATCTCAGTTCCCAAGTGATCAAGAAATGACGCGATTTCTTACTACATTGAGTGATAAAGTAAGTAATTATTGAATATTTCCTCAAAAATGAAAGTAGTATTTAAATAAATGTTTGTATTACAGGATTCTATTGAGAAGTGCCATGATTGTATGATTGCTATTAGAATATCAAAAGATCAGCAAGCAGCTAGAGCTAATAAAAATGCTTCTATATTACTTGAAGAACTTGATATGGAAAAAACTAAAGAAGAATTAAAGAAGGCATCTGCTGCACGTCGAAAAATGAAAAAGAAAAAGAAAAAACAAGCTAAAAGTGGTAAAAAGATAGAGGAAGAAATACAAGATAAAAATGACATTCAAGAAAATGAAGAAGAGGAAGAGGAAGAGGAAGAGGAGGAGGAGGAAGAGGTGCCTGTTAAAGGTATGCTTTATATTAATTTTTAGAAACTTATTCAATTTTTATATTATATTATTTAATTATATTGTATTCTTCATTTATAGTATTAGTAGAAATGAAGAAAAAAGTTGATTTAAAGAAAAAAGGTAAAGTTACTGTACTCAGTAGTGTTATATTGGCTGATGTAGAAGAAGGTGATAGTGGAATTGATGCAAATAGCCAAGGAAGTTGTAGTAGTACAGATGCAAAAAATGCTGCTGCTGCACGAATAATATCACAAACCCAAAATTCATCTTCCAATAAAAAAGATAAAAAGAAAAAAGGAAAAGAAACTACCGTTGAAGTCAAAACAAATTCTTTAGCTACAAACACTAAATCGACAAATTCAGCTGCTACTCAAACAAATGTTGCCAAAGTAAATTCCCCTCAAACCAAATCAAATAAGGTATAATGGTAATTATATTTTATATGCATTTTTGGTTTATTTTTTTTTTTTATTATTATTTATTAGGAGAAGAAAAATCAAACTAATGTAACTCAAAATAAAGTGGTCAGTGCACCGACTAAAACTGAGATATCTTCTCAAGTAGTAGCTAAAAATGCCCAATCAAAAACAAAAGTTCAACAGCCTAATCTTACTAATACTAATATTCGTAAAGATTCTATAAAAACTAATAATTATAAAGGAAACAAAGTTGTCAATAATATGGTATTTGAATCCACCCAGAATCCTGCTGCTCGAGAAGATTTTGAAGCTACAGGAAGTGAAAATTTTCTTGTTAAGCATAAGAAACAACAACAGTAAGATAACTGGATATATTATGTTTTCATTTTTTTGTTTTAACATAATAACTGCACATATCTTTTTGGGGTGTTCCTGAATATTACATTATTTTTGTTGGTCTCTTGGTATTGAGACAAATGTTTTTTGCATATTTAATTATTAAAAATAACTTATGAAATTGTATGGCACAATTGATAATTAGTTTTTGTTAAGTATTTGTTAATTATTTTTTTCCACATTTTGTATTGCAACTCTTACCATCAAATTTTAACATTATAGTGACTTTTTTTATATGGAATTATGATGTAGATTCTTAATCTGATCTCAGATTTATAACGTTCACTCTTGTTTTTGAGATAATTACTAATCCATAATAAAAATTGCATAATTAGTTAAATTCTAATATTATACATAGGGTGACTAACTAAGTCTACTCACCTCATTTTAGTTAAATTTTTGCATGTATTCAAATTAGGATTTTTGGAATTTTGAAGTTTAGTTCAAAGTCAATTTTTTGAATACTTTGTTTTTTACAACATTTAGGGAGTATTTTGTGGTGATACCAACTTACATTTGATAAATGAGAACCTGTATTATCATATATGTATCAGTTTTGTTGTGTGATAGTACATTATCATAAAGCAAAATTACTTAGTTTTTTTATATTCAGAGTATTTTTCTCAAATAGCTTGATTTAATAAATCGATAATTTATTGTTGGTAGTGCTGAGTATTAATAGTTCCCCCAGGTTTTAGAAGCTCTTAATAAATCATACTCCTCTGATCCCACCAAATACCAAAAACATTCCCTCCAACTTTTTTCCATGTTCTTTATTTCTCACATCAAAATCACCTCTTAAAATTTTTAAATCACTCAAAGTACTGTGATTTTCCAAGAGCATGCTTATCATAAGCTTCAACAAGCATTCTATGTGATTCTGCAGCAGTTTTTTTCCAAGTGATAACAGAAAATTAATACTATACGCAAATCATAATTCCGGGTACAAAATTTGACATATTCATAATGCTATTACAAACTATGCAGTTATATTATTGTGAATTGAATATCTTTTGTCACATGAAAACATGCGGTTTGGATATGACTACATTGATAGCTAGAAGTATTTATAGGCAAATTCCGGTTTCATGTTTCAGAGCTGGTATATGAAGTTTCTTCTCATAGTACTACAGATAATGAAAACGTGTTACATAACAATTTATCATACTTGATCAGTAAACACACGCACATAGAGTATAATGTTAGTTATGGTAAAATTGTATAGCAGAACAAATATTGTGAAGATCCCAGTATATTTTAACCATCAACATAATTTTGTAAATCAGACTAGTCTGATTGTCTTTTACAATGAGAGAAAGTAATTTATAAATATCAAAACCTTAATTTTTTGACATCATTTTTCAATAAATATTTTCTTTTAAAACTATTCACTACCCAAATATTTAAAATCTAAATTGTAATCTACTAATAACTGAAATATTCATTCATTTGGTGGAAAAGTTCATTCCATTAAAACCGCCTAATTTCTTATTTTTATGATTTACATATCACAGATTGAAATATTATTTGAAATTATATATAGTAGAACCTCGATAAGTCAAAATAAATGCCATTCTCTTTCAAATATCTCGATTACTCGAAAGGAAAATTATAGTTAATTCGAATATTCTGTATTTCGAATATAGACGGGTAATAATTTTAGATTTTGATCAAAGCGAAGAATGTATTTTTTAGTTATACCATTTTAAAATAATAATAATAACAATACACACTGTCATTATGTGTACATATATACATATATAATTAAAAACTAATACGTACATACATTTTAAAAATTGTAAGCCAAATTTCCTAAAGTAAATATTTATGTACAGGTACCTAAAAAATCAAAAATGATGAAATACTATAAAATAATTACTGCCATGAAAACATAAGTCCATAATTGTATTATTGAAAATATTCTAACACAACAACACCCCCATGTTACTTTAAAATAACTGTTAGTAACAGTAAAAAAATAATAAACAATGTCAATGGATTTAGTGTGCAGTTAACGTTTTACTATTTTTATATTCTTGATTCTTTGATATTTTTGTTTAATATAAAATTTGTTTATTTTAAGAACTGAAGAATACACTAATCATATAAGTGCCAAAACTTCTAATGTTAGTCCTGTGAAGCAAACCCGAGGACGTGAAGAAGGATGGAAAGAAGTTGTTCGTACTCGGTACCTTGCTTCACCTTATAGGAGTAAAAAAGTATCTGTGCCATTAAATGCAATTAGTCGTGTAATTGGTCGTGGCGGAAGTAATATAAATGCCATAAGAGCTTCAACTGGAGCATTAATTGAAGTAGATAATCAAAGTAAAGGACAAGGCGAGAGAATAATTACCATAAAGTTAGTTAAATATTATATTTAATAATATAAAGTCTATGTAATATATGAGAAGACTTAATACAATTCAATTTTTTTGAACAGAGGATCTACAGAGGTTACTAAAATGGCACATGATTTAATTGCTATGCTTATTAAAGATCCAGAAGTAAACATTATGAGTGTTATTGCAAAAAATCCTAAAGTCACAAGTGCTTGGGATAAATCAGTGGTAATTAAATTTCCATTTTCATATTTAAATAAACTTAATAAAATAAAAAATAAAAAAAATTCTTATTTCCTTTATAGAATAATGCTAAAGCAAAAACTGCAGCTGCGTTACCACAAAAACCGATTGTTAGTCAACCAATTATAAATACTACTTCTAAATTAACATCAGCTCCACGTAAATTGAATTATATACAAATAATTAATGTTATAAGTTAATATTATTATAGTGATTTGTTCATTTTTACTTTTTTTAGCAGTAGTGGCTTCAATGACTATTAAGCCTACAATCACAGTTAATGGACCAAGACCTACTGTTGCTGCTGTAGCTGCAGGTAATATAAGTTATATGTAAATATTATTAGTTTTTAAGGGAAAAAATGCGAATTTAAATAATCTTCAAGTAGCAATAAATATATTTCTTTGTTTCTATATTATAAGTTAATGTACCTATAATTAAAATAAAACCTTGGGAATTATTATTTATTAAAAATAGATTTATTATATTAATTTAAAAATATATATATATTTATACATTTATATCTAATAATATATCTTTAGCTTTATTTTAAATCATATAATATTTATTTCTAAGTTAATTTTTTTAATAACTATTACTAAAATTAAATAATTGTTTGTGTATTCAATGCTTGTCCTTTACATTACTTTTACAAAAATTTGTTTAAATAATTTGAACTAAAACTTAGAAGTGCAAATAATTTATTTTGTGATTTATATGTATTGGCTTTGCACAATTAGGTTACTTGATAAGAAATTACTGGTTTATAATTTAAATGTGTTAACTTTATGTGTTCATACATATTCATACTTATGTTTTATTTTGTTTCTTTTCAAATATCTATATCTTAATCTTTCATTAATATTTAATTAGTAATCAAATGATGGGGCAAATCCAAAACTTAGTAGTTATAAAATAAATTTTTATACTTTTAAGTCTTAGTTAAAATTGTTTAAACAATTTATTTTGCTATTAAATAAAAGAAGTGATATATATATATATATATATATATATATATATATATAAACGTAAATTTAAAATAATTTTACTTACTGATTAGGTGATGTATTAATTATTTAATTTTATAATCAAATAGTATATTTAATTAAATCTCCTTTAATTATAGGTTTTTTTAAAAGTAAATATATACATGTTAAATTAGTGTTATAATGGTTTGTAATTCTACAGGTGAAAAGAAGATAACAAGCACAGTCAAACCTACAATGTCTTATACTAATGCCATAATTTCATCCTCTGATCTTGTATCCAAACCTTCACAACAACCTCCACTACAAGCACCTCCAAAAGTTGTTCAATCTGCTTCTGTAGTTCCAACAACTACTGCAACTGTATCTGTAACACCTTCTACGTCGGGAAATGTATCAGCTCCTGTATTAACTGTTATGACAAAATCTACAAATTCTTTACCTCTTGCTCAATCTAAACCTCAACAAGAACCATCTGTTCCACATCATCCAGTCGCTATTGTATCACCAATGGTAAGTAGTGCACCATTACCACCTCAACCGCAACATAAACCTCAAGTTGTAGATGCATCAGAATATTCACTGTTTGATTCATTTTCTAAGGTATGGTATTAATATTATTTTATGAATTAATGTTATTGAATTTATGAATTAATATTATAAAAGATTACCACATTGTTATATTATTTATTTTAGATATCTGTTCAAACAATGTGGGGAAGAGATGGAGAGTGTGGTGGACAAAAACCAACTGTTACATTTACTGGTGGAAATCATATGCCAGTTGTAACCCCTTCAATTGGAACAATTGGCCAACCTAAAAAGTATTTAGAAACTGAACCACCAATGGCAGATGCATCGAAAGCACCAGGATATCGTGGTGCTGGTTTATCTTCACCAATTTCTTCTAAAACTGGTGGTGGAAATACTGGAAGTACAACCAGTAGTCGCAACACAACACCTCCTATGTGCTCACCTGTATCTCAGTATAACAATAATACAGGAATTCAACCTACTGTTCAACAACCTCAACCAGAGCCGCCTTATCATACTCAATCTCAACACCCATACATCAGTGAACAAACTCATCAGTCTGCACAAATAAATGTTGAACGGTCAAGATTAAATCCTCGGGCACCTGATTTTGCCACTATTAAATCTAACCAAAATATGGTTCAACCTCAACAAATATACAATAATCAATTACCACATAATTTCCTTCAACCACCTATGGTGCCAAATGTCATGCCATATCAACAAAAATTTCAACAACAAGTCCCTAATTTAAGGGTGGCACCCAACAATCCTAATCGATGGGCTCATTTTATTAATCAGCCTCCCCCTCCATTTGGACGACCTACTTTACATCCAGTTAACGGTAATGCAGAAATGTTTGCCAGTCTAGAAGCAACTGCTAGCCCACCAAATATGTCACCAAATCTGGATGAACGAAAAGCACCTCCTAAGCCTATTGGTACAGAACGGGCATGGAAGCAAAATCTTATAGGGGAAAATCCTCACCAACAACATGGAAATTGGCCCGACATGAAAATGCAATGGGCTCATCATGATCTTTTCCGTACACCTCCTCCGCCACCAGTTAATTTTCCACTTGGTCCAAGACCTATGATGGATGAACATAATTTATTTGATACCTATCAGGTAAATAATAATTTTATTTTATAATAAATGTACAAAATATATATTTTGTACTATAATTTAATACTTTGAAGTAGTTTTAAGCATAATGTTATGCACAGTAAATATTTTTTATTTTTCAGTCTACCGAACATCTGACAGGTGCCAATATGAGCCACCACGCAGCCATGATGCAAACCATGCCATTGTTTGCTGCCAATGGTCACTTGGAACAACAAGCTCACCACCTTTTAGCATCAAACCATCATGGCCCTGGACAGATGGCATTTGATCCAAAATTAGAGTGGGAACAATCTAGAAGTCAACAACAGCAAGCCCAACAACAAACTCAGCAGCAAGCTCCAATGAACACACCATTTCCGTTCATATTTTAATCATACAATGTAAGTAAATTTTAATTTTTTTGTGTAGTATTGAAATTGGTTATAAAAACAATATTCAGGAAATATTAGTTTACCAAATAAAACTTAAATAGCAAAAAAGTAGTTGAGTATCAATATCAATATAACCTAATATCTAATATTGGCTAATAATTAGAATATAAGATTTTTATAAAACCAATAGTGACGCATAATTTTTTTCAGAAAAAGTATAGAATATATTTTTTACTAGCTTCAAACAGTGTATCAGATTATTACATATTGAATAACAGATTTTAATTTAAGTTATTGGTTATGGGTATTATATTGGTAACAAATAATGGGGTATAATAAAAGACATCGGCTCATTACTAAATATATATCTAATATGTATTATAGATTCGGAGCATAGTGAGTGATCTATTGGTTTTATTATAATGTGTTTTTTTTTTTTGTGTCAACAACTTTTCTACCAGAAAACTATTCAAAGTAGACTATAGCATTTTTTCTGAAAGGTAATTATTTCTCGTTGGTGCTTTGGTGCGGCCATTTTATGTTTTCCAAGGGTTTTTGAAGTGATTGAGATAAAGAAAATTATTGATAATAGTAAATACTTACAGTTTGCCGCGGTGTTACTGTTTCAATTGTTTTTATTATGTTAACACAATATTTTCTACCAAAAATATTACTTAAATCAAAAAAAAGACAAAAAATCGGTTTTGTTATTTTAACACAGACACTGACAGTGATAGTTGTTTGATATCTAAACATTTTTCCATAATCATTGGGAAAAACCTAAATAGATGAAATATACAATTTTTTCGTATTTCGGCACAGCAATTTCATTATTTTAAATTTTTGTAATTTATATTGTCTACAATAAATGAGGGCTTCAATGCAAAACGCACTTTTCCTTTTTTTTCTTATTTTTCATTAGAGAGTTTTACTGTTTACGGTATTTTGAATTGGTGTAGACGACACCTAAGAGTGTTAAAAAAACCTACAAAATATTCTTGTGTTGTTTATAACTTCATTCTTCTCTATTTTATGATTTTTATTGCTTTTTTTTTTTTTTAAAAAAGTTTTTTTTCTGCAAAACAAATGAACCTTTTCATAGTAAGTATAATTTGGAAGATATGTTAGCAATTTTTTAAACAAAATATACTATTTCCTGGAAAGTGCCATAAAATATAAGATATGGTATAATTCTAGTTTAACTCCTATGAGATTTTTTGAGTTTTAACAATTTGTAGTGTGACAATTTTAATCAAAATAACCCTAGAGAGTGATCACATTGAGTCTCTAAATCCACCTATAATGCTTATCACTTTTCCTTGTTATCTACCCGATGTGGTTTTGGTTAACAAATTGATGGTTATTTCCGATTAAAATTGTCCGAGTTAGCGCAACACGCCGGGTTTGAATGTTTGTACCTCAAACTTTTATGTTCAAAACCTATAAAAGTAAATATGGTAGGTAAGTTTTGATTATATTGATGGATTAAGCATTAAAAAATACACATTTTGAAAAATGTTAAATTCTAACTAAGAAATATGTGAAACAGAAAACCTGAACATCATGAAGTTTTCCTTCATAACTTCCAAACGAAGTTTGTCTAACATTTTTTTTTACATTCCTAATGTACACACAAAAACACGCATTTAAAAAAAAAAAAAAAAAAAAAAAAAAAAAAAACTAAAAAATCGCGTGGGAGCTAAACTAGAATTGTTCCAAATTAATTATACATGAACATGAATGATATGATTTAGGAGGGATGTGGTATCATAGAATCTATATTTATACAATATCTCACATTGTAATGAAGTTAGAAATGAAATTATTATATTTTATAAAGATTTTACAATTTTAAATGAACATGTGGCCTAAATATAATTAACAATTAAATTATATAAACTAAAGTTTAAAATTAAATTCTTAAAGTATAATAATAATAATACTTATATAAGTAATAAGAAAAGATTCCAGTTTGGAAAAAACATTTAATGACTCAATACAAATACATAGGAAAAAGAGCATTTTATTTTATTATGGAAATAACCTTTTTGACAAATAATGAAGGAAATAGCCTGTATAGCAGTGAATTTCTATGTAAAGTACCCCTTATAATATTGAAAATGCTCTATGTTTTGAATTTAAATGGAAAAAGTTCGATTTGCATTGAAGTTCCTCAAATATTATTCCAATAAAAAAACACAGAGAGTTCTTTTTTTGTTGAATATTTAATCTAGTTGGTAACGCAGAAAGTCTTTTTTCTTTTTTTTTTATTTATATTTGTATTAATAATTGAGAGTATTAAAAACCGAAAGAAAAAAAAAAAGGAAACCTATGGGAAATTTTATAAAAATAATGGTTTTATTATTTGAAATTTTATAACTAATTTTTCTCGACTTGATAAAATTTCAAAACATTTAAGCTATTTTCAAATTACTTATATACATTTTAATTTTGCGAGCTTTTTATGTATTTTTATTTGTTAGTTACTCTGTTGTTAAATTGTTAGACTTAACAGAAAAATAATAATTGATAATTGAAAATTTAACAGGAGATTCATTAAAAGTCTTACTTTGTGGTTCAAAAAATAAAGTGTAATAATTTTTTTTTTTATGACAATTTTGAAATGAAATTTTGACAAAAATTTTAATTACTAAGACCTTTCAATACTTGTATAACCAAACTTTGCTCTGAATCGTCTTTCGTTGTCAATCGTTTATCGTTAGTTATAGGTATAAATTAAATAAGAATAACTTTATGTATCCTACCTTCCCCACTACAATAGTGGCCGCTCCCATTCCCAGTATCGGCTCTTTTTTTATATTTATTTTAAATAAAAACAAATTGACTCAACTACTTGCTCTTAGGTGATATATCCTATATTAGTTATGAAATATCTATAAATACTAAATAGTAATATTTATCATCTATATAAAACCTATTATTATTATCATTATTACTATTACTATTATTTATGTTTTTATTACATATTTTGTATATATTTAATACAAATTTTAAATAACATATATTTTAATTGTGTTTAAATATATAATATACTTGTAAATAATGTATCAATTGATATAAATGATTAAAACTTAATTTAAATGTAAATTTATAGCTTAAGATAAAAATATAACCCAATCTATTAATACTTTTTATCTATTTCTATCCAATTTGTATTATTTTAAATTATTGTTTGTAACTGCTAATTTCAATATTTGTTTATATTATTCAATACATTATTATTATTATTATTTGCTTTCCACTGTATGTATATTATATTACACACTTATAATACTAAATACATGTTTTATTAATACATTTGTATGTTTTTATTACAAATATTAAACACAGTAGAGTTTTGGTGATCTTAAGCATGCACAATCTAACAAATTCAGTAATCTACCTTAATATTTAATTATATTTTGGATATTATTTATATGATTTAATTTTAATAAGTAATATGAATGTTCACTATCTGCTATTTTTTCTTTTTACCATGTTTATTAAATATACTATACTATGTATAGTATATTGTTAATATATTTATAATTCAGAGTCTATTATTTGAAAATTTAATTTTTTAATGCGCAATAATTGTATTAGTTTTTTAGTTGGATATATACTCTGTGTTAGATAACAACAGATATATTATAAACTGTAATATTCCTGGTGGTCACCATCTCTAGTACTATTAATGCTCAAGTAATGGCTTATCGAGGCTACAAAACAAGTTGGTCAGTTGGTTAATCGTATTCAATTTTTTCTGTAACATTTTGAATATGTTTATATTGCTTCAATTATTGTTCCTAATTCTACTATTAATCAAACTTGTTCATATGTGATGTCTGTAAAAACAAGACTATATTATCCTGTTTGTTTTATTTTACAAAAATAAATCTTATCTTAATATCACCTTTAAATTGCAATATTATTGATGTACTGTAATGCAATAATATTATTTGATTAATTAGAAAACAGATGTATTTAATTTTGAGGTATCAAAGCAAAACTGATGTGGGGTATGTGTTATTCACTATATTTATAATTATAACATTATTACCAAAAAACCTAATAGTGAATTGAATAATAAAAAAAAAAATTACTTTATCTATTATTATAGTAAGGAATATGACTATGTTGTTGTGTCTATTATTCATGTCGTATAGTAATTTATTTGTTATTATTATTTTTCATTTTTAATCATTTTTTTTCATTCAATAAATATCATATTTTAGATATTCTATTCGTAACCATCCTTTAGTCATTGAAACGATTTTAAACAAATTTTCTTAGTATAGAATCTGTTCTAATAAGATTTCAAGCTACCTAGAAGATTCAGGAGTTCCAGCTAGATAGTATCTTGGTAACTTAGCATAATTGACTATTCAATTTTTTAGATATAATCTAAAAAATGATTTCCTTTAAATTTCAATTGGTGAACTAATTGTTTGTAGACACATTTACTTTAGTGTACCTATAATAAGGTGCACACTACTGATTATTGTTCATATAATAAAATATTACTTTATATTAAAATAAAATTACAGTTTTTAATTGAATATATTTATTTGTTTGTTCACAGGATGTAAAATGAATACTGCCTAAGTAGCTGAAACACAGACATTTATTTTTGTTTCTCTAATTTAAACCCATGTAAGGTCTCGTTTAAAAAAAAAAAAAAATGCAAACAATTATAAAATTATGATGCATTACTCATTATTGTTTGGTTTCATTATTGGAACAAAAATGTCTTTTTCACGTTATTTTTTACATTCAAAATATATTACAAGTACTTCGTCTTTTTTTATTTTTTTTTTTTTAGCGATACGTTATTAAACTTTTACTACTATGGCTTAGGGTTTCTTTAATATCTATTAAATTAAAGAAATTGTTATATTATAATACTGCATTCATATTATGAAATGTACGGTTGGAAAAATATAATTATTTATATACTATCGAATTATGCGTTTTTAATTGTTCGTGTTTTTTATTATCGCAATATATTATTATTATTTTATAGAGCCTATAAAAACAAATTCATTTTTTTTTTTATTTATTTATTACTGTTAAACAATTTATTGGGATTTAATATTTATATAAAATATATTATGTGTGAGTGTGTGCGTATCTATGTATATTGCTATGTGGTATATATAATTAGATATGTCATTTATGGTTGTGTGTGTGTGTGTTTGTGTATATATTTTTATTATTTGTGTGTATATACATTTTTCATCTTTAAAAATAATACATATTTAGCCCAATTATCGTCTCTAGAATTTTAAAACAAAATAAAATAAAATATACAAATAATTCATATTTGAGTTTTACTTTAAATGAAAACATTATTCATCACATTCTAATATATACTATCGTAGTATACTACAACTATATTTGAAGAGTTATTTAATACAATTTCTTTTTCACATATTTAAAATTTTGCAAAATGTACTAGTATATTTATCTAAATACTAGATAAAATATATAATTTTGTGTAGTATAATACTATATTTTAAAAACTTTGACAATTTAATTTGATGTCGGAACTTCATCGAAAATAACCCTCAATTTATTATATGGTTGCAACGCGTTAGGTATGTCACAGGGGAAAACTAATTTCACTTTTATGAATTATTGTTTTTCTGTTATTTAATTTCAAGAACTTACTGCCTGATTTTAGGATATACATTTGATAGAAGCCATAGTCTTAAGTTGTTCATATTGTGGAACTTCAAAAATATTGAAAATCCATAGTTACATTTTTATTATAAGCGTTTAAAGTTCAAATTTTGATAAAAATCTCAGCATTTCGAGTACTATTTTATGACATTTGTATAAAACTTTTTTAAATCAATAAAAATAAAAAGAAAAATTTAAATAAAAAAACCAGTACAGGTTATTGTTATAGGTAATTTTTTTTCTCGTTAAAAATTAATAAAATTTTCATTTTATATTTTAAGAAATGGGCAATACAGGCTGTCCCATGAAGATATTCTCCTTAAATATCTCCGGAGATAAGATAATCAAATTCTAATTTTTTCATATTACTCATAGGGGTGAGTACAAATATTAATTTTTTTTTTAGTAACTTACATATGCATGTAATATTTTTCTTTAATAATATTTGTTTAATATTGTACCTTTTTCCCCATTTATTGGGGAAATCAAAAATTGACCTCCCTAAAGTACCTCTCCAGTCAGATTTCTTTTCAGAAAAAGTACTATCATTGTAAATTCAAGCAAGAATTGTAAAACCAATAAATTCCTCTCTCTATTCAGAATCTAAAACTGACAAATTTACGGTGTGAATTTATCACTTTGAATTTTTACATATTAACTTTTCTACTATAGATATAATTGTACCAATAAAAAAATAAAGAGATTTTTTTTGTTGAAGTTTTAATCTAGTCGGTGAACATGAAAGTCGTTTTTTCATTTTCTTTGTAGCTTTTTTAATAATTGAGTAAAACCGAAAAAAAATACAAAAAGTCTACGACAATAATCCTTTTAATGTAATTTAATTTACTGTATTTATAAAGAATTGACATTTTGACAGAAAACTTATATTTGCTTTTTCTAGACTTGGTAAATGTTCAAAATGTTTGATTAATTTTTGAGTTAATAATAGACATTTAAATTTTGCTAGTTTCATACGTAATTTTTTTTCCAGTAAGTACTCTGTGATGAAATTGTTAGATTAAACAGAAATGCTTGAAAATTTAACAGGAGATTCCTTAAATGTTTTACTTTGTGGTCAAAAAATTAAATTGAGCTTTATGTAGTAATTTTTTATGAAAATCATTTGAGTAAAAAATTATGTGGAACAAATCTTGCTACTGGTCCATACAAATTTTTCATTTTTTTTGTTTTGATCATCTGTTTACCTATTATTGATTTAAGAACGATGGTGAATTCAAAATTGAGCGGACTGACTTAATTTCGAAATCGAAAAAATAGTTTTTTGAAGTTCTAATATTATATAGATGTTATATGTGTTATGTTAAATACTCAATATTGTCAGTTTCATAGTATGTCGTTCGTAGTCTAGTGGTGATATGTACCAGTTGTCAACCCAGAAATACCGAGTTTCGAAATTATTTTTTGTAAAACCACGTTAGGTAGGTAAATGGAAAAAAAAATTAATTTTGTTTTATAATATAAAAAAAGTATAATCTATATATACATATATTATTTTTTTTAAAAGTTAAAATCAAATTTTGACGAAAATCTATCGTTTTTCGTTATCAATGATTTATCATTACATACAGATATAAATTAAATAACTTCTGTATTCATCTTCTACGCTATACTCACCTATAACAATGGTTGCACCCATCCCCAGTATCAACTCGTTTTTTTATTCTTTACAACTTCTTTCAGAATCACAAAACTATTGATCAGTAGTATTATACATTAAAAATAGTAATAACTTAATTAGATTTTCTAACCTATGAGTTTTTTACATTACTTTTTTATTTATAGGTACTTTATCCAAGTGCCATGGTATATTGGTATTTTCCCTTAAATACTCATAAAATAATGAGACGACATATCACAAAAACGATTTAAATCGTTTATTTTGATTTCTGCTTGTTATACAATTTTTATAACAACGCCAAAGTCTTCTAAGCTAATGACTGTAAGTGTCCTTAGAACTGAATCCATATCGATTGTGTAGAAAATTATGCAAAACACAACTGCATTTAACGATTTTATCAGTAAAATCGACTTTAACATCGATAAGTCTGTGAAATATGCGCAATTAATTCGAAAGTATTGCGAATATATATTCTATGTGTCGTCTAATACGTCTCTTACTTCCTCATCACAAGGTATCATTGCTAAATCAGTTTTTAAGTGGCATCAATCTGAAATATTTTTGAATTTTTCAAATTGCGAAGTAATCTTGATATCACGATCTTTAAACCTTATTCCTCAGTATTCAACAGGTTAGTTGAGACTGAGCATGTATTAAATGGTCTAATACAAACGGTTCATCTTTATTGGATGGTACTTCTTATCTTTCATTGCATGCACGTATGTATTTCTGCATTAGATACCGTTGGTTGGTGGTATTTTTTTTGAAATAAATAAAGCTGACGTAGACCCTTGTCTCTTCTGAAAGAAAAAATATATTTGTTTTAGTAATATTATTCGAGAAGATGCCTAGAGATTCTTCTTTAAAGTTTTTGAATTAGAACAACATAAGAAAATAACAATTAGGTGAAAAATCACATAAACAGTGTGATCCATTTAAAAATCAAAAGTGTAAGTAGTCGAATTTTACAAGATTTAAGAAAATTTGGTAAACCGACACGTACACATTCTACATTTATCTGGTGGATTAAATTTTTAGCACCTTTCCTGTCTTGGGCCTTGATTGAGAGTAAAATCTTCAACAATAGTGTGAAATAATAATAAAAAAAAACTTCTAAATTAATAATCGTAACCAGAAATGTATGTTTTCGTTTAAAACGATGTTCACCGTTAATCAATTTACCATTTCTATTACTACCTAGTGGTTGTATCGTGTATTTCTTACTTTTTCAGATAATATATTTGGATTTTATTTATTTTTGTCAGACAGCATTATATTGCACACATATAATAGATCTATATTACATAATATACATTAATACATTACACATATAGCCATTCGTTGTTAGGTGAACCTATATAAAGAAAAATGATTATAGATATAGGTACCTATATACCAAATAATATAACAACTGTCATATTTGATGTTTCGTTATATTATAAATTTCCATTAGGTAACCGATTCGGTAGGAAAAATCCATCTACAATATTAATTTGACCTTTTTATCGGCGTTACTGTGTTTGAAGGTAATTTAATATGTCCGGCTCTTATACACCACCGTTGCAGCATATGATTAAACTATGTTTTATTGTTCCACGTTATTATATCATAAATCTAACCGCTTTTTACGGAAAACCGTTAGTATTGAGAATTATCTAGAGTTTTATGGCAAATATTATAAACTTTTCAAATGTAAAAGAGTTGCGGAACTAATCTTGCAAAATTGTACCTATATTTATACCCACACGTTTATAAATCGTTTTACCAAAATTACGAGTATATAAACAATTATAAATACTAAAAATTAATCTTTAAAAAAATATAGTGTTATACTGTACATATTATATTTAGGGTAATTTAGTTCATATTGTACTGTATAGCCGGATAGGTATAACTACACCGATCCTTCTGAACTGGTACCATTTTTCGATTTTGAATATGAACATAATGTTATTTCGATTGTTTGATGGGTGAAGGGACAATCACCTCCCGGTTAGGTTCAAGTCATATTTAGACAAATTGTATATAATAGTAAAACACCATCGCCATTCATTCTACATGTTTAGTATAATAATTATGCCAGGTATCACGGTTTTTTATGCTCCGTATCAAGAGAGAACTTGACGGCAATACAACAGCCGATCGAAACTCCCATTTTTGCATATTCTCACACAATAGATCGCCGCATATTGAGGAATTTTATGTTTTCGAAGAATTATATAGATATAATATGGGCAAATCATTACCGATAAGACGATAAGGGACACGCTAGTAATGTTCATTATGACATTTTATAAACTCTTACTATTTAGTTAACTTAGTATATTATACACTCTATAGAACCTATACTATTCTTAAATTCTTCACATTTAAATGTACATGTATAATATTAAAATATGGTACACACTCAGGACTCGAATTTTTGAGAAAATTAAAGTAGAGGAGTATTGCGAAACCACGAAAAAAAAAAACGTTTCGACAAAAATTAATTTAGTTCGGATTTATAGAGTCGCGGGAGCAGATATATGCATTAAAAAAAAGTCATCAGATCTCAAAACCAACATAAAATAAAATAGATGGTTCGTCAATGTTATATATCAATCGTCCGGCCGTTTCGATATGATAAAATAGTAAGGGTGCGCTTAAAAAAAAATAGTAGAGTATTATTTGTTTGGCGTGTGGCATTTATTAGTGCTCCACTACTCTCCCCCTACCTATTTATGTAATGTATAATATAGGTTCTCATTTGAAAAACCAAAGTTGTTGTCGCCACAAAATACTCCGTAAAATATTGTGAAAAATCTAACTACTTCAAAATATTGGCTTTAAGTACACTTAAAAATTCCAAAAATCATAATTTGAATACATGCAAAATTTAACCAAAAATAATGGAGTGAGCACGCTTAGTGAGTCATTCCGTATAGTTAAATTAGCTATATATATAAATACTATAACAATTGTAATTTAAATTATTAAATAGTTAAGTAATAAAATAAAAACAAAATTATTAAATGGTTAATACTCGTAGAAAAAAAAAAAATTACATAAATGCGTCGCCTGGAGTATTATGAAATGTGTATTGTACGGCCTGTTTCGAATTAAAAATTTATCGTCAGGTAATCATTACACTTCAATTTTCTTCTTAAAAATCTTGATAATCAATAATAATTTTCGGTTGCACAATTTTTCTTTTAAATTTTGTTTAATCAATACTATTTACAGGATAAATAACATAAAACATTTTTTCCAATCCTAATTACGTATAAATAATTTTAGATTCGTAGCCTAACAAAAGAACATTGGTTTTACTATGTTTTTTATTTTTTGTATCTCTAAACAATTTTTCTACTAGAAATATAGATGTATAGAGTATAGTACCCTTTCTGAAAGGTAATTTTGTATGGTTGATGCATCGAAGAGGTCATTTTTTTGATTTCCTAATGAGTTTTCAAAATAATTGGGGAAAACTTGAAAGAAAATTATAGGCAAAACGGAAAATATTTATGACGCGCCGCAGCGTTCCGTTTTCATTGTTTATAATTTTTGCAAACGATATTTTTTACCGGAAATCTCGGTCCAATTGAAAATTGATAGGAGATCGAATTTGATACATTTAATATCTAGTCACTGATAGAATAAATTTTTTTTTCATTATTCAAGAAGTTTTAATAATAATTTTGAAAAATCAAAAAAGACGAAAAATAAGATTTATTTTTTTCAAATTACGACGCAACGATTTCATTATTTAAAATTTTTTATTTACAAGAAATCTTTTTTCTAGTTGTGACTAAGAAAGTCGTTTGATTTTCTGTATAGTTTTCCTAATAATTACGAAAATCCGGGAAAAATGTAGGAAATACGGCAGTGCACAACATTTGGTGTTTTATTGTTATTCGATTAAAAATCAATATAGAGACTTTGTTTTCACAAAATATTTATGTAAGCCTTTTGTAAGCGTTGTAAAATTTTCAAAACATTCTAACTATTTTTAGGAATTTGATATTTCGGTGTTTTTATTTGGTAGGTATTTGTTATTAAAATTTTACGACTTACGAGAAATATTTGAAAATGTATCAAAAGGTACATAATAAATTGTATTTAGTGTTCTAAAAAAAAAATTTGAGTTTAATTCATTAGGGGTTTTTTTTTCATAAGGGTGTTAAGATCAAATTTTAACAAAAAACGTAAAAATTTGGCATTTCAAAATATATCTTCTCGAATTTCGATTCACTTCGAATCGATTTTTGTTAGCAATGGTTTATCTTTGCGTACATTTATAAATTAAATAACTTTATGTATCCTACCTTCCCAACTTCCCACCAATAACAGTAGCTGTACCCGTCCCCAGTATCAGCTATTTTTTTTTTTTATATATAATTTTATGTAACATCAAAGTGTCCAAAAAAAAATTAAAGCTGGGTGCATCCTAGTGCAGTTTTACCAGGCCTCCTCAAACTTTTGTGTTAGGGCATGGTTGTACTATATTATGTGTGATTGACTGTTTCATCACGTTCGCAGTGTTGAATCGGCCATGCCCCATTTATAAAGTAGGTTTCACCTTCCTCGCGTATATATAATGATCATATAACAAAAAGTACAATTTAGTATAAAATCTAATAATAGGTAATATTCAGTCTACACCCAGCACATATGTAGTTACAAATGAATACAATTTTCAATTTCAATTTATCAAAAAATGTTTAATCGAACTGCTTAGAATCGTTTTTCGATTGCAACGATTTATCGTTACATACAATATAATATAAAAATTATTGTAAACTATAAACTAGGTACCTAATATTTATACATGCGTACACATATGGTCTGCCTTCTCAATTTCCCACTTATTACACTAGCTGTACAAGAAGAATATTATGTGACAATGATACACAAAAGACTTGAAATAAACTGGCATTTTCATAATACGAGTAAATATTATGTTAATAAATTTATTTTTATGTATGTACTACTGTTAATTTACCTAATACATTTTTATAGTATGTATATAAATTAAAATGTTTGATTAGTATTATAAATTGTTTACGATTTTCCTATCAGTTATACAAACTGATGATTATGCATAATAACCAGTCACCCAGGTGAAAGTGATAATTGTCTACAATTTATCATTTTAACAAATTATGACGTATAATAACTGGTTAAAATGTTAAATTGTACGAAACGTATCATATTAGCGGTTTCAGTTGGATATTGTGCAAAATAACTACCCAGTCAATTTGACATCATGAAAATGATTTTTACTACAAAATAATTGATTATTATACATACTACCCGATTTATCATGTTAACAGCTATATATATACATATGTTTTATTTTATTTTCATATATTTTCGTTTCCCACCACTTGCCAAACAAAAATTGCGTGTATGTGCTACAGGTTCAACATTCCTGCAACTTGCAGGTGTAAAATAATAATACTTTTTAGTAGATAATACATACGAAGTATTAATTATAATAAAATAAAATATTACATAATTATCAATTAATTATTATTACATAAACGTATTTAATAAACAATAACAATATTATAATGATAGGCATTGTAGGCGCAAACAGTGTTTGGGGGGTGGGGGAGGCTGATAACCTTTTTTTGTTGGTTTTATGCTCTTCTTTACTTCATGATATATTCCAATATATCATCTTATATTGAAGTCATTAATTTCTGGGTAGTTGGGCCCCCCAACAACCCTTATTTGCGCTCAAGACAATATAGTTTTACATAATAATTAAATAATAATATCATTGATTCAATAAACAAATATTTAATGAATGATATTATATTGGAATACAATAGATAGGTGTGTATAATAATATTATATAGAGGTAATTTATGATGTATACTGTGGTGTCAGTGGCGGTCTACATATCTCGGCGGTGATGTTAACGGGTGGCACGAGCAAGTACGGACCGCTACCGGGGGATGTTGCCGCACCCTGGTTATCGAGGTACACGTTCCCGGCCGGTAAAACGCCGGCGGTTACAAGGATTTCGGGTTTGACTTTGGGCGTCAGAGTGCATTCTCGTACGCCCACGGTCACCTGATCGACGACGGTCTGGTCGGTGTACACGTTGGTGGACGTGCCTGTTGGTTCGTCGACCAATATCTTTTCGGGTTCCCGGGCTTGCTGGTGTACTCGGGCCGTCATCGTAGGACTCGACCGCCTCGATGGTACGGCCGGTACTGTAGTCGCGGCGGTCGTCGTCGGTGCGACGGCGACGGCAGTGATAATTGCCGATTGCCGTCGAGAGGCTTTCAACTCGTGTCTGACTGCGTCCAATACGCGGGCCACCCGGTCCGGTTGGTCGTACGGCAGCCGGACAACGGGAAACACGGGTCTGGGCATCAAACGGCGGCGACAGACCAGCGGTAACGGCCGTAACTGATGTCGTCGGCGGCGGTGTTGTTGGTGGTGCTGGTTACGGGCGTCGGCGGTGTTGAGCAGACGAACTTCGGACGGCAACACTCGCAGCGCCAACAGCGACGACGATGTATTACCGCTACTACTACCGCTGCCGTCCGTATCGGTCGTCGTCGTGGCCGGATAGCCTTTCAACGGGACGGCAGCGAAACTACACAAATATCCAAACCGGACGCAAAACGTAAACGCGTGCCCCCGGCTAATACTGATGCAGTGTGTAGAGCGTTTATTGAGGGGAAAAAGACGTGACAGCGACGCATAGGAGACCGACCGTCAGCGCGCCGCGCACATAGCCGACTGAAAGTCGAGACTGAACGGACCACGTCGCACGGCCCCACTTGATTTTCAGCCGCTCGCGAATGACGTCGGGAACGACCGCGGGACTTGTACGCACGAACGTCGTCGCCGTCGGGGCTCAATGCCGACACAAATCCGCCGTGGGAAACAATAATGAAAATATAATGAGTAACAGCTCGCGTGCCGCCGCCGATGACGTTCTCGCGCACGTCGTACGTAGGTGGGTATAACACTCGAACAATAAGTCCGTATAATAATAGGTACTCATAAAACTTAAATTATCGAGTATATTGTATTATATATTAATATAAAGTGTCAACATTATTGCGGTGCACGCACTATACTAGAATATAATGTGTGTTTGTGTGTGTGTGTGTGTGTGTGTGTGTGTGTGTGTATCGTCCCGTATATATATATGTACCGAAAAATATTGTCGAGCGCGTTCGCCTCGTAGTAGGAACGTGTAATACTGCGCCTGTTGTTCCGTGTCGCGGCACCATTTAAAACGTAACACAGTTATGATTAGTGTTGGCGATGATAATAATATTATTCGAATATTATATCAATACGGCGATATCCAATGAATACTAATAACACGTTATTGAACGAATGACACCTTTGTATGCATATATAAGAAAAAAAAGAAACCGAGTGGGCACGAAAGAGCAGCTAATGGCGACCGATTAAACTTTGTATACATTTAAACAGCAATTATAAATTGCAAACTATAGATAGTGGATAACCTACCCATAACTATAAATAAAACTTTTTGTTATTATCTTAACATTAATAATATCAATTTATTCGTCATGGCCTTTTTGTGCATCGGCAAATACAAAATTTTCCACGAAGATATATCGAATTAATTGGGAGGGAGGAGCCCGAGGGGTCTGGACGGGTCCTCTCTAGACACCGACATAATTTGAATAAAATGTCGTTTAAAAAAGAGGTATTAGTTGATAGATATTAGTAGGTATTAATAGATACATTTAAAACAGAGGCGTGTTTAACGGGGGGGGGGGCTTAGGGAACAGTCTTCCCGGCGGCAAAATGTTATAGTTATTTATAGGCGACATTCGTTTTGTAACTACTGTGGTGTGTTTTTCGTCATAAATTAATTTTTCCATCGGGAATTTTACATTTTTTAAATGTAAAAATATTTAAGAATATTATATGAAATATATTTTTAATAATATTAGAACGTATACCTAACAAAGATCTAAATAAAACTCGAATGAATGTGAATACAATGAAATTAAGACTCTATAGATATTTCTGTATTCGGGTATTATTGTCAGTTAGTGACCATAAAGTGCAACGTCTCAATATTTCCCAGTCGTGGTGAATTATTTATCTACTTTTGATTAATTATTTGAACATAACAGAATTGTTATAAATTGTTTCCACATATTGTTATCAACCTCAGTATTCTTATTATACAGATATACCTACAGTTGCTACTCACTGGCTACATTCAAATAATTTAAAGCTATTAATTACCAGTTACGACTCAGTAGTTTGTGGACAGCACTACAATATATTGTACAATCATCACCAATTGTTATTTGTTATTTTTTATATTGGTATTTGATTATTTTAAATGTTTTCAAAAAAAATGAAATTAGGTGGCGTTGAATACAAATAAAAGCAAAGTTGATTATGGGCAGTCATTTTGATTCAATATCTAATCCATCCAGCTTTATGAAAATTCAATAAGTCAAACATTGATTATTTCATACTAAATCAGCCTAAACAAAATGTTGAGACTATCAATTTTAATGCAACAAGAAGGTCAAACGGTAAATATACTAAACTTTTTCCAAGAGTAGTGTTTTTTGATATAACATTAACTGATGAAGTATCGTATCACCAAATAGCACAAGATAGATACATATACGTCATGCATATACCAAGTGATCTATTTAAGTGGGTACACTCATTATATCGGAAAGTGTTAACTTTTTCCGGAATTTGTTTTCTAGTACATTTAAGAAATAAATTGCTCTAAAATTTTATATTTATGTTATTTTTTTGTCACCCTTATTTTTGGGAGTAAAACCACTACCTACATTTGATTTTCAAATAGCAACCTATATTAAAAAGCCCATAAGTTAATGAAGTATTAGTTAGAATAAATTTTAGTATGGATATTTTTGATTTCTGACAAGCTGTTGGCGTGATATTCCACTTTTAAGTTTGGGTTGTAGGAGAGTAGTGGTGCATTATTAACATGCCACGCACCATACCACCACACGAATGATATACCACTATTCTCCTTCAACCCAAATTTAAAAGTGGAATATCTCGTCAACGGATTGATGAAAATCAAAAATTTGAGCACTATAATTTATTTTAACTAAAAATCCATTTATTTATGGAATTTTTAATACAGGTTGCTATTTGAAAATCAAAAGTAGATAGTAGTAGTTTTACTCCCGAAAATAAGGATGACGAAAAAATAACATAAATATAAAATTGTAGAGCAGCTTATTTTTTAAATGTTTTAGAAAAAAAATTCCAGAAAAAGTTGACACTTTCTGGTATAATGAGTGTAACCTACTTAAATGGATCACCTGGTATAAACTGCCATCCACCTAGCTTTATTTATAGGGTCTGTAGGGTGTACAAAGCTAAAAAAACACCTGCCTTCTATAACAACATGATGATGTTCATATACTGTGGCTTTTAACACCTTTATCGACTTCGTTTAAAATTTCAAATTTATCGGCGATAGATAAACATTTACATTTCGACATTTTTTTTGTACGGACGAAGAGAAAACGAAAGAAAATTCATACTCGTTTGCATCAATATTGGAACTGAAGTACTGCAGTAAAATTAATCAGTTTACCTACCTTCGGTGTCTTATCTTTATCGGGTACATTGTTCATGTACAATTTTGATGATAAATGACATAAAATATCAATTTGATAGTGACAACATTTACAAAAACTGGTTTTTATCGAATAATTATTTCGTTATATAGAAACATCAGATTCGTTATTTGGAGATAAAACGTGTAATTAAATGTGTAATTAACAATGAAGGTCATAGTTCTTAAAAATATTTCGTTAAATGGAAGTTTCACTGTATTAGAATTACATATACACAATGCGAATTCCATTATTTCAGTAGAATGAACAAAATGCCGTTATAAAAATAATAGTGTGTTCAATGTGTACCTATTTTAAACAATTACAAGTGAAATTTTCGATTTAAATTTCACTCGTCAACAATAATTACACTAAGAGTACTTCGTGTTTCAATAAAACACCCACACAGTTACGTCAATTTAATTATTTCATCAAGATTCTTTGAGCATATTCAAAAATAACATCATTAAGAATAACATAATGAAGGTATCGGATTCCGTAAAAATTAAAAATAAAGATTTTGTTACTATTTATAAAATCGTTGTTTTCTTAGATGTGTACACCATAGGTGTTTGTAGACCCAAGTATATTCAAAAAAATATGATTGTATTGACATTAGAATATTAAATTACAAGATTAGGTAGGTAACTACATCAACGAAAATTTAAACGTGTTATATAATTATTAGTTTAACCTAACCTTACCTAACCTAAAAGCAAATACAGTGAAACCTGTGTATAACGGACAGATACGGGACCATAAAAATGTCCGTTATAGACAGGTGTCCGTAACAGGTACGGATGTTGGCATTGCAAAGAAAAAAATTAAAACGAACAGAGAAAAATGTACTACACTATAAGAGCTAAGCGATACGGAATAAACACTAAATAGTCTTTACATTTTGTACGTGTTCTTGGTTATTTCCGTCCTCGCTATTAATTTTAACCTTATTAAAAAACATGTAATCTGTCGTAATCGTTATTCGAAATAGACCGGTGACTCTGTTGCGTAGTATATATATGTAAGTATACTTGATTTTGAACTACCGTAGTTTTTTTTTATCGAGTTATTGACGAAAAATATATTTTACTATCCGTGTCTGTAATAGAAACAGTCCGTTATAAACAGATCGAAGTACATTATTGGATTACCTATCTTTGTGCCGGGACATTATTATTTTGTCCGTCAAGACAGGTTTCACTGTAGTACGTATATATGTATATATATACTATTTGCCATTTTAGATGCGTAAGTTAATTAAATTTTGCATACATTTAAAAGAAAGAAAAACTGAATGATGAAACTTTAATGATATAATTCTATTGAAATAGGTATTGTGCAGTCTCAAAACCGTGGGATATAATTATTAGTATGAAAAATCGATAAATCCCAAGATTTTTCATAGTGTTATCCATCACGACATCGTATCATAATTCATAAACATTTCACATTTAAGCATTTTCTACGTTGCCTAGGTTGTAGCCTTACTCTAAAGGTAATATAGTTGCCGTTTTATTGACAAAGTTTGCTTCTTTATATTAAGGTATGTCTAACACTATCTTCACTCTCGGTCTTTTTATTGCTATGTTTTTTAATACCTAAAGCCGCGTTTACATTGTAGTGATGATACAGAAACACGAACGAACACGTAGGTACCTCGGTATCTATATACTCGTATTTTCAGATATATGAGATAACATCACTGGGAACAAGAGACTAGTGCATAATATATTTTATTTCCTTGTATAAAACAAAATAATGCTAAATATTAAACATCTACTATTACTCGTATTTATACAAGTATATAATAAATAATATATTATATAAATACAAGTTATCAGGGGTGGCTCGAAGAAGGTATGTTTGAATCACGTGATTTACAGGTGAGTACCTGGATGTTCAGAAATGTAAAAAAAATTATTGTTTTCACAAGAAAAATCATTAAAAGAATTTCAGATTGCGGAAATTTGATGAATTTGACGAATTTTATTTAAATTTAAATACATTTATGGTAGAGTGTATTTTTGGGTTGGAGTGCGTAAGTGGTGAGTAAAACATTAAATTGGTGATTCAAGGTCACCATAATTCGTGCCGCCTTTGCAAGACAATAATATTTTTTTTAAAAAAAAAACAATTAAATCAGTGTAATCACGTGTTTATACTAATAATATTAGTAACCTAACCATAATACAAGTGTTGATATTTATACAAACTTAGTAATATTAAATACTCAAAATGACATTTACATTAATTCAGATTTAAAAGAATTGCATATGACAATGAAAGAAAGAAAAATTAATTTTAATAATATTTTAAATGTTCAAACCGATTTTATAAATAATATCTTACATCAATGCATTTCAGATAATAAATAATAACCAAATAATTTATACTTCTTAACATATTCATATCTAATAATAACTAATTTTAAATAATCTCTCTTATTCAAATCAATTATTTCTTACTCTATGTAAAACGACCAATTTGTAATTTTTTTTTTTTTTGTGTATTCCTTCATTTAATTTTTTATATTCAGTCGCATTTTACATTTGTGATATACCTAAAAATGTTTGCTAAGCTTAAGAGTTTTTTCAACACCAGCAGACATATAACATCGTTATACAAATAAATAAATATACTACTTTTTTAATAAAATATAAAAAAGTAAAAACAAAATTATTAAATGGTTTAATAGTCGTAAATAAATATATAAATGAAGCGTCGCCTGGACTATTATGATATGTGTATTGTATTTTGTGATTTTATCAGACAATGAATTTTTAATTTGAAACCGGTCGTGTAATACACTTACCATAATACTCCAGGCGATGGATTGATTCATTTATTTTATTTTTATGTATACATTTTTTATTTATATATTTATTTACTTTATTTATTTACGAGTATTAACCATTTTAATAAGTTTTTTCTACTTCATTATTTTATTATTTAATAATATTAGTTATAGATACTCTTACAGTCGTACCTATACAAAAGGGCGAGAGTTCAGTAAAATATATTAATAAAATTTCACTCTCACAATATAATCGTGAATTTTTAAATTAAATTTTATTCCCCCCTAAAAAAAATTCAGCGTGTTTTTTTTTTGCTAATTATGGTTCTAAATCTTCTATATTTCTCCACTTTAATCTAAAAATCCTGCCGTTGTGAAATATTTTTGTTTATTCAATGAAATTAGCTATTTGGTGATTTGGTCCTATAGAGTCCTTAATATAGGTACCTACAATAGATAGTTTTCGTCAAATTATTGTTTAAACTCATAGACACGCAATAAGCAGAGTTATTATTTGCACATAAATATTTGATTTACATTGTGCACAGTAAAATTTCAAATACGAATATAAAAAACGGATACCCATACAAATATAGGTAAGTAGCCCGGTAGAGTTGCATGATATACGGAAAGGCACATAATACTATTAAGTATGTACCTAATATTATATCATATACATCTCATCAGGATTATGATACATACAACACACGAAATATTTGTGTTACATTTAAGTTGAATATCGTCATTTCGATATTTGCTATAGTGACTGGAGCAGTTTCCGAATAAATCCGATCTATCGACCAAAATATTAGGATAGGATTTTTTGATACGAAAAAATGTTTGAGCTCTAATGATTTATTTTAGATTCTGAGAGAAGCAAAGAAACTTATGGTTTCACAAAGATGTTTATTTTTTTTTTTATCTATGGACCATTTTTCTATCAGAAATTTTGCTCAGATTTTAGATGACAGCAACTTTTCTAAAAGAAAATCTAACTGGAGAGGTACGTTAAAGAGGGCATTTTTGATTTTCTTACTAGTTTTCCAAATAAATGGGAAAAACAGGGACAAAAACATAGGAAAACTTAAAAGAAAATAGGTACAATATTAAATAAATATTATTAAAGAAAATATATAATGCCTATGTTTTTAACTAACCATAATATGACATATATATTGTTGACAAAGCAACTACTATATCAACTTAATTCCGCTCAGAATCGTTTTTTCGTTAGCAATGGTTTATCGTTGGCCATTATTTACAGATATACATTATTCCCCACTATTACCTTCTCAACTTCTCACCTACTACAGTGGCTACATCCATGTGCGGAGTATGTACGCTTTTTAGCATTTGAAATAACTATAAAAATCGACAATTTGTTTACAGATTTAGTTATACCACCTTAAACTGCCTACATAAAAAAAAATAAATTGTTTTCCAATATTTCATTTTTATTAATAATTTACATATTTATAAGCATGATGAGAATTGGAGATGCTATTTCGTAGCGTACCATATCTTTTCTAGAATTAACTGCTTGAGGTCCTCAAGTATCCTTCATGTTCTTTCGTAAACTCTGCTGCCTGAATAGAAAAAAATAATATGAAAAATATCTTATTGTTATTAATAATTAAGATAATTTTTTTTTAAAACGTCCGCTTTGCTGTCTTTTATAATAATATCTGTATAATACTGGCTGCATTTGTATAACATTATTAGTTATTAGTTATTACTAAAGCTCGAATTTATATGCTCTAAAAACCTTAGAAATATGTACTGTGAAATATGCATTTATGATTTATTTTGTAGAAATATATCTTTTAAAACCAGAACAGACAAAATAAATATATTTTATATTTATTATTTATAACATGTTTACATAAAAGTAATATGATTTATTTTCTATGGTATTTTCGACATATAATATCACATAATATCAAAATGACGTCCTAGGATAATGTGGACGGGTGCAGCCACTGTTATAGACAATTTAATGTATATCTGTAAACAATGATAAAACATCGCTATTGTTACGAGAAAACAATTCTGGGGGGAATTCAGTTGATAGTGATTCTTTGTCAACAATATATATGCCATTTTATAGTAAAAATTGATTAAATAAGCTTTATATATTCTTTAATAATATTTGTTTAATATTGTACCGATTTTTCCAGTTCTTCTACGTTTTTTTCCAGGTTTTCCCATGTTTTATCCCGGTTTTCTTACATTTGCTGGGAAAACTTGGAAAAATCGAAAAATAACCTCCTTAAAGTACCTCCCTAGTGAAATTTCCTTTTAGAAACATTGCTATCATTATAAGTTGGAGCAATATTGCTGGTTTAAAAGTCGTGTACAGGAAAAAAAAATCGTAATATTTTAGTAATATATTTCGTACATTTCCCCCCTATTTTTTCGTTTTTTCAAATTTGATGAAAAAACTCCCGAGAAATATTGCGCACAGATAAAAAAAAAAAAACAATTTCTGTAAAACGAATCTAAAACGTAAAAAAAATAAAATTATGTGGTTAAACCTCGAAAAACTTCTCTCTAAGTCGGCTGATAGTATTATTTATATAAAATATAAAAAAAAAAAGGCTGTAATATTTATCAATACATTTCGTAAATTTGTCCGTATTTCCCATTTATTATGAAAATAGCTGGGAAAATAAAATAATGACCTTCTTAAAATATCACTCCAGTAAAAATTTTTTTTTCAGAAAAAGGGCTATAATTGAAAATTGGAGCAAAATTGCTGGTACCTAAGTTGTCGGAGGAAAAAAAATAAACATTCCTCGCTCTGCTCAGAATCTAAAATCGTGAATTACAGAAATATACCGTAACATGTCAAAATATTACAAAAATATACAATACAAAATTTTGGATTTCAGATCTTTTAACTATAAATAAAATTGGAAGCTTATCTATCCAATTTTTGTATTGGTTACAAAAAACACTCAAATGCATAGGTGTAAATCCGGCATCTTTAGTTATTACGTTTCGTGATTTATGACAATAACGTTGTATTTTTTACTCAACTGATGTCATGCTAGGCATTTAGTCGCATGTCCATGTGTATATTTAATATTTATAAATAACTTGGGTTCCGAATAAAAATACTGTCAAGCTCTGCGAGAATGCGCGCATAGCGGGCGAGTGACCCATCATCCGTTATGACGCACGTCGAAATATTGTGGTCGTCGTACCATCGCGCGTCCCGATATACATTATCGTTATTATTATTTCACGTTTAACCAGATATATATATACGTTATATTTATTATGTATGTGATGTTAGCGCACATAGTCTGTGTGTAATGCTCTTGGTACCTAATTTTTAGATTTATAATAGTACCTGCAATGCCGTGCGTAAATGTAACCTCGTCGTCGCTGCCGGCGCGGGTTTATAATAATAAATCCTTGAACCTGAAGCTGCTGTGTGTCTATAAATCCACGACAGCACGACAAACTTTAACCGGAGCATTATTATGCTTATCTGCATCCACGGTTAATATGTATGATTATCTTTACCGCATATAGGTACCGATATAATATGTATACAAAGGTATTATAGCGACAGGTTGGGACACTTACCGTGAATCGTGTTATCCGTCACGTTTATACATTATTTGCGTCTGTAATGTGCACAATCTTAATTATATCATTTATTATTATCTAAGTGTTTATTTTTTTGATTGAAAATGTCCGTTGCGCGTAGGTAACCTAAGTAAACAAGTCGGTGTGATACGTAAAACCTGCCATCTAGTCGTTCGGTATACTACAAGGGCGGAGTGAGAATAAAATTCAGACCCAGAGATTAAATTGTATCCAGGCAATTTTTTCGCGTTTCAGTTCGAATCAATTGTAAAATTAGGATTTTGAATTAAGAGGAACTAAATACTTTTATACTTGAGACATGGGTGGGGAGAAGATGGGGAGAGGAAGGAATTTCGACCCTACATGAATTTAGAAAAGGGTTTTCATCAATATGAATTTTAATCGTATTACATTAAACGAAAATGAATATTAAAAAAAAAATCATTAGATAGGTTTACTGAAATATGAATATTATAATATGTGTCTTGGCATAACTTTTTATTAAATGGTTAAATAATTCAATTTAGTAAAATATTATAATATACGAATATCAGGCTACCATAATATGATTCAGGATACATGGAAAATTCTCATTTCCAAACCGGCCACTTTGCCTCTGGATATACACGTCCCATGTGTTGTACTTATACAAGTTAAAGAAGATGTAGAGATAAGTTTGTATTTTCGTAATATTGTGTAACGATCAGTGCTCGGATTGGGGAAATGAGGACGTACATGCAGAGCCTGATTAACTGAAATTACTGCCTATTGCTCAATCTGAATCGGACCCTATTTTAAATATTTAAATTATTTTAGAGTACTATGTAAATAACGTCCCTTCCCCTTTTTTAATAATCTTCAATATAGTTTACCAAGGATCTTAAATATATTTTACTGCTCCATAAGCACTTTTATCCTTTGTAGTACTTAGTTATACTTAATTATTACTTCATAGAAATGTTAAAACTTTTAATTTTAATAATTATATCTGTTTGATGTTTATAAAAACAATTTAAAAAAAAAAGATAGACATAGTTCGTACGATGGGTGAGCCACTGTTGTAGGTGAGAAATTATATGACGCTTATAATAAGCAACTACACATTTCATTTAGAATGTTTTATGTACACACTACACATATTATATCATAACTTTCTTAACTTTATTTTTTATATATACATGCATTACTTATAGGTAATCTGTATTTTGTTTTGCTTATTAATCATGAATATATAATATATGGCTAAAATATTTAATCGATACTATACAAAAAGCTTATTGGCTATTTTTGAACCTGAGGGTGCTAAAGACTCCTTAGCACCCATCCCTAGTTGTATCTATGATGCCACTGGTATTTATGATTTACGAAGAGCACGTAATGATCAGTGCTACCATTACACCGGATTGTATTTTGTGTTATTAAATATTCTCCGACTTTTGCAGTCTACAGTATCCATTTAAAGTACTATATAATATATATTTTAATATTTATACATACCTAATACAGTAATTTATATATAGTGGCACACAGTACATTTTTTACAAGGGTGTCGAAAATATAAATATCTAGGTACCCACACACCTCACCAGTCAAATATGAATTTAGGCATAGTAAAACTCAATTAAAAATTAATACTATTAATATTAAACAAATATCGTCTAAACTTAAATTTTTCTAGTTTTTTTTTTTTTTGAAAAAGAAGTACGAGTATTTAGGTAATTGTAGTATTGTATTTATACTGGCTGTCCCACGAAGATGTACCCCATGAATATCTCCGGAGGTAATAAAGAGAATTAAATTCTGTTTTTTTTTTTTTATATATATATATTACTCACAGGGACGAGGACTACAAATATTTATATTTTAATTTTATTTTTCTGAAAATTTTAATGTATCACGCATTTATATCCGATGAATAATTTTTAAGTAACAGCCGTTTTAAATTCTACTAATCCATCTGAAAACCTGTGTTATTTTTCCGAAAATAATAAAATAAATATTTATTTTTTGAATAAAAAAAAAATTAATTCAAATATTAATATGAGTAGTAATCCTCATCTCTAGGAGTAATAAAAAATAATAATTTGATTATCTTTATTATCTCCGGAGATATTTAAAAAGTATGGCTTCGTGGAACAGCCTGTATAGTTTTATTGTATTATTATTCGGTTATTTATTGTTTTACGAATAATATTTCTATAATACAAAATAATACTTAACTAGTTTTATTCGAAACAATATAATATACTAGTACACATTAATGTGAATTTCAAACTTTACGCTTCCGTGACATATTAGAATAACGAAAAAACTATTTATATTTAAACATTTAAAACGCATATTGCAGCCTTTTCCAAGTGATAACCTATACGCGCGGTAGCGTTTAAGTGGAAGCGGTGCTACTTGACACATTTGCTATGACGCAAACGTTACAACCATTAATTTCAATTCACGTAATATTCGTATTCTCCGAAACATTGAAACACGTCACCATTTTATTTTTATTATCATCACTTATTCACTTTCGTAATTTAAAATAATAATAATAATAATAATTAAGAATAAACGTGTTTATAATATTATAATTTTCTTATGAATTATAATTGGTTCACTGGTGGATATAACACTGACGAATCAGAAAAGATACGAATACCTATGTGCATTACACAAGCGCAACTAAGATAGGCTAGGGGGGAGGGCTTAGAGAAAAATATAAATAGCCTCCCAAAATAAATATTTTATTATTATAATTAATAATATTTTATATATTTTGAATTCAATTAAAAATAAGTATTTTCAATAATCATGTTACTTAAACAAATACCTATATTAACATATTGTGAATGCCAGTCATAATTGTGAATATTTATGTAAGACTACGAATAGTATGATCAATTTTTAACGATTATTTATGTATATTACCATTATGAACATAGGACTAAAGAGATGTAAAAAGGAAATAATTCACTTAAAATAGTATGCCATAACACTTTAGACTCAAACAGGGTGCCGCAAGCATTCATCTGGTGTGCCACGGTCTTTTGTAGTTATTTTTTTAAATAAATTGTGACAACCAACCGGTTAAAAAAATTTAAAAACCACTGGTTTAAACTAAAGCAGACTGAGCGATTCAGAAACAGAAAGTTATTGGATATTGAATGGGTTTTATATTATGGGTACAATAATAAAGTAAGTCACGTTTGTACTTTATTTAAAACCAATTTAAAAACCCTACAAGAAATGGTAATCATCAGTATAATTTGGTTCCATGGATTATGCCCTCCAATATCTAGTACTGCATACATATACATTACATTAAAAAAGACTATCAAATTTTTTTGGGCCAGTGAAAATCCTAAAACTCATTAGGTTGATACATTTCATGACTGCGTTTATTACATTAAATTATGACCATGCTCATACAGATATAGGTGACACAATAATTTTTAGACGAGAAATTATTAAAATAAAATCAAAATTTAAATATCTTAACATTGGTAATCTAATAGATCTCTAAGCATCATAAAAATAATAATAATAAAAAAAATATAACATAAATTTTGACGTTCTTGTGGATGATAATGAATATTTAGTACCTACCAATATTATAGAAATTACTGGTCTTCGCGTGTGGTGGGGCACTGGGAGAAATTGAGAGACTAATACACCGATCTTCTTAATTGGATATTGATTTTCGATATCAAATCAATTTTTAATCCATAAACATCCTAACATAACTACATTTTTTTTTTTTAATAACCTTTAATTTTGTTTTAACAGTAAATCTTAATTTAAAGCTCATATATTTTTATATAAGTACTTGAGGCTAGATGAATAACTATAATATTTGATAGGGTTGTAAAAAATTTCTCAGCACAACTAATGTGAAACATGTTTAGTCAAACCTTAAAGTAAAATGTTAAATGTTAATAAAAGTAAATGTTACATATTTGTATCAAATTCAGATGAGAAACCTATAACAGAAATATTCAGGTGGCATAGTAAATTTACATTACATTATCCTATTAAACAAGGAAATAGAAGTTAAAGAAGAATATAAATGCCAAATGGTTTACATCACATTAATTTTATTTAAAACAAAATAATTATAAATCTATTATTAAGTATATGAATAATAGAATAACAAATAAATAATAATAATTATATAAAAATAAAATATATATATATGCTATTATAGTGGATAAACTTATTTAAATATTATTTAACGTTAAACCCTGTTGGAGGTATTAATGATGTCAATATATAGATCACATTAATTTTATTTTGTATAATTTATTAATTTTAATATTCAATTATTTCGGAGTTTATTTAGAACTTCTACTATATTAGGTTTTTGACCAATAAAATCAACCAATTCCTGAAAAGTGAGTGCAGTAGCCACAAACTGTTCTGCATTTATAAACCATTCACCATTATTTTGATTATTAGACTGTGTTAAATAATCATACAATCATATTATAATAATTGATTATATTTAATTGTTTCTTATATTTACAAATACTTACTTTATTTGATTCTTCTTTGTTGAAATTACCAATTTCCAATAAAATTGCACCTGAAAACCATTTTTTTTTCTTTTTAGATTAAAAATATATGTGTACATATTAGAATATAAATATTTTATCATTTTTAAATTATGAACTACATTTTTATATTCATACATATTCTAATTAAAGAGACATTAAAATAATAATTGTATAATAGTATGACAAATTACTTATTTTGGATATGTTCTTATACATTTCTTGATTAACAGTCAAATGCCCAATAAGATCGTACATAGTGTTACACAATGCAACAAATTGATCCTCAGACATGGATGGTAAACAAATATGAGGAGTTTTTGAGGATGGTTTCTGATCAGCAAAATTTCTGAGTAATTTTAAATCATTCAGACTAGATTCTACAATAGAAAAGTACAAAATAAGTTCTTTTTAAATTATACTCTTACAAAAAAATAAATGTATAGTGATTTGTTTTTTAATCATAAATCAGCTCTTATTTTTACTACTTTTAAAGTTTAATAACAATTATTACATGGACTAAAAATAAATAATACTTTTTTAAATTTTGTTTTATATTAATTTAATAGTTTATAAATTAGAGTACCTAGTTAATTTAAGCATGTCAAATTTTGTTGAAAATATATTTTTTCAAATATGAGTAGCTATTTAAAAATTGAACCTAAATATTACATAAATAAAGATAATATTTGTATAAAGTTTAAATAAGATCTATAAATAATTACTAAGTAAATTATCACTAATATGATCAAATTATTACCCTGAATATATTTAGTACTAACCACTTATTGTACCACTTAAAATGTTTGTGTCAAAATATTCTACAGCATCAGAGGCATATTCAGCTCCATTCTCAGAAATATCTAATTTACATAAAATAATAAAATATATATTAATTAATTAACTTATATAGTCACTCAGTTATGTTTAATTATTCTTACTTGGCCCAGTTACAAAAAGTAAATCGTTTGTAAGAAGTGGTGGTAAATGTAGTAAATATAAAATCTTAAATCTTAAAGCAATGTCAACTGTAGATGTTAAACCTAATGCTGCTGTTAACTCACGGAAGTTTAAAAATCCATCGTCATTCATGTCCATTAACTAAAAACAAATATGAAAGTATAAATCATATTATTATCGCATTAAATTATTCAAAATACCTTGAATATTCGAACAACTATATTGTCAGCACCACTATTTTTAGCTAAAGGTGAAATTGCTCTAAACATAATTTCAAAAAGGTGAAAGTCAATTTTATATAATTCATAAGGTTCCATGGGAGTTTCTGCTTTTGACGGTTGCAGAAAAGTTCTCTTGCGTACAGACACTATTTCTTCTCTAACAAATTTCAACAAATTCTAAAAGAACAACAAAATTCCAAGTATTAAATTTAAATATTGGTGTATTCAAATTTACAAGCAATAATTCTACACATTCTCAATTATATTTTAGAATATAAAACACAATGATAAATAAATAACTAGATAGCTGAATTCGATTTTATCATTGAAGCTCGGCTGCTATTTACTAACAAGGCAATATTTCTATCATGTGATCTCCGATAACTTCTTCTTTTTCTTCTTCTACTGGCAATCCTACTCTCTAAGAGTTTTAGCCACCATTACTACACTTCGCCACC